CCCCCCCCCCCCCCCCCCCCAAAAAAAAGAAAAAAGAAGAGAGACACTCACACTCAACAAAAACCCCCTTCTTCCATCTCCATTTCCATCTCCATCTCCACCAGGAACAGTCCGACAAGCCGCCCAAGCCGCCTGCATAAAAACATGTCCTCCATACGCCACCCCATCAGTCCCATCATTCTTCCCATCTCCATCTCGAGGTCTCCCCCTCGGAGTAAAAGGCAAAGCAACAGATTGAAAAGTATTCGAATCGATTTTTTCCAATTGCACGAGTTGTGCAAAGGGGAGACGTTCGTTGCCGTTGTGAGGGGGAGGCATTATTTTTATTTATTTATTTTTGTACCAGGTAATTTTGCATTTATATTTGTATTTCCAGGTTGTCTTGTAATTGGGGTCTTCTTCTTTCTTTTGGGGGGGATTTGGTTGAATTTACTGAATACATAGCAAGAGGTGGTAGGAGGTAGTGGTGGTTCAAAGGTTGACAAGGTTAGCAAGGGTTTGCTAGAATACGATCGGAGCTTTTAGCCTCGGCTATTCGACTTTGTCGACGGGCAGAGGTTCTACCTTCAGGCTTCAGCTGGATTAGCCTGGCTGATACCACAATACCTTTGTCAACATCAACGAGCTTCCCCATTCAAGAAAATGTACATGTGAGGAGGTAATGTTGCGAAACTTCTGTCATGGCTTCACGCTATCATAGTGCAGAATGGGTATCATACGCGTTGATAATGCACAAATCCGACCACCTCGCGTCCCCCTCATTCATTACCCTCCATCATCATCATCATCATATGGATGCTCCAAGGGATATGCCTATGCCCTCCCCTGAGCAGGGTGTAACCGTCGTCTTGTAGTGGCAGCCCCCCTAACCTCTAGTGAGTGAGAGCCACGCCATCTTCCACCTCTCCATCCACATCGCTCATCATGCCGTGATCGCTCTCATTGGTGTACAAGCCAATCTCCGTCTTGCGACGCTTGCCACTCGGCGTACTCAAGCTTCTGTTCTCACTCTTCTTCTGGAGCTGCTTCTCTAGAGCCACATCGAACGACTCGTCACTGGGCACCAGTGGAATGAGCGGCGCCAGTGGTGTGGTGGGCAGACTGACGGTGGAAGCGGTGGTCGAAGATGCTCCAAGAGTGCTCGATGTGAGATCGGCACAGGTGCTCAATTGGCTACGCGAGTTCTCTGGCGTCAAACTATCGAGAAAATCATGCATGTGGTTTGCTGCGCGGTTTCCATCGTCGAATCCACCGTTCTCATAGGGACATCCGGAACGAAGAGTCCACGCACGGCAGTGCAAGGGTCCCGGACAAGGAAAGAGCACGGCGTCGTTGGACTCGCTTTCAGCAAAGCTGTCGAGGATCCACTCCACAGAACTTGCGGACGCCGATTCCATGTAAATGCTGTCGGCCATGCCCTTCTTTTTGTATGACTGCGGAGTAGGGCGGAGACCGATGGTGCGGGCGACGGCGGGATCGATGATTCGCAGCTTCTGCATGTCTGCTGCAGTGAGGGCTGGCTGGTCGATGACAGTCTCGAAGGTCATGGGGAGTCGAGTGTCAAAGTATGGTCGGCAGCCTCCACAGATGGTGTAGTTGCAGTTCATCTCTGCATCCAAGTGCTGCACCGCCAGGCTGTCTCTTCTTGGCTTCGAGGCGCTCGCATGACGATGAGAGCGTGTGGTAGTGCCGGCAGAGGCGATGAGACTGTCGGCGGAAGGCAGTGAAATATTCTTATTCTTCTTCTGCGAGTGAGCTTGCTGTTGCTTGATTACACGGAAGACAGTTTCTCTCTGCGTAAGGAGCTTGTTGACTTGACGAAGAGTGTAATCGCCGGCGCGAATACCGTTGATGATGCTTGGACTCATCTATCGTGCCGACCACGTTAGTGCTGCCAGCTTCCCACGCACACGCAAATATGCTGCGCTGTGCGGCTCACTTCATTGTAGGGTCAAACATGCTCACCTCGAGGAACTCGGCGACTTGAGCCTTCGCATCTAAGTCGTCGCAGTCAACAGGCACCAATGGCTTGTCGATAATCTCCGGCAGAGGGTCTTCTAGGCCCAGCTGATGGTCTTGTCGGCACTGGTAAACCCAGCCGTACTGAGGGACCTTGTGGCATTCAGAGCATGCAAGGCCATAGACACGATCCATCTGCGACTCCAGTTAGCATCCATCTCCCCATCTCCCCAGATGGCAGGCTGTTGGTGTTTTGGCAGGTGCTTGCTTACAATCATGTGGGTGCATACTGTGCGGGATGGCGAGTGTGAGGTCTTCGAACGACGAGTCGCGTTCGGAGCCATGCCAGCGGTGGCTCGAGGTGCTGCCTGTTCGTTGGTCAATTTCTTGTGCTTGTGTCGCGCCATTGTGCTGGTGTTCTGAGAGGTTGTTGTGGTGGTTGGTGTTGTTGTTGTGGGTGGAGTGGAGATGGAAGTGAGCAAGCTGGAGCTCTGTGAATGGAGAGTTTGCTAGCTTCAGCACTTCGCGCGTCTATGGAGGTATGATCGGTTCGGGTCGTGAACAATATACACTATGCAGAACTGACCTTTTCGCGTGCAGCCATCATAATGAGACAGCTGTTGCGGATGTGGGAAGAATGAGCGTGAGCAGCGTCGGCCGTGTTCTCGGCAGGATTGCAACGGGTGCTTGTGGGTTCGTGTGTAGCAATGAGTCCCCCCAAAGGCGTTGGCTTGGAGACCTTTTCGACAGATGTGTGTGACTTTCACCACGTCAATCGAATAGGTACTGTCCTGTCCGTACACCTACGCATCACCGAGAAGGGAGAGACGCGATGGCGAAGACAATGGAAGCAGCTGCCAGACGAAGGGCGAGCGCTCTCGCTCTACCTATTACTCCCAGGAGTTACTACCTGACCTGGGGAGTAGGACACGTCCGGGCAGTGGTGAAGGGCGCATGGCAAGTAGGCACTGTCTGACCATCGATGGCTCTCTCTCGAAGATGAGGGACATGTACTCACTGGTCACTCCCTCGGGGACACATGTACAGCAGCAGCTCACACTCGACGGTGAAGGTGAAGGTGAAGGAGATGGGACTGGTGATGTTTGTGCCTTGTCTACCGCTTCCCATTCCTTATCGTCGCCGCCGTCGTCGTCGTCAAATCGCCAAATCGTCGTCCAGTCGTCAAACAGTCTTCAAATCGTCTTCAAATGGTAGTCAAATCGTGGTCGCGCGTGCGTTGCGTCAGTCGCCCCTCAACAGATCCCATTATCTGAAGTCAAGTCAGGTACGGTACGGTACCTGAGCTCCCTCCCCATCGCAATCGCAATCGCAGTCCGGCCTGCATGGCATCGCGTTCTCGCACACCAGGCCATGCGCAAGCTCTATATAAGGTACCTCCTTACAGCCAACACTCCCGAAGCTGCCCTGTCGAAATATATATACATATATATATATATATATATATATATATCGGTATATATAGCTGGGCCACGCCGCCAGCACGGGGGTCACCAACAACGACCGCGACCATGAGAGTGGATGATATGGACATGTCGACAAGTGAAGTGAAAATGCAATTTCGAACTATCGAGCGCCAATCTCCTGCAGCCGCCAGCGCATCGCGGGATCGCTCGACACCGGCCGGCCAGCTAGCCAGTCCCAGCCAGGTCCCCCCTGCTGCCTCGCAGCTCTCCTCGGCTGCCCACCAAAGTTGCACCAACCGTCTCGTTGCCGTGTCGGCGAGCTCCATCTACCGCCTCCGCGCAAACAGTCCGCCCCCGATCTGGTGTCTGCTCGGCCGATACCACTACCACTACTACTACTACTTTCTCCTACACTAATACTCCTGGCTTCCACACGACACTCCCTCTACACATCCTCGCTGCTCGCAACCACCCTCCACTTCCCATTCCTCTGGCGTTTCGGCGGGAAGTGACTTACACACACGAATTGTCCGCGTCGAATTCGAGTCGTAAACACGTCCCAGTCGCGTGCAGCGGCTACCGATAAGCCATGTCGCAAGTCAAGTTCGAGCAGAAGGAGTCGATCCGCACAACAACTGGCGGCAGGCCAGGACCGTCACCAGCTGCGGGCAAGGAAGATGTGGCCCACAAGATTGGCGATGCCCTCACGAAAGGCTCGGGCCCCAACGGATATCTTGCTGTGAGCAGAGACAGACACATGGCGCGGGCAGAAGAGCAAGCGCGCTAACACCCAACTCAGTGGTATCTGAAGAAGCTCCAGGATGACCCTCTGAAGACCAAGATGGTCACCTCGGGAGCCCTTTCTGGCGCGCAAGAGTTTCTCGCTTCGTGGATCGCAAAGGATCGCAGCAAGCACGGCCACTACTTCACCAGTCGCGTGCCCAAGATGGCCGTCTACGGTGCCTTCATCAGCGCACCTCTGGGCCACGTCATGATCTCGATCCTCCAGAAGCTGTTCGCCGGCAGGACGAGCTTGCGGGCCAAGATTCTGCAGATCCTCGTCTCCAACTTGATCGTATGCCCACCCACTCACTCCATCACAATGAAGGTGGCTGGAATGCCTGGTGCTGACTGAATGTCACAGATTGCTCCCATCCAGAATGCCGTGTACCTGACTTCCATGGCCGTCATCGCCGGCGCACGCACGTTCCATCAGATTCGTGCCACTGTAAAAGCTGGATTCATGCCTGTCATGAAGGTGTCGTGGATAACATCGCCCATTGCCTTGGCCTTTGCGCAAGCCTTCCTGCCCAACGAGGTCTGGGTGCCATTCTTTAACGTGGTGGGCTTCATCATTGGAACGTACATCAACGCGCACACCAAGAAGAAGAGACTACAAGCTTTGCGAAGGAAGTACCAGGACAGCAGTCGACCTAGCGATGGCAGAAGTGACTACCGACCAGGCGATCAAGGCCCTCCCGGCAGCTACTAGAGCAGATGAACGAACCCCGAGAACGCTTCGCTGATGGCGTCAAGCTCAGTATATATGCAAAGCGCAGCACCCGTCCTGCATGGACGACCGACTTGTAATGTGCGCCGCGTGTCTCGTTAGAACGAAAGGAGGTGCAGACGTACGTAGTCTAAGAAATTTGTTGACACCAGGAGCCGGCGCGACCACTCCTTCACGCTACATGGCCCGCGACCACACCTCCTCCTGCAGATGACAATGACATAACGGCAGGGAAATTGCAGCTCGATTGGGCAAGTCCCGTCAAATCTGATATCAATTCGTGTCTCATCCCACTTCTACGCGTCTGAGACTTCTACACGTCGAAACGGTGAGCAGGTTTGCTCCGCGCGTGGGGTGTACCTAGTACAGTGAGTAGTACAGCAGTACAGCATGAGAGTGCTGACCCTTCTCTGGCCTCTCCCACCTTTCTTCATGCAAGAGTGACGAACATGGTATATGCCACTATCCGCCGATGCGAGCGGCCAGCGGCATGGTCTCTATATCATGCAAAGCGCACACGCGCTTCATCTTCCGCCCATCAGACGACCATATTGGCCTGCCCGTGATCGAGGTGTCGGTGAGACTGTCGTCAAACGTCGAACACAAAAGGGCGGTCTGTTGGCAGAAAATTGATCGGATTATTATTCACTCTGCTGCCCGCGCGGACTCGAGAGAAGTCTCGGTCACACAGTTCCCCTAGTTGAACACTCGTAGTAGACAACAATCTTCACCTTTGAAGCTCCTGATGGCTGTGGTGCCTTGGTTTCCAGGATTCTCCAGCAATGTCACGACATTCCCAACACCTTACAACCAACCCTCAGTCATACATTCTGGAGGGATCCGTCGTCGCAGAATCCCCACATCATGCTTCACCAATCCGATGGGAAGCGGCGGAGTCGTGCGAAACATACACATTGAGCGTCATGAGCGCCCTAGCTATGGGGGAAGCCGGCTGTGGAGGGGCGGGAAGAGTGTCAACGCGATGGCGGACAAGAGTATAGAGGCCACTGGCGACTTTGGCTGGACTCTCGATTACGCGACTGCATGGCTCTACAGACATCTTACGAGCAGCATTCCAGATGTTGCAGACACGATTGATACTTTACGGGACTGTGGCGACGATGACTACTTGACTCCCGACTATGCCTATCTTTTCTTTGATATGCTCGATGCCAGGCTCTTTGCCGGAAAGCTCAAAAATGCAGTATATCTGCGCTGGAGATCGATGCCCAGCTGTATGCCAGGAATCACGTCAGCACCAAAAGTCATACCAGATGTGCCACGCGTCTGCATCGAGCTCAATCGTACGCCCTTTGAAGAGGAAGATGCGGAGCTTGACGACTTACTTGGCGCCATGATCCATCAGATGATCCACGCTTTCTTGTTGGTGTGCTGTGGGGCTCAAAAACGCGATGATACACCCGACGGGCGGCTAATGGATGGAGTCCACTTTGGCCTCATTTTGATGACCATTAGAGAGGCCACGAGATATTGCGTAGATGGCGCGTTGGACCTCGTCTTTCACGCGTCGAAACGAAGAAACGACGAAAATGACATGTATGGCGTGCCGCAGGTATTTCCGCGCCAGCCAGGATATCCTCCGGAAGACTCATTCATCTCGTTGGATCCCCGAGGCCACGGTCATGCGTCCATGCTCCACGACGGGCAGACACACTGCAACCACGACAATCGCCATATCAGCAAGCAATTGATCAAAAACTGGCAGGTTACGGAATACTCCAAAGCCCTCGAAGCGGACATGGCAGCCAAGGGAGAGAAAATCTGGGACTTTGTAGATGGCAATACTTTTGAAGAGTTTGACAGAATATCTGCGCCGCCGTCGGTAACATATATCGAACTGGTGTATGATGATTTGACGACAGCAGACCCCAAGCGAATCATGGCAAATCGAGCAAAAGCACTCAAATTCAAAAGCCTCGAAGAGCCTCTGACTGAGTACTCCAAATTCGAGCTTCTGATTCCCGAATGCGATATTCAGACCTTTCGATGCATTTACGACTTCATCAACAAAGACGGATATCTCGCCACGCCCACCGATCAAGCAGTCCAGTTCCCCGTCACCCACGGCCGGGGCCCACCTGTCCTCTATCATGGACAACAACACGGGATGACCCCACTACCCCTCCCCATTCTGGCCGCAACCAAAGACGAGAGCGCCATCACGCACATCAAAGTGTTCAAAGCAGCCGAGAAGATGAAATTCGAAGAACTCATGTCCCGTGCCCTGGAGCAACTCTATCTCATCCCCCTCACCACCGAAGATCCCATTGCTCTCCTCAAACAACTCTATAATCTTGAACCTCCCTCGACTAATCCCATTCACTCTGAACTCCATCGCTGGGCGAGACGATTCCTCATTCGTTTGGAAGAAGAAGAAGAAGAAGAAGATCATCGAAGACCCGACGACGAGTACATGACGCGCGTGAATGCTTTACACGCAATCACTCCTCATCACTTTCACACGCCGCTGCTACCGCCGCACGTACGCACAAGAAGTAGGAGTAGAAGTATGAGTAGGAGTAGTTCTTTTCGTCCGAATATGCTCAAAATCCAAACTTGGTATCCTCATCAATGGAGAGAATTACTCCAAATCAGTAGACCTTTTCGCGATGATGTGGAGCTTGCGAGGGGACAATTGTATTATTTGGGAAGGCCGGAAAATCTTCATTCTCATTCTCATCCTCATTCTCATCATCTTGGTGGTCGGGTGCAACTTGCAAGGGAGCGGCAACAGCAATTGTTACTCGAGGCTGGACACGGTTTAGCCGCGCAAGGTAGTAGTACATTGAGGAGAATTTTGCCTTTGGGAATTGGAGTGGCTGGAGGTGGAGGGGATATTTCCAGTCTTCTTGGACCTGGAATCGGATTTATGGATTCTGTGGGATTGCGTCGTGGTGGTCTTGGCGATGATAATGATGGGTTTTTTGGTGATGAGATTGAGAATATCTTGGGTCGTCGGGAGGACTACTCGTTGGGAGATTTGGGGTTTGGAGGCTTCATGTCTTCTCATCCGGCGTTTATGGCGTTGGGGGGTTCGAGGTCGGTTTCTCCTCTTCCTCCTCCTCTTGGTGGTGGTGGGGTCGGGGGGTTTGGGTGGGGGGTTTGATTACCTACCAGACTGTCATAAGAATGAGGAATTGTACTGTAACTGAGGTGTGGCATTGCTCTACTGTTCACTACGTACAAGAGTAACATCATCATTAAGGTAGGTATGTTTAAGTCGTAAGCTGGAACCTCGCTCGTTGTGAAGTGAAGTGCGCAAGCTTCTTCATATGACAGTGCCAAGAGTGCTCTTTAAGCAGTCATCAATGAAGATCAACATCAGCTACTACATCTACATTACGGTACTTACATGTACATGATCAACTTCCTACATCTACAAAGGCCACTATAATACTCTATTCAGCATATCCCAACAAATTGAAAATTTCAAGCAGACTCAAAGAAGCGTTGCAAAGTATCTCCAATAGCAGCGATGAGCATCTCCCGGTCACGAAGCACCTGCTCCACCCGCTCATTGGACAAATCATACTCGTACTTCCGAGCAATGTTATCCGAAATAATGTGCAAGTACCCAAAGCCAGTACCGCCTGCATTGGATGCGAGCGCCATGTGACCTATCTCTGGATCGACAAAATCGAAAATTCCCATTCGCGCCTCGAGCCACTGCTTGGTCTCGTCTAATACCGAAGGAAGAGAATAGTGAGCTCCGTGTATCACAAGATCGGGACGTGCAATATGCTTCTCGAGCACATTTCCCCAAGTGACTTGGGCGCCATTGACGAGGCTGGTGCAGCCCGTGGCGAGGAACTTGTTTGGGGGAATTTCTGGAAGCAGGGTGCCTAGTTTCCCGATGTAGAGGACTGTCTTGGTCTGGTTGAGTTGCTGTAAGGCTCGAACTACATTTCCAGCAATGTCTCCCCAAAAGCTGACTCGACAACCCAGAAAGGCAACTGTAGTCCCGTCGGGAGCGTGGTACTTTTGCCAGGCGAAAAGTTGGTCACTACCACCGCCGACCCATTTACCAGAAGTCACGTAGCGTTCTAGGCCATGGACGTACCCCAGGACTACGGTGTCGACATTACCCATGGCGCGCAAATTGGATTCGAGGAGGGGGGTCATACACTCATCTTGAGAAGGCAGTGTGTAAGTGACGATGGATGGGTCTTGTCCTTGCAGATCGAGATAGGTCGCAATGATCGCAGCGTAGTGCTGGACATAGCCTGGACCAGGAAAACACATCAGCGTGAGACTACCGTCCCCATGATCAATCGCCGTGGGGCGCTGCCAGTTGAAGGGTTTATCGTTCTTCTCTACTGATGCTGTCCGTGTTGGAGGAAGTCTGCTATGCTTGCCAATGACATGAATGGATCTGTAGACGTTTTGCTGAATATCGCAATGCACCTTCATCTGGAGGTACTTGTGCAGAGAAGCGCCCATCGTGTGGGTCTCGACTGAGGCTATAGTTGGCCGCTTTTCATGCTTGAGTGTCTCTTCGCAGCGGATAGAGGACATTTGGATCGTGGGGTTTTCTGCCTGGGCGTTCCGACTTGGTAGGGTGCGATGCAAATATTGGACTGTAGCTAGATGTACTCAAATATTACTCTCCTATTAGTCGCGGTGAATGAAGATGCAAGCACAGATGCTCTATTCAATGGCGCGCAGCACAAACTGATACGTCTTCCATGTGCTGCAAGGCTGCCTGTGTATGAGTGCATACCTAGGGATGGCGGAAAACATCATTCTTGCAATGGTCTCTGTCACATGTGAAGAAGTCCTGTGCTTTAATGAGTGCTTACTGTGTACAATAATAGTTAACACACGAACACTGCTGTAGCCTGTGAAGTATAGCTATTAGTTCAATGTTCTTCATGGAAGTTCCTGCAAGAATAACCAGAACCTTCCCAGAACAATTTCCCCCTCCACCTCACGCACAGACCGTTTCCATCTTCCACCACCACCACCACCAACAACAACAACAATCATTTGTCCATCTCAGCCCGCGCAACAATGATTCTCCCCGGCAAAACTGCCATCTCTCGTGGCATCATCCTCAACCTCACAAACCCCACCCTCCAAATCCAACCCTGCGGCATCGACCTCAGTCTCCGCAAAATATTTTCCTGGACATCAGCCGGCACCGTCGATTTCAGCAATCAATTTCGCGCGGGAAGTAGAAAAGAGCAGCTCGAATTCACCGGAACCAGAACCAGCAGCACCAGCAGCAGCAGCAGCCCCAAGACCAAATCTATCCACCTCAGCGCGGGAAATTACATGGTGGAATTCCACGAAGAGGTGAATATGCCCTTGGATATTATGGGTCAGATTTTTGTGCGGAGTTCACTGTGGAGGATGGGAGCGCTTTTGAGTGCTGGAGTGGTAAGTTGTTTTTTTTTGTTTTCAAAAAGAAAAAAAAATCCACACCTTCTTTCTTTCATCTTTCTTCCCCCCCCTCCCCAATTGTGGGGTTGACACATGACCTAACATTTGGTCTTTCTTCCCCCCAAAACAACATCAGATGGATAGTGGATATCAAGGCGCTGTAGGCGGATTACTACAAGTCCTCAATCCTCATGGAATTGTTTTACATGAACATGCGAGATTGGCGCAAATGGTGTTTCATGTCATGGCGGAAAAGGTCGAAGGAGGGGGATATAGTGGGGTGTATCAGGGTGCGAAGGGGCTTTAGAAGAAGAAGGAGAACTGGTCATCAGCTACGCGCGGCGGCCGACGGGGAAAAGTAAGGGGATCCAGTTTGTGAATAGAAGGTGGTAATCGGGACTAAGGTAGGAGGTAAGAGGTACCTTACCTTACCTAGGTACATTATGAAGTGAAGTCAAGTATGAAACAAGGCTACAAGGAAGACATCTGTGATCTCGTAAAAGCTAGGCAAAAATGCGCGATGGGACATGGGCAAGTTATTGGACTTTCCGGGGTAGAGATCTAGCACTGCTCCGTTACTAACTAAAAGAGTACTTGCACTGCGATTGGCTAGGTAGCTGGCTGACGAGAGACAACACTTGTCAAGAAAAAAGGAGTGGAGAGACTAGAGAGGACCTCATTCATACCTTAGCTCCGTATACTTTTCGGCGATAACAAGAACAAGAGACAGAAAATACCGAGAAACCCTGCTTTCTTGCTTACTAGGTGACTTTTGCTTTTTGTTGCTGGGTGTGGGATATACACTAGCTATACAGTCACTGTAGAACTGGTTCTTTTTACGTAAATAAAAAAAGATTGTTCTAAAAATCTAGAAAAAAAAAGAGAAAATCATCATCAATCATTATCTTCATCTTCACCACCCGTAGGTCTCGGTGAACAAGTATATGCCCTGTGCGCCTGTGCCCTTATGTACTGCTCGTTCGTCCGAGAGAGAAGCCACGAATGTTCGGCTTTCGGCTGTGATGGATACGCCTCCGCAGACAATCACTGCTGTTTCGCCACGTGCGCCCTCCACTGCTGGTCTGATCATGCTTTCTACTGTCGGCCGGCTGGGGACGATAATTAACGACGTCGAGGGGCTATGTCGCGTTGCGATACGCGGCGTCAGAGGCGATTTTTCGTCTTTCTCGACTGAAGGCACACTGGATAGACTGTTGCCTTCTGATGATGACGATCCTGCTTCTCTCACCGTAGTACTGCTCCGTGCCTTCTGAGAAGAAGAAGAAGCAGCAGCAGTCATACGCGTGGACTGGGTGACGTGTACAACGATTTGTATGCGAGTCCTTCTTTCCAACACTTGCTCCAAGATGGCCCGAAGTTGCTCTTCGAACCACACCAGATGTTGTTCGGACCGAATGATCCAGTGAAGTGTGACGTGTCGTAGGCAGCTTTCGCGCCGAAGTACATCTTGTAGTAAAGGCACGATAAATGTCGCGCCGGTGGAGCACGCGATAAAGACTGCGGTCTCATAGTGTGATACATTGGGCGGTGTGCCCCAAGGACCGCTGATGAAGGCTCGACGCCTCCAAGACCTTTGGACACCTTTGGCCGCAGACTTGTGCAGACTTCTGGAGAAGCCTGACCGGGCTTGAATGATCATGCTCAGTTGCCCGTTTCCAGACGTGCTCGAGATGGTGAAAGGATGGAACTCGAGAGGGCGCAGCCCAGGCATGTAGAGATAGATATGCTGTCCCGCTTGCCACGTAAAGTCCACGTTCTCGATTGTCAGGCGTGCAACATCGCCAGGAAGGGCTTCGAGATGGGTGTCGTAGCCTGCTATCCTGCTATCCGATCGCGCGAGCAGATGCATGTTTCGCGCAATGCCCCATATGATCCTCACACCCCAGTCGAATGCCACGAATGCGACCGATATCCATATGTTGTACTGTGCGTACGATGGCACGTGGACGAACAGCAGCCACAACAGCGTACCAGCTGCTGCAATATGCTGCAAAACGAAGAGCTCATAGCAGAGATCGCGGAAGAAGCCAAACCCAGACAGCAACATCCAGGTAACCAGACCCCATGCTCCGAAGCCGTACTTCACCATAGGCATCATGTTCATCTGCATGGTGACAATATTGGCAAGACTCCATTCCGTGTAGAAGAAGGACCAGTGCACGATTGCACTCAGCCACATGGTCCTTGCCGCCCATCTGTGCAGCCAGTTGAAGCGCTCGTAGGAGATGCCGGTGAGGATACTGATCGGGTTGAATTTGCACGAGAGCAAATATACAAAGGGTACTTGGGTCACCGAGACCCAGGCCGCTCTGAATCCAACCTTTTCCCATTTATAGGCGTACATGGGGTCTCCTTTTCGCAAGATCGTGTCCTGCCATAGAAAACACAGTATGACGATCCAGTAAAAGATCAACAGTAGCCATCGACCAAGCGGCAGCGGCGTGAAGTACTTGCTGATTCGGCCCGTAAAATAGAATGGCTGCGGATATAACATTTCCCGAGCGAGAGCTGTCGTCGTCGCATATGTCTGTGAGATCGCTCCTGTCGGTCGCGAAGGAACGACATTGTCGGGATTCCGTCGGTGCTGTTTGAGTCGCTGTCTGGCTTGCAATATGGAAACCACCTTGGTCAGCGTCAGCAGTCCTACGCATCCTGCGACCCCGTACCAGAATGCTCGAGCATAGGTCTTGTCCGAGGGCGTGAAGATGCCGCCGCTCATGGTCATTCCGCTCATATCATGGCTGCCGTGGCTCATCCCGCTCATAGACATGATGGCGATAGCAGATCCGCTCACGTCCCAACAGTACCAGGTAGTATAGATGCGATCAAGATGTACTGGCTTGTGCTCTGCTCTGCTCTCCGATAAGTTTCACTTTCACCCAAATATAATGCAGGAGTCCTAGAGTCCTAGACCTGGACAGAGAGAGAGAGAGAGAGAGAGAGAGAGAGAGAGTGAGAGACGGCGAGCAAGGATACCTGTGCTTGGTCAGCGGGTTTCTGGAAATCCTGGCAAGGTATCGGGAAATTGGGTTCGTAGGGGACTCTGGTCCTGGCCGATGCTCGCTGTGAAGCCTGTGATAGTACCTTGTGCGACAGTGGGCGCAGGGCAGCAGCAATATTGCGTGGTCTTGGTGCAATCAACAGTACAGCAGCAGACGACGCGTGATACGAGTGCGATGAGTGCGTTCGAGGCAGTTTTGTCTTCCAAGAAGAGCCTCCGTCCGAGGTGGCTGCATTAACTTGCTCAGTCCTTACCTAATGTGCACATCTTGTGCTGCCAAGCATCGGAGACGAGGCTAGGCATGGTTCTAGGCTTGGGGGAAATGGGTAAAACAGCCAATGAACATGGTTCTTATTGGTCGTTGCCGGTGCGGTGAAGCACGGGATACAGTGATGTGAGTGGTATTCCACGTGGGGAATCTGGAAGGTCTGCTTACCCTGGAATCATACAAAGTTCCACGAAGTTCCTGCTAAAGAAGTAAGGTATCAGCAAGCCTGCCCCAGATCTCACTGCTCACTCTCGTTTCTCACGCCTCACGCCTTTCACCATCGCCGCATCTTCCGCAACAAGCCTCTCTTCACCATGGTTCGCTCACTACTCTTCGGCCTTGTTGCCGCCACACTTACATCGGCTCACTTCACGCTGAACTGGCCGGCCACCGCTGGTTTCGACGATGACAACCAGCCAATGGCGCCCTGCGGAGGTGTTGGCGTCACGGTCACGGATGACAGCCAGGAGATCACGGTCGATCGCTTTCCAGTGGCCATCTTCTCATCCCATCCTGCAGCATCATGGGCTTTCTTTGCAACCACCAACACCCAGGAGCCATACAACTGGACTGAGATCGTCCCCGTCATCAACTCTACAGGCATTGGATCATTCTGCTTGACCTACCTCCGCGCTCCTGCAGAGTTTGCGGGACAGAACGGTATCATCCAGGTCATCGACTACTCCGCGGATGGCACTCTATACCAGGTAAGTCGCAGGATGGGGCAGCGAGGGAGGGTCATGCGGTGCTAATCCTCTCCAGTGTGCTCCTGTCAACTTCGTCTCCGGCAGCAACAACACTGTCAACAGCGAGTTTTGCACGAATCAGACCTCTGGCTTCGAGGCCACATGGACCGACATGACCAGCGCCAGTGTCGCGCCATCCGACAACGCTTCTTCCACCTCTACCGAAGAACATCCCGCCGGACACTCGGACATGCCATCGTCGACGTCGAGTGCTGGGGCTGCTGCGGCCACGGCCATGGGTAGCGTGCTTGGTCTTGGGCTGCTCGCGGCAGGTTTGGCCCTGTAGTTCTACTGTTAGCACAAGTGACGGGCGAGAGGACGAGCTTGAGTTGTGGGAGATGGAACATCCAAAAGCACGAGCAGTTGTCATACCTTCCATAGCGCCATGTCATTGTATCAGTTCATCCGAGATCCGATAGAGCGTTTGTTTCGTGATGCAGAGATTCTTTCTCTCGTGCAAAGCTTCCAACTGGGTGCTACTCGCCAGACCTTGGCAGGGTTCTTAGCCTCTCGCTTATAGCCGCGTCGACGTGTGTGTTTCGCGACTCTCGACGGGAAGTGGAACACCACAAAATAATCGCGAACTTCCATCTCTGCCTTCCCGGAGGATGCCACCACTCCACGACAACATAGCGATTCTGCTGCCGCACCCATGGACGACCCCATGTCGCGCGGTATGCCCTTCGAGGTCGGCGAGGATCTGTGGCGAGAGTCCGTCTTCTTCAACCAGAGCACAGAGAACAGCATCTTCGGGGCCTTGGAGTCCCACTTGGGCACTCTGGAGCCGCTGAAGGACGACTCCGGCCACTTCGACCTCTGCGTGGACCTGCCCGAGATAGACGACCACTACACTGCGCTTGAGCCGCCGCCGGTGAATGAAAATGACAATCATGTAGAGAGGCCGCCCCCATCACAGTCCGCCGATGCCGATTGCTGGGATGTACATTTCGATCAGAGCACAGAAGCATGCACTCCAGCACTCTGCTCATGGGAAAAGTTCACGGGGTTATATGAGGATGGTGCGGAGCGGACGAGATACCTCTCGGAGGAAGGGCCTCTGGTGTTCGATGCCGCTCTCAGAAGTATGGAGAAGAGCACAGGCATGGACATAGGTGTTCTGCCGCACGAGTTTACTCTCAAGGCCTTAGGCTCTCTGGCTCTTGGACGCTCATCGAGCCTGTTTGAGTGGGACAGCTCCGAGGGCAAGTTCAAGATAACACTCGAAGGTGCGACCATCACAGGCACAAGCCTGTTGTGCTCAAGTAGCCTCGTCGAGGAAGTGGCACATGTGGGCAGCATGACCATGCGACTTCGGAGCTTTGTAGATTCGTCCCGCGCTTCGAAAACCTGTCCGGCAGCGATGGCGCTTCGCTCGTGTGTGGCACGTGTCGTGGACACCGTGGAAGAGAGGATTTCGGGATGTCTTGGTGCTGTCAAATCCCCATTGCAACTACTGCAGCTGGTGGCACAACCTGGAAATTTGTTGAAGCTCCTGATCACGATATGCGATAGAACGATGACTTTGCGCACTGACGAGACCATCATCGCAGGACTTTCCGATCTTGTCTATGAGCTAGCTGAGAGTGAAACACGCTTCTGTGTGATTCTTCAGACACTCTTGGCTCGAGTCTCCATGCCCTGGCTGGAGATGTTGTCTGCTGATCTCGGGCTACGAGCTACGGGAGAAAGGCAAACTCTCGAGACCGCACCTGGAATATCAGCTGATGAGCATGCATTCCTCGATGTGAACGACGACCATCTTGTGCGGGCAACGAAGCATGCTGTTGCCGTTCTACGCGAGCAGTCTCCTAACCACCCATTAGTGACGCACGACAAAACTAGCGCGGCGACACGTTTCGCTGATCTCAGTGTTGATATTGCGCGTGCGCATGAGGTCGCGAAGCAGTATGAGCTACAGATGACTCGAACCATACTCGGGACCAGCTCTATACAAGCCGCTCCAACGGCCACTGTCAACTCATCGCTCGATGGCACTTGGTTCAGTGACCCATTCCAGGGTGATCACATTGCAGGACTGGTGACTCAGATGTCTCTTGATCCTAGATCTTCGGATCCAGGGGAGTCTGATAGACTCCGCCACGACGCGATGCATGCCCTGACTACGGAGGACGAACCGACTACACTGCAGGCGTTAGGGAGATCTGTGGAATACTCGCCCATCGCAAATCTGAGACCACTCGTGCGCGTGCAGCATAAACTGGTGAACGGTGTACTTGTGCGACAGCTTCTACGAAAGCATGATCTGCGTCTACACCTAGAACGTCAAAGGTCTTTTCAACTTTTGGGCAATGGAACATTCGTAGCTCGTCTGTCTAGGGCCTTGTTTGACAAAGAGATACAATCGGCTGAGCGCAAACGTGGTGTAGTGCCTACAGCTGATGAGATGGGGTTGCGAGTAGGAGCCACTAAAGACCAAAGGTGGCCTCCTGCTTCATCTGAGCTTCAATTGACACTGATGGGGCTATTGGCGGAGGACACCAACCATGGAGCCAGCCCTCAGACAGATCCTACTGTTCGGCAATCACATCTCAGCTTCGCTATACGAGAGCTGCCAGAGGAAGAAATCGAGCGCGTCCTCGACCCGCATTCGATTCATGCTCTCGATTTCCTGAAGATTGATTATACCACACATGCTCCTCTGGATGCTGTCATCACACCTTCCTCGCTCTCACAGTACGATGGCGTCTTTCGTTACCTATTGAAGCTGCTTCGATTGCTGCACGTCACTGCGTCCTTCCCGAGGACAGTGCCGGGTAGTCGCTGTGAATCAGCACCTTGTTCCACCCTCGCCTTCGCCCAGCGCGCTCGAGACTTCATCGTTGTGCTGGTGGGACACGTCATGAGCATTGGCATCAACGCTCCATGGCAGACGTTCAATGCCGCTCTGCACTCACTGGAGCAAGATCTGAGTGCCGAGGACGAGAGGAGCGAATTTGGTTCGCGAGCCACAATCGGGGTGGAAAGTCTGCGGCAACTGCATGAGTCCTGCCTGGATCGAATACGCACGCGATTGTTCCTGAAGAGGAAACAGGAAAAACTTCGCGCTGGAGTGGAGGATGTCCTCATCAGCATTCTCCAGTGTGCAACGACTATGCAGTCTGAGGGCACGGCTCTGGTAAGAGCGGACGACCTTCAGAACTTCCACGCCAAACTATCACACTTTCTCAAGCTCCTCGCGGATGCAGTAGAAAAGCCCCCCAAGACGGTCTCTGCTGTAGATGCCGAAGATCTGGATATGGTGCGCATACTACTGGCGAGGCTCGACTGGAATGGCTACTATACTGCCCAAGGAAAATAGGGCGCAGCCACGCCCACGAACTCCAGACCTGGAGTCATACATCCGATGATATTCTCAACACGATAAGCAACTACATATACCACTTTCAATCCACCCTTTTTTTCCTCGATCATCTCGAAAACAAAATCAGCCAGAATACCCCCTTTTGGGTTACGGGTCGATGACGAGACAGGGACGAGCATTGGAGTACTGTGCTGTACTGTGGATGGCAATGAAGAATGAATGATCGGCCGACACAAAAACCCATGTCGACAAGATCGCCAGCTAGTGGAAGTTCTTCGGATACGTGCCGTGTGTACCACCTAGGTACGACGTGGGAAGGTTGTGAGGTGAAGCGGAACCGAGATCCGTTTTGTATGTACATAGATAGTATGTACGTACATGTACCTACCTGTTACATACCTACATACCTACAGTACGTCCTCTTTCCGCAAATTTCGTAATCAGGAGGTGTGGTGTGGGAACTCTGCTGATCACCTGTGAATTAGGGAGTCCCGGAAAGGGGGTATAGTCGAGTACGTGTTCAGGTACAGGTAACTGGAAGAGCTGCATGCAGCAGGGCAAGCCGTTCGAGCTTGGACTCTTGGTTACCTAAGAATACTGGCATTGTACATGGCATGCCTCGAGATGGTAGTAACCTCAAGTAGGTAGGCTGGGTATGATCTGTACAGTGCACAATTGCCTCCACCTCCTGACTGCCACATCCCTCTCCCTCTCTCCTCTCCCTCTCTCTCATGAGCCTCATCTATCGCGCGCTAGCCTTCTCCGCTTCAATCTGACCCTTCAGATCCTGCAGTACCTGCTCCCGTTTCCGAAGATGAGCCTCCAGACCATCGACTTGCTCCTTCACCATGGCGATTTCATCATTAAACGACTTCAGACTCTGCCCTGTCTTCGCCTTGCCCTCGCCATTCTCGAGATCGCGCAGCTCCCTTCTCTTGTAGTCCAACAGTTGCTCCAACTCCCTCTTCACGAGCGCCGGCTTGGAGTCTTCCCGCCGCCCACCTCGGGATCGCCGCTTTTGTGCTTGCTCTTCCACGCGCGCCATCTTCTCTTCGAGCTCTTTGAGCTGCTTCTTGAGCCGCACTTCCTCCCAGTCTGCATCCCTTGGCGTGTTTCCAAAATCTGTGCCCTTCGGTTTGCGGTCTCCCACACCCAGTCTCGACAGATAGGTGTCTCCAAACTTGGCTTTCTTGCCCGTCAAAGTGTCATCGCGCTTATTCGTTCCCCACCGGTCCGCAGCAGATTGTACGCGATCAATGTTATACTCTATTCTCCCCTGCTCGAATGTCGCTCGCAGAGAAGGAGGTACCGATCGCGGTATTCTGTAGCCTTCGTGCCGGTTGTTCAAGATGTGCAGAAATGCCAGACAAGCGTCTTTGTTGATCCCTTCCTCACTTTTCGGATTGACCAGATTCCAAGCACTTCGAACATCTGTATCGGGCACATCCAAGCTTTCGTACAGCTCGCCCAACGACTCGAAGCGTATCAGACCCGAGCGCGTATCCCGGCTGGAGGTGTATATATCTTCGTACTTGCTCCTCTCGTTCGGTGGCATATACCAGTCAAACCCGTCCTTGAGCCCCTCATTGCCCTCATCATCATAGTCCGGCCGCTCCCAGCTCTCACCTCCTGTCCGGACAGCTCGTGTGGCTTGCACGAGATGCGCCTTGCTTTCTGGGACCAGCCAGTCGGGCAATGTTTGCGGCACGTCCATGTATTCCCCATTCATAATATCATATATCAAGCGCATCGCCACGCAAAACTCCTCAAAGTCCAGCCTGCCATCATTGTCGACATCTGCCAGGTCCCAGATGCGCTCGAGTTTCTGTTCGGGGAGTTGCGAGTTCTTGAGCACTGACGCGGCCTGGGTGCCGTCGAGGTGAGATGAGCCGCCGGAGAGGGAGGCGAAGATCTCCCAGTAGCGGTCGATTTCCCATTGTTCAATTCGTTTTTCGGGCATTGTGGTGGGAGGAGACGGATTGGGAGTGGGTTCTCAAGGGTGGATGCGGTGTGGTTGGTGTATGTAGTCCAGCTGGAGCTTGCATCAGGCACGGAAGGTCGGGACATTCATCTGACGCAACGCCAAGCAATATGTACTTTGGCTTCGTTCCTTGTCTCAGCCCTTTTCTATTTATTTCTCTCTCCATAGTCTTGCCGCACGACCTGTACATATCGTACTCATTCGCACCATATGATGACCTGGGGATATACGCTTATCCGAGCGTATCGACGTTGCGTTGGACTGCAGCCGTTTGCTGCCGAACTGATCACCGTTGGGAGATACCTGTACCATGGCAACAAACCCATATCTGCTCAATCGTATCACCAAGCAGAGCACTCTGCGTGAGTGACCATGCTCCCTTTCACCAACGAGCTGCTCATCGGCGTGCATATATTGATGGCGTTGACATATTCATCATATTGACTAAGGCATTGAAATATGTCAATCCGCTCTACTTTTCCCGAATCGACCTCTTACAAGCATGAACAGTCCCTCGCCTCCAATATGGCCTCAGCTGGAAAGACGGTAGCGATAGACCAACAATTAGCTCGCCTTATTTGCAGCAGTAATATCTCGGCTTGTGCCTAATAGCCTGACAATAGCACTTCCCACGCTGATCGTACGCATCCCCGGAAGCACTCCTTTCTATCGCTGTATGCTAGAGCAGTCCAACTACACAAAAAAGCACGAATCTGCTTTCTATGGAATGCTCGAAATCTTCGAATGCTGTCATACTGGTCAAGTCCCTGCACTCGTTTGAAGCATGACCAGATGCTGCGAGATTATGGCCGCATGCAGGCCACAAGAAACTACGCCAGCGCCTGGCTCGCCCTCCTTCTCTCGATAACTTGGAAAGGGAAGAACCGGGGTTCTCCACAAGTGCTCTGCTCAGACGGATTCTCGAAGTACTGAAGTTATCTGGAAAGAGAAGACCTTCGATCTTCCTCGGTCGCTTCGGAGCGCATAGCGACCATCTATACTTTACTCCGATCATGCCTCTGCAAGGCGGCTGGGTAGGAAAGACACACTTGGGGCTTTTTCGCTGTGCAAGAAGAACATTCGGGCACGTTGTCTGCTGATGGGAAGTATATCCCTCGGAGTGGACAGAGCTTATGCGCCGCAAAGAATGATCAGTCCCTGGATTCAGCTGGTAGCAAAAAAGGGAGAGTTTCTCCTTTCTACCGCGACCCTCTTAGTAGCTTCCTGCCTTGCTCCTGTGAAGTTCGAGCAGCGAAACGTAAGAATAGGGCTTCGCAACTGAAATCCGGATTTGCTGCTCATCCCGTCAGCATGGAACACGCATGCTTTCCCCGCTGACAACTACCTAGCTGACGAGGGAAATTCTCTCTTTATTTTTCTCTCCCCAGTTATGCAGTAATAACTCAAAAGTCGACCAACATGCCTCATGAATATTGGCAGGCATCGTGAGAGACGATACAATACAAGAAGTAGTACTCTGTTGTAGACAAGAAGTTTTAACACAGAAACCTTTTCCCCAGAACAACAAACTTCTGCCACCTCGCCCTTGTCCACCTCCACCACATACAACCAACATGAGTAAGATCATGAGTGAGAGTCCATGACACGCCTAAAACGCCATATCCTTCGTCTGTCATAGTCTCACCGGGCATACTACGGCATCATGATCAGAGAGAAGCGTAAAACATCCGTCCGCTCAAAGCCTCAAACAGTCCGGAAGGGACATTCCTTGTAATAAACTCACCAACATGAACGACGTGTTGAATGATGAAACTGCCCAGCAGCAACTACATCTGTACATACATACAAGTACATACAACCTCCCTAATAAAGACCCACCTAGGTAAGGTAGAATCCAACCTCTTCTCCGCATCTCACCCACGTGCTGCAGTCAGCTTAGCTGCAGGCTGCTCAGCTGTAATAAATAAATCATAATAAGCGCCGTATACATATAGGAGACACGATGATCTGGTTCTCGGAAATCCCCAGCGCGGTTCTGTCTGGGATACTCCTCCACTCTTCACATGCGTTTACAAGGATTCCCTTGGAGGAACTTCAGACTTCTGAATTCCTTGCCTTTACTATGATACCTATCTGGTATTTTAGCATGTTGTTTTTTTGGAGTATTGTACAGATGGGTTTCGAGGGGAGAGATGCTGGCGTTGTTGTGCGGAGAGAGAGAGAACAGAGAGTAATATGACTTGGTGCAGCAGACCTATGTAGCGGGTGATGCTTCGTTGTTTGGAAGATGGTTAATCAATGGGCTGACGGGTGGATGTCGTTGATGCTGTTTCGCGATATTTTGATGGATATGCTACAGTCTCGAGGATTCAAAGGAAAATGCCTCTTCTGTGTGAGAAGGGATGGAATGTTCCGCCTATTATTTGTTCTCATCGTGCTTTCGCATGAGAATGTCCAAATGCAGGAATATGTCGACAATAGATCGCGTGGTTTTCATGGGCTCTCTTTAAGATCTACCTTAACGACTCGAAGAGCGAGTGGAACATGTTATTCGCCAAAGCTGTTGAGTGTTTTCCTAAGGGATGGAGGAGATTAGTTCTTCTCTCCTTTGCTGCTTTCGAAAACTCCGTCGAGGATTGAACCCCGTAGCTGTATCATCTCCAGGCATGTACGGCAGAACATGTTTGCCGTCTTGTAACGTTTCTCCAGCTCGTATTCAAAATCCGGGAGTAGAGTAGTCTGCAGTAAATGTGTTGGCTGAGTCGTCAGCCGAAAAGTTGGTAAAAAGAGTGAGTACTCGAGTCTCTACGTACGAGAAAAAGTCGTAGCAGGGGTAGAGAACGTATGTTACCGGAAGACAGGCATGGAGGTTGATATAGACTTTCGCATCGGTTTGCTCTCCAGTGCCACGTGCTCGGAGTCGTCGATGCTACAGGCTAATGGCTAATATAGCCCTGTTCGAGGCCATGCCACCGGCAAAATTACCTGGAATAGGTATGGATGCAGAGAGATCGACCTCGCCTCAATGGAAGAGTAGTACAATGATATAGTATCACCACATGTGGCCACATGTGAGAGTAGTCACTCGACGTGCTACACTATTGCATCCGAATCATCGATCCCCATATACCGCGGAAGCCAGCATTTTCACCTCACTTGTCGCCCGCGAGAAGAATGGTTTCCAAAGGAGATGATGTAGCGACGATATCGGACGTCGATGTCGAGCACACTGAGCGGCTTCCCGATGCTGCGGAAGCCAACGCCCAAGAACACGAGTTGACCTTCTGGCAAGGCATCAAACTGTATCCCAAAGCAGTCTTCTGGAGTCTCGCAATGTCCACGGTCATCATCATGGAGGGCTTTGACAATAAGCTCCTGCCAACATTGTACGCTCTGCCCGTCTTCCGCGAACAATTCGGTCACATGAATAGTCACAAGAAGTATGAAATCTCCGCCCCGTGGCAATCAGGTCTCGGCAATGGAGCTTCCATCGGTCAACTTGCGGGACTCCTCATCGGTGGACATCTGATTGAACGATATGGTTTCCGTAAAATGATGCTTGCGGGACAAACGGCCATTGTTGGTTGCATCTTCATTCAGTTCTTTGCCAAAAGCCTCCCCGTTCTTCTGGTTGCCCAGATCGTCTTCGGTGAGTTCGCTCTCCGCTCCGTCTGAGATGGGTGTTGTTGGCGATATTATCTGTCTTGCTGATCGATAGTGAAGGCATCCCGCTCGGCATCTTCCAAGCATCAGCAGTGGTGTACGCATTGGAATTGGGGCCCTTATGTCTTCGGGCATACTTGACCAACTATATTCACCTCTGTTGGGCACTTGGTCAACTCCTGGCCGTCGGCAGCGTTCGAGGGCTGCTGAAGAGAGGAGATGAGTGGTCCTATCGGATCCCCTTTGCCATGCAATGGATGTGGCCCACTCTCCTCATCCCGCTGACCTATTTTGCACCGGAATCGCCTTGGTGGCATGCACGTCGCGGTCAGCCTGCACAAGCCAAAGCCAATCTCAAGCGATTGGTATCTCCCAAAAACACCGAATTTGATTTTGACAAGCATGTCGCCCTGATGGTATTGACGACCCGACACGAGCTCGAGATCGAGTCTGGCACCAGTTACCGGACGTGCTTCCAGGGAACCAACCTGCGTCGAACCATCATTGTCATGATGATCTATTGCGTTCAGACACTGAATGGCAACCCTTTGCGAGGCTTTTCCACCTATTTCTTCCAGAAGGCAGGACTACAGACGACCCAGTCGTTCAACATGAGTATTATCCAGTTCGCAGTCGCAATCCTGGGTGGTATTACCTCGGTAAGTAAAACCCAGACCTGATGACTGTGATGGGTCAAGTGTGGCTGATGACAATGTTCACTTGCAGTGGCCTCTGCTCCCCTTAGCAGGCCGTCGAACGCTCTACATGACCGGTCTATTCCTGCTACTGACCATAATGGCTTCGATCGGCGCACTCGGCATTCCACAAGCTCACAACCCAAAATCAGACCTCTCCTGGGGAATTGGCTCGCTGCTCGTCATATCATCCTTCATCTATTACGCTTCTGTGGGACCACTCACCAATACCATCTGTGTCGAGATTCCTTCGGCGATGCTGCGCAGCAAATCCATAGCATTGGCCCGAGGAGCATACATTATCACAACAATCATTGCGGGTGTCCTGACGCCGTATCAGCTCAACGAGGATGCGTGGAACTGGGGCGCCAAGACCGCGTTTTTCTGGCTGGGAGGATGTATCATCTCCTTCACGTTTTCGTATTTTTGCTTGCCGGAGACCAAAGATCGGACGACAGCCGAAACGGATTATCTGTTCGAGAAGAAAGTCTCGGCTCGAAATTTTGCAAAGACTCCTGTCAATTTCGAGGCTGCAATCACTGGGGTGGAGGGAAAAGACGTACAAGTCTAGCAAGGTGCTGGAAGTGGAGGATATATCGATCGATTTGACTCACAGAATGTGCTGTAGAAGCACCCGCCAGCGAGCCAGGGGGGGAATTGCACGGGGAGGAAGTCTCACGCCAGTCCTTTGCGGCGCGTTGCATCTGCTACGTTTTATCCTGTTCACAGAGCGTTGGAGTGAATTCTTCTTCTCCAGATCACAACTCAGCGAGTGAATTGTGTATGTTCGTGTTAGCAACGATGAAAAAGTCTTCTTCCACTCCTTTTCAATCCATTTGCCCTGGACCGTGGTAGAAGAAGTAGGAATATGCCGGTGACAAATGTCATGCCATTTGCCTTGTATAGGCTAGCATAAGGTGAGTCAGTTCGCACTGATATGTCACAACTATGAATTAAGTGAAGAACAGGATTTTATTACGATGGTCGTTTAGAGATCATGTGATATATGCCAAGCATTTATAGCATTTAATGTGGGTCTGCAGAGTATTCACCTCAGCACCGGCGCCTCCCGCTCAACAACAGGTCATGGCGGCCATGTGCGCCGTTATATAGCCCTCCTCCAGCTTATTAGGAGGTAGGCTGGCTGGGCCTTGATATCACCGGCAAACCGGCCCCCTCAACCTTCAAGTTGGTCTGTCGTGGCTGCATATTCTCAACATGGCTGTCTGCGCTTTCGCCTTCGCCACCAGGTGGCTGGATGTGAAGTGAAGGCTGAGTTCAACGCTACGAGTTGACTGCTTGAGAGCCTTGGAGGGTGGCAATATCGTCACTATCATCGATCGAGGAAGCAAGACGACCACGTGAACCATCTTTTGATGAACTATCTCTGATCAAATGATGGCAGTCAAGAATGTACGCCACCCAGAAGAAGAAAATGTTCCGCTCATAACCAGCATTGGTGGAAATCTGGGATCCTTTTGCTATGCTACTTGATACCTCCTTACCTTCTAGGAGGGAGGCTGGTACCACGTAGCAAAAGGCAACGGCAAGCGGTGGCTCTCTCAGTGACGATGAAAAAGGGGTCTCGTGTCAACCAACCACTGGTTACACTAGACTGTCTAGCGTCAGTACGAGCCACGTGCAGACCGTCCAGCCACAACATCATCAGTATACAGATCGCAGATCGACCAATAAATTGTTCGAGAAAAAGCTCACTAGGAGATCCGTACCTCCTATGACAGCAAACAGTAGTTCTGTTCTTTTCGTACGAACCAGATCTATAGCTCTACCCGCCGCTAACGTCCAACTGGCAGCAAAAGGGCAAAGGGCATTTTATTGAGTTCGTTCCTTGGCATGGCAGATACTGCCAAACAGGCTGGAGCGCGCGGCACGTATGGTGGATGCCATGCACAATGTCGTCGGTTTGTCGACATCACTCTAGCCGCTCTTCCACCATAGTGAGTAGGAGGTATAGGTATGTAGTTGTAATGGCTTTGCTGCCGCTCTTTTTTTCCCTCTCAGGTGGCACACAAACATCCTAATCAATTGTCCTCGGAAAGTACATAACGCGCCGCCAAGATGAATATCAACGTGAGTTTGTTTGTGTCTGTGGTGGTCGATGTTGTTCTGTTTTTTTTTTCTCTTTTACTTTCAGCTGATCGATCGAAAACAGGACCCGTTGCAAGGAGCAGTACTCGCTCTTCCATTCACCAAAGCGGCCGATCCCTCTCGACGTGAAGAGGTACACGCAGACGACAGCGCTCAGCGCATCCCATTCGTTCGACGACTGCCCAATGGAGTTCGAAACCATTTCATCGCCGTGTGCGGTGAATACGTGGGCACTGTGCTCTTCCTCTTCTTCGCCCTGGGAGGAACACAAGTTGCGAATAACATTCCCTCGTCGGCGGGCTTGACCATTGCGGAGACTGGTAGCAATCCACAACAGCTACAATACATTGCATTGTGTTTTGGATTCTCGCTGGCGGTCAATGCTTGGGTCTTTTTCCGTATTTCTGGTGGACTGTGAGTGCACTTTGATATCGATCTATGATTTCGAGGACCATGGACTGACAGTTTTCCCCCCCAGCTTCAATCCTGCCGTCACCGTTGGCATGTGCCTTGTCGGTGCCGTTCCCTGGTTTCGTGGTATTTTGCTGTTCGTTGCTCAAATTCTTGGTGGCATGACTGCTGCAGCACTCATCTCCTGCATGTTCCCAGGACCGCTGACGGTACAAACAACACTTGGTGGAGGCACGACTGTCGTGCAAGGACTCTTCATCGAGATGTTCCTGACTGCTGAGCTTGTCTTTGCCATCTTCATGTTGGCTGCCGAGAAGCACAGAGCGACCTTTATTGCACCTGTTGGCATTGGTCTCTCTTTGTTCATTGCCGAGCTGGTTGGCGTGTACTTCACCGGCGGCAGTTTGAACCCTGCGCGATCGTTTGGGCCAGCACTCGTCAACCGTAACTTTCATGGCTATCACTGGAGTAAGTCAGTAACTCCCTCATCAGCCATACAAATATTCTGACGATGAAATTAGTCTACTGGGTCGGCCCCATGCTGGGATCCGTTCTCGCAGCCGGTTTCTACAAATTCATCAAAGCCCTCGAATACGAAACTGCCAACCCCGACCAAGACTCCGACGATCTCACACACATCGAGATCAAACGCGCTCACAGCGATGGATCCCACTCATCCCCGTCATCGCCTTCAACTTACAAGCCGTCATCACCATCGACTTACAAGCCGTCCGAGGCCACGAATGGCAACAACCACACAATCCCATTCGCCCCCAGCGCCATGGCGACAGGAAATGCCGCAGCTTCGAGCCACTCCTATCAAGACTTTGCAAACACGGGCTTTAACAGACCCGCAGTGGACAGCCCCGAACCCGTCCGAAACGCGAGTTTCAACAGAGCGTCTATCAGTCCGCCCATGGTCATACCTACCCAGGTCTTTGCGACCGAGGAGAGGGGCAATACTACGTATGCACCTGGAGTCCAGCCGGCTACAGATAGTAATGTGAGACGATTGAATCGGGGAGCGAGTTATGTTGCGTAAGAAATGAGATATCGACAGTATGAGACAAATAACAGATATGAGGAGACGATTTTTTTTGGCTTTTTTGGTTATGAAGGCATGGCATGGTATACAAAAGGGCATATGGCAATAGCGTTCTGAGCGTTTCTTCTTTTTTTCTGAATTGAGCGTCTATTTTTTCGATGACGAGAAACATGGATAGCATAATAATGAGAAACGAAAAATCCATTCCACCCGCTTTTACAAAAAAATTGTTGGGAATTGATGCGATCGAAAGTAAGGTATGCTCAGAGAGGGACAAAGAGAAACAGAGAATCTTCATTGAGCAGCATTCAAACAAAAGTCCAATCGTCAAAATTTCCCTACCCCACCACCTCCTTCAACAAACAACGCATTTCTCCCTACCTCATAAGCTGGTGGTGGTTGTTGTTGCTCAATAGCAATTTCAGATGGTGAAGACGAAGCATTGGTAGCAGCAGCAGCAGCAACAGCATCAGGAACACTCTTCAAAACTTCCCCCAAAATCACCTCGACATATTTCTTGAATGCCGCGAATGCTTCTTCGTGAGTTTGGCCTCCTTTTCTTCTTCCTCCTCCTCTTGATGCAGAAGGTTCAATTTTCGCTTCGAGAATTCCTGAGCTGGGGTTTATAGAGATGAGTGTCGTGATGAATTCTTCTTCTTCTTCTTCTTCTCCTTCTCCGTCGTCGTCGTCGTCGTCGTCGTCGTTGTTGCTGGGTTTAGGTCTCAGTCGGCGCGAATAGAGCAGGTTGAAATCGTGGGTTGCGAGATATGTAGTGGTGGTGTTGCTGCTGCTGCTGCCATTCTTATTGTTGTAGTTGGCTACGAGGATTGTGATAATGGAGTCTTTTGTACCAAAAAAAAGAAAAAAAAAAGACATTAGTTTCGTCTTCAGTAAACTGATTGTGCATCAGAAAGTGAGTGAGTGAGAAGTGATGTACGAATGAATTGCACGCGGTCTTGTTCATTACGGAAGGGTTTCACGTCTCTCCAGATGCCATTGAGATCGCGTTCGCGGCTGTGGGTTGGAGGGAGAATATGAGAGATTTTGTTGTAGAGGGGTTGTTGGGATTGAGAGGCGCCCATTTTATCGTTTTTGGAAATGTGGGAAATTTGGGAATATCAGATGGTAAGTGCATAAGGAAGGCTTTCTTCAATTGACTCTCACCGCGCACTGATGATGATGATGATGTCTGGGAGATGAGGATCGATGGATATCCGACTTCTCTTACTTCTCTTTGCTATCGTTGTTGTCTTGCCTCGATCGCATCCTCCCCTCCACGGGAGGATTTGCTGTTGTGCCGCGGCTGACGCACACCTCAGCCTCAGCTGGCTCTGATCAGTCAGGTGGTTTTACGTCATCCCATCCATTTTGTTGTCTTGCTGCTTGTTCCCAGCTCGAAAAATACTCCAAAGCAGGTACAGAAGTGGTATCTTCAATTAAAGAAAAAAAGAAAAAAAGAAAAAAAGAAAAAAAGAAAAAAAGAAAAAAAGAAAAAAAGAAAAGAAAAACACACATAACAACGAGCACCCTTGATTTTACTTCCGAGCACTCAGCATCGCCTCGTACGGCATACCCGTAACCTCCTCAATCTTCTTGACAGAATTCTTGAAGCCCGGGTGCGCCTCGTACCGATCGATCAACGCGGTCAACTTGGGGAACTTGGTTGCATCAATCTTCGATCTTCCGGCGATTAGTGGATAGCTCATCAGGATATCCGCAGCGGTCAACTCCTTGCCCGTCAACCACTGGCCGCCGTTTGGTGAGGTCTCCAGTTGCTTTTCCAAAAAGCCAAAGTGCGTGTCGTAGTTTCTGTTCAGGAATTGGTCCTCAACACGACTTCCAATGGTGCGAGTGATGGGTTTGATGAAGAACGGGACGGGGGCGTTTTTGATTTCTGTTTGTCATCGTTAGTACTTGGATATCTTAAAATTGGTCGAAGTTTTTTTTTGGTTGCTTAGAAATACTCACGATCGGTGAATAGGCCCAGCATAAGGATGGTCATCAAGCTGCCCTCTGCATAGTGCATAAAGTGTCGATAGCGGAGCCACTCCTCCGTCTCGCCGCCAACCTGCTTCTCCTTGCCGGCTTGATATCTCGTTGGCTGGAGATGTGGTGCAAAGTACTCCACGAGATACTCCGTGAGAGTTCCCGATTCGGCGAGCACGATGGGAGTCGAGGTCGTTGTGGCCTTGACGGAGATGACGGGGGATTTCCCCAGCGGATGGATCTTCTTCAGTTCAGGGCCGGCGAGCATGTCTTTGCCCCGTTTGAAGACTTCGATGTTGTAGTCCATGCCTTTGCATTCCTCGAGCAGCCATACTATTCGTTGAGATCGGCTTTGCTCGAGCCTGCGAAGTGTGTGTGTTAGATGGCAGATAAAAGACTAGGGAATACGACGGACTGACCAATATAGAGTGACCTGAGGCTTTTCGCTCGATGTTGCTGCTGGAGTCGTTGCCTCTGCCATGTTGAGTTGTTGTTGTTACTATACCGGTGACTGGGCAAAGTAGGAAAAGTGGTGAGAGTAGATGTATGCAGGTACAGTATCAATGTCGGTGGTGGGGCGGACAACGCTATCGCATCCGAGGTGAGCCAGCCAACAAGGGTTCTAAGCCAATCAATCTCTTCAATCTCTTGGCAGCATCGGCAACGCGACGTCGACCTCATCTGATGTGCATTGGGAGGGATCTCGAGAAGTAACGAAAGCATTTCCACCCTCAATCACACCAAGCACAATCCGCGAACATGGTGTTGCTGGGCGCATTCCGACCGACGCTGCGGCGCATGGCGGGCCACAATGGTATGCGTGCACGGAGGTACTGCGCGGTGAGAGAGTGTGTCATGAGCTGACTGTGATGTGCAGCCGTCAACCTGGATCCCGCTCTGGTCAAATATGCCAGTGAGTACCACCCGAAGCATGAGAGAGCCGACCTACGATGGGCAGTAAGAGAGAAGGGATTGCAGAGGACAGCGCGGCGGTGTGACGGAGGGAAAGGGAACGAGGGGGGACATGGGCGCTGTGTCGGGAGGGGAGGAGCGGAGCGGAAACTGACTGGAGGCAGACATGTACGTGAAACGACACGAGTACTTCAAATGGACACCACGCACCGCCCGGATCTCTTTCACCTTCGTCATCGCGATTCCGAGTGTCGCGCTATACTACGCATGGACGACAGATGTGAGCTCCCCCCAAAAGGTATGCGCTGGGGAACAGGAGTGCTGATGACTGTGAACAGGGCAAGTGGGAAATGCGAGGAAAGCTGCGAGGAGACGTGATCTCGGAGTTTTAGATGATTCCAAGTACGAAGGAGAGAGCAGCCAACGCGCTGCGGGACCGATTGACAACATATGCCTCCTAAGATTCCAGGGAGCTTTGTATACAAGCCTTCACGACCAACCTTTTTTTGAGTTCGGAAAAGTCTCTTTGTGATGAAGGGTTTTATTTTTGAGCAGCCGAGGACTAACGCGTGACATGTTCGCTATTTGACCACTGACTGCAGGCAAAGCAGTTTGCTTGGGCTCCCGGTGGGATGCAGTCACCTGCAAGGAGACACTGATCTCTTGCACGCGCCAGATACAGAAGTTTTAGCAAGCTAGTCTTCTTATATGGTCCATCACCCATGTTAAGAAGAGACGCTCACATCCAGATCCAGTTTACTGCAGACACAGCAGTCGTATATGAACCCAGACGTCTAATACAACATACCTCGATCCGAATATCGCCATAATGGTCAAACTCCATCAAGGTCTCCCACGGCTGACCACTGCCATCAGCGTGTCGCTCCTCATTCTGCTTACAGCCACTCACGCCAGGCCAGTCGACGAAGTCGCGGACGATACCATTCGACAATGGAATGCAACAGAACCCCACCGGCTCGAACAACGATGGATCCAATGCGACTGGGCGCACATTGCGACCATAGTCACGCAACCCCTACAGGACAGTGACGACCATTGCACCCTCGCAGCGAAAAAGGGACATCGACTCGTCTGCATGATGGTGAACCCCACCACCCAACGGTCAGTCTACCAGGAAGCCAGAGAACTCGCGTTTTACGGATATATGTCTCAAGTAACTGCGAACGACATCCAACCTGGCCTTGGCAACATCAACGAAGCCCTGCGTGGTGCTGGGCTCACAGATGAACCCACGCAATGGTTTTACCTCAATCAGTGGCACGTGCGAGATTCGGGCGATTTTCCTTCCACCAACGCATTTTTTCAAAATCACGCTAGCCCCGCACAAGGCGCCATCATTGCTTTCAACAATAAGAACCCGGAGATGATGAACCACGACTCTCTGAGTAGGACGCTCGATGCCGATCAGGTTGTCCCGCTCAAACAGTGGTCTGATGTCTTCTTTCTGGGCTGGAAAGAAGCCTGCAGAGCTTCACGGGGTGGAGTTGCGAATATGCGGCGATTGGAACATGTGTTTCGAGATAATGTCATTAATCAAGGAACGATAGAAGTGTTGCGGTCGATTGTGGGGAAAGATTATCTTGGTGTGAGGGATATGGTAAGTTTCTTTTCTTTGTTTTTGGCTTCCTCTCATACCCTGATTGATTACACTTTTTTGTCGTTTCTTTTCTTTCCGTTTCTCTCCCATGTTACAGTAGTACAGTACATTACGACTGACTCATATCTTTCCTCCCCTCTCCACAGTGGCCCGGTTTCCAATACTCCTTCGGAGACGTCAGAATGCGAGCTGCACTGGGCACTCCAAATGGGAATGGCCTTGCCTGGCTGGTGGGACAGCATCAGGCGGAAATCGGGAAGAAGATTGTGGATCGAGTGCATATTTTCAATTGTGGGTCGCAGTTTGGGGATGCGTGGTGTTTGTATTTTCATTTGAGGGCTTTTTGAGTTTCGCGATTTCATTCTAGGAGGTATTGTGTACAGAGAGGAGAAGTGTTAGGAGGTATGGGGGTTGGGCATAGCGGAGCGACTACGATTATGTAACTTCTCACTCTGTTGTCCATCCAACAACTTGTCAGCAGCATCTTCTCCTTCCTTCCTCTCCTCCTCGCCGCCTCTGTTGTCGTCGACATATATAAAGTGAAGAACAACAACAACGCGCTGTCGTGTCTCACCACTTGTTTGGTAAGAGGATGCGCGGCTCCAAGATACTCCAGTCCACGATAGGCCACGGTGGGTGAGCTTGTGGACAATGCTCCTCTCCACAGGTCAGACGTCGCCACTTGCACTCGTCAGCTGCGATGCCTGTTCAGTCGTCCTTCTATCAACTTCTGGAAGGAAATCTCACCAATCTCCATATCAGACCATCTTCTCGATCTTACTACCTACATGCCAAAACAATCAGCTCCCACCACGACATGAAACCTTGGCAAAAAGACAACATCAACACGGACTAACAACTTCGAGGGGACGACCACAAACAGAGAAGATGGAAGTCGAACTCTACGTATACGACCTCACGAGAGGTATGGCCAGAAGCATGTCGCGACAATTTCTTGGTATTCAAATCGATGCCGTCTACCATACCGCCCTGGTCTTCAACAACATCGAGTACTTCTTCGGCCAAGGTGTCCAAACATGTTACCCAGGAACGACGCATCATGGTCAGCCCATGGAGAAAATCGCATTAGGAAAGACAGAACTGCCACTCGAAACGATCATGGACTACCTGGAGAGTCTGAAGCAGATCTACACGGCGGAGAGTTATGACTTGTTTGCTCACAACTGCAACAATTTTACGAATGACTTTGCCATGTTCTTGGTGGGCTGTGGCATTCCCGATCATATTACCAGTCTTCCGGCCAAAGTGCTCGAGACGCCATTCGGGCAGATGCTGAAACCACAGATCGACGCAAGCATGAGACAGATGACACAAGCCCCGGTGCCTCCCCAGAACATACCCCCGGCTGTGTCCCGAAGTGCTCTCAACACATCATCGAGTGGACACGCCGCAGGCCCCGCAAAACATCAAAGTAGCGATCGTTACGGGCAAGTGGTCAATCTTACCGATGCGAATGCACTCGACACCCACATGGCTGGAGCGGCCGACTCCTGTACGACAGTCTTCTTTACATCATCCACGTGCGCCCCTTGCAGACTAGCATATCCCATGTTTGACCGGCTGGCCGAAGAACATGCACAAGCGCTTTTTGTCAAGGTAGATATCAACTCGGCCCGTGAGATTGGCTCTCGATACCAGATTCGAGTCACTCCCACGTTCATGACATTCTCCAAGGGTAAGAAGCAGGATGAGTGGTCAGGAGCTGACCCCAATCTGTTGAAAGCGAATGTAGAGCTGTTGATACAGACCACGTTCCCACCTCATCCTCATATGACACTCAAGGTCCCAGCCTTGCAGTATGGGTCCATGAAGCCGTATGTGTTTGGCAAAATACCGCCGCTTGACAAGCTCATGGGCAAGCTGGGGTCTGCAGCGGATCACAAAGACATCACATCGTTGCGGACGTTTGTGGAGAAACGGGGTGCCAATCCACAAGATGCCGCTGTGCCTGACCTGCACAGCATAGCACACACGTTCAAGACGGATGTCATTGCACTGCCAGTCGAAGTACGCTTCGCGGCAGTCGATCTTCTAAGATGTGCCATGATCGATGCCCGAGTCAGCGGCTTCTTTGCAGAAGATAGCCCAGTACGGACGATGGCGGTGATGATCGAGCATGTCAATAATTTGCCCGACTGTCCTCACAATCTCCGACTCGTCACTCTACAACTTGCCTGCAACATCTGGTCATCTTCCCTCTATGTCAAAGAAATCATGGCGAGTGACGACACGACCATATCGAACCTCATACAGCTCATCACGTCATCGCTATTGGACGCATCGCATCCCACGACCAGAGTGGCAGCGGGCAGTTTAGCATTCAACCTTGCAGTGTCCAATTACCGGGTGCGGCGGGAGCAGAATGAGGAAGCATTGGCAGAAGGCGAGCAAGTGGAGTTGGCTGCATCGATATTGGAAAGTCTGGTGGAGGAGAAGAGCGAAGATGCTGCCAAGGTGCTGCTGCTGGCACTGGGGTACTTGGTCTACTGTGCGCCTGAGAATGGAGAGTTGGCGGATTTGTGCAAGGCCATGGGAGCGAAGAAGACGGTGCGAGGCGTGAAAGCGCATGCTAAGCTCGGACAGGAGATTGCCAGTCTGCTGTGGTAGATGAATAGATGTCGATATACGATATACGATATACCTTATATTCATAGATGCCTTTGCGTAGCAGAGCAGAGCAGAGCAGAGAGAGGAGATAGGAGATAGTATCACGTGCAAGTGTTCCATAAGTGGTTAGAGCCACGCCACGTTTTTTCCATCTGCAAAACACAAAAGTAAAGGAGGGTTCAGCATTTAGGGGTTGCACCAAAGGAATGGCATGGGTTGAGAACGTCCAGGAGGAGTGTCACAACAACGTTGTCAATTCTGTTTGAAAGGTGAATACGGGGGGAGGGATCGAGTTAGATTAGAATTATATTTATCAGGGTCAACTTTTATATTTCTTCGCAACGTCCCTAGCTATGCTCCTTCCTTACAACTTTGGTGGTACCTTCCTTACTTCGATCGTTGCTTCTTTCCTCCCACTCTGCAAGCCAAGAACTAGAAGTAGAAGTAGATGTACATAGGAGAGGTTGTGGTAGCACTAAAACTCTCTAGAGTTAGAGGCAATTGGGCCAATTCCACTTCCATGCCCAAATCCACTCAGCAGATTCCGTAAGACTACCAATTCCTCCTCTTTCTCTTCCTCCTCTTCCACCGCCACCACCACCACCACCACCACCACCCCCTCCTCTTCCTCTTCCTCCTCTCCTCCCCGCTACCGTCACCGACACCCGAAGAGGGACCCAATTCACTCACTGATTCTCTCGTGTTGTTCTCTAATTCCGTCTGGTCCCACCTCAGCTTCTCCTCCGCCTCCTCCTCCTCCTCCTCCTCATCCTCCTCCTCAGCAATCGCACGCCGTCAATCCTCGTCGCTCGTTCCCCCCAAGCGAGAAAACAACACGTCCCCCTCGGATCCCTCTAAGAAGGCCGATCGACACAACAGCCGACCCGCAGCAAAGTCTCTCTCCATGCAGGAGAAAGCGTCAGCCGCGTTAGGAATGAATCAAGGCGCGCGGGCCCGCTATCTGAAGACGGCCTGTCTACTCTTCTTCGTCCTTGCCGTCATCTACTATATTTCGGGCACGGGATCTGCCACGCCCAATGGTGTAGGACTCGGGGCAGGAAACGTTGCATCGGACTCGACTGTCGCGACGAGCAAATGCACGCGCAGCTACTCAAAGGATAAACCTCTCATTCAATATGCCCTGATGATTGATGCCGGTTCCACCGGCAGCCGGATTCACGTGTACAGGTTCAACAATTGTGGAGCCACGCCCGAATTGGAGAATGAGGTGTTCAAGATGACGGAGAAGAAGAAGGGCGGAAGTGGGTTGTCTTCGTATGGAGCTGATGCCGAAGGTGCGGCGAAGAGTTTGGATGTGCTGATGGACGCTGCGATGGAGAGTGTACCGGATAAGTTGAAGGGCTGCACACCGGTTGCTGTGAAAGCTACGGCGGGTTTGAGGAAACTGGGCCCCGAGATGAGTGATGCCATTTTGAAGGCGGTGAGGAAGAGATTGGAGACGGTCTATCCCTTCCCCGTCGTGAGTGAAGACAAAGGAGGTGTGGAGGTCATGGATGGCAAGGACGAGGGCGTGTATGCGTGGATTACGACGAACTACCTGTTGGGCAAAATCGGGGGTCCGGATAAGACTCCTACTGCTGCCGTGTTTGATCTCGGTGGCGGCTCTACGCAGATTGTCTTCCAGCCTACCTTTAAGCAAGCGGCGGATGGCGGTATGCCGGAGACCTTGAAGGAGGGCGATCACAAGTATGATTTGCAGTTTGGCGGACGCGACTTCACCCTCTACCAACACTCCTACCTCGGATACGGACTGATGGAGGCCCGCAACAACCTACACCGCGCCTTCGTCGAGGGCTGGTACGAGAACCACAGCCAAGAAGCATCATCAAGCCTCGCGGCAGCCAAGGAACAACTCACCCTCAAGCCTCTCGCAAACCCTTGTGTGAACGTGGGCATGTCCAAGCAAGTCGAAGTTCCCCTCTCCGAAGGCCACCCTCTTGGCCCCTCCATCACAGTCAACATGACTGGCCCCCGAGTCGGCAGCCCAGCGCAATGTCGCTCACTGGCGGAGAAGACGCTCAAAAAGGACGAATCTTGCTCCCTGGCCCCTTGCGCCTTCAACGGAGTACATCAACCCTCGCTCGAAAAGACCTTTGCTCGCGAAGACGTGTACTTGTTCTCCTACTTCTATGACCGTACACAACCACTTGGAATGCCAGAATCGTTCACTCTTCGCGAATTGAAAGAACTTACTGCGAGAGTGTGTAGCGGTGGGGATGCTTGGAAGGTGTTTGAGGCGATACCCGGTGCTTTGGAAGAGCTGGCAGATAAACCGGATATGTGCTTGGACTTGAATTTCATGTTGGCGTTGTTGCATACGGGCTATGAGATGCCCATTGATCGGGAGGTGAAGATTGCAAAGAAGATCAAGGGCAACGAGCTGGGATGGTGTTTGGGTGCGAGTCTGCCGTTGTTGAGCCAGGAGAGTGGGTGGACTTGTAAGGTTAGTATGGTGCAATAGATGAATCTGGTATGGCGTTTTTGGTTATGGGAATCCAAGCAAACAAGTGTCAGCATGGTTCTTTGTTGGGTGTGATTGTACAACAGCTTCTTTCTCTTGGCCTATAGAAGGGTTGGTATCATAGGAGAGAGCAGTTTGGAGAGGCGTTGGGGGAGAAGCTACTACTACAGCACGACAGCAGATTGTCTTCTTCTTTTCTGATAGCAGAAAAATAATGCCATCACTTTTTGAAAACAGAATGAAGAAAAAAGACAGGTTCCGACTCTCTGATTTGTGAAAAAAAATTCTTCTCCTTTAAGTTTCTTCTATGCAGAGAGAAAAAAAAACAAGAAGAAAAAGAGAAACCTATCCCCTCGCCAAAAATCCCCCATCAACAGGTAAATTCACCCCCGTCATCCACCCCGCCTCATCACTCGCCAAAAACAAATATCCCTTAGCCACATCCTCGGCCCTCCCCGTTCCCCCAAACGGATGCAAAGCCTCAATCGCCCTTCTCCCCTCCGACATCTCCTCTGCCCCTCCCCCCAACATTTCATCCGTCATATGCGTCTGCGTATACCCGGGACACACGGCATGCACATGAATTCTATACGGCGCACAATCCATCGCTGCAGATCGAGTCAAATTCACTACAGCGCCTTTCGAGGTACAGTATGCCGAGGATGAGGCGGCGCCCTTGAGGCCGTAGACGGAGGCGGCGTTGAGAATCCAACCGCGATCTCCGCCGGAAGAAGGGAGGGGAGTTTGCGTGATCATTTGGGCTGAAGCGTATTTGATTCCGTAGTAGACTCCGTGGATGTTGATCGAGGTGGTTTTGTGGAGGGTTTCGATGGGCGTGGACCAGATGGGGAGGGGGTTGCGCGTTTCGACGCCTAGGCCGGCGTTGTTCTGGATTTTTTTAAGAAGAAGGAGGAATTTGGTTAATGGGGGGGTTTTTTTTCTTTTCGTTGATGTTGATGTTGATGATCCAAAAAAAAAGTACTTACGACCATGATATCCAATCTTCCCCATTCTTTCACTGCTGCAGCGACCAATGCTTCCACTTGCTTCGGATCCGACACGTCGGTTTTTACAAAAAAGGAACGATTGGCGCCATACTCTTGGTTGATGCGTTCGTGTGTCGGTCCATTGGATTCATCGTGATCCTTTTGTGCGGTATCCTCGCGACAGGTTCCTGGTTGCAAGTCTGCGCATACGACTTTGGCGCCTTCTTTGGCAAATGCGAAGGCCGTCGCTCGTCCGATGCCGGATGAGGCGCCTGTGATGATGGCGATGCGGTCTTGGAGACGGCCGGGCATTTTTCTTTTTCCTTTTTGGGTCGTTTCGTTTCGTTTCGTTTCTTTCTTTCCTTCTTCGTTTGGCCTAGAATTGTACTATAATGATGGCGAAATTCAAATGTCGTTGGTCTCGAATGTCTGTAGAAAGCGGGGAGTAGTATTCTGCCAATAAAACAATCACTTGTTGTCAACGGTGACGGGAGCTATATGAATAAAACGCCTGCGAAATAGTGCACAGGTAAAATGGACATATATATGATGCCAATGCTCACTGACACGTGCATCAAGAGTCTTCACGTTCTCTGGCGAACGCGGCAAATGCTGCTGTCGGCAATCATGATATGGTGTTGTATGATGGGGCCTCTCGAGGCGGGGTTGGTCTCGTTAAGCTCGTAGCCAAGGTACCTATGAGTACATACCTACCCGTACTCCTCTTCGACCGCCTCGGCGACGACTTTTATGCGCTTGCATAACATGCGGTATAGGTGTCTTGCACGGCGTTCGGAACGTCCGTTGGTTGGCCTTTCATCACATAAATCACCAGCGCAAGTTTGCGGGGGACGGTGCTCTCGAGTCTGTGAACATCCCGCAGGATCGTGGTGATGAAACTTCGGCATGTGTGAGGACCTTGATTCATCTCATAAGTCTGTGGTCGTGTCCTGTACATCAATTATGAGTAGTGAGCGGTAGCACATCCCTTCCACCCAGCAGCGTCGTCTATCGTCTTCTACCGTGCCATGCATGCATGCCCTTCCGTGGCCAAACCTGGACGTCTTGGTCCCTCCATCTTTCCGTAGATCATTGCTTCGTTTCTCGTACATGTACATCTGGAGCCTGCTTCTCAATTACCCCCTGTAGTTCCTCTTTCTCTGCTTTGAGGTTGCCCTCGGGCTTCTGCTCTTTTATTGATTGTTCGACCTGCTCCACTGCGCGCTCAATTTCAATCTCCATTTCCGGCAGATTGAATCCTTCGGCAAGAAGCTTGCCATTCCATTTCTGCAGTAGCATTGCTTCCCCTTTGCCGTTTTCCGTCTGCGTTTCCACCACTTCAGCGATCTGTGCAATCTGCTCTGGTGTCGGTAGAGGCGCGTCGCGTGTCGCCTGTCGGTTCGGTGCGATCAGACCGGCGGCATACAACTGATCCATTTGTGCGGAAGGAGCGATCTTGATGTGATTGTGCGTCGTCAAGTGCTCCAGGAGTTTGCCGCCGTACAGCGCTTTATAATGCGACCACGCGCGCCAGACGAGGTAGAAGAAGGGCAGGTTGGGCACTCTGTATACATACACACATCAGCACATTCGTCTCCATGTCTCACAGACACAAACCATGTCTTACACAGGCACCAGCGCGAAGGGCGCCACAACCGGCATCAAAGCTATGCTCTGCCATATTCTCTTCTGATGCAGTCCTTGCCTTTCCGTTGCGAGTCTCTTCAGAATCTCGGGCACTTTACTGCCATTCAAGAACGCGCCGGGATACAAACATTCCACTTGCAGATCCCCCTTGTCAATGGCCTCGAGACGCTGCTTCGTCGCAGGCGGTATGGTCTTGAGACCCCATTCCTCAAAGGGAATCCGCCTGAACAGCTTATTCGCATACAATGTAGTCTGTTTTTGCCAGCCCTTCTCGGCGGCTTCCCAGCTCGCCCATGTCGTAGCAGCTTTCGTAATCATGCGCTCCTGGAGGGGAGGTTTGGTTCCCGGGACGGCGGTGTGAGCGGCGACGCGTTCGCAGTATATCAGAGTCCTCCTGGTTGACACTGGCAGCAGAAATAAACGCATTGTGCTGTTCCGAGCACACAGACAGCTGCGGAACCAACGACTGGAGTTGCGGTCAAGCGCTTCTTGTGCTACAGATAGACGGCATGATGATGATGATGAGGAGGAGCCGGAGGATGATGGTGATGATAACAATGGTGCATGTGGCTGGTCTGTTGTACAACCTTCACGTGTCGCGAGGAGCTTTCAAGATTCGCTTTAGAAAAACTTCGAATGGACGTCATGCCGTCGGCGCTCCCGCCGAACAAGCGGAGGCTTATAACTCGTCGATTCTCGATTCTTCTCCCACTCTGCTGCTCATCATCGTCGCCTTCTTCAATGCTGGGACGTCTGAATGTCTCGCATCGACCACGGAAAGCAGGTTGGCCATGGCCGCCATGCATCTCACGACACCGACCGCCATGGCTCTCACGGCAGTGGCCACGGGCAATTCGGCAGCCAGCAATAGCATTGTCTGGTGAACTACACATTGATTGCATGCCGACCGACCACTCAAATGCAAGCGCCATCACAGCCGACCTCCGCCAATACTCGCACTTGTGGACCTGTGGATCCGCCCTTGCTTCTTGCTTGGGATAAACGCCGGTCTGCTAAAAAAGGAGGAAACAAAAAAAGAAGCGATGTGGTGGAGCCCGCGCGAGTCTCTTCGACTTCGAGTCGTCCGCTATCTCCTACTGGGGCCTTGCCTCGCGAACATGAGTTCGGCGCGTGGCGTGGCTTCTGGCATATGACCTGTCCGCCCCCGATCGTCAGCGCATCTGCAAGTGGCCTACTCCCACGCGGCGGCCGGCACAGGCGACGTCCACGAGCCTCGCGACCAGTGTGGACCCTGCGCTGCGGCCAAAGCAATCCAGACGTCTTCTGTATTGATTTCAATACACCGCTAGCCACTTTCGCACTCGCCTCGCGTTGGTGTAACGATGGGACGACTCGAATAGAAAGGCTTGTCTAAACATCCTGGTGCCATATGCAGGAAAGCCCGTCTGGCACCGGAGCAATGGGTTCACTCTTGCCTGCCATCACGCAGTGTGCAAGGAAGCCGGCGACGGCGTGTAAGGAGGCAGTGCTTGATGAGCTGTGCTCGACGGCCATTCGACGATGCGCGCCCACTGACACACCCAATAGCTTGGCCGACTACTGATTGCTCGACACGCACTACTGTTCATAGACGAGCCAGCGGTAACGAACATCCACTTGGTACTATATTTTCTTCTGACCTCCAACTGTGCGCAGGTTCTCGCAGTTTGCCACGCTCGTTCAGCCCTTCTTTCACATATCACTCTCGTTTCATCATTTGAAAGATTGTCCCTTTTGGATACTTTGGACTCTTTCAACCTCTAATCATAATGCGTTTTGCGACCACTGTGGCTTGTGTGGCCACTGCAGGCTTAGTCGCTGCACAGGCTCCAAGCATCAGCGACTATTCTGCTCAACAGATCGCAAGCGGCGAGGCCTGGCGAAACATCTCAACCATCGCCGACGAGTCCATGCAGTCTAACATCGGCTCAAGGTCAAACGCTCAGTGCACATACGAAAATGCCGCTGTCAGGCAAGAATGGCGGACTCTGTCACCGGAAACTCGCAAAAGCTTCACCGATGCTGTCACATGCCTCCAAAACCACGCACCTACGCGGATGACTGCTGCAGAAGCTCCCACGTACCCTGGCGTCAAATCAAGATACGATGAATATGTCGCTACCCACATCAATTACACGTTAAACATTCATGACACTGCCGACTTCTTTGCTTGGCATCGTGCCTTTATTCACTTTATGGAGCAAGACTTGATCAATCTCTGCGGCTACACTGGAGTAATGCCATACTGGAACTGGGCGGAGGATGCCGCTGCTCCGCAAGACTCTGCCTTGTTCAGCGGAGATGCATACAGTATGGGGAGTAATGGAAGGTACATTGCCGGTCGCTCAGATACCTGGCTGGCGCAGCAAGACGTGACCTATTCTCCCGGCACGGGAGGTGGATGCGTTGAATCTGGCCCGTTCAGCGAATACACTGTCAATCTAGGACCTCTCGGTCTGCCCAACTACGATAATGTCGACACTCCGTTCCAATACAACCCGCACTGCTTGGAACGTGACATCAACCCTTGGTTTTCGACGCGGTACAATACGTATGAGAGGTTGACATCTGTGGTGCTCGACTACATCTACATTGAGGACTTCCAATGTCAATCCCAGGGCATGTGTGGCGACAACAAGTTTGGTGTCCACGGAGGTGGTCACTGGCAAACCGGTGGATCCATGATGGACTTCTACAGCTCACCTGCCGATCCTCTGTTTTATGTACACCATGCCCAGGTTGACAAGTAAGCGACCACCTACACGATTAAGCCAACATCCGCTAACTGTATGCGCAGAATGTGGGTCATTTGGCAGAACCTTGACATCTATCGTCGTCAGAATATTATCAAGGGCACTGGGACACTCGGTTGTTCTTCTCCTGACTGTCCAGAAATGACACTGAACGACCGGCTTCCGTTTGGCCTTGTCGCTGACGATCAGACCTTTTCTACGCTCATGGATAACTTTGCGGGTCCGTTTTGCTACCGCTACGACTAATTGCGATCTTTTTGAAATGCAAAGCCGCAGTGGGAACGAAGCAATGAATACCCTCTAGCATGACACGATGGTATTTATATGCATGAAGTGTGAATTTGATGTCTCTTGGGTAGTCTGGCGAGTTTTTAATGCTTGAGAACAATAACGACAACAGCAGCAGTACCTGAAGCTTTGCAGAGAGCGGCATTGTAGATCAGAATAGATTGTACAGCATCAGATAGACATAGACGACCAGATTATAGCTATGATACTGCACCAGACTGGGATATCTCTCGTGACACATGTTTCAATTTATCCTGCATTACAACGTTGTACAGTCCATGATGGTCTTCCCCAAATCGTCGTCCACGTCGCTTCACGTGACCGGCAATGCGTGACACCCCAAGCTTCACCACAGTCGCCAGCCATGTCTTGAACTCTTGGTAGACATCTTCACATCCCAAGGGATCACAATGTCGCCCTCCAGACACGCTCCATCCGCTATCCATGCCCTCTATCGGGTCTTTGTCCTCCCGGCTCTCACTTCCGCCACAGCTCCCGTCACCAAACGGTCCACTTCCGCCGCACAGCTCCTACGACTGTCCGCAACACCCTATTCCCATCGTCCCCATTCATGCGGTCGCAGCAGAACCTTTACCACCACCACACCGCTCTGCGCCAAGACTCGCGCCGCCGAAGTACGCTCGCAAAAATGGAACGAAGAAATCACCGCCCGCTTCATCCACCTCGTCGACCCGATCACGAACGCCCTCTCCCCCGAACCCGTCACGAGGTACTCAGTTCTGAGGGATTTGGACACGAAAACCCATCGTCTGGTGCAACTCAGTCCCGACCCTCCTCCTGGGAGAAATTACTCGGAATTCACACCCACGTGCAAGATTGTGAGCAAGAAAGAAGCCTACGAAGTTGAGAAACGCGCAAAAGATTTGGCCAAGGTGAAGAAGAGAGCGATGAAAGTGATGGGTGGGGCAGGGTTGAAGACGTTGGAGTTGAATTGGGCTATTGATCAGCATGATTTGGGACATCGGATGACTCGGTTCAAAGAGTTTTTGCTGGAGGGGAGGAGGGTGGAGATCGTTTTGGCGGCGAAGAAGCGGGGGAGGAAGGCATCGAGGGAGGAGTGTGAGGCTGTGTTGGAGAAGGTGATGCAGGTTGTGGGAGAGGTGGAGGGCGCGAAGCAGAGGGAGGAGATGCAGGGGAAGATTGGCGGGTTTGTTACCATGGTTTTCCAAGGCAGACCCGTGGTCGGCGAGAATAACGTTGCGAATGCAAGTACGGGTGCGGATGAGGAAGGGGATGAGGATGAGGGTGAGATTCAAGAGAAGAAGCGGAGGAAAAGATGGGACCAGAATGCTCCAGAGACTCTCAGTACAGCTGTGGAAGGGTCTGGGGTTCGAGATGGAGAAGTGAAGTGAAGTGTTCTTGTCTCATGCAGACCGTGAAGCCGCATAATATTACTGCTGCATAGTTTCGCTCACCGGCTTTGACCGAGTCTCTCGAATGAAAGTGCGACATCAGCTTGAACCGGCCACAGAAACGACAGTCAGTCGATGACCAGATTCGATTGTACCACTGGGTATGCTCGAATTACCATCCTCCAGGGATGGACTTTTGACACACAGACTGATGCCCTCGAGTCGCGTCGTCGGTCGACATGCAACCCAAGAGAGGCGCGCCAGAACTATACCTTTGCAAACTGACTGTTGGACCCTAAGTGCGACAAAATAGCTCCGTCTCTACGTTCTTCTGGTCTCCATACTCCGAGTTGCGAAGAGGACTCAGTAATACATTTGAAATAGCGCAAGAGCAAAGGGTCAATCCTTTCGCCATATCTGGTTTCTTGTGATGTTGCCGGCGATGGGCGGCCACCACTCGAATGACGCTCTTGCGTGGGGAGTATCGTAAGGGCCAGTCTGTTGAGTCTGCACATAGTCGCGCCAATGATAGCGACTGTGTGGCCTTATTAGCAGGCCCTCGATAATTATTCAATGCCGCCTCAGTGGTCGCATGTGTATATACCAAGTGGCGCTAGAATTGGGTCTGTGGCCCCACCTCCAGGTATCGGCCTGCACGCCCTCCACAACCAGCCAGAAAATCATGATCTTCGTCGAGGAGCCCCAGAACCAGCTAGCTACTAGTGCCAGCTGAAACGATGAGCAGTCCTGCGGTGGCACGCTTTCTATTCCATTGACTGTCCTTTAGTGCTGTGAGGAAAGCTGCCAGCCAAGCGCTCTGTGCTCCGAAAGCTAATGTTATACATAACAGCACAGCCATACTGGAAAGGCAAGAGAAATCTACATCTACTACGTCGGCTTACTTCGAACGACGGGATGGATGATCGCTCTTCAACCCTGGCACTGGACTTTGGAAATTCTGTCTCGGATCAGCCTACTAAGTAATCGGAGCCCGCTTAGTCTCGGCCAAGGTTGGGCAAGATCCTAGTACAATGCAAACTGCGTCAATTTCTGCAAGGACGACAAATCCGGAAAAAATGTGCTACCAATAAACTGCCAAATGAAGAAGTTCAAAGCCTTGTGATTTGTCGATACTACCTCCTATGACACAGGCTCAGGCGTTCAGCTACCTTCTCGGGCAACGGTGTCCAAATTCTGTCGGATATCTGCCGGAGTGCCAAGTGGTTTGACTATAGCATAGGAGACTATACCCTGCAACAACTCATTTCGAACTAGACTCAAACTATCGCCCAACTACTCTCCTTTCAACTGTTCTATAGCCATGCCGTAGTTCATGCTCACACCAGCAGAGGCACCGAAATATTGGAATGCGCGCCACCGACACAGACCCATTTGCGGACGGCGGACTATTCGAACAAACCCGAGACCACAAGAGGCCATCCCCCTGCAGTATACAAGAAAGAGCCTCGCTGACAGCCTGACAGTTACAGACAATGTTGCGATCCGGTGCCCTCGAGTCTCGTCTTGATCATAGAGTAACGCGATATGGCCTCCTGTGCATGCCCTTCCTTCGGGAAGTAGGCGACAATCCGAGCGCCCGACTTCCTCATCGAATTCGTTGCGACCTTTTGCAAAAGGCGCGTCACAGACGGCTACCATTGAAGACAAGCCGCCAAAGAAGATATTCCCAAAATTTCGTCTGCACAGCGACATTAGACCGATGCTTGGCGCGACGCCGTCGATTTTCTCTAGTTTAGTAAATATGAGAGAGTGAGAGCTAGATTAGGAGCATGTCAGCACTGCGGGATTCATCCTTGACCTCACGTGTATCCGAAGAAGAAGAAAGAAGAAGAGGGAAAAAAAGAGCGTCGTTTATATTCAAAACATACCTCACCTCTCCCGCTCGTCAGGGAAGAAAAATTCAGCCAGCCAGACAGACAGACTCACTTGGAACGATATCCCACCATTCCACACCTCTCGAACGAAAAATAAAACAACAACCCCATCAAGCAAGCAGGCGCTCGCCAACTCCACACAAACATGTTGTCCCCAATAACAACAAGAACAACATCGCCCATCTTCAGCTTTCTCAGCTTCCTCCTCTTCCTCCTCATCTCCACCGCCGCCGTCGTCGACGCCAACGACTGCCGCACGATGATCCAAAGATCCTTATGCGGCATCGGGGACAACGGGCGTACTTTCTGCGCGCCCAACACTCTGAACATGTGCAAAAATATGGGAAGATATCAAGTGGGTGATCCTGTGCTGAAGTCTGCTAAGTGTCCTTGTCAATATCAGGTGTGTATGACTTTTTTTTTCTCCTTTTTTTTCCCTTTTCTTCTTTTGGGGTTTTTGGCGTGCACGGCGACGCTGTTTTGTTCCTCCCCATGGGCTACTCAGGTATCACGCTGCTGCCTAGGTACTGTTGGCGGCGGGTCTATGATTAATTAGCCTTGGGTTACTCCCTTTTTCCCTATGGCATGTCATTATTGTTGCTATCAACCAAACAGCCCAATCAATGGAATGGAACGGAATGGCTAATGTGTTCTTTTTCTTGATTCATAGGTTACCTGCTGCAGAGGAGACTGAAACCCCAAAAAAAGATAAAATACGAAAGTGATAATACCGGCATTGTGGGTGGGTTTTCCGAATCCGGGGTTGTTGTCTTCGAGAGGGTCTACTAAAGGCTACTAGCAGGTTGGTTGAGACTTTGAGCGCTATATGGCAAATCATGGGTTGAAGACCTGGTTATACTGTACATATAAATTACCTAAGTTCTACCGTTCCGTTTGTCCGCCGCTTTGCTCTCTTTTTTAGGAACACACACACACACACACACACACAGCCAAGGTAAGCAGAACGGCGTCGTAGAGGGAGAAAAGAAGAGAGTCGCCTGTTCGAGTTTGCAAGATATTCATTCGTCGGTTGTGACGAGTGGGTATGAAGCTAGCTACAGGGTCACAACTCGGCCATCTCAGCTTTCCTCTTCGAAGGGACCCAAAATCGTGGAAAAGAAAAGAAAAGAAAAGAAAAAGAGCCAGCAGCGGCCGGCCAAAGGAAGTCCAAAGTCGGATTCGCAGGTGTATCATTCAGCATCAGTCCAACCGTCCCAGATGGACCCGAACATCCTGTCTGTTCTGTTTCCCCTACTACTCCCATGCCATGCTATGCATCAATCCAATGAAACGTAATCACACCGTTTGTTCTCTAATCCTTAAACCTCCCAAGCAGCTTCTGCGGTCCCAACAAAAGCTTACTCTTCCGCTTCGACTCCTCATTATCATCTGCAGTGGAATCGGACGCCGCATGTCCATTACTCGTCGTCTGCTGCTTCTGCCGCAATCGATCTCCAAGACCCGTCAAATGTCGGTGAAGAGCCGTAGCTCGGTTGCGAGACTCGTCCGCAATGGATCCAGGCGAAAGTCTCTGGGTAGGCAGCAGCGCTTTGGGAGAGGGTGTGCTCTGTGTATGCTCATCTCTATATCCATTACCATCAGAAGCAGCGAAGCTGGGCGGAGCCAAGCCTTCTTCAGAAAAGCGCGAGGAATCCTCGGGAGAGGAATAGCTCACAATACTCCTGGCCATATTACTACTTCCTGTGGCAGGTCTCGTTGCACTGGAAGGCCGACCAGATGTTTCACCTCCTCTGCTATAAAATCCCAGAAAACTGCTGGTTTCCGAACTGTTGTCCGTAGTCGTCCAGTCCGAGGGTCCTGGCGTGGCACTGGCACCACTGTAGCCATCCGCCCATGCAGCCTGACTGCTGTTCGGACTCATGAATGTACTCCTGCTGGCCAGTTCGCGTAGTTTGGAAGTCACTTGCTTGTTAGGTTTGTGATGACTGAACTTGTTCCCTACGATTGCACCGGCATGACTGATCAGTGCTCGTACCACATCCTTCTTGAGCTGCATGGCCAAGTCGAGATTGGACCAGGTTTTGTTGCGATATTCCAATGTAGGCATCTTGAAGACGAGGTCGTGGACGTCTTCGATATTGCGCTTGCCTTGCCCTTTGTATGACAGGCACAAAACCATGCTCGGAATCTTGACGTATGAAAGAGTCATGTAGTTCGAGGCTCTATTCATCATCTGAGTCAAGTCATCCGATGGGCGCTCCTTGTCCTTATCCTTGTCTTTCTTCTTCTTGTCATCCACGCCATGCCGGTATGCAGCTGCCAGTCGCTTGCTTCTGCCATCACGCTCGTCACTATCAGCCGTGCTATGCAATGTAGATAGTGATCGCTGACTAGGCGATCGAGGAGGACCGACATTGGTCTGCGATAGAGCCTGTCGAGAAGCAGGAGTCCGTGTGCCAGAAACGCTGCGCGAAGACTTGTCAGAGTGCTGGAAGATGGCAAGTCCATGAGGGGCGTGGTTCGAGATGCCTAGACCTTTGTTCTCGACCTTGGTCTTCTTGTGCTTCTGCAAAGTCAAAGTAGGTTTCAATCGCGCATCGAGAGATCCTGGACCGTTCGTGTCGCTCTGGATCTCGTTATAGCCGGCTGGGTCAACCCCAAGCACTGACTGGGAATCTTCTCGTCCCCCAGGCTCCTCATCTTCTTCTTGGGGAGGCAGCATGTTCTTGACCATAAAGGGCGAGAATCCGCCATCGAAGGCACTACCTCCGACGCCCGGGAAGATGTATTCAAAAATCTTCTTGGCCACGTCGCGCTCGATTTGCAGTCTCAGCGGTACGAGATCGACTTCAAAATAGTCCACTACCGGTATGCCTGCTATAGCTTCCAGCATCAACCAGTGTACTCGGAGCATCTTGCCATCGCGTAGTCTACGACCACCCTTGCTTTCGTCGGTGAAGGGCGATATGATTTCAGGGTACAGCGCATCTTTGAGCAGATTGTACCCATTGATGCGACTGATCTCCATGCTGTTGTAGTTCGATCCATCGTAGTTGTCCGTTCGATCGAAGCTGGCATCTTGGAGTTGCAGCTCAATCAACGACTCGCCTTTGTCTCTGATAAGATGCCAGGCAATTTCGCGCGATGCTATGTGTAACTGCATGAACCCGCCACTATTGTCGGGCTCCCTGCGCTCTTCCATATGTTGCTGTGATGTAGTGATGGCTTTCATCATGAAGAACAGCTCATCCTCACAACTCGCAAGATCTTGGTCGAGCTTGATTCGGTCCTTCCATCCTTGTCGATCAAGTAAACGTTCATTTACCTGGAAGTGCAGTTTGATTTCCTCCAACTGTCTGATTCGCTCTTGAAGCATCTCGACCATTTCTGGAGCGCCGGTTAAATCGCTGAAGTCAGAAGCCAACATGATCTTCTCGAGACGTTCACTTCTAGTCTTCTCCAATGGCTCGTTATACAGCAAGAGATCCATGGCAATGACATACATCGTAAAGTACTGTGTGGAGTCGCAGATGGCGCGGAATTGAGGAAATTCCAGCCAGACATGGTCCATTCGCGTTTCTGCCTCCTCTGCGCTCTCGGAATTTGCTGGTTCACCTCCCGAAATGTCGTCGTTGTACTTGAGGCGCAGCTGGTTATACTTGTCGTACCGCAGACTGGCAGAAGTGCGATGCACGACTCGATGAAAGCCGTAAGGATTCGTTTCGAATTCGAACATGATCTCCATAGGCACCCACGGAGGCCAATAAGTGCCAGCCCGGACTCCGTAACGGTTGGCAGAGTAGAAATGCACGAACTCAGTGGAGAACGTCTTGGTGCTTGTCACAAACATCTGCAAACTGTCGGCAGCGGCATTGAAGCGGCGCTGCACGAGTCCGCTCACGTCGTCATCAATCTTGTCCTTTTCCATGATCTGGACAACCTTTAACTGCATGCCTTTGGCCGTGACCAGCACCGCAGAATTTGGGTTCTTCTCACTTTGCAGCTGGACTTGTGGCGCGATCAGACGGAAATGGTAGGTATTCAGCGCAGCGAACTCAACGGCGATGTCATCAGCAGGACCCCCATTGCCGCCTGTCTCCCACCGCTCGAGGTTGTCTGACTCCTCAGCGTTGACGAAGGTGCGGCCATCACGAAGCAGTTCATCGATGCGATCTTGTACAGCCTCTTCATCGTCTGCGTCAGGTGACATGGCACTGTATTGTGTGGTGTGGGACTTCTGGCGCTTCGGTGTTGACGGATTACCCTCATTTTTCCTTTCCTCAAGCACATCGAGGATGAACTTGACAGCACGCCGCGACATGTAATATACAAAACCGCGCCGCTGGCCATTCTGGTGAATGTAGCGCAATATAGTGTTGCGCAGGGAGTTGTTCCACTTGATCTGCGCATTGTGCACAATGAAGCGGTTGTTGAAATCGCTGGTGTAATCTGCCAACGGGGCGGCATCCAGGTGGACCGTGTCGGGATCATTCGTTCGGGAGTTTTCATGGGCTTCGAAGAACTCTTCGCTGGTCTCGAGATCAGGCACAGCAGATGGGTCCTCGTCGTGCAGGCGTTGGCGAAGCTCGCCAAGTATGTGCTGCAGGAACTGATGTTTGCCCTCAAGATGCTCAGTATGGTTCTTCAATGCATCCAGTTTGGCTTGCAACGCTTGCAGATATTCTTTGTTGTGCGAAGGCTCCCGCACGAGTTTCAATTCTTGCTCACCAACTGCCCGAATGTTCTGTTCCTGCTTCTCCTTGATCAACGCCAACCGTCGCTCTATGAGCTCCGCTTGCACGCGGCGCGGATCATTCTTTTGTGACATGACACAGTAGTGGGTTGGCTCATCTCCAAAGGGGCTGGTCCTTGATGGATCTCCTGCGATGGTGCCATGGTGATCCGTCTGTCGGTTATAGGTGAAGCGAGGAGCGAATCCTAGAGGCAGAATCTTCGTCTCTGGATCTGCTTCCGCTGGCAAAATCCAGTCGAGTTCCACAAAGTCGTCCATATCTATCCACGAGAAGTCGTTGTCGGGGATGTCAAACTTCGACATGTCTACCAGTGGCACTCCTCCCTGCAGAGATGCAAGCGTGTCATCGTTCGCCTTTTCGATGTCTTCAGCACTGGTACCTTCAATATTGGCAGAGAGGGCTCGCAAATCGGCGGAGATGAAATCTAGTTGAGCTTGGTGGATGCGCATGCCACTTGTTGTCTTGGACCGAGCACCCTCTGTGCCCTTGAGGTCAAAGTACTCTCGTCTCTGATGCATATCGAGCATGAAGCTATCGAGTCGCATCTTGAGGCCAGTGGCATACACGGAATGAGCGCCGTACTCTTCAGCATCCTTGTGCTTGTAGACGTGGCTTATGTAGAGTGGCGACAGCAGCAAGTTGTATTTGATGGTTGCCATATGGCGTCCAAACTTCTTGCTCTTCTTTTCCGTGATTCCCCACAATGGACCTTGCTTGATGGGCAAGGACATCACACCTGAGAACATAGACCACCAGCTGTAAAAGTGGGAGAAGAAGCGAGGCGTCAGGTGGACCGAGTTGTAGTTGATGGACGGTTTCAAGTTGTTCACGGACCAGTCTCGGTCGTGCGGTGCGCTCACAGCAATAGACATGTGAATGTGGTGACTCCTGAACCCGCGGTATGCATCATACTCTTCGCCATCGGAAGCACCTTTGGCAAAGTCTGGATGTTTGAGGACAACATCGTAGTGCGGTTTGAAGTCAAAGGTGCGTTTGTTCTGATCAACGTCACGCTCGAACATTAGTCCGGCTAGCCATTTCACCTTTCCAGAAAGCTTCATCACAACCTTCGTGAAGACAGCATTGTTCTTCGTGATGCTTGCACTGGTTGCGCTGCCATCATCATTGCCCCCCATATCCCGGGAGTGGCAAGCATAGTTGCTGAAATCTGGAACAGCAAGAATATACTCTCCACTATCAACCACAAAGAACTTACGGGGATCATCATCCTGAGCTATGTTCCAGCTGACATTGTCTCGCCAGACCATGACCAGGCCCGCACCTTCGCCAGTCACAACATAAGGATCGCGAGATCCTTTGATGACAAAGTGTACGTCCCCATCACCTTTCCACGCTACAACGATGCGGGAATGGAACGCCAGGCGAATCTTGTCCCAGAAACCGACCCGGTCTGAGGAATCGATTGGCGGTTTCGTAAAGTTCTCAATCACCTGCATCGCGTCTTGTATAGCAGGCTGATACGAGGTGGACCACGATATCCTCGTGGGACTGCTAGTATTGATCTCCATCTTGATGTCAGAGTACGTCTTGACAGCAGAAATAGTACGGCGGACTTCAATTGCATAGCCTTCAGTGCCAGCTCGCATCTTTTTCGGAGGCACAACCTGCACATTGACACTACGTTGCGATTCAACATCTCGGAACTCCTCAGCGACGATGAAGTCCATCCGTATCGACATCGCGGGCAGCCTAGCTGATTGACCATTTGCCAACGTAGGAATGTGTAGCATAGGGAGGGGGTAATCACGAAGCTGGACTCGAGCTTCACTCATCGTAAGGTGCAGATTCATAGGCAGCAAGAGGCCATACTCCATCGAGTAAGGCATCCCTTTACCAACGCTGTGCATGAACTTCGGAAGATCCTCCATCGGGAACGACGGCTTGTCAATAGTGACTCCCAGGTCGGTGATGGCGAAAACCATGAGCGCGGGGCGTCTGCTCCAAGCAAGTATAGGCTCGTCTTGTTCGACATCCTCCACATCGTCTGAGATGCCAAACAGCTTGCGGATCTCTTTGATCGCCTGGCTTTGGAAAATTCGTATACGATCGATACGAGATTTCCACGATTGAGAATTGTACAAGTCGAGCTTTTCGCGTGCCTTTTCAATCGAAATCGTGGCAGACTCGCTAATGCCACACCTGCCCTCTGCATCGTAATGAATGCTGCGGCCACGCTTATGACGCTGACTGTGCGCGGGACTGGGCTTCTCGCCCCTTGTACTTTGGCTGCGTTTAGTGGTCTTGCTCTGTCGGTTCCCAGACCTCGATCTCGACGAGCTTCCCACTTTCGCGGACTGTGCTCGCAGACGTGATGAGCTCTTTTGCATCCCTCGTGTCACTCGCTTCTTCTTCAGCTCGAACGCTTCCTCGCGAGCACTTCTCTGCTTCTGTTCCAGTAGGCCAGCTCGATAAATGGCACCAAGTTTCGATTCGAAGAGGCTGTCTTCAATATCAAATACGAAGACCTGGCTCCGGAGAGTCACACGGGGCATATGCTTGGGTCCTTCGGGCTCCTTTGTTAAGATGTACTCGTTGGTTCCAGTCTTGAAGTGATGCATAAGTTGCTTTGAAGTCTTGACCACGTTTGTTATGTTGTCGAAGATGCCATGAACCTCGAGCGAATGAGGAATGGATATTTTGATAGCCTCTGTTGCGACATCAATGGATTTTCCGCCAATGGTATTCTTGCCAACCTTTCGCTTGACGTCGCGCAAGTCAAGCCGCACGACCTTGAGACTGACCACTCGGCTCCATGCGGCTTTGGTTGCAGGAGCTTTCACGTACAAACGCGCCAGCTTGGTGCGGAGAAAGGGCGAGGACCATCGATGCCGACCAGTTTCAAGATGGTATATCTGAAGCATCATTGGTGGATCAGCAGGCATTTTGGCCTTTACCTGAACGAGGTTCGCTTTGAAGTCAACGGCGGTAATCTCACGCCCTGCGATCTCTGCAAGCTGCGGATCAGTGGCCGATAAGCCAGCACTTCGTACTCTGTTCAGGCCTGGGCGCGGCTCCTCGTCGTGCTCCCTGTCCATGATTGTCTTTTTGATGACCGTAGCGGCAACGCCGATTGCAAAATGATTGTAGAGTGAGTACTGTAGTAATATGCTCTTGGCGAATGAGTTGACGTGATATATAGGCCCTTGAGCATCCGTGGACGTTGACAAGGCTACCTCGAAACGTGGCAGTGATAGGAAGGACTTTGGTTCAGAATCTTCGATCGAGTCAACAATGAGCCCCTCAAGATTTTGTAGATGGAAAGTGAGTCGTCTTCCGTCAGCGTAGCTATGGTAACGCTTCCGGTGGAAGTTGAGGTTGTCGCCTTGCTTGGCTCCCTTGTCCTTGTTAGGAGATTTTGACATCGATTTCCGGCGGTCTGCTGGGTCCGGCGTCTTGGAGTCGTCGTCCCGTCGAGCCTTGTACTCTATCGTCCACGACTCGAGCTGCAAGCCAAACCCGCGTTGATCTTGGGACACCTGCTCATCAACGCCCGCCAATTCGAGGCCAAAGTCGGAACCTTCGAACTTGGCATGCTGAAGCCACGCTGGAACTTTGCGCAAGAAGCTGACTTGCGGCTTGCCTTGCCCATGTTGGCTGACCAACATGTCCTTGCGGAACTGGTTGATCACGTGATGGATACCTTCACAAATATCAGGTCGAACGAGATATACGGTGAAAGACTGCGCACGACCGGTCGCAACGACAGAAGCTTCTGGTAAAGCGTTGACGTCGACTTGGACATCAACCGTGTCGCTGAGCAGCAGATCATGTCGGTCGCCAGCAGCACTCTGATAATACAGCTTGTGTCTTGAGTGGCGGTAGTAGGAGCTCAAGCTATAGTGCATTCGAGTGTCCGTAGCATGTGAAGATTCACATTCTAATGCTATCGACGAGACTGACGCAATTAGGAGGTCAAAGTCATCTGCGTCCGCATTCTTCTTGTCCATTGGAGGCAGTGATATACGCACAACAGGTTCTTGGATCGAAAATTTCACATGTGCCTTTGGTAGTAGCTGAGAGATGAGTTGATGATGCGTCGTTGCAGGCTTAGCGGATTGCTGCCGAACGGAGCGTTGCTTCAGCATTGCGTGAACTAATGGTAAATGTTTTGGATCCAGATCGACAGAAGGAGAAGTGCACACGAAGTTCGCATACAGAATGTTGGTGTTGCGGTCGGTTGGACCATCCTGCTTGGATGCTTCGATCGTGCGCGAAGGTAGAGTTGTCTTCACGGTCGCGGTGATCATGGGCACATATAGCATGCGCTCCGGGTGTTCGTGACCGTCGTCAATGCCGGCAGCGATGGCGATGCCGGTAAGAAGACCTTGATGCGCGACGTCCTTGGTAGCAAAGTACATTCTGTGGGCTGGGCTCTTGGGATCGAGTCGCAAGACATCAAGGCCAAGCTCCTTCATCGCAAAGTTGAAGTAGACATTTCTGCCCCCATCAGCTTTGACGGCGAGCTTCTTGGACAGGCCGACAAAGCTCACGGCGAATTGGACCTCCTGAATACCACGCAACACCGACGCCACGAAGGCCCGAGAGTCGGACACCGCTCGAACAATATGTTGCTCGTGAGTGCCTGGATCTTCCAGCTCGCCTACGACAGCTGCCAAATGATCGGTCGATATCGAGCCGTCTCCTCGAGGTTGAGCGTATTTGCCTCGAAGCAGATCCGACAGTCGTTTGGCATGTTCGAAATCGTCGTATGGCACATTGACTCGGCCCAGCTTGAGTGCGATCGATGCATCACGCAAACCCTCGCGCCCCCGGTGGAGCATACCATGAATATTAAGCGTGCAGTAGTCGAGCAGTTCCGTAGACTCCCTGCCCTCTGGCGTGAACAGCACACTTCGTATGATAGACTTCCATTCGGCAGGACATTGCGTGTCTGGTCTAAGCTTATGATGTTGGAACAGCCGGCTCCGATCCACTGTCTGCGCCCTGGTATCCACGGAAAGAGTCAACCTCTCCATGCGAAGCGAGCCTACACCCACAATGTTCACCGTCACTGCGGTCGCGATCAGATCGAATAGCCTCAGCCAGCCAATCTGCCTATGCAATCTCTTGATCTTTTCCTTCACTGCTGTCAATTGTCTCCACAGCTTGCCATGCCCATCTGCGTCCTCGTGGTCGATCGGCGAATCCGTCTTCCTCTTCCCGTGCTCGTTCGCACGATGTTGACGCTTCGTCTCGTCCAAAGCTCGCAAATCGACAGTCACCGCCAGCTCCGTGACGACCACGCTGCACCACGTCGGCAAAGCAAATGTAGGGCGATGGACGGACAGTCCAACACCGCGTATGGTAATCTTGAGGCCATTGCGCGGCGAGAAGGCAATGCGCCTGAAGCCGGAGTATCCCACACGCTGGATGGAAACGCCTGTGACAATGCGCAGAATGGCAAAGACCACAAAGGTGAACAGATATCCTATGACCACGAGCCCGAGCAGAAAGGATAGCGTAGGCACAGGCATGACGAGGGTGCAGGCTCCATCAACACCGCCTGCGCGTGTTCATGGACAGTATCACCTCGTCGTCTTCGTCGTCGTCGCCGTCGTCCCGCTCTGTAATTCTGGCCTCTCTCGCTGTCATGATATCGTGCGAGTCAGAAGGCGCCGGCACATCATGAGTTGGGTAATATGTTGGTGGGCAGCTGGGATGAGGTTGGTTCGCGGTGGCAGAAAGTGGAAGGGAGGAGAGAGTGGTAACAGTGATGACAGGGTCTCTCGGGTTCCGCGGTTGGCCGCTCACGAGCGCTGTCGATGGCAAGAGAATGGTGCGGGCGGTGGATTGGATAGGCGGAGGTGTGGGAAAAAGGGAAAGCGAGGTGATGTGGTCAGAATGGAAGCTACCTAGTAGGTATCGGTCAATGATGATGCACTGCCAGCCCTACTATACCGTAGAACTATGGCGTACTTCTTGAAGCACGACGGATTCCTCGAATGCACTACTGCCCATTGGCCTCTTCTGGAGCACACCTTATGGACTGGCCGATGCTAAGATACTGTAAGATACCTTAGGTACCTTATGTATGTTTATGAGTCTCTTTGTGGACATGTCCAACTTTTCCCCAATCAAGTGAGCAGCGGCACTTGTGAAACATGAACCTGGTCTGGTTGTGTTCTTCAATGCGCTCGAGCAAGGATCTCTCATTATTCATCTACTGATCTGAGCGCCCATCGCCCTTGAGGCTCTTGGCACGTTTTCCGGCTCGTGCGAGGCGAGGCGAGGCGAGGCGAGAGCGAATCATACCAAACCTTCTCTTCATGGAGGTACAGCCATCATCATCTTCATGCATACCTGTATGTACAATAGTGGAAGCAATTCTGCCTCAACAGCGGCAGACTATCTCAAGTGTTGAGTATGATACATGCACTCATATATAAATGTGACGCATACAGCACCTATCCCCGCCTCCTCTTTCATCCCTATCGATATCTCTCCTCCTTCAGCCTCTTATAAGGCAAGGGTTCAATCCTCTTCCTCTTGAACACCAAATCAGCTCCCACAATCCCCGCCCGTTCCATGACCCCCTGAGTCCCTTCATCCCACTCTGTCCTGAATACATCCACTCCAATAGCCTTGAGACCAAATTCTTTTCTCAGACTGCGAAGAAAGAAATTTTCTCGACGAGAAAACGCACCATCTCGTGCGCCTTTGATCTGCGAAATGGACAGCTTCTCGTGCTCGAACGAGATTCCATCTTCTCCTACTGCTGACGAAGTTGACTTGTGCGCCTGCTCCATAACAAATACTGCCATCCGCTGATATGGCAACCCATCTTGCGCGTAAGCTGGTAGATATGGCAGGACAATTTGATCCTCGCTCAACTTCCCAAGATCCACAGTCGTCTGGGTCGGACTGATGGTGATATTACAAGCCAGGAAATGACAACGATAATCGAACCCATCTTTCTCGACATTTGGCACATCGGGATTCACAATGGCGATTGTAATCAATTTCTCGCCTTTCTCGTATGATTGAATGGAGAGAATGGGTGGATGTTCAGAGATGCGAGAGTCGACAATCTCGCCATGTTGGACGTTACGGAGTTTGCGGGGGTTGGACGGGTTGCAGAAGGTGAGTTTTGTCGAGACGACGGGATCGATGGTAGGGAGGATGTCCGGAACCACGTGCAGCTGCGTGATGCGTTGGAGCAGGAGAGTGCGTTCGTAGGATCGCCATTTTTGGTTGGCGAGGTGGCGGTAAATCGGTTTGGTCATGTCGCCTAGACAGAACACACAAGTTGTTAGGATATGCGATCTTACTACTGAATGCGGAGAGGGCGATGAGCCAACATACCGTGTCCATCCTCGAAGCGCTTTTTGACGAGAGGATCGTTGATATCTGCTAGAATCTTGGTGTCTTCCAGTTTCTTCCTCATACTCCGGAGTCGAGTCTCCTTTTGCAAAATTTCCGCGTCTGTAGTGGGTGTGGATTGCATCAAGGCATCGATTCTCTTGCGATACGTCTGGATGATTTCCAGTTTCTCGGCGCGGTCTTGTTGCAGGAATTTGCGAGCTTCCTGGAAGCATTGGTAGGGCAGCTGTGCAAAGGGAATGTTGGTGCTACTGGCAAGTGCTCGTCTTCTTCGTCGGGATCCCACGGGCATCTTCCCTTGTTCGCGTTGTAGTTTACGCTCCAGCCGAGGCGTGGAGACGGTCAATGGATCCAATTGTCGTGTGCTTGGTACGTCGGCGCTGAGTTGCTCTGTTTCGGCGGCCTGGCGGGTCATCGTCGTGCTGAAGCTGCGTGTCGGGAGAGCTATTCTGTCGTGTCGAGTGCATCGCAGGCATTGCGCCAATGGCCGAGCGCCTCGTTCCAGAGCCATAAATGATGGAATTGTACAGGAGTCTGGAGAAAGATATCGACGTAGCTCGCAGGTCGCGTTGATGGATCGACCATAGTTCTAGTTCTAGCGAGAGGTGAAATTCGCGGACTTCTCGGGGGTGTCGCTCAATACCCATCCTGCCGACCTTACTACCTACTTTATCTTTCTGCATACGCATCACCACACCACACTGACAATCGCGATGGCGTCGAGACGGGCGACAGTGCCCGCCAAGCACCTCTTCAATGGTTTCCGCTCCTATGAAGCACCAACGCGTTGCTTCACCCGATCAATGGCCACCGAAACAATTCCAGTGCCGGACGAAGCAGCTCCTCCTCCTCCTCCTACACCAGCATCCTCCCACGCACAGCTCGACGCCACGCCCACACAGCCCTTGGTGCAAGACTTTACGTCTTCCCCGCCACCGCCAGCTGTGCCCTCTGCTAGCAGCATCCAGCGCATCCAACCTTTCCAGCCAGCGCCGAACCCTTTCCGCCAAACCGCGCAAATAAGCTTGCACAGCTTCCCTCAATTTGAACCCACATCCCTCATTACCTACCCTTCCACCCACCTTCTCCTTCCCATCCGCAAAGACCTCCTTCATCGCGCTGTAATCTTCGAGGCCGACGCATCACGCCGAGGCACAGCATCCACAAAATGGCGGTCAGAAGTACACGGCTCGAATCGAAAAGTCCGACCCCAAAAGGGCACTGGTTCAGCCAGATTAGGAGATAGGAAAAGTCCCATGCTCAGAGGAGGTGGTGTGGCTTTTGGTCCCAAACCGAGAGATTTTTCGACCGAATTGAATCGGAAAATCTACGATCGCGCGTGGAGGACTGCCTTGAGTTGGAGGTACAAAAAGGGAGAGCTCCTCGTCGTGGAAGACCAGATTGAGCTGGACGAAGGTGAGGTGCACGAGAATAGCTTGGAGAGATATATGGAAGATCTGCTGAGGTGGAATCACATTGGAAATTTCGGGGAGAAGAAGCATGGTAAATCGTTGTTCTTAACTCTCGAAAAGAGGGATGTGCTGTGGAAGGCGCTGGATAAGGGCCATTTACATCGACATGCTCGGGCTGTGGAGGCAGAATGGGTGGATGTGAAGGATTTGTTGGAGGGAGGACGTGTGATTGTTGAAAAGGCTGCATTAGAGCATATTTTCGAAGAACACGAGAGTGATCTGAAACAAGGTGATAAGTTGGCTGCTCAGATGCCAGAGTTGTATGAGGAGGTGGAGCTTGCATAAGATAGCTTGGTGATACCATAAAAGGGAAACAATTGTCGAATCGATGAGTCCTGCTGGGTAAATGTCTCCGCTGCTCATATGTGCCCTCACTCTCGCTATGGAGTGCGATAGCCAACATTCGGGAATATGTGCTTGGCATCTGTGAGAAACAAAATACAGATCCCTGGATCTTACACGTATGAGGTTGCATGCCATTTGGATGTAGCCGGGCGAAGGAGACTTCGGCGCTCATCATTGTGGACACGAGAAGAACGCGACATTTCGTCGCCCGCCAATGGAGTACACGGGCTGAATATATACTACTACATGGGAAGCATAGGAGACTACCTAGACCTAGTCGGTCGGCTTGAACTTGAGTCCAAGTCGTCTACAACATTCCTGGTAGCCTAGCACAGCCATGATCTGCCCAATTCCCGGCCCTGGTAAGCCATAGCTCAGCTTCTCTCTAAGGTGGCGCATGAGGGCTTTGTTCAAAGACTTGTACGACTTCTTGAGACCTTCGTTGGTCGCCAGGCTTTCCTCGTCTGCTCCGATATGGTTTAGAAGCGATGTGTGGATATTGGAGTGGATCTTTGACGATATCGAGGTAATGTGGCTATCGAGGAGACCCCCGTCATCGTTGGTAGTAGATTTGGAATTGTTCATCGTTGTCGAGGCGAATTCTTCTTCTTGTAGAATGTGCTCCATCAGCTTCACTAGCAATTCAGGAGTGAGCATCTCGGCGTTATCGTGATTTGCTGCATTCTCGGGTATAAGAGCTGCATCGTAGTCGAAGAAGTATTTGTTCCTTTCGAGGAATTGAGTTGGCGTCTGGTACGATTTAGAGTCGACGAGGAGGATATCGCGGATGTATGCCTTGAGGTCGAAATAAGGTTTGTCTTCGCCGATGTGACGCTGCAGGAAAGAAGTGTCGGCGATGACAACCTCTTCCGCTACGGCGTCAATGAGATCTTGGATGGGTTCAGTGGTGTTTGCAGCCTTTGCACTCTCGATCGCTCTCGCCACATGCTGTTTCTGCAAAAACCAGAGTTTCTCCATGCGAACGATTGTGTTCCCTTTGGTGAACTTGAGGTCAAAGTCTCGGATCAATTCGTGCATCTCTAACACATCGTTCCGACCAGGATTACTCCAGCCCAGTAGTGCTAGGAAGTTAGTGAGTACGTCGGGGAGGACTCCATTTTGTTCTCTCATCCCGCGCACGTCTAGAACGAGACCGGTATCACTCCGTTTCGAGAGTTTGGCTTTGTTTTCATCTACGAGGAGTCCCACGTGTGCAAAAGCAGGAGGTGTCCAACCAAATGCTGCATACAAATCATAGTGCAAAGGCGTACTCGCCATCCATTCAGTGCCTCGAATAACATGTGTGATCTTCATGAGGTGGTCATCGACAACATTTGCGAAGTGATAAGTCGGTATTCCATCGGTCTTGACCAAGATAGTATCTGCGGCATCGATGCCCGAATCATCCCCCGTGCTCTGGCTAGCACTCGGCGAGCGCTTCAAGCGCTGGATTTTGCCGTATATCAAATCAGTGTAGACGCGCTTGTGAACGTCTTCGGGTTGCTTGAGACGTATTGTGAAAGCATCGTGTTTTACCTCTGCTCGATCCTGGGCTACTTCTGGGGACAGCGAAGAGCAGTCTTGGTAGCAACCACTTGTGACATACGCAGCTTTGCCGCCTTGTGAACCAGTAGTCTGTGGCGTGCAAAAACATCGATAAGCAGATCCGTCTTGAAGCAGCACCTGTGCATGGTGCTGGTAGATGTCGTTCCGTTCAGACTGTTTGTAAGGCCCATACGGTCCGCCAACTAGAGGCCCCTCATCCCAATGCAAGCCGGCCCATTTCAGGTCCTCGCAAAGCCGTTGCTCAGCATCTGGCACCAGTCGTTTCTGGTCGGTGTCTTCTATTCGTAGTAAGAACTGGCCGTCTGTTCGCTTTGCCAAGAGATAGCTGAACAAAGCAGTACGAAGCCCGCCAATGTGCATATATCCGGTCGGTGACGGAGCGAAGCGCGTCCTGGCTGGTGAGGATGGTACCTTTCCGCCATGCCTAGCGGGAGCAGTCGATGCGTGTCTTCTTGGAACAGCACGTTTTACATATGAAGCCGGGCCATTGCTGTGCACCGCCAATGCTGTGAATGTCCGCCGTGTATGCTGCTGGAGGGCTTGTTGACTTCTGCAAGAGGCGCATATCCAGCCCACGATGGGTTCGAGCATGTCTCGTCTCGTTCCGCTCCGTCTCCTTTCACATGCAAACTGGGCTCTGGGAAACTTCCAAGTGAAACTTGCAGTACATATCGTTCTCGTTCTCCCGTACCTCCTACCTAGGTGGTCAATCGTTTCCAGTAAGCTTCGTGAGACCGACGAGGGTACGTGTATAAGGTACCTCCCGGCCGGCCTACAGGGATGTAGATCATGTAGTGACGGGACGGAAAATCTCAAAATTTGGGACCATTACGACATCAACAAAAATAACACCAGCAACAATACACAACGCTGCGCCTCCTTTCGCACAACTGACAGACTTCTCATTCCGGGTCGCCTGATCAGTGCAAACACCGCAATTTGGGCTCATACCATCAAGGCAATCTCCTACGACTGGCGGCAAAATGAGCGCCGCAGAAATTGACCTCTATGGTAGGCGCGACAAACACCGTTATGTGAGCCTTCTGGACGGTAACAGACTGACCGACTTGACTAGAGGTTCTACAAATCTCCAAAAGCGCCACCAAGGCCGAGATCAAAAAGGCATATCACAAGGTGAGCGTGTCCAGTGCTGCTTGGGCAAGCTGCTACGATCCTGATACACTCTCTGCTAGGCCGCTCTCTCGTCACATCCCGACAAAGTGCCTGTAGAACAACGAGAAGAGGCAGACGCCAAATTCAAGTCCGTCTCCCAGGCTTATGAAATCCTCAGCGATGACGACTCGCGCGCAATGTACGATCAACACGGCATGGCTGCCTTCGAGAAAGGCCCAGCGGGAGGAGGAGCAGGTCCCGATCTCGACGATATTCTAGCTCAAATGTTTGGCATGGGCGGCGGCGGCGGGATGGGCGGTGGGATGCCCGGCGGAGCAGGACCACGGAGGAAGCGAGGAAAAGGACGGAACGAGATGCAGCAATACGAAGTCACTTTGGAGGAACTGTACAAGGGCAAGACGACGAAGTTTGCGAGTACGAAAAACGTGATATGCGGCAATTGTGAGGGCCGCGGAGGGAGGGAAGGCAAAAAGGCCAAAACGTGCGATACTTGCAAAGGCCGTGGTACACAGACACGATTACAACCTGTCGGACCTGGAATGGTTACGCAACAGACCGTCGAGTGTTCGACGTGCAGTGGACGAGGCCAATTCTACGCGGATAAGGACAAGTGTAAGAAGTGCAAAGGTGCAAGAACAATCAAGCAAAAGAAGATACTGGAGCTGTATATCCCTCGAGGTTCACGAGAAGGAGAGCACATTATCCTGGCAGGAGAGGCAGATCAGGACCCTAATGACGAAGAGCCTGGGGACATCATATTCGAGCTGGTCGAGGAGCAACACCAAACCTTCAATCGCGCTGGCGCCGACCTTCACGCAGAACTCGAAATTAGTCTAGCAGAAGCGCTGACAGGCTTCAACCGCGTGGTCATTACACATCTGGACGGGAGAGGACTTCAGCTTCATGTTCGACAGCCCGAAGGCAAAGTTTTACGGCCAGATGAAATCCTCAAAATTCAAGGTGAAGGTATGCCAATCAAGCGATCAGACCACAAGGGCGATCTGTATCTGTCTCTCAAGATCAACTTCCCCGAGAATGGTTGGCTCAAGGACCAAGCTGCCGTCGACCGTGTCAAGGCAGTCCTCCCGCAGCCTCAAGCCAATCCTGCTGGAGGCTTTGGGGAGCTCAAGCCGGGACAGACTCCAGAAGTCATCGATGAAATCCATGACTTCGAGGTCGTGGATACGATGGAAGGCTTTGGCGCTGGATCGGATGACCCACGAGCAGGGGCTGGTGAGTGGGAAGAAGAGGAGGATGGCCCACAAGGGGCGCAGTGCGCGCAGCAATAGCCGTAGGTCGTGACAAGTGGAAACGAGAATGAAGGGACGCTGGCGAACTTCGTATGCTAGAAGAGTATAATGTCGCTCCGGAGTCAGCCAGTGGCAAAGTATGATATCAAAAAGCCACCACCCTGTCCGGAGGCAGCAAAACTTGGCAAGGCTTGCCTCTGGCGGCTGCACGGATTCGAGATCGGATGGAACCTTGGGGGAAAGGGCTTCATGGGAACACCATGGAAGTCTGTCGTTCCCTTCTCGAGGCGCAAAAAATAGCGACCCTCCTAGGTGCAGAGAAGTGAAAAGCAGAGCGGAGTGGAGCAGAGCAGAGAGAGCAAAGCGAAGCGAAGCCGATTAGTGGGCGTGTCGTGCACGGCCTGGCCCTGGCCCTGGCCATGAAAAGAAAGCATAGGTACCTGACCTACCTTATGCTGAAATAATCTCAGCTACCTACATGAGAGTACAGTGCAAAAATGAGGTGTGCATGCATATACATATGATGAATCACGATGAGCACTCTTATGAGCTTCACATGTTCATTCGAGTACAATCTCTTCCATTCGGCCAAGACTTGAAGTGCAAATGCCAAAAGAAAAGAAATAGATAAAATAAATAGATAAAATAAAAAACAGATGGAAAAACAGATGGAAAAACAAAAACGAAACCAAAATGCGGTACTCTTTCGTTAGCGTGCCATTTTTCACATGTTGGCTGACGGTACCTCCTAGGAGGTTCAAGTATCTGCGTGGACTGAATGAGCGTTCGATCATTGTGTTCATGCGCATTTTTGTCATTCAGTTGAGATGTCACCTAGCAGCTCTGGTTCAGAGATGCCTCAGGCCGCATGGCAAAGGCTTTCAAGCCTACCGTAGTACTACCTGTAGTATGGCCAGAAGGACTAGAGACATCTCATGAATGACAGTATATTCACTCAAGTCATCTATACCATGTCATCCTTGCTCGCACTTCAACTCCAAGCGCCCTTTTCGTCTCCCCCGCACAACAGTACCAGTATGGGGTCTGTCCCCAGCAAGCAAATGGGTATCTTGAGACACTATTCCTCACCCCTAACGCCGTAGCTCCATCGCTAAAGTGCAAAGTGCATGTCCCTTGTGTATTCTCAGTCGCCACGACCCTCATCCATAACATCGGTGTCCTCCAAGTCGCTGTGCTACAACGTCTCTTCGCCGTGATCGGTAAAGGGCACGAACGTACGTCCGCCGAAACGCTGCTTGTCATCATCACCGTCCATATCCGCGTCTTCATCATCATCTCTTTCTAGAGCCCTCTTCGAACACAAAGATGTGTTGTTATTGGCACTCCCGTTCACCGCATTGGCATCCGCAGACACAGCATCTGCGCCGAGCACCTCCTGCACATTTCGCTTGGCCTGAATGATGTCCCAATATCCCTCCAGCAGCCTCTTCATACTGTCGTCGAAATTCACGCAGAACCTCTGCGCCTGGCAAAGCTGCATGGCCTTGATGTGGTCGACATCCTGATGCGCCTCCATCAAATAGGCAGCCACGACACCGGCGCTCCTCTCATTTCCACTTTCGCAGAAGACAAGGACTTTTCCCAGTCGAAGTCCATTCGAAGCCTGGTAGGCGCGTGAGAGGTGGTCGTTGATCATGTGACTCGTCTTCCCAAAATTGCGGATGAGATCTTGGTTTGAAGTCAGATCGACACTCTTCGCCTCCACTCCTAGTCTGTCTGCCATATGGAAGGCCGATTGCATCAATCTCGACTGGAATGTGTGCTTCTGTCTGACTCCCAGAAGCATCGTCACGCCCTGCTCGACTAGCCACTTCTCGTCCTTCGCGGCAGTCATAGGTCCCAAACACAAGAATGGCAGGATGGTTTGTGCTTCGCGCCTGCGTTCGTAGGCCCAATCTAGCGGCGGATTCGATTGGACGAGGTTATCATAGTCGACATTCTGCAGGAAGTCATACGTGCGGGATTTGATGGCTTTGATGGAGAATTCCGGAATGGCGTCGTGGTTGAGTGCCGGCGGGGGCACCACGATGCGTGGTGGTGTTGGAATTCTGCTCGAGTACGTGTCATTTCTATGCGGAAAGCGAAGAAGGGGCGGCGGAGCAGCCATCGAGCCGATCGGGGGGGTTGGTGTATGCAGAGTGGGTGGTGGGTTGATGGAAGCGTGCAGGTTTGCGCCTCGAGGTCGTTGATATTTCGCTTGGCCGGATGCGCGTGAAACTGTGCAGTGATAAGGTAAGGTTGATGACAAGAGTGATGCTGGTGGTGTTGTTGTTCAGGCTGTGAAGTGGAAAAGAGAGACCTACCACCGAAAGGTAGCGGCTGCAACTGCTTCACGTAGAATAGATGGCACACGACCAGAAGAGAGGGAAAGGGCACGTCATGTGACAGCGTACCTTGGGTGTTGTTGAAGAAAAGTACATGTAACCTACCGTACCTAGGAGATCAGGTAGGAGGTACGGACATGAACTGTGACGGACGGCGCTCATGCGGGGAGTGCCTGAGGCCGAACTTCACAACTGAGGTGATGCTCTTGACTGGAAAGGCCAAGATGTACTATACAGGCCAATGTAGAACTGTGTGCTCTTTCTACGCGACTTGTTGTCTGCACGCGTCCGAACACAGCAGAGTCTGCCTATAACTGCTTTCTCCTCCAACCAGAACGAACTCACCAGAATGGACAGACACGTCTAACATCCGTTGCAGCGCAGCGGATTGACCGACGACATGTACCCGGCAGTAGGAAGGTCGCGAGGAGAGATATTAAGGCACGCAAAACTGCGATGCCCAAAGCCAAGCCATGCTTGAGGGGTCTTGCGGACCTTGCTTTTCATCCTGCCAAATGCAGAAGTCCAAAAGTGCTATACAGAGCCTCTTACCACCCAAATGTGCTTCGCTCCCACGATAATCTTGTGCGGTGCATGTGTCAGAAGACAGATTCGACCGCAGATTGTGAGCGAGCTCCGTAACAAATTACACTTTCGACTTTACCTTCTTGCTCTTCTTCAAATCTCCGTTGACGGCGACTTTCATCTTCTCCGACGCAGCAGCCTTCTGCCTCTTCAATGCCTCCTTCCTGGCAGCCTTTTCGGCCTTATCGCTCTCCTTCGCCTCAAGCTCCTCTTTGGTCTCAGTCTTGGACTTCTTAGACAGAGTAGACTCATCCTCAATTTCAGCTTGGGAACCCTTGCTCTTCTTCTCAATCTTGCGCATCTTGCCATCAGGTCCAGGAACCTCCACATATTCGGTTCCATTGGCATCAGTGAGGGCGAAAGCGCTGCGCTTGCGCTTCTTGCCTGGGTTCTCTTTCGTAGGTGCCTCTTCCAGCACATCAGCTTCATCAGCCCACAGCTCTTCGGCGAGCCAGATTGGCAGAGCAGCAGTTTCCGGTCCCTTGATATGCACAGCTCGCACATTCTTCCATTGCTGCGGGACGTATTTCTCCACCATACCGGCTACCACGGCTTCAATATTAGCCTGCACTTGTTCCGGCGTCATGCTGGCTTTGCCAACCTTGATCGCAGTCGTGGTCGAAGGCGCAAGATGGACGAGGGCAGAGCCAAGCGCTTTTGTGACCTCATGTGCGATGTCTTCAGGTCTGACGTCTTTCTTTTCAACTTTGCTGCCACCCTCAGAGAGCTTCTTTCTCTTTTCGCCGTTCTCAAGAATGTTTTGCTTCTTGCCCTCGAGCGAAACTGGTATCGGTCGCTTCGAACCACCCTTGTAGAAGACCTTGCCAAGCACGGACGGCAAGTATGTGATGATGCGATCGTCTGCGAGAAAGACGTCGTACTCGGAGAACAGCTGTCTCTTTGACTCGTAGCTCTTGTACTTCGTCTTAAGCTTCTCCAGACCAATCACACGCGCGATTCTCTTCCCAACATCCAACGGGAATGAAGCCTCGGCGACGAGGTCCTTATATTGCCTCTGTGGATCGGCGGTGATGAGACATATTCTCAGACCTTCCTCGTCTACGCTGCGGATCGGGGTGTGCAGGACAATCTTGCCTGGCTTCAGGCGCTTCTTGTCGACAATGTGCTTCTTCGTGGTCAAGATCAGCCAGACTGGAACGTCCTCGTCGACTTCCTCGCCGTCGTCTGCATCTGCAAGAAGATTTGTCTTCTCTAGAGAGGACGTTTTCGCGGCAGCGTCGGAGTTGATCTTCTTGAGAAGAGCTGTCGATGCTTTGAGCGTTTGCGAAGGGACAAGTTGGTATGGTGAGCTACTCGCTGGGACCGCGATTTCGGTATGGACCTTTTTGGTGAGAACTCTGGAGGGCGCCATGTTGTGATGTATGTAGAGGTTTTGGAGTAGTGGTTCAGAATTCCAGTCGAGTATCGCGAGCTGGAAATTTTGTGCCTGCGGCAAAATTCCGAATGAGGACTAACTCTTTTGCCAAGTACGAGGAAAGGTAGAAATTTTGATAGCTGTTCGGAAAAGTCTCGGCACTTCTCGCACAAGGTAGTCTTACTCTTACTCAGGATCCGCATCAACAGTACGGGCATGTACTCTCTCTGGTCTCCACTCCACTGTACACACTCATGATGATGGCATGTGTCAACGGGGAAGAAAGTCCGACTCAACAGAATGTGCTAATGACAGAGCTCAGGCCCGCTCAATATCTCGAGCCCACACAAACTTCAAGCTCAGAAGTAGCACTCATAATACTGAACAGTCCCTTTGATGACCTAGAATACTTCAAGCGCCTCTACGACCATGCTTCGTATTGTATCTGCGCAGACGGAGGCGCCAACAGACTCTACGACATGCTGTGTAAGCACTATCCAAGCTCGGACGGGACGAGATCACTGCAGCATGCTCTGCCAAACGCCATACACGGTGACCTAGATTCTCTACGGGATGAGGTACGACGGGAATACGAGAAGCTTCATGTGCCTATCACCCGTGATCCAGATCAGTACACTACGGACTTTGGCAAAGCTATCAAGAAGATTGTGGAAAGCAGGTCTTCTGTCACAGATGTACTGGTTTTGGGCAGTCTTGGAGGCCGAGTAGATCAAGGTGTGGGACTGCTCCACGAGGTTCATCGGGAACAGAAGGTTTTGCATCCTTGGTTGCGATTCTGGTTCTTCACGGAGAGTAGTGTCAGCATCTTGCTGCAACCTGGCACGACCAGAATCCATACCCCACTCCAGGAGGGACTCATTCGAGAAAATATTGGCATATTGCCGCTCTATGGCAAGGCCGTGATCTCGACCAAGGGTCTAGAATGGGATGTGCAGGACTGGAGAACGGAGATGGGAGGGCAAGTCAGTACAAGCAACCACATCAAGAAAGACATAGTGGAAATCATGACCGATGTGGATGTGCTCTTCACGGTGGAACGAGAGAGCATTCCTCTGAGGCCTAGGATGTGGCATGAGTACTCATGGTGAGCAGGCTCGTGCAATTAGTTTCCTTTCGGAAGCACGCTTTGCGCACAGTGGCCGGGCAATTAAAACTGCAGACGCCTGCAGATGTTCAAGGCTAAGCGTACTACTAGAGCTTCGGGCCATGTTCCGGCCAGCTTCGCAGCGCGGGCACATTCGAGGCTGCACAAGGAGTCGCACCCGCCGGCTACGTACTCTCGTCTTAGTCCAGCCGTGCTGGAACCAATAGCTCCAGTGCAAAATATTCACAATTTGCTATTTGCCAGCGCTGCAGCACAATGAAGAGGGCATTCAAATGCGTCAACGTGGGAGCCTCTCTATCGAGCGTGGGCACAGTTGATATGTGCAGCACTACATGAAAGAGAGCGCCATCTCTCCTCACTAGTGATGGCTGAATGCGTTCTGTCAATTAGTGGTGAGCGCACAGTATCCTATCACTTCTTGATACGTAGCAAGTAGAGGGAAATAGACAAGTCGGCCATATCAGCTTGTAGTGAGTCTAGTCCGTCAGGCCATGCGATACAGACCGATACAGAACGTTTTTCGCGCAATGGGTTCTGCGTCTCGTGTACAGACCACGGCCAGAATAGGCCGTGGCATTTCCGATGTGCACGAGCACAAGCACAAGCACGAGCACGTTGGACTTCGCGTTGCCACATCCACGAGAGTGAATGAAACGACCCGAATGACTGATTATATGCGACAGCACATCGACGAGCTGCAGTAAGCAGATGGTAGTCATGTCCGCTGGGTGTCATGCATGTACTGCAGCCTGATTGATGGCAGTCGTTTTCTCTTTGCACGTCGCGATACATGCAGTAGTCTGTCTCATGATAGCTTCACCGCGCCGATGCGGAGAAGCCATGACATGAGACTGATGGAGTGAGGTGTGAAGTCAAGCCCCTCCTCCTTCTGTCCTCAGGCCTCAAGAATCAGGGTCCACCGAACTCTGCCTCCGAGGGCTCGCACTCGCTGAGCCTGTAGTGTCTACCTCCTAGTCCTTTCTCCTGTACGACAATTGCCAATAAGTTCTCTGTTGCTGTTGCTACTCCCTTACTCCTTACTTACCTCCTGTCGAAGGCGTCCGCTGCACGGTGCCGTAGTTTGCACCGACTCCGTGGGTACCGAGACGGTCACCAGCCCGGTAGAACTAGAATCTATCTACTGCACACGTCCTGCTCGGGCACACCACACAGAAATCAGCCACCACCACCACAGCTATGTCGCGACGATGAGCTGCACTCGAATCACCACGAAATCACTGTCAGTTGAACCGCAGCCTGTTCTCGGCGAAATGCACGTCTATCAGTAACAGGTACAGCTTTGCTGACCTCGTGCCTCGTCGCAACAGGCCACCTTCTTCCGCTTAACATTCTGCATCCGCCTCTGCACCTTTCACCCTCTCCACCTGGATTTTGCAGGCGAACACGACAGCACACCCACATATCACCTGTACCATGGCGTGGCAGCCACAGCAAGGGCCGCTCAACCAGCTGGCCCAGTGTCTCCGCGACTCCCTCAGCGGACATGACCTCCAGGCACAGAAGAACGCCGCACAAGTGCGTGAGAAAGAAATCAGCATGTCCTTGGGATCCTCAGCTGACTCCCGTTCAGATGCTCCAGCAGGCCAAAACATCGCCTGACATCAATAACTACTTGGTGTACCTCTGCATCACACCCACGGCGAACACTGGGCTGGATCAGGTGGGCTACCATGCAGCACGCAGCGCCGCAGCCATCTTACTCAAGAACAACGTCAAGTCTTCGTACAAGTCAATATCGGAAGCGAGCAAGACGTATATCAAAGCCAACGTGCTACAAGGGTTGCAAGACAGCAACACACAAATACGCAATTACATCGGCAACGTCATCACCGAGGTCGTGCGACAAGGCGGTATTCTGGGCTGGCCGCAGGTCCTGACAGAGCTGGTCACTATGGTAGCGAATCAGAATGGGGCTCAGGAGACACAAGATGGCGCCATGGGTGCGCTCTTCAAGATATGCGAGGACAACAGGAAAGCACTGGATAAGGAGTATCAGACACAGCGGCCACTTGCCTCCCTGCTGCCAGCGCTGCTGAAGTTCACGAGCAATGAAAACCACAAAGTGCGCACCAAAGCGCTAGCCGCGATCAACGTGTTTCTCGTCGAGCCTGTGGCCTTGACTGTGCGAGAGAACATCGACACGATACTCAAGGAAATTGTCAAGCTCTCCACAGACAGCAACGAAGATGTGCGACGGTTCGTATGCCGTGCCTTCGCACTTCTGGCGGACGCTTTGCCCCAAGTTCTCGTGCCGCACGTCGAAGGCGTGATTGAATATTCGTTGTCGCAGCAGCAAGACCGACGCAACCAGGAACTCGCCCTGGATGCTGCTGAGTTCTTCTTTGAGGCGAGCAGCAACCCTGTTCTACGGGACGCGCTGGGGCCGTACCTTCCGCGTGTTGTGCCGGTGCTGCTGAACTGCATGGTTTACAGTGAAGATGACCAATTGAGACTGGAAGGCGACGAAGAAGATGCCGACCTTGACGACGAGGAGAAAGACATCAAGCCGACATTCGCCAAGGACAAGGCTGGTCGCTCCGATGCAACCCACGGAGCCCAGCAAAATGGTCCCGCTAAGCCCGCTGTGAATGGGTTTGCTTACGAAGATGATGACGATCTCAGTGACGGCGAGCTGGACGAAGACGAAGACGACGATGTCGACCCGGAAGAAGAGTGGAATCTGCGAAAGTGCTCGGCGGCCTCGCTTGACAGCCTCGCCACGTACTTTCACGGCGCAGTGTTTCAAGAAGTTCTGCCATGGCTGGTAGAGAACTTCCAGCATGCGGACTGGCCTAATCGTGAGGCCGCTGTCCTCGCCCTGGGAGCAATCGGACCAGGCTGCATGGACAACATTACCCCACATCTACCAGAGTTGATCCCCCTGATGCTGCAACTTCTCAACGACCAGCAGCCCGTTGTACGACAGATCACATGCTGGTCACTCAGCCGATACTCGTTATGGGCAGCACATGATCCGAATGCGGCAAAGGATAAATACTTTGAGAAGATGATGATTGGCCTCCTCGAGAAGATGCTCGACCATAACAAGAGAGTGCAGCAATCTGCTGCATCCGCGTTCGCGGTCCTCGAAGAGAAGGCAAATGCTGCTTTGGCGCCCTACTGCAATGACATCCTGCAGCAATTCGTCAAGTGCTTCGGCAAGTACAAGGACAAGAACATGTACATTCTCTACGACTGCGTGCAGACGCTTGCCGAGCATGCTTCGCCGAATCTTGCGCAGCCTGAGAATGTGAATCTGCTCATGCCGGCACTCATCCACCGATGGCAGCACGTGCAAGATCAGTCGAGAGAAATGTTCCCATTGCTCGAGTGTCTGTCATTTGTTGCCACTGCGCTCGGGCCACAATTTGCGCCATTTGCGGAGCCCCTGTTCAACCGCTGCATCAAGCTGATTCAGCAGAACCTTGAGGATGGCGCCAGTGCCGAGCAGGCTTTCATGGATCTGCCCGACAAGGACTTCCTGGTGACCAGTTTGGATCTTCTCAGTTCTATCATTCAAGCTCTAGACGAGCAACAAAGTGCTAGGCTGGCAGGCGGCGCTCATCCGAACATGTTTCACATGCTGGCCTACTGCATGAGAGATTCGAGTAACGATGTCCGACAATCGGCATACGCGCTGCTCGGTGACTGTGCCATTTACATCTTTCCGCAGCTTCAGCAGTACCTTTCTGACGTATTGATGATACTGATTGAGCAACTTTCGTTGCACGACGTTCAGAACGATCCCGAATCGACTTTCCGAGTCATCAACAACGCTTGCTGGTCTTGCGGAGAGATTTCGATGCGACAGGGGAAGGGCATGGAACCTTTCGTTGACAAGCTTCTCGAAAAGCTGGCTTTGATCATTTTCAGCGACGAGGTTCCGGAGTCGCTCAACGAGAATGCTGCCATTGCGCTTGGTCGTCTGGGCATTGGGTGCCACGGGCAGCTTGCTCCGCACCTCCAAAACTTCGCATCGCCGTTCCTCAAGTACATGCGGAAAGTGGACTGGACTGACGAGAAAGGGCACGCGTACAAGGGGTTCGTGAACGTCGTGCTGGACAATCCGGCCGCGCTCGAGCAGTGTCTCCTGGAGTTTTTGGGAGAAATGGCCGGCGCTCCCAACGTGTGGCTGGAAAGCATGCAGGCCGATGGCCCCCGGGCTGGGTTCGAGCAGGTTCTTGCCAAATACAAGCAGATGATTGGCGCTGGATTCGACGACTATCTCCACAATCTGCCGCCAGCACAGGAGTCGAGTCTTCGCCAATTGTACAACTTCTAGGAGAGGTCGTTAGGCATGGTGACGACGGCTACTCCACTCGCTCGCGCCCCATGGCCTGCGATATCTACGACATGACACTTTTGCCAGGCGTTATTTGCTTATGATACCACTATAAATAGCGAGAGGGGTTTCCAGCGTTTTGCAACATTTCACGGCGTAGCATCTGTTCGCGTTAGGCGGCAGGGCGAAAAGGATCTCATGGTGGGCGTTTTCCGCAAGCATCGTCACGCACAAGTAGCAGCGTGGAAAGGGCCATGAGCGAATGGACAATGCAAGGTACATGCAGATGAGGGGGGGGATGGGGGATGGGGGGACTATTTACACAAGATGATGGGATGAGGCAAAGCAAGTGTGACGAGGAAGATAAGGTACATGTAGCTGCTTACATGCGACGATGATGAGAAACGCTGGTGTGTGGAAAGTGGCAGTGTCGTTGGTGAGGAGGACTTTTGATCTGGTGGCGCGAGAGCAGATGGAGGGAGCCGCGGGCGCTGCGAGAAGCGCTGCGAAGCATATGTAGATATATATCAGTACCTCCGTAGAGTAGGTAAGGTAGCTTCCATGTGTGGCTGTGCAGTGGCAAAGGGTACTGTCATGCTTGTGTTCACGTTTCATGTACAGTAGTGTAGAGGGGACCATATTGAAAAGCATTTTGTTGTTGATGATGATGTTGTTGTTGTGTTGTTACACCGCAGTAGTAGGCAGTTGATCTGCGACGGGAGGCATCCATGGACCATGGCATGGGCCCCGGGGCATGGATGGCATGCTTCCCCTCATGGCTTTCGTGGCGTCCAGCTCTAGAACGACATGTATGTACTACCTGACCTCCTAGGAGCTACTTTTCCGGTGGTATCGGTGGTCGGAGATACATGTAGTGGGTAGGTATGTAGGGAAGGGGATATTCCAGTCCGTAGCGCCAGTTCCCGATGTGGTACCATCGAATTCGGCACTACTGGAATGATGAGATGGTGAAAGGGAGCGAGTCTTTGTTCCGACCAGCGCATGTCGCTCACGAAGGTATCAGGTCAGGTCAGGTCAGGTCAGGTCAGGTAGGGAGAGCATGCATGCGGTGATTTCGGGTGCATGAACGACAGACATTATACAACACATGTCGAACTAAGGTACTTCTGCCCACATCCATGCAGAGAGCCTGAGACGAGAGCCACCCGGACGTCCACGACAACGGTCCCGCGCTGTTCCACGCCTTTAGACTTCTGGCGCTGTCCATTGCATCAGCCATCAGCCTCACCCACCACACAGAGACACTTCACCGCACCACACACCACCACACACCCACACCCCCCACCACCACCTCCTCCTACTCTTCCCCAACCACCACCACCACCACTACCACCACCACCACCATCTTCACCATCACCATCACGACGACCACGCTGCATATTCACCACCACCACCACCACAAACACCCATCCGCCTCCCCACGACTGCAGCGAACTTCGAGCCTGAGGCACATACCGGCCTGTGATCGTGGATGACCGCCTCCGTGTGTGGTCCCGCCTGATCAACAATATCAGCAGCAGTACCTGTAGGTATCATCATCATCAATCTCACGAGACTTGGCGTACATCACCACCGAGGACTACCGACTACGATCCGCGACCACTCCACGCCGCCTTCCTCCTACCTTCTTCCGTCAGCACATGGCCATAGCGCGATAGCGACGCTGCCAATTGCTACATCACCACTTGCGCCCATCGTCACTACACTGTCTGCGCACACATACATTTGCCCATGGCGCAGGCCGCGCTCGGGTACGATGAGTTGCCTTCTACCACCTCGGCGACGTCTCTCACAGCAGCAACTATGCCCGGAATTGCTCCCAGCGCTGTCGAACTGGAGACCAACCGACAACCATGGCAGACTCATCATGGCAAAGGATGGATACAGTGGCACACTTCACAACAAAATGTCCAAGCACTTGGCCTAGGCAGCACGGGTAAGGGTATACTGATAGGTATGCTGTCTGCCTTTGGCTCTGCTGCTCTGGTGGGACTCATTATTGCCATTGTCTACTTCTTCCGATATACAAATCAAGGACGAATATTATTGGATCGCATATCGAGGCCAGGGGAGTTTGATGATGAGCAGACTTTCCTGAGGGAGGAGGAGGACGCGCTGGCGGAGATGGATGATTTGCAGAGGGCCGAGTACTTCAGAGCGAAAGGTAAGCTGGATGATATCTGCAGCAGTGGTTTCGGCAGCACTGACCACGGATGAGTACAGCATTTGTACAGCACAATCCGCCCGAGTCCGTACAGACCGACATCTCGTTGTCGCAATTCCTGGCGATACAAGAAAAGGGCGTCTCGGCATGGGAGTTCGAGCCGGAGTTGGAGATTGCGAATTGCTTCGTAGAGGCCAGGACGGAGATTGAGTTCTTCGACTCGGAGTGTAGCGTGCAGAGCAATCTTCCTATTCCGAAACAGAACGAGGTATACTACTGGGAAGCCAAGCTCTACGATAAACCCGAGCCGACCATGGTTAGTATCGGCCTGACGACGAAGCCATATCCTTTGTTCCGCCTGCCCGGGCTGCACAAGTACTCGATTGCATATCTGTCAACGGGCCAGCGGAAATTCAATCAGCCATTCACATCCACGAACTATGGACCTGCATATGTGCAAGGAGATGTTGTAGGAGTGGGATATCGGCCAAGAACTGGGACAATATTCTTCACAAGAAATGGCAAGAAGCTGGAAGACGTTTGTCACGGCATGAAGCTTCATAACTTCTTCCCCACCGTCGGAGCCAATGGACCTGCCAACATACACGTCAACTTTGGGCAAATGGGATTCGTGTTCATCGAAGCGAACGTGAAGAAGTGGGGCCTCGCACCCATGACTGGCAGTCTTGCACCACCACCACCATATGGCAGCGAAGCCGGCAGTATCCTTCTCGAAGGTGGGCGAGAAGGCATCAGAGAAGGTATGAGTTGGGCGCCTGGCCACGGAAGGACACACAGTGGCGCGATACGACTGCAGGGCCGGCCAACTCGGAGTCCGGGACCGGAGCGTTCTCCCACCGACATTTCTCTCGCACAGCTGAATATCATGGACATGCAGGATGAAGTGAATGAAGAGGATTATGATACTGGAGAAGGAACGAGCGATATGGCTGGTAGCCATATACATGTGAATCCCGGACTGCCCTTGGAACCTGCGGACCATCCCCCGCCGGATTATGAAAGTCCGCACGAAGAGGACGGCGACGATGATGAGGATCGGGACGATGACTCTGATAGTACAGCCAGACCGAGAGCTAGCACGACTGCCTCTGAGTATGATGAGCAGAGTCGATTGCTGCATAACAACAGCCCGCCTATACCTACTTATGAGGCGGCCGTGAGGGATCTCGATACTGGGAGAGGTCGAAGGTCTGCGAGGAGAAGCTAACGACCCAAACTATGAGCGAGAGTGCACACGAAGACGACAACGAGAATGAGCATGAAGTTTTCCCCTAGGGAGTATATGATTATCGGCGTTATCTTGGGGGCCGATGATGTCGTATGACAGGCAAAGTGGGTGGACGGAAAGGAAAGAGTGAGCATATGGGCGGATTGCATCAGTACAGCCAGCGTAGTAAGCAATCAATCAGGAAACATTTAGGCGATGCAGGGAATGAACAAAGTCGGCAATTGGGCTGAAGATGGATACCCCGAGGCAGGCAGGTATGGAGTTTGGAGAGAGAACGAAATTTCTGGGGCATCTCACACCTACCTTGCCTCTACCATTCACTCCGTCACGCGCTTGTCACTGTACCGGGATGAAGGTGATTTTTTGATGAAGAATATGACATGAAATACAATGGCCTTCCTTACTCAGGGGCAGTTCTGATGACTATTGTTTTTGGGCCACGGACAGAGCGGGCGACAATGGCATTGCATATGACATGCCTTTTCTAAAGCCACTCTCGAGGTCACGGTGAAGAAGAAGAAGAAGAAGAAGAAGAAGATGCTGATGTTGGCGATAGTGGCGGTCTTGCAATAGGTGGGTGGAGACGCATCGCCCGTCGCTGTACGCGACTGGCTGCATGCTGGAAACGCGCGACTTGCTCTCCTCTTGTTTTTCTTCTTTAAACACAAAACCAAAACAACACCGCACTCCACCAAATCCTCATCCTTCTCTCGAGCTTGCCTCGCCCCTTCAGCACAACATTAACACTGCATCAGTTACTTCTCTCGTCTGCTTTGACGTGATGGCGCAGAACAACAACAACAACCCCGTCTTGGATGTGCTCGGCCGCCGCCTGGCGGACGTCGACCTGCATGACGGCTACGAAGACGATGATGATAGTGATGGTGGCGCGCTCATCGGACCGAGTGACGATGGTGATAGTGATGGTGGCGCGTTCATCGATCCGCACGATGATTATGAAGATGATGATGGAGGCGCCGGCCGCGCGCCCATCGACCTGGACGGCACCTGTGATTCGAGCTCCGCCGCAGCAGTAGCAGCTGCACCATCAGGATCGAAACACTCGCGCCCCAACACCAGCGTCACCTACGCCGTCAAGCAATCGAGATCCGGCATTGGCAAGGTCATCATCAGCTCAGACACTGCTAGTAGTGTCGGCACCAGCTCTGGCAGTGATAACGGGTACATGCGCGCGTCAACCGCAGAGCCGTTATTGATCTTACTGACTCAGACAGGTCTCTGGCATTGTCTGCTGCCGACTCGCATGAGCCACCTCCCCCACTCGTGCCTTCGGACGTGCCCTCGAGGCTCAACATCACATTCAGTCCGATACTGCAGCCTCCGACCTACGGACTTATCATCAGAACTCTTGGAGTTGGACCCGGAGCGGGTTTCGTCAATGTCACCTTTGTAAACTGCACCTTCGACCGCTTCTCGCCCACCATCTTCGAGAACTGCTGGTTGAGTAATGTCACGTTCTCGCATTGCGATTTCCGTGCTTCACAATTTGAGAATGTCGTTATTGATGGAGCGCGTTTCAACGGTTGCACATTCGAGTGCTTTTGGAAAAACTACAAGCTTGAGGAGGAGCTAGTGGCCAGTCATCTGCTGTACCAAGGTATCCATGTCAACGACGTCGTACCGCACGCGATTGTGGTACAGGATAGGGAGCGGAAGATGGCCGAGGTCGATAAGTGGATCGATCACGAAGATCCTGGCCGGAGTGAAAGTGGCTTTGGAGTCATCGAGGGACCTCTCCGACACAAGCGCATCAACACAGTGGAACGTGGCTGGGAAGCATCGAGCATCCCGCTCGGCGTCAAAGGCTTGTCGTTTAACAACACACCTCGGGCAGGGCTCGTTGTGAAGATCAGGAGCGGTGGCCGATACGATGGTATTCAATTCAACAACTGCACGTTCAAAAACACGACATTCGACAATTGTTACCTGGTCGATGTTGTCTTCGAGGGCTGCAACTTCGAGAATGCCAGCTTCGTCGAAGTAGTCCTCAAGGACCGAGTCTACAACAACGTTGGCTTCGACGGATGCAATTGGAAATGGCAAGTGCTTTCCAAACCGGTTACTGTCTCCAACCGGACATACAGACAGCGTCTCGAAACAGGCCTGCACATTCCACAGGCCATAGTCGACCACATTGCGGTCCAAGCCCAAGACGAGAAGAGACATGCAGAGCTTCGCCAAGCTGTCCTCGATGGCGCGCGTCCACTAGTACCACCACCACACCTCCAGCAGAAGCAGCAGAAGCAGCAGCAACAAACCACCGCTCCTCTCGTCGTCGCCAAGCGACAAGTCATCCCTCCTCACGTCGCCGCACGCAATGCGCGAGCCGCGCAAAAGATCCTTCGCAAAGATTTCACCGTCCTGACTGCCGAAGAGGTCCAACGGGAGAAATTGGCGCCGGGAGAGCGTCTTGTGACGGAGACGACGCCGGGCGCGTTTGTGCAAAACCCGAATGAAGTTTCGAAAGGGACGAAATTTGTTCAGATTGCTTTTCCGAGTCGGTGAAGAAAAAAAAAACAAAAAAAAAACAAAAAAAAAAGAAGAGAAAATGACGTCCTTGTCGGTCGTCTTTTTCTCTTCTTTGTCTTCTTTCTCTACGTATTCGACGTCGTCTGCGCCGTTGGCGCTAGATTCTGTCCGTCAGGGCGGTTTGGGGCCCTTGCAGGAAGGAAGGGAGGAAAAAAAGAAGGAGGGAGAGTCTCCATTGTCTCCGTAGCAGTATATTAGATGAGTGTATGCTTTTTTTTTCATAACCTGTGCAAACGGCGTAGTGAGCCTCTTTTCCCTCGGAGAGAAGTTCGTGATTTAAGTTGAAATCTATTGGGCATTTTTGCTTGCCACTATGAAAAGAAAAGGGGGGAATTACTCCTTTTTCGATATAAAAAGCCCCTAGATTGAGGAAGTTTGAGGAAAAACATCCAAGTCTTATCTCTCTTTCCCTCTTACTACCTGACCTTACTTCCCCAACCCCACCCCCCTCCAAAACTCCCCTCGCAATTCCGCCCTACCAATACCACCCCCCAACTGCTCCTGCTGAAAACACCCCAACGCAAAACTCGTAACCGTCCTCGACCCCGACTTCTCCACACCGCGCATTTCCATACACAAATGCGAAGACTCCATGACGACCATCACGCCCCGAGGAAGGATATGATCCATAATCGCGTGCGCGATTTGACGGGTCAAACGCTCTTGAATTTGTAGGCGACGGGCGAACATTTCGGCGATGCGAGGGAGTTTGGAGAGGCCGATGAGGGTCTTGTGCGGGAGGTAGGCGATGTGGATCTGTTGTTTGAGAGAAAAAGGAGGGAGATGAGAAAAGGAGGGGGTTGTTTTTTTTCTTCTCAGGGGGGAAAGGGAGAGAATGAGAAAGGAGGGAGGAGGGGGGATGTGATTATTATTATGTTTAGACCAAGTGTAAGGTAAAGGGAGGTAAACGTCAAGGTACTTTACCTTTCCCATAAACGGCACAAGATGATGTTCACACAGACTGTAAATTTCAATATCCTTCACAATGACCATTTCACTAGCATGTCCCTCGTGAGAGAAGAGTGCGCCGTTCAGGACGGTGGTGATGTCGGACTGGTAGCCCTCGGTCAAGAACAAGAGTGCCTTTGCGTATCGCAAGGGGGTGGCCTGGAGGCCCTCGCGGTCGGGGTCCTCCCCGATGCACTCCAGCAGTGTTCTCACCGCTCCTCGCATTTTTTCGAGCCGTTGCTCGGTCTGTTCGGACTTCTCGTTCATGCGGCTTTGGGTGATGATGCTGCTTTGGGGACCTGTCTCATCATGATCGTGAAGGATCACAGGTGTGGTGGCTGCGGCATCTTCCATGGGCAGTACCTGATGCGGAGAGACTTTGCACTCGTGGGCGGATTCAGTGCTGATGGAGGGATAGCTGACAGTGGCCATTCTTGGCAAGTGGGCCCGGATGTCTGGTATTTGTACGGTTGTATGAGGCTATACTCCAGTAGTCGCGCGAAAGAGGCAAATGAAAGGTGATAAAAAGGGGTAAGTGCAATGACAATTTGCTGCGCAATGTCGGACAGGTTTATATAAGTCATCTACGTCCTGTTGAATGCGACAGCGGAGGCCTCCGTTGTTTGTTTGGTTGCATGGGTCTCTTGTCAGCGAGTGAATGCTTCAAGTTGAGATAAATTCTGCGAAAGCATCGGCTGGCTTCGTGAGGCTTGCTACATGCTGCGGTTGTCTTTCACAATAAGGAAATGGTCGGTACGCAAGTCGGATGCTGTTGATAGTATCGCGTTTGTGCGTCGTGAGAGTCTGCAGTTGCCGTGCTTGCGTGCTTTGCGCCATTTTCTTGAGAAACCAAGGAATGCGCAAAACATGTTAGCGGCGAGTTAGAATTGTCCTCAGCAAACACCTCCTTTGTGACGGAAGCCAAATCTTCGATCTACACTCTCGCGTCAAAAGCCAACTCTCCATCCTGCACTCTCGCACAAAAACCCAACTCTTCACTCCGCACTCTGGTGTCCATTAGCAACCTCCACTAACCTTGTAGTGTCACTGAACCAGAATACACACGGAACCACAGCTGATATGGCGACCCTCAATGAGCTCGAAAAGCTCCTCCGGGAAAGGGCCACAGCAATGGCGCCATCCACGACACAGCTGGACGACTCACAGTACGAGGCTGGTTTCAAGATCCTCTCACAGGGATCAGGGCGTATGACTTACGAAGACTTCATCGTTCCTCAGCTCTCTCGGCTGCTGAAGCCTCTATGCGAGTCACATGGTCGTATCTCGGTGCTCGAGGTCGGACCAGGCCCAGAGAGCGTGTTAGGTTGGCTGTCTGAGGAGTTAAGACAGAAGATTAAGAGATACGTTGCATTTGAGCCGAACGAGCAGTTTGCCGCTAGGCTCGAGGAAGGGTTCTGCCCAGAAGGCGGAGAACGCTCACTGCCATCCCTGGAAAGCGCTGCAATTGTTCGCCGAATGCCATTCACTCTAGAGAGCGGCGGCGCGACTGGTTATGACGAGAAGTTTGACGTCGTCTTGTTCTGTCACAGCATGTATGGCATGAAGCCAAAGCGCGCATTCATCGAACGAGCGCTGAATTTGCTAGTTGGTGGACAAGATGGCGGAATAGTGGTGGTTTTCCATCGTGAGGGGAGCCTCTCTCTCGATGGCTTGGTCTGCTATCGAACGGCTTCTTTTCCTACGGGAATCATTCGAGTGGAGGATGACGATGAGAGACTAGACTGCCTTGCGCAATTCATTGTGGGATTCTCCTTGAAGGATACGGATGCGAAGGAGGCTGTGCAATTGGAGTGGCGCAAGGTATGCCGCACCGTAGGCCGTCGTGAGCAAGACCAGCCAGGCCATCTCTCCTTCAATGCGCCAACTATCATGGTGGCCTTGACCCGACACGCGACTACGTTGCCGGAGCTGATGGCACAGGTGTCATTAGTGAGCGGAGACAACATGATTAAAAATCGGCATGCTCGCCTTCACCAGCCTGCCTGCATCATCAGGCCACAGACCGTTCAAGACATCCAAAAGTGCGTGCGTTGGGCTCTGGATCGCGCATTCAATATGACCATCGTCGGTGGGGGGCACAGCGGCCATTGTCTGCAGCCAAATGTCGTCGCGATCGACATGGGCACCTTCGATCAGGTGGACATCTTCGCCGAGGCGCACGACACCCTAGCCGTCGTAGGGGCCGGTTGCAAGACCGGAGATGTCATCCGCAAGACAATGGCGGCGGGATTCACAATTCCTCTAGGATCTCGCCCAAGCGTAGGCGCGGGACTATGGCTGCAAGGTGGGATCGGGCACCTGAGTCGGCGTCACGGGCTGGCATGCGACGCTGTTGTCGGTGCCGTTTTGGTTAGCGTCGCCTCTGGTCAGGTCTTCTACGTCGGTCGTGTCCCGAGCCCATATCGACCGCCAGATGCAGTGCGCCCAGCAAACGACAGCGAGTTGTTATGGGGGCTGAAAGGGGCCGGAACCAACTTTGGCATTGTGGTCAGCGTGATTTTTGACGTGTTCAAGGCTCGAACTTATTCCATCTACAATTGGGTCGTCCCACTGGATGATCCAAGGGAGGTACGACACAAGCTCGGCCGATTTGACTACCTCGCCAAGTTTACGCCGGACGTTTCTACAGACGGGTATCTGTATTGGGACACGGGGAAGCTGCATCTCGGTATCACGATGTGCGCACATTCCAACGTGCCCATCGATGGACTCACGCGGGCCATGCATGAAAACTTCGGCCCAGCACAGAGTTCTCAGACGGTAGACGGCGTCGGCTTGTTTGAGACAGAGATGTACATGTCTGGAATGCACGGTGGACACGGCGGCGGCAAGACGTCTGCGTTCAAGCGGTGTGTCTTCCTGAAGGCTACCGGCGGCATCGACATCGCTGACGCGTTGCTCGCAGCCCTGGAGACCCGTCCTTCTCCTCGTTGCTATCTCCATCTGTTGCACGGCAGCGGCGGCGGAGTGGGCGGCGTGGCGAGCGAGGCGACAGCATTCGGATGTCGGGACTGGGAGTTCGCGTGCGTGGTGACGGGAGTTTGGGATCGCCAGCACGACGGAAGTGCCATTGCTCGAGCGGCGGAGCGGTGGGTGTACGATGTGGTAGAGCGATGCTTGACTTCGACCTCGTGCACGGGAGTCTACGGCGCGGACCTGGGGCCGGATCCACGTGATGCGCACTTGGCATTGCGCGCATTCGGGCCGAACCTCCCGCGGCTTGCTCGGCTCAAACAGATATACGATCCACACAACGTCTTGGCATACGCCTGTCCACTCCCCACCGCCGCCTGTCCGCTCTCCACCACCTCTCCGCTCCCTACCACCTCTCCGCTCCCCACCGCCGCTCCGCCCACCCGCCTTATTGTCCTGGTCACCGGCCACAGCGGCGCCGGCAAGGACTATTGCGCTCTCCGGTGGGCTTCCTCTCTCCGCGACCAGCACAACATCACAGCGCAGGTGGCCCGCATCAGCGATGGTACTAAACAAGAGTATGCCGCCGCGACGGGTGCCAGTCTGCCGCGTCTGCTGGAGGATCGTGCCTATAAGGAGCACCACCGACCAGCGTTGACTGCCTTCTACGCCGACCAACTGCGTCGACACCCTCATCTGCCTGAACTTTTGTTCAGTCGCATGCTCCACGATGCTGGGGATGTGGACGTGCTGTTTGTGACTGGTATGCGAGATGAGGCGCCAGTCGCATCTTATGCCCACGTAGATTCAGACCGCAGGTTTCTCGAGGTCAAGGTGACTGCGTCTAAAGAGACGCGAATGGCTCGTCGAGGGTATCCGGGCGGGGACGATAACTGTTGCAAGGACCTCCTAGACTGCAGTGACCGTAACAACTGTCCGAGTCTGGTCTTCGAGAATGAAAATACCGCAGACGCGGACAGTGTCGAAACCTTCGCCGGTACCTACATCATTCCCTTTGTTCAACCAGAGGGTTCCCTGCAGCAACTCAAGGACTTGGTGCGCTCCGTCCCTAACTTCCCACACTGGGGCATCGATTTTCGCGATGTGCTCGGCCTCAGTCAACACAAAACCAGCTTGGATTTGTGCACATCTCTATTTGAGACCCACTTCGCAGATGACTGGAGCACAGTCGACACGATTGCTTCTTGCGAGACGAGCGGCTTCGTGTTTGCGACGGCGCTGGCCTTGCGGGTCGGAGCATCATTGGCACTGATCCGTGAAGCCGGCAAAGTCCCTCCACCCAGAATTTCTGTGTCCAAGTCTCTTTCGCACATATCCGCCTTGGGGGTTCGCCATACTACAGGAGAGAAGGCCATCGCGATCGGCCGCGGCGTGATCCGTACGGGCGCGTCCGTGGTCGTGGTGGATGACGTCCTGGCGACGGGGAAGACGCTATGTGCCGTGCTGCAGCTTCTCGCCGAAGCAAGAATCAGTGCTGATAAGATCACAGTTATGGTTGTGGCCGAATTCCCTTATCACCGTGGTCGAGAACTGCTGCGCCAGCATGGTTTTGGCGGTATCCCCGTCCAAAGTCTTCTGGTCTTTGGCGGTTCTTGAACACGTTTCGGGAATCTGCCGCCTTCTCGCCAGGAGTCGACGCCAATCGGGATCATCTGTAGGTGTTGTTGGATTGCATCTCGGTATCAGATCCCTCCATAGAGTCAAGGTATCGTGGAAGCAAATATGTTGTAGTATGTAAAAAGTACAAAAACAAAATATCTCGAGCAGAATCACCTCAAGATGGAAGTGCCCTCCTTTCGTGCTGATTTCAAGTTGTTGCTGTAAGACCCTTGTATCAACATCATGACATCTCAATACATATAGCATACATACCTCATATACCTCAAATACATGTCCATCCTAGGTATGCAACTTACCAACTCCCCCACTCCTGCGGCGTATCGGCCATTTCAAATTCAATCCTCCTCGCACCGACAATCTGACCATGTTTCAAAACCGCCTTCTCCACAACCTTCCCATCGACTTTCAACCCTTTGACAAAAGGTTTCGTCGGAGCCCCAGGAGCAGAAATGATTACCGTATGTTCCTCCTCCTCCTCATCATCCTCACTATTTCTTCCTTCCTTCCCCAGCCGATCCACGCCCCTCGGCCAACGAATCCTCACCTCGTCAAAAAACGGACTTCCAACAACATATTCCTCACTCGCAGGATTCACAGGATAAAAGCCCAAAGCCGAAAAAATAAACCACGCACTCATTTGTCCCAAATCCTCATTTCCGGATAATCCCGCCGACGTAGAATTATAATTTTGCTGTGCAATTTCGCGGACGAGAGATTGTGTGGCGTGGGGATAACCAATGGTCGCGTAGAGATACGGGGCGTGGTGAGAAGGTTCGTTGGAGTGGTCGTTGTGGCCTGACTGGAAGTAAGTGTCGAGTTTGGCTTTCATGTTGAGGCGGCCGCCGAAGAGCTTTGCGAGGCCGAGGGGGTCGTGCATGACGGAGAAGGTGTAGATCCAGTGGTCGCCTTCGGTCCAGCCGTGTGAGGGACTGGCCCAGGAGCCGTTGTCGTTTTTGGCTTGCATGAATCCGGTGGCAGGGTTGTAGATGTTTTGGTAGTTTAGACTTCGTTGGTGGAGTTTTTGGGCGGTGTGGTGGTCCCCGGCATAGGTTGCTACGATGGCGGCTGCGTGGTCGTCGAATGCGTAATCGAGAGTGCGAGATGCGCTTTCTGCCCAGCGATCATTGGCTACGTAGCCTTTGGTCATGTATGTGGTGAGACCGGCTCGGACTTCGTCTGGCGTGTGGCCTTCTCGGTCGTAGTAGAGCAGTGAGGTGTCGTTGATCGGAGGCTCAAAGGCATTTTTCTTAACGGCGGACCACGCTTGTTGGATGTCGAAGTCGTTGAAACCGCGAACCAAAGCATTGGCTATGACTGCGTCAACGTGCGTGCCAATCATGATGTTGGTTTCGACAATGTTGGCCCACATTGGGAGACGCCCGGCCCATTCGTAGATTTGGATCAACGAGCGTATCATGGAGTTAACTCGCTCGGGAGCGAACATTGTCAGGAGACTGTGCTCGCCTCTGAATGTGTCCCAGATCGACCACGATTGGTAGTACGAATCGTGAGAAGAATGTACACTGTCCGTGTAGCCACTGTAGAATGTGCGCAAGCCGCTTGTAGAACTTTTCTCGGAAAAGTCTTGTGGGTATTGCAGCGCATGGAATAAGCTCGTGTACCAGATTGTTCTTTGATCGTGCTCGCCATCGGTCGCATTGAATCCCTTGATGGTGACTCTGCCTAGCTTCTCCAGCCAGGCTTGCTTCAGGTTGTCCACGGCCTGGGTAAAAGACAGGGAGGATGGCGCCTCGCTTTCCAAGTTGAATCGTGCTTGTTCGATGCTCACAAAAGACACCGCAGTGCGAATTTCAACCGTCTTGTGGTCCTGGCTGAATTGAACATATGCTCCGAGATGATCTGTCCTTCCATGAACACGACCGGACTTGTCTTGGTCTCCCTCATGAATACCAAACGCATGGAAAGGCGCCGAGAAGCGAGACACAAAGTAGCCGCTGAAGTTGGCAGCAGGTGATGGGCCAAGTGCATAGTCTTGACGTTGCGGGTTTCGCCCATAGACTTCCCGAAGTTCAGGGTCGATTCTGATTTCGCCAGTCCAGTTCTGTCGTGTAGCTTGTATGAAGACATATGGCAGTGACCCTCCCATCTCAGCGTCTTTAAAGTCGACAAGCATCCGGCCTACATGCTCAGTGGCAGTTATGGCCACCTTAATCGTTCCATCGCCTTGCACCTTGTCATCTGACCTTGCTTCCACAGATTTCGTCTTTCCATCCACGTTCCTGACCCGTCCCTCCACTCCCTCTCTGACGTCTTCCGGCACAGGTTGCTCCCCTCCCGGCACAGGACTGTAAATACTCTCCGTGAGATTGTGCCCCATTTCCACAGTAGCCGCATCCATGACAACCTCATAAACATAAGGCGTACTAGTCTCATCCACTTTAGAAAATCTATGCCCGCGTTTCGTGAATAACGCTTCGACTTTTCCGACTCCAGGGCTGAGAAGGACTTGACCGCTTTCTCCCATCCAAATGGCAGGTTGGTGAGTTGCTTGGAAACCGTGAATGTGGGTGTCCATGTCGTTATAGGGACATTGAGAGATGAAGTTCTGCATTTCGATCCAATCAGCCACTATAAACACGAGCTTCCAGCAGGCAGAATGCACACCTCTCTCGTCACAGCCGTCCATCTTGTCATCCCAAAAGGCATGCCAACACTCGGAATCATCCCCCCGTTACCATTAGGCGTGACTCCGTATGTTCCAATCTTGGGATTGACATATTTGAGGACACCAGCATTCCTATGATAGCCGGACTTCCCCGTTTCTCCTTCTACTTCCTCATGATTCACTGCGATCGGGAAACCTGCCTCCTCTCTAGTCCAAGCGACAAACCAAGTATGAATGTAGACAAGCGATAGCACAATGGTAGTAATAACAGTCAAAGACAGAAACTTTTGAAACGAAGCGCTGGACAGCATCATGATTATCGTTGATTGAGGTGAGCTTTCTTCTTTTCCCCTTCTTTCGTTAACATCCGTTGGCCTTGCTGGGTACAGTCCACTCCAGGAGAGCCATGATCATTTCCGAGTAGAAACTGAGCAATTGAGAGATGTTGATACTTGTATGCTATGTGCAAGCTTGGAAAGGAGTGTCGATAGCTCGATGGCGTTGTTGTTTCGTAGAAGCATGTGTTGATCGAGATCCATAGAGGTAGCTGGAGGTGGAGAAGACAACTCGGGTTGCTCGCAACGGCCCGAGCTGCCTCAACTTTGGAGCCTGGTTAGCCTGGAAGAGAGGAGGCTGGACGACTACGACTGCCCCTCGCGACTTTGGCAACGAAGGGCTATCCCTTACTACATGTAGTACATGACCCCTATCCTTTCCAATCTTGAGCACGATAGTAGAGAGAGGTGAAGTGGTTGATAGACTCCATGTCATTTTGATTAGGTAACTATCAAATCCGCTCCATCGCTACCAGGTAGCATGAATACTACCAAGTAAAGCCCAATTACATAGATATGCTGCCCTCGAGACGCATTTCTTGCTCGACTCCAAGCTACAGTAGCAGTTGCGACTCTGACCACCGCACGGCTACTGTGCCGCCGCTTCATCTCCATGTCTCAACTTCCCCATGTATGTTTCTTCGCTGCCTCGATATCTATCGCCTTGTTGGAGCCCATCGTTTGCGCTCAAAGTTCATCTCGATTTTGTGTTCGACTCGGCCGTTGAAGCGTGACTCGTCTCTTATCATGTCTCCGTGTGCGCAGAAGACTTACTGGGCCTTTTTGGGAGCGGCAGCACCACCCTGCACGTAGCGGTTGATGTCAGTCTGGTCGTGAACAGTCTTGAGAAGACCCTTGGCAGTCTCCCAAGCCTGACGGGCAGCTGGTGGAACGTCCTGGCGCTGGGTAAGAGCGTCACCGCGTGCGCCCAGCTGCTTGATCATGCCCTGCACGAAGGTGCTTTGGCTGATGCGTGCGCGGAGGAAGATGGTGTATAGAACGAGGATGACCCAGCTGCCCTTGACGAAGATGATGGCTGAGCCGAGAATGCGGAACCAGAGGGCAAGTTCGAGACCGGCAACGATGGACATGCTGGCGTCATAATAGTTCTTAACAAAAGCGCCAATGGAGTCTGCGAGGCCGGAAGTTGCGGGCTTTTGACCAGCGGCAGCTGGTGGCTGTGGCTGAAGAGTGGGGAGGAGGATGCCGCGGGTGTAGGTCAGGACGTGGAAGATGCTGTAGATGGCATATGGGAGCAGGGCAAGTGGGTACTGCTTGGAGAAGAGCCAGAGGAGGGACATGGCTAGGCGAGTGTTAGCTTGAGCACTGCGTATCGCATACATACAGGCAGGTGTCTGCTCACCCAAGTATTGCACATTCTCGTCACCAGCGAGGGCCAATGGGCTGCTGGGCTGTTTGCCGCTCTTGACGCGGGCTTTGTAGCCCTTGAACACCACAATGCCGTACGTGGCAGCTGCAGCGATGAAGGCAGTGCGGTAGCTGAACTGCGCCCATTTGCTGTAGTAGTTGAAGAAGATGTAGCTGAGCGAGTAGCGGATGGTGGTAAGGAGGAGCGTGACGTGGCCGACGAACCAGGCGAACTGGAGAGTCTGCGCTGTGTCAGCATGTCCATCTGGTGCTGTCCGTTATATCTTGCCCTCTGTGCGAGCCACGAGGCATATCTGTGGGCTGCGTCTTACCTGGGCAAGATTGAGCAGTCGCTCCTGAAGAGGCTGGCTCGCAGTTGCGGCTGGCGGAGCCATGGTGCTTTGCTCTGCTGAAGAGCTGCCTGGGGAGGATGCGGCGGGGCGTGTGGACTGTCGGGCGGCGGAGATGTGCGCGTGTGCGGTGTGCGAGTGAGGTGTGTGTATAAGGGGGACAAGGTAAGTGAGACGGTGAGGGTGAGAGTGAGGACGAGGGTGAGCTGTCTCTGGGGAGAGCAATTGTGTGAGACAAGGATGTGGTGAGGCTTGTTGTTGGCAAGGTGTTACTTAGAACTACCACGGATCGCACTGGTGGGCTGATAGCGAGCTCTTAAAAGTCTGGGCGCACACGCACTCACGCAGCAGATCAGGGCGGAAAGCAAACCAACGTCATTGCTATCCTGCCATGCATTAAATGTATTTTTTTTAGGGGCAGCCACAGCCACCGCAGTAGGAGTTCCGTCGTCATCTTCCACTTTAATCCACGTACATTTATACCTATAGGTACCGGCTACAGTATACTACACGTACATGTTGTACATCTATACAGCAAAATCCTGCTTCACGTTCACGGACTGCCCTCCGAGCATTCAGAGTACGTGTAGCTGGGATGCCTAGTGCTGCCCACTCATTACGGGAGTGGTCTACTTCTAACGACCAGGCATACCAACTTCGACTCGCTCCAGCTGGACCCGATCATACCTTACCTGTATAGCCTCACTAACATTGTTGCTAATCAGAATATGGACTTGGTCAACTGAGATCGCCCTCCGCTGCCAAGGAACACGAGGGCCAGACTCGTGCTTGTATCGGTCATTCTTTGTATGCCCTAGCTTAATGTGCAGGCTATCCGGCTATGTAGGTAGCACTCTGAAGAGTACCTTAGTACATGTAGTGTTCAGCTTTGTAGCATGTTCAGCATAATCGCTACCTACCTGATGCTTCAACCATCAGACATGTCAGCAGCGTATCAATCAGGTAGCGTACCGATGTACCTTATGTATTCATGTGAGATGCTCGGGTACGCTCCACGTGCTTGTCGGAGTGGACAGCGTTCTATTGCATTGATTGCTTCACACTGGTGCTAGGAGCCTGGGTGTCCTGGTCAAAAGGGAGCCGTTAAGCTGACTGTGATGAAGCAACGTTCGTGCAGTCCAAGTGTGCTACCTCCGTAGTCCGTACCTCGTAGATACATGTAGCATAGCAGTACCGTCCGTCAACCTACCTATAGGTACCTCCGTACTTTTATCGGACTCGGGGACGAATAGCAGCACTACGACATCATCACCGTGGGCTGTCGGTATCCGAGGTACTTTCATGTGGTGGGGTGGGTCTTCATGGGGCAAATGTGCACGCGAGCAGGGGGCGGCTCGAGGATAAACTTCTTTCTCATTGCTTGGCCGTCATTTTTGTGTACAGGCTTTGGACAGCTTCAGACTTTGCTCTTCTCACTCACCATGACCACAACAGCGTCCTCGGACCACCCCTCACTACCTGTGATGCCTCCCTGGAGGTCATCTTGCGACCACCTCTAGCACTCCGGTAACCAACACCACCACCACCGCCACCACCTCCTCCTTCACCACTACCACCCTCAATATCACCGTCCACCCGCCATCATGCGCGGCGCCTGCATCTTCTCGGGCACCTCACACCCAATCTTGGTCGACGCCATCTGCGAGCGACTCGGCAGCAAGCCCGCCAATGTGGACTTGAAGAAGTTTGCCAATGGCGAGACTTCCGTCGAGATCAGTAGGCATCGTCGCATCACAACTCGACGCCATGCCACAGCCTATTGACTCTCGCAACAGAGACTTCGGTCCGCGATCAAGACGTCTTCATCGTGCAATCTGGGAGCAATGCGTATGACTTGTACCCATCATGAACGCTGTGCTGGCTGCCGCTGACTGGCACAGAATCAACGATAATGTCATGGAGATGCTCATCATGATTAGCGCCTGCAAAGGCGGTTCTGCGCGTTCCATCACCGGTAACCATTGCTACCTCCTACTGTCCTGACCGATGATCGTCACACTGACACGGCGCGCCTTCAGCGGTCATGCCCTACTTCCCGTACTCGCGCCAGTCGAAGAAGAAGTCACACCGCGGCGCCATCGTGGCACGCATGCTCGCAAACTGCATGAAGGTTGCCGGCGTGGATCATGTCATCACAATTGATCTCCACGCAACTCAAATGCAGGGCTTTTTCAAGTGTCCCATTGACAATCTCTTCGCCGAGCCCCTCCTGAGCAAGTGGATTCGCATGCACATTCCAGTCTGGGAGGACGCCGTCGTGGTGAGCAAGAATCCTGGCGGCACCAAGAGAGTGACGAGCCTCGCAGATCGAATGGGTCTCAGCTTTGGTATCGTTACCACCGACCGGAGAAAGAGAACACACATGTCGGCGAGCATGTACAACTCCGTCATATATGACTTTGGCACCGATGGCGCGGATGGTCCAAACGCCCTCAAGAAGGCGGCAGAAGAGCTGAGGCTCGAGTCAGAGCGGAAAGAGGCTGCTGAACAGAAAGATGGACCCAAGGAGCGCGACTGGGCATCATCACGGGCACCACACAGTCCTCCGACGGCCCGCGCTGGCGGCAACAGCATCAGACAGCCTCTCCGACCAGGCCCGCAGACACAGCGTTCATCAACATCAGCCGGAGCTTCGTCTGCAGGACGAGCACGAGGTCTGACCAATGGTGAACCCAGCCCACTCGCGAATTCGCACAGACCGGACACTGCAGACGAGGAGCAGAAGACCCGGCAGCACCAACAGTCAGGGGCGACTCAGGCTGGCGACGAAGCCGAGCCGTCGCTGCGACCTTCCCGCACATTCAACTCGCTGGAGCCTCTGCGCCTGGACGATGATGGGTACGAAGAGCCCGAGGGCGACGAGGACGAGGATGATCATGCTCAGGACGTTATCACCGGCCGACTGATTCATGGCCACATTGTCGACGACGACGTGCCATCTCCCAGTGCCTCGCATTATTCTGAGCATCGGACTCACCGCTCTTCCAGCGAGGATGAGAACGTCCCTGACCACATGCTGCAATCGTACATGTCGACCGCTTCCTCTCGCTGGCAGGCCGGACATGGCGACGATGGAGGTGGTGGTCTGGGTGGCACTGGCGATGCGACACATTCCGACGAAGAGGAAGAGGAGGCGCTCACGAACCCCGAAATCGAGACTCGCGTCACTCTCGTCGGCAGCGTGCAAAATAAGCCGGTCATCATCGTTGACGATATGATTGACAAGGCCGGTTCGTGGATCGCAGCGGCCGAGACCGTGGTCAAGCGTGGCGGCGCCAGCAGCGTCTACTGCATGGCCACTCACGGTCTCTTTGGTGGCGATTGCCTTGAGCAGCTCGAAGAGTGCCACGAGATCAAGGCCATTGTGGTCACTAATGCGTTTCCGATTCCAGAGCAGAAGCGCAAGATGTCGAAGAAACTGGTGGTGCTGGACGTCAGCGCACTCTTGGCCGAGGCCATTCGACGCAACCATCACGGTGAGAGCATCAGCCAGCTCTACCACCTCATGAATGAGTAGTAAGGACGGCCCGGACGACCCCGAAACGGGAGTATACAAACGAGTAATGCATGCATATACGGAATGGCGTACTGGAACGGAAAGCATTAGACTTCACACAAAGCACCGGATGTGCTCCCTCTAATCGAGGTGTGAAGGGAGGAGAGGCGGCTACTTCATCTGCTTGGAGCCCACGAAGCGCGAGCTCACCTGATTGATTGCCTGGAATGACAAGCCTTTTGAGAGGGTTTGTTTGTACAGTGCTTTCTACAGGCAGTCGTGAAAATGGTAACTTTACGAGACAATAACAGACCACAAAGAAGAATTTGAAATTCTTCAGACTAATTCCCCTTGCACTTACCCTTTCTAGCGCCGGTGAAGTTGGCTGACCTGTGCCCTTTCTTTTCCCCAAAGAATATCACATTTGATCTGCTGGAGTCAAGAGTATAGTGGTGCTTGTTTACCAAGCAGCAGATGATGAGATCCCCCACCCACCCAGCGATGCAGATGTCTTTAAGCAACTGCCCGAACTTTCTCCTCATTTTCATGAGATCGTTTGGAACGGAGCGCTGGTATATCAAAAAAGCACTTCTTTTACGGAAGGTCGAGAGCGGAAGTTGTGTGCGTCGATGCCTTTACTGGTGTCGTTCGTGCCTATGTGAGGCGTGCTTCCTTTTTTTACATCACGTTTTGTGCGTGTATGTGTGGAAGTGGGTCCTGGACTGCACTCTCGAACATATCTACCTACCTCTTTTGGACAGATGAAGCCTCATGTAGGTAAAAGTCCTGTATGCGAAAGAGGAGGAGAAAAGTCCACCGTTCATGAGTAATGATACCTTGACATGGTCGCATCGCAGTAGGAGAGATGGATGTGTGCATGCGGTGAGGTGTACTCCGATACCACCTTACCTAACCTCACTCGCTTCCACTGCGGGGGTGAGTTGACCTGACCTTCCCATTTCTTTCTGTCTTTCCTGATTATCGGGAGCAAACAAGCGAGCGAACGGCTAGGTAGGTAGTCAAACCCCACTCCAGTCACTCAACTAGTTTCTACTTTAATACAAATACTGCAGCCTGAATGAGCCTGTCTGTCGACAGAAGTCGACCACGTGCACTCTCCCCGTCTCCGACCTCTTCTGAGTGAAGCAACTTCTCCGAAAACACAATCACAAAGCAAAGAATATGAACCTTGCGAATAACTAGGTAGGTATGGACGAATGCGGTAAACTTTCCGTTGTTTGTTGGGGGAAGTTTGCATATGTAGGTACCTGTGTCTTCGGCAAGGTAATGTAAGGTAAGGTAGGTAGGTAGTGAAGCTGTATGCTTATTTCGCGAGCTGTATAAACCTACAGCTACAGGTACTATACCTAGCAGTGCAGTGCAGTGCAGGCAGGCAGGCATTGCTCTTTTTTATTCTCATTTTCCACGAATCAATCGATCTCAATGAGCCCCCGCCAGAGAGTACATGTAGTGAGTGAGGTGTTTTTGTTGGAATGTATAGGAAATGGAAAGTCGGCTCCACGATGCTACGCTACCTGCTACCGTTATCTGTTCTCGGCTAGGAGGCCGCCTACAAACGAGGAGGGAGATACAACAGGTGGTTGGTTTTAGGGCTTCTCTTCGTTTACCTGACCTCGTCCATTCGCATGTTTTATACTTCCGAGCTCTGTCATAACGCGAATACTAGGTACCTAACTATGTAAGGTATACTATGCCCCCTCTCCAAGCAGCCAAGAAATCTCCAACACGTACGCACAGCGGGCTTTTCTTTTGGTGTCGGTAGCTACATGTATCAATTCATCATCCGTAGTGGCGGAGCTTTGCCCTTGTGACCTTGCTAAAAACAACCCCAAGAGACTACCTGTACCTACCAGGCTACCTACCACTTTGCTTCCGGTGCCAAGAATGTATTGGTCTAGGGTACCTACCTCTCCACCTCTGGTACCTCCTCCTCCTCCTCCTCCTTCAAAGATCGGTAGGTAGCTTTTAACCGGCATATCCGCCCGAGAAACTCTCTCTCTGTGTGTATGTCTCGCTCTATCTCGCTAATCGCTACAGCTGGCCGGGGGCCTGCCTTGCGAAAGGGGAACATGTCGAGTTGGGGATAGTAGGTATACTAGTGCGGTACGAATTGGTCCGAGACTAACAAAAAAATCAATGCCGGGCAGTAAGACTAGGTCGGTATTCTTACATTACCGCCTGCCTGATAGAAGGTTAGTTAAGCGAGAGAGAGGAGAAACAGAGCACCGTTTAGGGCAATGGTTTATTATAAATATATACTAGTGCCAAGATTGATGCTTTCTGGTTAGTCGCGGGGTGGGTGGAAGATCAGGTAGGTACCTTTTACCAATGTATATAAATACACTGGACGATATCTTGGATGTGCTCTCCTTGGAACTGACTGGTGTATCCGCCATCACACTCAGGCTCCGATCCGCTGTTCGCTCAGTTTGGTGTTTGGTCTTCGCTACATTGGTGTGTTTCATCTTCCCTTTCGTTTGAGGTTGGTATACATACCTTCCTACCTACATTCATACCACATTCGCTGCACGACACACCCTGTTGTGGTGAGACCAGACCAGACCAGACCAACTTCTTCAAAGAAATCCCACCTCGAAGGAACCTCCTACAAAATGGTCGGATTTACCACCCTCGCCCTCTCCGCCCTCCTCTCCTCCCTCGCAACCTCCTCTCCCATCTCCTCCCCCTCCTCCCTCCTCCCCACCAAACGCCAAATCACCTGCGTCCCCTCCAGCGGCCTCTACATCCTCGTGGCGCGCGGCTCCAACCAACCCGAAGGCGAAGGCAGCGTCGGGCCCGTAGCAAACCTGATCGAAGCTCAATTAGCCGGTTCCTACAGCCACGCCATCGACTACCCGGCCACTATCATCAGTTGGGAATCGAACTATTTCAGTTCGGTGGAAGATGGTATTGAGGATACGAAGAAGAGTATTCAGGAATATGTGGCGGCGTGTGGAGAGGATGCCAGGATTGCGTTGATTGGATATAGTCAGGGGGGTAATGTTATGACGGATACACTTGCTGGGGGTACCGGGAAGCCGGAGCCGATTGCGGAGAGTTATAGGAAGAATAGTAAGTTGATTTTTACCCCTTTTTTCGGGTTTGTGGTCCTGTGGAGTTACCTTATGGTATAAACCGGTATACCACCTCCCTACGAGACAGATGGACATTTGGGGAGGTGGGAAGGTGCTTGAGATGGAGGGGGCCTGCGTATTGGTACTGATTAAGGTCCGTACTAATCCGTTCTCTTCCATTATAGTCGTCGGAGTGGCAGTATTCGCCGATCCAAGATTCAACGCCGGAAAAGCGTACAGTCGGGGAACGTCGACGGAAGATGGCATTTTCGGTCGGGACAGCAGTGCTGCTGCATTGGACACCTGGGCGGACGTGTTGGTGTCATACTGTGATGCGGATGATTTGTTCTGCGCGAGTGGCGGTAGCTTGGATGTGCATTATGCCGCAGTGGAGAAATACTCTCAGCAAGCCGCCGATTTCATTATTGGATTGGCCATGTAGGTAGGTACACCTGCATGTATTTACAAACCTGATATAAAGAGGTACAGTCAGGAGGGATGTGTACATGACCATGGCTACCTCCTAGGAAGCCAGCCTATCGATAAGTCACATGATGCCCATCTTGTCTGATCAACCTAGTCATAATTCAGGTACGTTATCGATAACCCCCGCCGTACGTCATATGACTCGCTATCCACAGGTTTGACGCTCCGGCAGGCAGGTGCGGGCAGGTTTCCAATGCCGCTTCTTCCATTTTTCGTATTCAATACTTCTTCTTCTTCTTTTTCTTCTTCTTGTTTTCTTTCTTCTTCTCGACCGCATACTACTTACTAAATACATCCCCCTTGTTCTCCTGGTCGCCATGGTCGGCAATACGCACGACGTCGGCAGCGCCGAGGAGCAGCAACGGCATCTGGACGGCGAGAATCATGAAGGAGGGGGCATGTTTGGCTCGCTGAGGAAGAAGCTCCGAGATACCAAGTTGCACGACGTCAAGGTATGTCTGTGGCCATTACGCGACATGCGGGGGATTGGAATCGAGAGGAGTGGAGTGGAGCGGAACGGAAGCTCACCAACGACGCTCTATCTAGATTGGCGCCGTTCACCTGAAGCACCGCGTGGGCAAGTTCGAGAACCTGATCAATGCGAACCACAGGCATGACGAAGAGCATGAGCAGAGGACAGATGCCAAACGGACCAAGATCGCGGAACACCATCGGTTCCAGAGTTTTGCTCCGGAACGCGACGGCAACCTGATCAAATGGTATATTGATGGCCGAGACTACTTCCATGCAGTCTCGGTGGCTCTGGAACGAGCGAAGGAGACCATCTACATTGAAGATTGGTGGCTGAGCCCCGAGCTGTTCCTGCGAAGACCCCCCTTCCACCACCAGCAATGGCGACTGGACAATGTGCTCAAACGCGCCGCCGAGCGAGGCGTCAAAATCTATGTCATTGTCTACAAGGAAGTGGAACATGCTTTGACTTGCAATTCTCAGCATACGAAGAAGGCTTTGGCTGCGCTGTGTCCAGAGGGAACACCAGGACATGGCAACATCAATGTGATGCGGCATCCCGATCACAATGTCCTGGAGAATGCCTCGGACATGACATTCTACTGGGCACATCACGAGAAATTCATCGTGATCGATTACGATATGGCCTTCATTGGGGGTCTCGATCTCTGCTTTGGCCGTTGGGACAACAGACAACACGTTCTTGCCGACGCCCACCCAGCAGGTGTGCAGAATGAAATATTCCCCGGTCAGGACTTCAACAACAACAGGATTATGGACTTCCAGTCCGTGAACGATTGGAAGAGCAACGAGGTGTCCAAGGCGGACTTTGGACGAATGCCGTGGCACGACGTCGCCATGGGCGTCATCGGACCTTGCATTTATGATATCGCAGAGCACTTCGTTCTGCGATGGAACTTCTGCAAACGTGACAAGTACAAGCGCGATGATCGCTATGACTGGCTGACGATGACGGGCCGCACTGGGGAAGATGAAGATTTGATCGGCGTGCAGAGGCCGAAGCATCCGGTGGGAGATTATATCAATCATCCACTTTCACCATTGCAGAACAAGCGCGGCAACCCCAAGCAAGGCAAGACGAGACAACACCCGGACTCGCAGCAAGGCGCGACGCAAGAAGACGCCTCAGAAGATGCCGCCGAGGAGTTCTACGACACCGTGCAAGACCTGGATGAGCATGGCTACACTAAGGATCAGCACAGACGAGGCCATGGACTGCAGAAGGAGCTCAAGGAGCATGGAATTCATCGACCAGGACACAATAAAGAGAGTCTGGTAGAGGACCACCTCAATCCCGAGCATCAGCAAAACGCCCATGTCACAGGAAATGACCCGAAGAACGAGGGCACGGTGTCCGCTTCGGGAGGAGTTGACGAGAAGCGCAAAGGCTATTCGTCTGATAAGGTCAGCGATGGCATAGTAACCTCGCAAGGGACGGTCCACGCACAGCTCGTGCGATCCTCAGCTGACTGGTCCTCTGGTATTCTCGCGGAGCAGAGCATCCAAACGGCGTACTGTCAAGTCATTAGAGCGGCTAAGCACTTTGTCTATATCGAGAACCAGTTTTTCATCACAGCAACCGGTCCGAATCAGGCCCCTGTGCATAATCTCATCGGTGCAGCAATTGTCGATGCTGTGGTCGCCGCTGCGAGGGAGAACCGCAAGTTCAAAGTCATCATCATGATGCCCGCCATCCCGGGATTTGCTGGAGATCTCAGAGATGACGCGGCTGCGGGCACGAGAGCCATCATGGACTACCAGTACAAATCGATCAACAGAGGTGACGAAAGCATATTTGGCAAGGTCAAGGCTGCAGGCGTTGATCCTACTGAATACATCTTCTGTTTCAACCTTCGCTCATACGATCGGCTCAACAAAACGCCAGGTCTGAAGAAGCAGGAAGAGGAGAGTGGTGTGTCGTATCAGGAAGTGCAGCGTGCCGAGGCCGAGGAAATCATGTCAGATGCCGTCCACGCCAGTGAAGAGGTCGAAGGTGGTGGCAAAGCCGGCTTTCGAGAGACTGCCAAAGAGGGCAAGTTCAAGGGCTTGTTCAACAAAGCACGAAGGACCAGTGTCGACATTGATGAGAAGGACAAGATACACCCCGAAGATGAGAATGACGACACGGAAGCGTTGATGGCGAAGAAGAAGAAGTTTGAAGCACATCGTGATGAGCATTTTGATGAAAACGCGAAAAGCGCCGACAGTATTGCAAAAGACGCGATGCTAGGCCAGAAGAAACCTAGCGAGGAAGGTTACGATGGCCGCACTGCAGACGGCAAGAAAGATGGCGACGACGAACAGAGCGAGGAGTCACGACAACAGGAACTGGAGAATTTTGTGCAGGAAGAACTGTACATTCATGGAAAGGTAAGATGCTCGCGGCTTTTCGCCCCGCTGATACATGTACTGACACTACTCCTCCAGGTCCTCATCGTCGACGACAGGGTCGTCCTCTGTGGTTCCTCCAACATTAACGACCGAAGTCAGCTGGGTTTCCACGACTCCGAACTCACCATCGTAATGGAAGACACACTCCCCTTGCCATCCAAGATGAACGGCGAACCATACCAAGCTGGCCACCATGCCGCCACACTCCGCCGAATGCTCTGGCGTGAACACCTTGGCCTCCTGCCGCCCCAAGATCTCGACGCCGAAAACGACCCGAACGCCCAGCCGCCTGGGGACGCCGAGAACGATTGGTGCCATGGTGACGAATGGGATCAGTTTGTTGAAGATCCTCTGTCCGATGAGCTTTGGGACATGTGGACTAAGAATGCCACTGTCAATACCAAGATATTCAGACACTTGTTTCATGCTGACCCAGATGACAACGTGAAGACTTTGGAAGATTATGATCGTTTCCTTGGGGCCAAGGGCAGCAGGAAGGCGGGACATATCTATGATCAGTTTCAACCTGTCGAGATTGCGAGGCGGGAATTGGACAAGATCAAGGGGCACATTGTATGGATGCCTCTGAGATTTCTGGAAGATGCGAATTTGGCGGAGAGAGGGTTGCAGGTCAACAGTATCACGGAGAGTATTTATACATGAGGTGGGGGATGCAGGTATTGTTACAGTCTTGAGGGGAGGTAATGTGGGATGGAATGGGATTGTTGGCCGACCTTTTGTTCGTGCATTAGAAGAACGACAGAAACCGAGAACAGTCTTCATTGCAGTTTTGACTCCTCTTGCACTTCCAAAGCATCCTTCTACCCTAGCTTGAGCAGGAAGACTCGGAAAACAGTCCTCTTGTCGCTCCCACTGCTGAGTGAGCTGGATAAGCAACTCCAGACTCTTCTTTCGTTCCGATCGAGAAGATGACCTGCATCTACCTGGGAGGGCAGGTCTTAATAATCGGAGATGCTACATGAACTCTCCTATAAAATGCCAAGCGAACGGCACGTTAGCCGGGGAGCTCTGGAGGTATGAGGAGTACCTCTACTATAACAAGTACGTACTCGGCGAGCTGTGAGATCCAACTACTTAATCGAAGTCCCACTCGGGAGGTCTAGTGACAGAATTAATAACTACTTCTAGACAAGTCTAACGGATCTAGTATTTCCACTATGCCTCACCGAGAAAACAACTTTACCATACGCGAACTGCATCCTTCTTTCGCAGCTGAGATATCTGGCTTGGACTTCTCTCAGCCCATTCCAGACTCCACTTTTGAAGAACTTCTTGCTGCGATCGCCAAGGTGCGTGTCTACGATCTTACACTCCCTTCGATATCGATATCAGACTCTAATGATAGTACTTTTCCATTGCAGTACGGTGTGATTCGGTTCCCTCAAACCGGACTTGACGATGCCAGACATGTAGCTTTCGCGGCCAAATTTGGAGAACTGGATGATATTACTCCTCATACCAAAGCAGGGAAAAAGCACCGTCTGGACTTTCCCGAACTGTTCGATGTTTCGAATCTGTTGGAAAATGGGGACATAGCGCCTTTGGATTCGCATCGGTCGGCGATGAATAAAGTGCGTTGGATCAATATCTACCTACTTCCCCCCCGCCCCCCCCCCCCCTTTTTTTGGCTTCAGGTCTTTACTATACCTGAGGAGATGAATGATATTGTATGCTAAAATCACATCCAGGGCAACAATCTCTTCCACGTGGACAGTTCCTTCAATCCGCGACGAGCCGGCTATAGTATTCTTCGAGCTCACGAGCTTCCTCCCGCTGGTACTGGAGGAGCCACTGAGTATGCGGATACAAGAACAGCATTCGACGACCTTTCAGAGGATTTGAAGCGTGAACTTCTTGAAAATGATTATGTTGCCTGCCACTCTCTCTATCATTCTCGCAAGCTAGCGGCTCCGGATGCTCTCGAAGGCGTTATCCCTGAGGATCACTTCATGGCGAGACATAAACTGATTCAACGACATGAAGCGAGTGGGAGATGGAATATTTATATTGCTGCGCATGTGCATCATCTCGAGGGCGTTGCTCCGGAGAAGTCGAAGGAATTGATTGATGCATTGTATCAGCATGCTTGTCAGTCGAAATATGTGGTCAGTATCCCGTGGGAGAATGCGAGTGATGTGATTCTGTGGGATAATACTTGCGTTATGCATCGAAGTACGGGTGGGAGCTTTGAGGGCAAATACAAGCGTGGTGAGTGAGATCTTCTCTCTTTCTTTGTGTGTGGTGGTGGTGATGAATGCGTTCAATGACTGATGACATGGCTACAGATATGCGAAGAGCTACAGTACATGATGGTAGCTCCCAGGCCTGGGGTCTCAATGATCGCAATGCCGAGAGAATGGGCATTCCATAGGGTATGCAACTTGTACCGCGACATGGCAATCTGTAGTGTATGCGATTAGCCACTGGCGACATGGCATGAGGCGGGCTAGTATCAGGTATGCTCTTGTATCTTGCTGTCAATAAGTCTCCTCTTCCTCTTCCTCCTCCTCCTTTCAATCTGCAGAGGCACCATGGTGAGTATCGTTGATCCCATTGGCAAACGGGTGATTGGCTCCAATCCTCTAGGCACGCAAGCCGCCACATCACCCCCTGAGACACACCTTCGTGGACCAGAAAATTACGACACTCCTCGCAGCAGGGATATATTCAATGTCGCTCGTAGACTTGAAGTCAGTCGACCACCAGTTTCTCCCCTTCAGCCTCCTCAGCGGCCGTGTCTTCTCCAACAACTTCTTCGACTGATAGGATATGGCGGCAACAACAACAACAAGAAAAAGAAGAAGAAAAAAGAAAAACAACCACCCCGACCAGAAATCCGTGTCATGACCATTGAGAATTTCCAAACTCAACGTCACACCTGCCAATATCAGCGTACCTATAATCCCACTCATCGTCTCCTCCCCGAAGAACACATCGCAGCATGGCGAAAAAGACAACAACATGAACGAGAGCAAATTTCCAAAAATAACAACAACATCTCCTCCAAACGTCAATTCCACGGCCCCATTCCTAAACGTCCCAATATCGATCCCCTCACCATCAAAAATCTCTCCCCCCTCGAACTCGAAATCTACCACACCATCCGCCCCATCGGCCGCTGCGCAACGTTTACCCCTTTTACCCCTGTCACCCCTTTCAGCTCCTCAACTCGCAGAGAACAAATCATGCTCGTCCACCCAACCGACCTCCCTCATCTCCAACACATTCAAAATCTCGTCCGAGAAATTTCTCCGCGAGATAAAACTTGCATGGTGAAATCTTTGGAGGGATTACTAATTCCGCAACTTGTGGCTGTGCTGAAAATTTTGTTGCTCACGAGGCCGGAGGTGAGAGTTACTTCGAGGTCGGGGGAGGGGGAGGGGGGAGGAGCGGGGAAAGTTGGGTTGAGAAGGCCGGCTTCGTGGGAGATTTTTGCGGGGGGTGTGAGGGATTCTTGGGAGCAGGTTAGTGTTGTTAGTGGTGGACTGGGAGGGGCGGTGGAGGTAGAGAAAGGGAGGATGGAAGATGTTGTTGCTGCTGCTGCTGCTGGAGATTTAGGGGGTGAGAGGGGGAAGGGTCAGAGAAAAAAGGAGAAGAAAAGGAGAATTCGCGATTGGTGGAGAAGTTCAAAAGATCAACCTCCTCCTCAACAGCAGCCATTGTCGATTTTCAAATCCTTTTCACAAAAAGAGTTTATGCCCGAATTGACTCTCGACTCTTCTGCTTCATCCTCATCCTCATCCTCATCCTCATCCTCATCTCAAAACAAGAAAAATCCCCCCTTCCAACCCCACCTCCGAGGCGGCGGCGGCGACGCTTCTACCAACAAAGAAGCAAAATCCACCCCTTTACCCTTCGTAAGGACCGCTCGAGCCTATCTCGGACGCAGTAGCTGCTTGAACGATGCAGAACGCGTTCCCAGGACCCTCTTCTTGCTGGCGGGGGGTCGAGTGAGTCCGAGGATGAAAGCTCCCACTGCAGGGGAATTGCGGAGGAGAAGGCAAGTGGAGAGAGTGAATCGGAGGGAAGTTGGGTTTGTGGGGACTTTGTTTGGGGTTAGGAGGGTGTGTAAAGTGGAGGGTGATGGGGTGGGAGGTGGTGGCGGGGAGATAGGGGCTGATGGCGGCAATGGTAATGGTGATGGGGGGTGAGGGTGATGGGGCAGTAGAGGTTGTTGGGGAGGGAAAGGAAGGGGAGGAGGAAAAGGCTGTTTTCATTCCCTCCCAATTGCATATACCTACCTAGGTACCTTAGTCAAGAACATAAAACATGCCTTTTTGCCAAAGGTCTGTTTTCGTAACTGTATAGAGCTGCTGCTCCGCAGAAGAGAGCTGGAAATTCCATTTTGACTGACCAACCCCATGAGGCAGAGAAAGAAGCTTGTTGCTCGCCCGCGAGGAGTCAAACGATTTGTATCGTATCACTCACGGACCCGTCACACTCAGCATTCTCATCCTCAACTTCATCTGCACTACTTCCACGAACGCCTCTCGACTCGGAGAACCTTTTGCTCCTGGAATGTCCAAAAAGAACCGCACATCCTCCGCCTTTCTGGGGACTTTCCCATCGTGTAGTCTCGATCCTGGCAGTCTCGCCACAAGCTCTAGAGGACTCTTCTCCACATCTTTGGGGTCTGTCAATTGTTGTGCCCAGACTCCATTCCAACCTTTCCAACCGATCAATGTTTCTGGATAACATGTTGCTCTCCAGATGCTGGAGCTCCAAAACTCGTCCGAGATCTCCACAGTCAGCTCGCTGATCGCGTCTTTGTCTGTCTGGAGTGATTCAAAGAGTTGGCGCCAGACGGTAGGATCTGTCTGTGAAGAGTAGCGGAGGACAATGCCGAGCAGTTTGTGCTCTGGAGCGGTGTGGTCTTGCAGGAAGGCCAAGCAACGTTCTGGTTTGTCGTCGAAGTGGAAGCGTCGGTCGTAAACGTGCGTGATGGCGAGATCGTAGCACTGCTTGGAGGCAGACAGAAACGGAATGCAGAAATCGAGGCTAAACGAGTCGGCCTGCTGCTCAGGGGAACGAGGTGTGACAGTGCTGCAATATGGCCAGCCGTGGTAGGTGAAAGATGGAGAACGGAAGCCAAAAGGGCTGCGGATGGTGTACGTGGATTGATATGTCGTGTTTTTGGACGGAGACGAGACCGGAACGTCGCTCTGGGGGATGTTAGCATCAGTCACAACATATAGGTACGGTACGCGCCCGCCTTACCATCATCACTGCGTTGGAATTCTTGTCGCGCGGGCGAGGGAACAGGTGTGCCACTATCAGATCCACCACACGGTCAGGTAGTTGCAGTAGCTCTTCCTTCCTCTCCTGACAAAACACTTTCGATTCCCCGTCCTGCACTACATTGGCTTTGCGCGCCCCGAGGGGGTACAATATCCGGGTCTTGCTGAAGACGCTCGTCGGCCTGGCCTTGAGCGAGAGAGTCAGTCTCGGCCGCTTCTCATCCTTGGTATCGCGCACGAAGCTGAAGCCAGTCACCATGGCATTCGCTAGTCCGACTCCATCCCAGAGAGCGCAGATCCACTTGATGTCTCGGAGCCACACATTGCGAAAATCGACATTGCAGAATGTCACGTTCTTCAACTTCAGGTCCTCAAAGACGACATCTGCGAAATTGCAATTCCGAAAGGTGACACTGTCCAGGTCGCAGTCGCGGAGGGTAAATGCCTGAAGGTCGCAATCAACGGCGCGCACGTTGTTGACAAAGCAGCGTTTGTAGGACACGTCGTTTATTGGACCTTCACCATCCTCGGGCGAGGGTGTTGGCTGCAGCAGTCTTGAGGTGCGGTCGCGCTGCTGGGGTATGGGCGTGCCTGCTCGAGGTATGCGCTTCCGGCCGCGGTCTCCATCTGTGTTGTTGTTGTCGCAGCAGCTTTGTTGCTCGTCAATGGGTAAATCGAGAAGCGGCACCTCCTCCGCCGGTCGCTGGCGCCGCTGACCCAGTATTCTTGATTCGCAGTCTTCGCACAAAGTTAGTACCTCGGCGATCGCACGCAGCTTGTCCACAGGATCTGTCATGCTTTGTGATGTGGTGGTCGTAGAAGTCGTAAAGGTCATGTTGATGTCTGGAAGTGGGGAGCGACTTCACTCAAGGCGGGCCAGTAGCTGCGCCAACCTACACCCGAGCACGCAATCATGTCACCAATTGTCTCCCGACAGAGCGAGCGCGTGCCCTACTGAGAGTTTTCATGCAAAAGATATCAAGACCAATCGTCCATTTTCCCATTCACATCCACCAACGCCGCGCTAATAAGCAGTATATACGCGTCGCCCGTCTCAGATCAGACAGACACCTCTCCCCTCACTTCTTGGGTGCAACGAACAGCTCTGGCTTCATGTTCAACTTGCAGAGCTTAGCTATACACCCAGCAAGCTGAAGATAGGTCTGTACTCCCTCCAAGATCCGCATGTGAGTGAATCCAATCTCACGAATGAATTCCAGCTTCGTGTGCTCTGCGAGCGAAGGAATCGTTTTTGTCACTTTGAACATACTGCTGATGATGTCGTGGGACGAGTAGCCCAGTCCCCTGACCAGATGTTAGCACGTCGTGAGAGCTTGTGTATTCAGATAGCAGGGAGAGCAACTCACCACAACTCCTTCAGAGCGTCCAATGCCTCATCCACATTCCGTTCATGACAACTCTTGATCATAGCCTGCACCTTGATCGGATGCGGACTATCTACCACTCGAAACACATTATCCGAATTCACGAATCCAAAGCCAGCATGCGTACTCTGCAAGTTGTTGATGGCCTGCCTCATATCTCCCTCCGCACTGAACACCAACGCCGCAAGCCCATCATCACTGAACTGCACGTTCTCTGCCTTACAGATCTGATTGATCCTCTTAACCACCTGCGCATCCGTCAAACGCGCATATCTCAGGATCGCGCATCTCGATTGCAAAGGCTCAATAATCTTGTTGCTCTGATTACACGCGAACGCGAATCTCGTTGTGCCCGAATAAATCTCCATTGTCCTTCTCAAAGCCTGCTGCGCTCCACTGGTCATACTATCCGCCTCATCCAGGATGACAATTTTCTGCCTCCCGGGCGGAAGAGTGACCTTCTTTTGAGCAAACCCCTTGATTCTGTTCCTCACGACATCGATACCACGCTCGTCAGAAGCGTTGAGTTCGAGGACGGCTTCTTTGTAGGCTTCCCCGAGGAGCTGGCGGGCAAGGCAGAGGACGGAGGTGGTTTTTCCAATCCCAGGCATTCCGCTGATGATGACATGGGGCATGTTGCCATCTTTCGCAATGATCTTGAGGCGTTCGATGGTTTCGGTGTTGCCGACAATGTCGTCGAGGAAGACGGGACGATATTTCTCCACCCATGGAAGCTCATAGTTGGAAGGCGTGCCGTTGGCGTTCGCCTTCACACCGTTAGAAGCAGCTTTGGATGATTCGGCCATATTTGAGGGAGAAGAGTGGTAGTCGTGGTCGTGGTGTTGGTGGACGTGAAGAGCGAAGAACGTACATGAACTATTGGCACGAACACTGGATCGGTCTGAACCACGCGACGTTGACGCGTAAATTGTATGACACGTGCATAAGACAAGCATTATTATTATGCATGCATAACTATGGTAGGTAGCTATCAGGGGTACCACCAGTATGCAAATCGTGGCAGTCCACTGTGCACGCCACAAGCCTACAAGGCGCATCAAATCTTCAGCCGTGCGTCCCTCGCGGCAGCCTCTCTGGCCCCAGCAGCACGATCCAAAAAGGACTCCTTCTCCAAAAAACGATTTCCGCTTCTTTGGTACATGTCCAGTTCATCCTTCAAACCCTCCTCCTTCTCAACATAACTCTTCCAATCATACTGGCTCATCTGCACAGTACTCAACTTTTGCGCTTTCTTCTTCGCATCTTCCCTCCTTTGCGCCAGCAGGACGTCGATGCGACTCGGTGCTCTATGTCGTAATTTCTCCGGCGGGACTCCTTTGACCAGACCAGCAGGGTTAGGCTCGAACATTGACGGCCTGCGTAAAGGACGATTGGTCGCCTTTGATGGGTTTGCTGCATCTGTCGCAGTGCTGGGCGCCGCTCTATCGGGATCTAGCTCGGGATGTTCTCGAAAGTATTGTATTGCTTCTTTGGAAGTCCGTGATACCTCTACGTCAATGTAGGTAATTTCTCCGGCATATTGGCTTTTTCGTTTGATCGTGACCATTTGTTTTGATGCTGCTTCAGCCGAATTTTCCTTGTTACCTTCTGCGCCGGCATCCATATCTTCAACATCGAGTTTCGGAGGTGGTAGGGCGACTCGTCCAACTGGTATACTGCTGAGCTCTGCCCATAATTGGTCCACATCGATCGTCACCGCGCCCTCACGTACGCCCTTCTTCCGATTCCTGCGCTCCTCTCTCTCGACGGCACGTTGCCTCCGGGTGCGTACAAAGCCTCCTTCGCCGCCCGAGTCCTCATCGTGTGCTATATCCTTCTTCCTCCGCTTGGTTTTGCGCTCTTTGATTGTAGCTTCATCTCCTGAATCCAGATCGAATTCGGGCGCCTCTACTTTCCTCTTGCTGGGCTTCTTCTTCGTTGTTTTGCTCGAAGCGTCGTCTCGATCCTCATCGTCATCTCCCGATGATTCAGAATTGTCGGCATCCTCCTTCACTTGGTCTGGGTTGAAGTCCTCGTCCGCGTTCTCGTCATACTCCTCTCCTGACTCTTCCTCATTGCGGGTTACGTCTTCCATGTCCTCGTCCATAGCGATGTGTTGGGTCTGTTAATCAGGTTGGTCGTGTTGAAATTCGGGCGCGAGCGAGCCAGACGCGAAGGTGTCTCCGGCGGCCGCACTACCTCCTAGCCGAATATGACGCGCGAGAAGGGAAGGCGGGGCGGGCCTCTCTCCGGATGATACCCGTTGGTAGAGCTAACTGGTTCCAGTCCCAAACATATTTCATCCCACTCTTCATCGGATAAAAGTGATGTGTTTCGACAACGTGCTGAGCGAGAACGACGATAACTATTCCACCGAGGATCATTGAAGTCGTCAGGCGTGTGCCAGCTGGAAGATGCCCATACCGAAGAAGCCACAGACCGACGGCTCTTCCACATTTGAACCGGACCAGTTCTTCGAGACCTGGGCCAAAGAAGACTTCACGCTGCCAATTGACAATGACTTCCGCAAGTTCATCATCAAAGCGTTCGGACTTCGCGTGCGGGATACATACGCCTATAAAGCAACGGCAGAGGTGACGTTAGAGCAAGCGCAGTCACATGTTCAGGCAGGTGGCATTAATGGCTTGCACGCATGGTATCGGGATGGCGAAGGAAAGCCGGTAAGCAGATACATACGCGACGTCGGACTCAAGTGACGAGATCGTCCTCTCATGTCCCGTATATAGTCCTAAGACTCTTTTCAGAGGCCCAATCCAAGTGCCGCCGATATCACTTCCTACACCGACATTTTCCGCCCGACCACTGTAACCTCGAAGGCGCTCACTGCCCTCGGCTCCAATGCAAAGAAAGAGTCTGTCAGAGCGGATATCGCTCAGCATCTGCAAGCCTTGTATGCTCCGCCAGACGCTGCGCGTAAACTTGTTGTGAACAAGTCCAAGCTCCACGTCAATCCGTACTTCGACGTTTCCGCATGGGCGAATCAGAATCTCGAATGGGCAGGACCAGAGGACAACACAGTGAATGTGCGATTCAGTCATGCCATCCTGCCTATCCTGTACCACCACTTCGGTTGTGTATGTCCGTCATACGAAGCGTTGTCGTACATACAGCAGGTCGCAAAAGGAAGGACAATCCTTGATGTAGGAAGTGGAAACGGTTATTGGACCTATATGCTACGAAGGTTGGAGACCAACCCCAAGAAAAAGCTGAATGTGATCGCTGTAGACAATGGGTTGAGCGAGTGGAGAACGATGTGGATAGGCGACACCATCGCGACCGATGGGCACAAGTGGCTGCAACAGAACCAAGGAGGAAAAGACGGCGTGCTCTTGCTTGTATACCCCATGGTAGGACTCGAGTTCACGTCCAAGATGATTAAAGCTTACGGTAAGTCTGAGGCTTCTGGGTCTGCCTCGCCCAATCTCGCTAATTACGTGCTTGCAGACGGTACGACAATAATCTCAGCGGGCGCTCAGAATGCTAGTGGTTTCACGGCTTTTGCGAAAGAAACCATAGCAGATTGGATGGCACGAGAGCTGCCCAATTGGGAGAAGGTACTGCAGGTTCCACTTCCATCATTTCCGGGCAAAGATGAAGCACTCTTCATCTTCGAGAAACGGGACGAGTGATGGTGTCAAAGTGGAGGAAGCCAGGTTGTAGACGAGGGTGTCAATCGAAAAGCTGCATCGCATTCTGCAGTGCTTGTGTCGGACTATCGATCCGCAGACTCTGGTATGGCGGATGCCCTCTGGCTGTATTCAGCATTGATCCATCGCGTGGTTCTTTCTCCCTGCAGCCATCTCTAAATGGTGTCGATTGAGGCTACGACGATTATAGGAACCACCACCACCACCACCCCATGTTGAGCGCCCGAGCTCTACCTTTGTAGCATTTACATATATAATAGGTAGACATACAGCACAGGCATATCTGATTTGCACGAGCACGGCCCTTCCGCCAGTCCAGACCTCGGCAACTCGCGGCTCTTGCTGATCAGAAACAGAGAGGGACCAAAGACCGAACATCCCCACAAGGACTTGTGCAACCCTCGCTCCCCGGGTATAACGATGATGGACATTACGCCCGGGCCCATGCAGGATGCACAGATTGGCATTGATATGCTGGACACTTTGGAGAGTACAGACACCATCCACGATACTGGCCAAGTCCCTGGCGATGCGGAAACCTTGGACCGCTCGACCAACGATATCAACACCAACAACAGTATCGACACCAACGATATCGACACCAACCCACACACTCCCTTGAAGCCATCGGGAAGCCCAACAAGTACGGGAAATAATGACAGTGACCAGAAAGCAGCCAAGCCCAAACAGAAGCGCAACAAGCCCACGCTCTCGTGTCTGGAATGTGTCGAAAGGAAGACGAAATGTGACCGCGTTCGACCATGTTGTCTCGCGTGTATCAAGCGGCAGAGCGCCTGTGTATACACGGCCGTCGCCAATCTGATATTGGCCACATCAGATCGCAAGGGCAGTACTTCTCATCCAAGCAGCAAAGCTACTCATGTCGTCAGGCCGCCCAACAAGGCTCGCCGGACGAGCTTGATGCAGTCACCGTCAGGAACGTACGCCTCGCCAACACTGGCTGACAATGGCTGGCCTTCTCTTGACTCGAAAACATATGGTCCGCCTGTGTCGAACGGCGGCGATCCACCATTCAAGTTCTCGCATATACCAATCTCGCAGCAGCCTACGCCGAGTAATGTCTTCGGCGTGGGCTCGCAGCATCCTTTCTCCAATTACTGGACATGTCAAGGTGGACTGCCAGAGGTCATTACGGTACTCCCTAGTAAAGACCAGGCCGACTTACTTGTGAATAAGTACTTTGACATCTTCGACACCGTGTACCCCTTCCTGCATCGGCGAACATTCTATTCGGACTATGAGACTTTCTGGGCACTGCCGGCGGAAGACAAGGGCAAGACAGATGCCTCCTTGATAGCTTTACATTACGCCATCTATGCACTTGGGACGCAATTCATGCAGTCCACGCCTTTTGAAGAACGATCCCAGACCGCGGAATTCTACTGCTCTGCGGCAAATCAAGCCTTGCGTGTCTATTCGTACCTCAACCGAACGTCAATGCAGGCCATACAAGCAATGCTGCTCATGTCTTACTTTCTCATGAACGACAACCACGCCAGTGATGCGTACGCCTTCGCAGGCATTCATCTGCGTCAAGCCTTTGCGATGCGACTCCATCGAGATCCTGAAATTGTCGTGCCCGAGGCCTCGATATTGGAAAAGCAGCAACGACGGAAGCTGTGGCAGGCAGTATTTTTTCATGATACTTTTCTTACTCTCCTGCTGGAGCTTCCTCCCACAGCAACGCATAGCGACGTCCCAGTCGAATCGCTTTCGGACGAGAATGAGCTCAGCAACGATGGTCTCGACGTATGCCTGGGCTCACATTCCAGAATCGAGAATCTCATGAGCATCAATGTGATTGCGCCCCAGATTCCCGAACCACTCGTACCCCCACAACCGCACCATGTGATTGATGAAGCCACCTCCAAAGCCGACATTGCATACATGCGAGCCATGTGGCACCTGGGTAATCTCGTACAGGACAGTCTCTCGTCTGCACTCGCATTATCCATTCCTGTGGCGAATAGCGTACGGCATAAAGAATCCCTAGTCACCGCATTTCGACGTTTATACAAAAGTTTCCCCTCGCAGCTGACCACACTCGATTACACCATTCTCCAACAACAAGCCGCTACTAATCCTCGAGTGGTGCGGCAAAACCTCTTTCTGACTTCGAATTACTACCACAGTCTCATGCTACTCCACGCTTCGGAAAACCCGGAGCAAGGCGTCGAAGCCAATGTCAAGGCCGCTTTAGAAGCCGCGCACGAAGCTCTGTGCGCCTTTTTCAAACTATGGGGCTTGTTTGAATTCGAAGCAGTGGTTTGGTGGGTAAGTAATTCCCGACCGCAGCTTTTTTTTTTCTTTTTCGCATCTCTAACTTATCCACCAAGGCTTTCCAACACCGAGCATTCTCCGAATCTTTACTTCTAGCCAAATTTCTCGCCCTTTCCTCCTCCTCCTCGGAAGATTCGGATGAAATTTACACCAAAGCTCGAGAAGATATCCGTCGAATGTTGGAGATTATGGAAAGATATGGTGGGAATGTAGAGATGCATCAGACGAGGAAAAATGTTCTGCATGAGGCGTATATGAGAATTGTCGTGAGAAGGCATCATCATCGATCTTCGAATAGTGGTGGGGAAGATTATCGGGAGCTTTCTTCTCGTCGTGATGATGATGATGATGGAGATGTTCCTCGGCTTGATGGGTCTTGATGATACGTGAGTTTGGTTGTTTCCCAATCTCAGGAGTAATCCCTTAAGGTAGTGGTGCATGTAATAAGCACATTTCAAGAGTTGGGGGCAGAGATGGAACGACAGCAGCAGCAGCAGCAGCAATAGATTATATCATGTACAGAAGCATCAGCAGCAGCAAAAGAAAAATCACGACCTCGCTACAAATCAAAACGTAAGGTAGTCTTACCTCCTATCAGATTTTCCGCCGCCAGAAGCGCTGACAGCAATATATGTACTCGTCTCATGGTACCTGGTAGGGAGCAGCTAGATCGAGATGCAATGGAAAGAAAATGGTTAGGTACCTCAGGTATGAATTCATGCTTTCAGGTATGAGTCGAAACGTGCTTGTTTGCTTGTCTGGATTGAACTGATGCTGTGGATGGTAGGTAAGGTAAGGTAGAAACCTCTCTCTCTGTTTGCACTATTTTTCACTTCATAGATACATACATTTGAATAAATCGCCCGTGTCATAAAAAAATATCATTTGGAAGATGCAGCCACCACGCGTTTCTGTTTCATCTCATCTCATCTCCTTCAAACGCCAAACTGCCAGAACGCTGTGCAGTGCTGAGCTGAGCCGCAGCCGTAGCCGCAGCTCCAAAAAAACAAACCACTCTCAACAAAAAAAACCCCTAAAAAAACATCAACTCCTCATCCCTCCACCCCAACTCCCTCAGCGCCGTATGACAACTCTTCTCCAACGCCTCCGGTCCACAAATCAACACCATAGCCTCCCCATCCCTCCTCCCCTCTTCTTCATTTCTCCTCTCTCCCACAAACTCCCCCAACAACTCCCTCGAAATCCTCCCTCTCCTCCCCTCCCAACCCTCGCCCGCCTGCGTCAACGTATACACCAACTGCAACTTCTCCGGATAATTCTGTGCAAAAGAGTCCAATTGGGATTTACACAAAATATCCTCTTCCAATCGATTTCCATCGAGAACGAGACATTTTGTAGAGTCGGAGGGGTTGAGGAGGATGGAGCGTAATACTTGGAAAATCGGCGTGATGCCTGATCCGGCGCAGATCATGTAGAAGGTTTTTATGAGGGACAGAGGTGGTGGGGGTTGGGAGTTGAGGGAGACGAGACCGGGGCCGAGATAGGTGAATTTTCCTATGGGGCCTTTGAAATCGACGAAGTGGCCTAGAGGGAGGGAGTCTAGCGCGAGGGACATTTTGCCTCCTCCTTCTGCTTGACTTCCTGCTGCGGATGGACCGGATGCTGCGGGACGGGCAAAGTAGATTTTGACGAGAATTTCCATGGTGCCGCATTGCGAGGGAGAGGAAATGGGTGTATAACTTCGAATGATGGCTTCGCGGGTGACGGGGTCGCGGAGACGCATCATGAGATGTTGACCGATGGGGAGACCGAGAGTTTGCGTGTCGTGGTCGAGTTGGAAAGTGAAAATTCGAGTGTCCCAGGAAATGGTTTTTTTGGAGGTTAAAATGGCTTTTTTCCAGGTTCGGGGGTCGAGGAATGTTGGGGAGGTGGATTTGGTGTCTTCTTGGATGGTTTCGCCGGCGAGAGCGGCGCGGCCGGTGGAGTCGAGGGTGCCGATGTGGTAGGAGGGCATCATGGATTTGGCTGTTTCGCTGTCTGTTGGGAAATGTTAGTGTTGAGGAAGAAAAAAGACAAAAGTGCAGAGTAGGAATAACTTACGGATTGCCATGAATTCATCTGTACTGTCCAATCCAGCGGCAGAGATGATACTCGATGCACCACCGGGGTGATCTTTCATGAATGCTGTACCATCAAAAACTTCGCCATTCACGACAAACCATGGTGCAGCCTCATTATCATGTTTCCGTAAATCGTCAATGGTGATTTCCCGCTTCACGTCGTCTCTGGTCATCTTGACCTCCTGTGCGGCCTCGGTCACGGGCTCTTCGGCATTCTCGCCTCCAATTTGCTCGCCCCAGTATCCATTCGTGAGGTTGCCACCAGATTTCTTGACGCGCTCCATCCAGCCTCCGGGCATCAGAGCAGGCTGTGTGGGATGCTCAAAGCGCAAGTAGTCGCCTTCTTTCGCAATCGTGACTCGATACCAGGGATTGTTCATCATCCCCAGCACACTCCAGTACATGTCGCGAGGCTGCAGATTCATGCTTTCATCCATCGCTCGCACCAGAATGTCCTTGGAGTCCGCTAGCTCCGAGACGGCAATGTCCAGATTCCAGAAGCACCAACAAAAACTGGCTTCGCGCCAGTCCAGGTCAACTGTGCCTCCGTACAATTTGCGAGGTGAGGCTTCCCGATATCGATCCTCTGCATAGTCGATGTTGGCTAGTCGCCACGTCTTGCCCTTGTCGAGGGAGATTTCCACTCGGGTCACGCGGCGACCTCCACCGCCATATGCGTAGCCTTTGACACGGTACTTGTCGGGCGCGCCGACCAGCCCCAACTGTTCTTCGTGAGCAGGGTATGCCAAGGCGGAGTTGGTGCTCAGGTCATAGATGGCGTATCGCTCATCGATCCACCATTTCGGGTTGTTGGCAGATTCTTCTGGCGATACCATGGTTGGCAGCACGCGGTTGTCGTAAATGTGGTACCAGTTGTCACTCGGCTCAGCCGTGATGATCAGTTTCTTCAGCCACTTGACACTTCGACCTCCAATCTGACCAGGAATGACCACTCGCAACGGCTTTCCGTGGTCAGGTCGTAGCATTTCACCGTTCATTTTGTGAGCCAACATCATGCCTTTGTTCTCGTCCATGGCCCAGTTGAGCTTGACGGATGTGCCATAGTAGCCATTGGGCAGTTTGTCTGCACCCTCCATGCACACGTACTTGGCACCTCGTTTGGGCTTGGCCTTGCGGAGAACATCACCGAGGACGACACCAGTCCAGAGAGCGGTTGATACGCCAGCCGCGCCCCACGAGAAGCCTTTTGTCTTCCGGACGACGTTCTGTTCTTTCCGTCTGTTACCAGCACAGACGAGCGTAATGGGGTATGTGTGCTGCTCATACTGTTCCAGCAGATCGGCGAGGGTCATGGTGATGGGGTTTTCGACCATGCCTTCGATCGAAAAGGTCCAGTTGGGAATGGCATCGTCCTCGACTTGTGGAACATGGCCATGGTTGCGAACGTAGAACAACTCGGGACTTGTCAAGAAGCCTTCGTTGTAGAGGTCGGAAAGGGGTGCTTCGACATTGAAGGGGTGTACACCAGTGAGACGAATCAGTCGAGGGTCTCTCGGTAGCCAGCTATCGGGTGTCTTTTTGTCGATTTCGAGCACTTCTGTGGGGGCTGCACTTTTAGGCGGGAGCGGGAAGTTGACGTCGCCGCCTTGTATGGAATCATCATCTGCCTTGTCGCTCGCACTCGACTCGGATTGAGAATCTGGCGGGGTAGGAGGGAGGTCGGCAGGGATGCGCCTCATATGCTTGTCTTCTGCAGTTAATTGAGATTCTGCCATGGTGGATATCGATTGGGATTGAGCGAAGAGCAATAAGATGGCGAACACAAGTAGCGCTGCAGAAGAACGGTAGGGTAGGGTAGGGTAGGGGGTAGGTAAAATAGGTGATGGTGGTGGTGGTTGAAACGATCAACAGGTCAAGCAGTCAAAACACCTCATATGCGCAATGATGTTTGTCAGAGCAGGACGAGGAGGGTTTGAGGGTTTGAGGGTTCGAGGGTAGTGGTGGCAATGGAGACTGGAGAGAGTCATCCAAGGGGACTCGATGTACACGATGCCAACCTTGGTGAGTCCTTTTTGCAAGGAGAGCGTCTCGCCTCCACGGTTGAGAGGAGATAGAGAGTAGTAGGAGGGACTTATTAATTACAATGACGGAGACTCGGATCGCGAGGAGATGCAGAGTAAAAGCAAGTGGGCTATAGTCTCCTCATCAGCGTTACCTCTTAACTCCTAGCACGATGCTGACTGTACGCGACAGGTGAGTGAATGTGAGTGAGGAAGAGGTTGTTTTACTTGTTTTACTTGTTTTACCGCGGAGGCCCATGAACTTTTGGCGGTTGTTTGCAGGGATCATGCGCAGTCTGCACACTCCTCCGCCGAACCACTGAAACGACTGTTTTCTTATCGACAAAACGCCCAAAGAGGCATGGTTGCCCAGCAGGAAAAGGCTGGGCAACACCTTCTAGCCTCCAACACTATTTAACGATCCTTTTTCTCGAATATGGGCGTCTTTTTGGAGCAGTGGACGCTTTATAACTGTTATTGTACAACTTCCAGCGCGCTCAATTGTCGCCGGAGAAAGGTGTTTTTCGGTACAAATTGGCTTCAAGACTTCCTTGCGGCGCGCAGGAGGTGACGAGGAGCGTCAACGGCCACGGCTGTGCGGAAGTCTTGACTTTTTACTTAATAAACCCTTCTCCGGTTTCCGGCACTTCTTCACTCACGTGTATGCCAAGCATGGTCCGTGCATAAAATGCTTAGCTAAACGTCTTCTATTGGAAATAGAATTATATTATTATACACAAGTCGTGCCCGTAATCGTGTTGGTGCGATAAGGAATATACATACGGTCTGGCCCTGCGCTCCTTATCAGTACGAATCCATCCATCTTCACACATCTCACCCACGTCTGTACCACATTTTCCCCCATCCCTCGGAGAAGCTAAAACAACGCCCAAATCCACGCCTTTCTCACTTGTTGTGGTCATTTCGAGCTCGCTGTATGGTCAGCCACCGCTCACCATGCTGCTTGCTTCTTCCCCCTTTTCCGGTGCCACGCGGCCATTGGATGCTCTACTCTCCTCGACTCTGGAGATAGCTGATTGACTTCCCACTTCATCAGCCTAGTCTGGAGTCTTGGCTCCGTCTGATAGATAGGTCATGTATACCCGCTCTCGCTCCATTGTTGGTGTTGTAAGTCTGCGACCTCTTCTCTTCCACCTTCTTCATCTTCTTCTTTTTCCTTTCCTTACTGCTCATCCTGCCTCCTGCTCGTAATCTGGCTGTGAGAAGTGTAGGCAAACATGAGCAACAGCGAGTGGAACGACCCCGAGGCAAACGTCCTCCCCGAAAAGGTCGAGAAGTTGGAGCAAAATGGAGAGATTCCACATGGCACAAACAGAAAGAGGATCGTGGTCGTAGGCCTGGGTATGGTCGGCATTGCCTTTATCGAGAAGCTCCTGAAGCTGGACGTCAAGAGAAGGGAGTACGATATCACAGTCATTGGGGACGAGCCCCATTTGGCATACAACAGAGTCGGCTTGACGAGCTTCTTCCAACACAGAGAAGCCGAGAATCTATATCTCAACCCAGCTTCATGGTATGCTTCGATGCCAGAGGGCTCGTTGTCATACCATCTCAACACCTTGGTCTCATCGATCGACACGGCGAAGAAGACTGTCGAGACTGTCAAGGGCGACACTGTGCCATACGATATCCTGGTGCTAGCCACCGGGTCGAACGCACTCTTACCACGACATACGCCCGGCCACGACGCCAATGGAGTCTTTGTATACCGCACACTCGAGGACTTGCAAAAGCTGATTGACTTCTCCGCCACCAAAAAGGGCACAGTAGGTGCCGTGGTTGGTGGAGGCTTGCTCGGTCTCGAGGCCGCCAAAGCCATGATGGACCTCGAAGAGTATGGCAAGGTCAAGCTCATCGAACGAAACCGATGGGTGCTCAGCCGACAACTCGACGGCGACGCAGGTGGCATGGTAGTCGAACAGGTCCGACAGCTCGGGCTGGACGTCCTATTGAGCAAGAGGGTGGGCAAGATCACGACAGACGACGGCAACAACGTGACGGGAGTGGTCTTTGAAGACGGCGAAGAGATGGAATGCTCCACAATATGCTTCGCTATTGGCATCAAGGCCCGAGATGAACTGGCACGGAAGGCGGGAATCAAGTGCGCCGATCGCGGCGGCGGTATCATCGTGAATGAGGATCTTCTGACATCAGAAAAGGATGTTTACGCCATTGGCGAGTGTGCCAGCTGGGAAAGCCAGACCTTTGGCCTGATCGCCCCTGGCGTCGAAATGGCAGACGTCCTGGCTTTCAATCTGACCCAAGCCAAATTACATGCCTATCGGAAGTTCAAGAGGCCCGACTTGAGCACCAAGCTCAAGTTGCTGGGCGTCGAAGTGGCAAGCTTTGGCGACTTCTTTGCCGATCGAGACGGCCCCAAGAACCTACCCAAAACCCGCGGCGCGAAGAAGGAAGGTCTGGAGGCGACAGACCGGGTCGACTCGGCCAAAGCATTGACAGATGGTCCTCCGCCAGCTCCAGTGAAAGCACTGACGTACAAGGACCCGTTCCAGCAAATCTACAAGAAATATCTCTTTACACTGGATGGCAAGTACCTTTTAGGTGGCATGATGATTGGTGATACCAAAGACTACGTGAAGCTCGTCCCTATGGTCAAGAATCAGAAGCCACTGGAAGTGTCTCCCTCGGAATTCATCATCGGTAAGCAATCTGGCGACGACGATGCCGATGACCTCGACGACGACACTCAAATCTGCTCGTGTCACAACGTGCTGAAAGGCGATGTGGTGAAGAGCGTCAAGGATGGCACGTGCAAGTCGATCGGTGATGTGAAGTCGTGCACCAAGGCGGGAACGGGCTGTGGTGGATGTATGCCACTCGTGCAGACCATCTTCAACAAAACCATGGCTTCCATGGGTCAAGAAGTCAAGAACCATCTGTGCCCGCACTTTGAATACTCACGAGCAGATCTGTTCAACATCATCTATGTCAAGAAGTTACAGACGTTTGGCGAGGTGATGAAGCATGCAGGAAAGGAACCCGACTCTGCTGGATGTGAAGTGTGCAAGCCGGCCATTGGATCGATTCAAGCATCTCTCTACAATAAGCATCTTCTCGACGATGACCGACGAGGTTTGCAAGATACCAACGACCGTTTCTTGGCGAACATTCAGCGTAACGGCACGTTCTCCGTGGTGCCGCGAGTGTCAGGAGGTGAAATCACGGCCGAGAAACTCATCGTCATTGGCACAGTAGCGAAGAAATTCGGACTCTACTGCAAAATCACTGGTGGGCAACGAATCGACATGTTTGGCGCCAAGAAGAATGACCTCCCACTGATCTGGCGAGAACTGATCGATGGCGGCCTCGAATCCGGACACGCCTACGCCAAGAGTCTGCGAACCGTCAAGTCTTGCGTGGGCACCACGTGGTGTCGATTCGGTGTGGGCGACTCGGTCGGCATGGCGGTACGTCTCGAGGAGCGTTACAAGAGTATCCGTGGTCCCCACAAGTTCAAGGGTGGTGTGTCCGGTTGCGTACGCGAGTGTGCAGAAGCGCAAAACAAGGATTTCGGCCTCATCGCAACCGAAAAGGGCTTCAACATCTTCGTGGGTGGCAATGGTGGTGCAAAGCCACGACACAGCGAGCTTCTCGCCAAGGATGTCGTACCAGACGACGTGATTCCCATCTTGGACCGTTATTTGATGTTCTACATCCGCACTGGCGACAAGCTGCAGCGCACAGCGCGCTGGCTCGAGAACCTCCCCGGCGGCATCAAGTACCTTCAAGAAGTCGTCCTCGAAGACAAACTCGGCATCGCAGCGGAACTGGAAAAGCAAATGGAAGAAATGGTCGGCTCCTTCTTCTGCGAATGGACCGAAACGCTCAACAACCCCAAGAAAATGGCTCTCTTTAAACAATTCGGCAACTCTGACGAATACGTCGACGGCATGGACATGGTCCCCGAACGCACGCAAACGCGCCCGGCACACTGGGCCAAAGAGTCCGCCACACAAGATTTCCGAGGCACACAATGGAGCACTCTAGCCTGGCAACCGCTCGCACGCTCCGACCAATTCGTCGACACGGAAACGGGCTCCAGCCTACCCGTCAAGCGCGGCGACACGCAACTCGCGATTTTCAAAGTCAAAGGCAAATACTACTGCACGCAACAAATGTGTCCGCACAAACGCGCCTTTGTCCTCAGCGACGGCCTCATTGGCGAAGACTACAAAACCGACAAACTCTGGGTCTCGTGTCCCTTGCACAAGCGCAACTACAGCATGAAAGGCGACGACGCAGGAAAATGCGGCAATGACGAAACCGTCAACATTGCCACTTTCCCCGTCGAAGCTCGCGATGATGGAATGGTATATGTCAAATTACCGCCCGTGGACGAACTCGATGGCGTCTTGGGCACGGCGAAATGGAAAGTCACCAAGGAAGAGACGGAGGCGGAGCCTGAATTTGCGAAATTGGATGCGAGGCTCGCCAAGACTCAAAAGGGTCGGAAAGGCGTGCAGGCGAGTCATTTGCCCAAAGGGTTGGGTGCCGAGGGGAAGGCGAGGGCGATTTTGGCCGGTGGGGAGAGAGGGACTGGTGGGGGAATGGATTGGTAGGTAGGTACCTGAGATTTGATAGATATATACCATATAGGACGGGATCCTTGGCGCTGTTGTAATTATGAATCATGTAGACGGGACTCTCTGATGTTTTGACGACAAATCGAAATTTTGCATACCTACCTACCTCCTACCTCCTAGGTACCTACCTTACCTGGTGAAGTTCAATTCTATTACCAAATTCACATGCTCCTGTAGAGAGATGCGTAGGTAGTTACCTAATTTATAAAGAAACCCGCCAGTCATATCTCATTAGGTCAGGTAGGTAGATATAAAAGCTAGGTAGTCTCTAATTTAACCTACGAACTACACGAACACTGCATAGCACGTTGATACCTCGGAACATCCCCCGTCCATCGATCCTGCACCTCTTTACTACCACCAACATCTTCCCACACATCAGCAAAAGGATCCAAAGCCATGAGCATGACCTGATTCAAAATGTCTCGATTACCCTTCTTCTCCACCTCTGTAATGACCTCATCCAGAATCCAAGATCTTGGTACAAAATTCGGATTCACGGCCTTCATGGCCGCAATTCGTTCGGTGCGAGCTTCTTCGGAACTGGGCCAGTCTTGGAGAATTCGGGTTCGCCAGCGTGTGAGCCAGGTTGCGAGGCGGTCGCGGGCTTGGTCTTCGGTGAGGCTGACGAGGCTTCCGAGACCTTCGTGGTGGAAGAAGCGGCCGGCGACTTCTTTGGCTTTGGCGTGGCTGTCAATGTCTACCATGCTGATGTTGCTGAGACGGCGGAAGGTGTGGTTGAAGTCGAGTTCGAGAGCTTCAAGGGTATCGAGGAGTTGGGAGTAGAGGTCTTTGAAATCACTCTCTTTGGTCTGTTTTAGGCCGAGGCGAGCTGTCATGAGACGCTTGTACTCTGCTAGAAACACTGCCTCGTACTCTTCCTTGACACGGTCAATGATGGTCTCTGCACGCTTGATGAGCTCGTCTGCGCGCTCTTTTCGAACACCTTGTGTCACGAATTCTTCGTCGTCTACCCATGATCCTGCGCCAATCAGCTCCCCCAAAGCTTCGGCGAGTCGAATGAGATTCCACCAGATAATACTCGGCTGATTCTTGTATGAGTAGCGGAGCATGTGATCGTCGTGATTCGGCGTGTAATTCGGGTCGAAATTGTCGAGGAAAGCAAAGGGCCCAAAGTCGATGGACAGGCCATAGATGGATGTATTGTCTGTGTTCAGCACTCCGTTCATGAAGCCATACGCTTGCCATGCGGCTACAGTCTTTGCATTCCGTCGAGCCACCTCGCGGAACAGTCGAGCATAGCGATTCTCCGCAACTTCTGCTTCTCCTTGCACTTCTTCCTTTGCTACGCCTCGACTCACCTCCACAACGTCCTTCGCCTCGGTCGTGGGCACTCTCCCAGGCAGATTCTGCCATCCAGCGAACACGTCCTCGGCAACATAGTCTGCCAGCTTCCTGAGCATATCTCGGTCTCCCCGTGATCGCGGCAGGTCGAATGTGCCAAAGCGGATCCAGGATTCGGCGAATCGTGCCACAATTGCAGCCGGTTCCGTTGTTTCTCTTCGGATCCTCTCTTCGGGTCCCAAGGTCAAACTGAGCGCTCTGGTGGATGGTATACCGAGCGCATTCAGAGCTTCGCTGACTACGAACTCTCGGATGCTACTTCGCACCACCGCCTTGCCGTCTGCGAAGCGCGAGTATGGTGTCTTGCCGGCGCCCTTGAGCTGAATCTCATATCGCCGACCAGTGACCGGGTTGGTGGTCTCGAAGAGCGATATAGCCCGTCCATCTCCCAGCTGGCCAGCCCACGACCCGAATTGGTACCCTCCATAACACTGAGCCCACGGATATATGTCCTTGTCGCTCGGCTCATCACCGTCGAGTGTCACGATGTGCTCTCCCGCGACGGTCTTTTTGAAGTCATCCGTGGTGACTGACGCCGGGTCGATGGCCAAATCTCTCAAGGCTGCTTTGGAGACGGCCACCAGCTCGGACTGGCTGAAGGGCTCTGGACGGACATAGGTGTAGGCGGCATTCCGCACCAGTCGCGGGCCCAGCGCTTTCCGCTCCGCCCTGTGAGAGGCTGCCGGGGTGGGGAATTCGGCGTCGGCGGGCAGTTTGGAGGTGAAGTTGTTGCTCTTGGGCAAGTCGCGGATGCTGAAGGTCGTCTTCTGGTCGGCGGCGGGAGGCGCATTGCCCACGAGATGGAGATTCGCCATGGTCGTCAGTCGGCGCTGTGCCTGACGAGAATGTGTTTCTAGGGAGGCTGATCGTAAGGGCAACACGGCGCGATGCATTCAAGCTGAGAGATGGATTTCGTTGACTATGTAAGGCACATCATGTACTGTAGAGTATGTTCGCCTCGGTGCCACCTCATCTCGCCTCCTCCAATCGCTTCGCGGTGGTGGGTGAATAGATTGCAATCGGTTGCCATCCATCGCACGTCATCGTCGTCGGCACAACCTACCGAGGAGGTATATGCACACATCAGATAAGATGATCTACCCGTGCGGCTTGGCCCCGGTGAAGCTCCGGAGATTTTACTTCTCCATTGCCATCACAACCACCGCCTACTTCCACCACATCAGAGGTATTGTTACCTACACATCTCATTGCCAACGAACCACTTCCATCAGCAAGTATCCCGTCTTCTGTGCTCTCCAGGATCGTTCGCAACTCCGACATGAACCTTTCTTCCATACAGCCACTCGAACACGACCGATCGCCAGGATGAACAGAGGCAACATCCCGGGCTTCTATTATGACGAAGAGAAAAAAAAGTATTTCAAGATCACAGCCAACCATGCGGCCCCAGTCAACGCGAGATACTCCATGGCCAACGTCCAGCGTGAACAGCGAGAGAAGCGCGATCTCAAGAAGAGGAAAAAGGAAGAGCAACTCGTTCGCACGCAAACGGTCCATCGCGCTGCTGTGCTCCAGAATCCTTTGCTCAGTACGGCATTGAAGCGAGAAATCGGGCTTTGTACAGCTCAAAATCTACGCTCCTCCCGGGACGATGCCATCGTCGGCAGCCTCGAGTATGGTCGAATCCATCCACGCGTCGAGGACTTTCAAACGTGGCCCCTGGTTGTAGACGCGGCGGTACATCAAGACCGTATGCTGCTTGCTACAGGTACCTCAAACCAGGCAGGAGCCGCTTGCGTGGCCTCATACGAATGGGACGACAGTATCAGTGGTGTGCACCATCTCAAAGAGCAGCGACCTTTCGTGGCCCTGCCTGGCGCATTCGTGTCGATGCAGCATGTTAGCTCTATGCTCTTTGTGGTCACCGAACACAAGGATGCGATGTACTTCTATTTGGGACCCTCGGATCCTCTAGATGTTTCTCCTGGTGTACTACATCCCAAGTTGAAGTCTACCGTCAAGGCTCATGCTTGCGCATATGAGCCCTATACCCATAACATCGCTTTCGCTGGCTTAGGCTTGCGAGCGGCCAACGGTATGAGCCCAGGTAAGACCTCGAACCGGCGATGAGAGAAGTATGACCCTCCGCAAGCCAAAGCTAACGCGCTGTAGGTTACCTCGGGGGCTGTGAATTCACAGACTCAATGGAAAGCTTCGCAGTGACCTGGCTTCAGCCCAATGTGCTTGCCTATGGTCTACAGAGCAGGACGGGCCATCACACAACAGCACACACTGTGCGTCTGTGGGATGTTCGAGTTGGCACTGGCCCGAGTCCAGCCAACTCCTCAAACAGGATTGAGCGATGGCACCGGGTGACTGGCCTTGAGAGATCGGGACCGGATGGTAAGCAGAACATTCGAGCAGAAAATAGCTCCGCTGACGATGAGTAGATCAACACCTGCTTGTCACAAGTAACAAAGACATCAGTTTGTATGATCTCCGCATGCAGTCACCAGATGGACCGCCGCTGCTTACGATTGCGCACACATCAGTGGGTGCCCAACTCAATTTTGCAGTACATGGCGATCTCATAGCTGCTACAGATGAGCTGTTCAAGGTCCAGGTGTACTCACTGCGTACCAGTCGACATCTCAGAACATTGGGGACACACACATTCAGTACACCACCGAGCCAGCTTCGATGGCAGGAGAACAAAAGGGGCTCACCGTATCTCCAAGCCTGCCAAAATAACGCTGTGCACAAATGGGCGTATTGAAGCTTACCTACTTGGTACTCGTGTTGTTTGGCGGGAGTCTTTACAACATGAGTATGCTTTGTAACATCCTCTTCTATAACATTCAACGCACCATACCTGTGTGTTCTTAGCGCCAAATAGACTTTCCCCATTTTGAAGCTCTCCGCGCGTCATCGTCGTGTGACGCGGGTACATGTATAATGCTGAATATTATAATATACATGTGTAGTTCCTGTAGGAACAAAGCGAAATCATCACCACCACGACCTCAAAAAACACAACAATCTTGACGCGGCACTCACCATGCCACCAGAGCGTCGAGGGTCCACGACGAAGACTGAAGCTCGCGGGCACGATACTAGAGGTAGCACCACCACCACCCATCATCATCATCAGCAGCAAGACGAAAACGCCACAACAAGCGAAACGGAACCTCTACTACACAACAACCACACTCATCATCACCCCATCGATTCCGAAACCGAAACCGCCGACGAACGCGAACTTCTCACATTTACAAAAAATGACCCGGAAAATCCCAAAAACTGGTCCCACACCACCAAAATGCTCAACGTAGCCACCATCGCCTCCATGGCCGTCCTCTCGCCTCTCGCCTCGAGCATGTTCACGCCCGGAATCGACCAAATCGCAAAAGGATTACACACGTCCACCAATTCCGTCATAGCCTGCTCGACGGGGTTTGTGGTAATGTTGGGGATCGGACCTCTCGTACACGCACCACTCAGCGAGACGGTGGGGAGACGAAGGATGTATTTGTCGTGTTTTGGAATTTTTACCGTGTTGCAAATTCCGTCGGCGTTGGCGCCGAATGTGGAGACGTTGATTGTCATGAGGACGCTCGCGGGGTTTTTTGGTTCCGTGTCGATTGCGAATGGTGGAGGGAGTTTGTCGGATATGTTTGAGGCGAATCAACGGGCGGGGATTTTTGGTTGGTATCTTTTGGGTCCTCTGATGGGTCCTCTGATGGGTCCGTTGTTTGGAGGAGTGATTGTGCAAAGGTTGGATTGGAGATGGATTTTTTGGATTCTCTCCATCGTGTGCTGTATGAGCACGGCGAGTGCGTTTTTCTTCTTGCGAGAAACTTATGCGTCCATGATTCTCTCGGCGCGCAAAAGACGGTTGGAAAAATTGAACTGCACTCCTCACAAATACCGTTTTGAAGGCGAAGATTCTCGATCCCTCTTCCTCAAACTCCGCTCCTCCCTCACGCGACCTCTTCGAATTCTCATCCAACCCATCGTCCTCACCATGTCCACCTATCAAGCCATTCTCTTCGCAACCACCTACTCTCTCTACACCAATTTCCAACCCATCTACCAAGGAATCTACCACTTCAGCACCGAACAAGTCGGTCTCGCCTACCTCGGTCCCGGGCTCGGTTTTCTCTTCTGCGTCTGGTTCATCGTGCCTCGAATCGACACCGTCTACAATGCTCTGACCGCCTCCCGCACCAAATCCGGCACACACGGCGTGCCCGAATTTCGTCTCCCGTTGGCAAATATCGGAAGTGTATTCATTCCGGCTTCGCTCTTCATGTTCGCGTGGTCGGTCGCTGACCATCGTCCGTGGATACTCAGTATGGTCGCTGCTTTCTTTTACGGAATCGGTCAAGTCATCATTTTGAATTCCACCACGAATTACTACATTGACTGTTTTGAAAAATACGCGGCGTCGGCGATTGCTGCGGGAGCGCTGTTTCGGTCCGTCGTGGGGGGGATTGTGCCCTTGTTTGCGCCTGCGCTGTTTGAGCGGCTGGGGTATGGATGGGGGATTAGTGTGTTTGGATTTTTGGCATTGGCGATTGCGCCGGCTCCGTTGGCCTTTTATTACTATGGGGGTCGGGTGAGAGAGAGGTTTCGGATAGAGCTGTAGGTTGTCTTGTCTTTGTGTTTACGTATTCTGCATGGCATTTTCAGGAGCTACAGTGCTGGCATACCGGAGTCATATCAGCGACAGAATCTTTTTTCATTCTCATTTTCGCAGGCTGCAGCAGTCTCATTGGACGTCTACCTTCGATTACACTGCAAAAGTCTTCACTGTGGTAAGCTATGGGTGTTGTTCCGACTAGATGCACTGGAAGACGATCAGTACACGCTTACTGGTACACGACGAGCTGGGTTCCTTCCTTGAGGATCTGTCCATGCTCAAGGCATTATTATGGTTCGGAACGATATTGCTTGTTTCCTTCTTTGCCACCAAGACCCCGGAGCATCAAGGAATCGCAGATCCCTGGCTGGGAAGATTCATATGTACTTGTCCATTTTACGTCTAGCTCGAGTAGCTGACTTCAAGCCCTACCCGTCCGATCATCCTCTCATTCTTTTTCAAATCAACAGCAGCTCCTAACCCGAGTAACAGCTCTTTGAATCGACATTCCCATAGCACACCGACTTTGCCATGATTGTCCATTCGTGCCTTCAACACTCCTTTGACATCATCATTCGTCTTGGCCCATCCCGTTCGTATCATATTTCTCACCCAAGCATTCTCTGGAAGGGCCTGTTCGCGTTGCCATAGCTCAAGGCCGACGACGACATCGCTCTCGTAGCTGTATACATTGAAGTCGAAGCGTGAGCACAGTGCGAGATTTGGACCAGCTTTGACCGCATAAGTCGAAGACAAATTCCCCATGAGTGGATTGATGGTCAATGCCATTGTGTATGGAAAGCCTGTATGAGTTGGAAGTGTGGTAAAGCGTAAGCCGGTGCTGATGCCACCAGATTTGTTGATTGGACTAAAGTATGCTTCGGCGCCTGCACTGAGTCTACCGCTTTGATGATCCCACGGATGAGCTGCAACCCTGTCGAAGGTCAGATCTTGCTTAGGTCCAGGTTGTCGTGGATCGTGACCGAAGTTGTAGAGTCCGCGGATGCCCAGTAGCGCAGAGTCTGTAGAGTATAGATACTCGGTTGTGTATTTCCCGTAATCGTTTTGCAGACTGGCCAGCAGCATGCCACCACTGGGCAGTGTCCCATCAGACACGCACTTCAGCTGGAGAAGGCGGCTTGGAGAAATGCGCCGCAAATACAGTGCCTCGAGCATGCTGGCTGGCAAGTACAACCTGCCATATAACAGCGTGTCTTTTCTCTTATCCTTCAGCAATTGGACTTCAACCGGCTTGAGCTCCTGCAAATGCCTGTAGCCTTTGACAAGTCTGTTCATGGGCACATCACTGCTTCGGCTGGCCACTTGCAAGCCCAAGCTCGTGTATAAGAAGCTCAGCGAGCCATCCACCACGCCCCTGCTTCCCAAGGTGTAAGATGTTGCGAAGGTGGGCGCCGAGAGCGAGGAGACATGGAGTCTCAAGCCCAATGGAATCTGAAAGTCGAGGAGGTTCGTCGAGGTCGTCGTCAAGGAGGCATAGCTGTTGTCCACGTTCCACCGAGACTGGCGGTAGAACGCTGTTTGGACATAGTCCATGAAATCCAGCATTTTGCGCTATGAGCTACCATGATGGGCTCATCTTCACGCCTGGTGCGGCATTGTTGTTGTCCTGGTCGTGCTTGTAATGAGAGAGAAAGAGAGAGAAGCTGGAGATGGATGGATAAATATCGGCCCGGTGGACCCCGACCCAGCTCTGTAATGCCAAGAATCCAGTTCAGAAATGGAGTGTGGATATCTGCATCTAATCATTGATGATTCTATTGTCCTGACATATAAATGGTAGACTACCTAGCTTAGCTATAGTATAAGTAAAAGCACAACTTGAGACCCGCAGACGCAGAGCAGGCGGACGTAAATCTAGTAGCAGCTACAAGGCTTAAAAGTTACTTGTAAAAATTATACCATATCATCTAGAGAAATGACGAACGCAGATTATTTATTTGTACCAAAACAGAGAGGTACAGACTACCAGAGACTCGTCAACTAGGGAAGCTGTATACGAAGCAAAAGAGGCAAAAGAGGCAAAAAGATTTCAACACATACGGGCTCAACTCGGAATTGAACCTGGATGAAGTTAGCAGGTGATACCAAGCTATGACGTGGTGTGTCAATGCTTACCAAGGACCTCTTGCAATTGTGATCGGTGAAACCCAAAGCAAGAATCATACCACTAGACCATTAAGCCACAACGCTTTCCAGCGTGTTGTTGATGTTGGACCTGGAAACAAGTTCAATATAATGGCTAAACAACGACCATGAGGAAATACAGGAATTCTACGCAGTATAGGTATCTAGGTAGTGGAACATGTACGAGAACAGTGTCGTCACCAAGGTAAAATGACCATCAAGAGAAGATTTCTTAAAAGGCGCAAAAAATATTCTTCTCAACGAGATGAATGAGAACCCTCTAATGAGAAGAATTATTGGCACATGGTGAACTGAAGGCTGACCGACTACATTCTGCAACTCTTTGCCTAAGGTATCATGGCATGGATGGGCTTCGAGAGCTCGATGCAGAATCTCACGCCTTTGCTCAATGATACTAGGTATGCATCATGGATGCGATGAATCCCGGATAGCGGGAAAGTTCGTCTCCCACGGACATGTCAAATGTACCATGCGCTACAACACATGAGTAGGTAGGTATGTACAACAGGGAGAGGTAGACACATACACACACATGCAGGCCTAGCGAACATCACTCACTCATCGTCTTCTTGCATCCGATAAATTTTCCATCCAGCAGTGGCCAGAACCCTCGGGACACACTCGACCATGACGCGATCAACCTCCCTCCACGGCTGCGTCAGATCTCGCCACGGAATGAGGAATGGAGTTGTCCTGTTTCCACTGGATCGAGGACCCGTTCTCCATTGTCGTTGTAATCGCTCGGCGTTGAAGCGCTCGTGTTCCATCTCACTGAGCATATCCAGCTCCTCGACTGTGAACTCGGGAACGTGGATCAGAGGTGCTTTCCGGTCTTGGTCGAGCATGAAGCAGTTGACGCTGCGAAGCTTCCGCGGTATATCGTCTGCTTGGCTTCTTGTGGACTCTTTGAGTTCGGGAGAAAGTTCGTCCCAGTCGCTCATGCTGGGATCAGACTCGAGCTCTGCTTTCTCGGCTGCCGTTTGCGCCATGTCTACGCGTTTCTTCTTATAAGCAATGAATAGTCCCTGCGCTAACCGTTCTCGCAGCTGTGGCGCCAACTTTGGTTGGCGCAAGAACGACATGAAGATCCTGCCATCTACGTGGAGCTGTATCTGCTCCTCTGGCGGAAGAGCGGAGACGTCGAACTTGGTCTTGTGAGAAAGGCGACTGGTGCTCAGAATCTTTTCGAGTGAGCGGAGACCGTGCTTGTAAGAAGGGACCAGAAGCAGTGCGTGCAATACTGCATCATCAATTTTGAGGCAGCCGTTGACCTCCAGGTGGGGAAATTGCTGCTTCAGCATTTGTCGAAGCATGAGTGCTCTGCGCACTGGAAACATCTTGTCATTTTGCCCAGCCTGATTCGGGCCCAAGATGCGAATCACACCATGTACACTGTCGAGAAGTTGAGATGCATCAATCGTGCGTCGCTCTCTGAATTCGGTTGCAGTTGGGGTAAGGGCGACGTCCATCATTTGAAAACTCGGTGGTTCTTGATTCACAAGAAAGAAGAGCAGCGGATGCCCTAGGGAACGGACATGGCCCCTATCTGTGAAATGGCCGTCCCTCATCATGACCAAAAAGTCGTTGAGCAACTCGTTCCTTGGTTCCAGAATGGACTCGAAGTTCTCGAAACACACGACAGTCAGCAGTCCGCTAGCTGTGTTATCTCGTATAGTGTGACATAGAGCTATTAAGTCCTCAAGCCGCAGCAGACGGCCATTGAATGTGAGCTGTTTCACGTCTGTGTTCTGGGCAAAGTGCATTGCGAGGTTTTGCGCAACATACTTCTTGCCAGAACCCGGGGGTCCTAGAATACCAATCGAAGTGGGTTGAGCGGTCTCGAAGTTGAGACGCTCTTGCACGGCATCCACCACAGCGCGCAAGCTCTCTTGCTCGGATCTTTCAACACTAAGAAGGTCGCCGAACCGCTGAGCCGGACATCTCAGCAACGTCTTCTCGGCGCCAGAAGTGACAATCTGTCGTGCAACCTCAGCAGGATCGCCGGTGACTTCGTCAAAGATGTTCCAGCTATCGCCAGAACTGATGCGCCCAGAAGGTATGCTCACAGACGAGAATCTCTTTTCTACCGCAAGTTGTTCGACGATGTGCGTTATAGGATAATTTGGTGCACTGTCGTCTGCTGTCGTCACAAATCCATTGGTATCCATGTCTCTGGCGGCTGAGATACCCAAGCGAATGCCTCTGTCTATGCTCGGCAGTGAAGCGTCTGCGAAACCAAGTGCGAAGCCAGCAGTAAACGCCGATGTGAGCTCAATCATATGACCAGCGGCACTGTTGTAGCTCTCCACCTCTCGAGGGTGAAAGTATAGCTTTGGGTCAGTGGCGTCCCTTCCTCGATGATGAATGATGCCTTGATTGCCAAATCGCACAATAAGATTGGGACAAGTGACCAAAGTATCGAGTCTGCCGTTTGACCCCAGATGTCGGACAAAGTCTTCCGTGGTTTGTTCCCACGACAGGGAGCGACTCAACGATATACCCTCTGCGCGAAGGTCTTCGGCGTCGATGATCACAGCAAGGTGGTCTGGGTGCACCACACCGTCGCTTGTTCGTGGTCCGTTTCGAATGGCGTCCCACAGCTTTCCAGTGGCAAGAGGCCTTCTCATGTGATGTATTATATATTGAGGTTGAACACGCTGCAGAAAGTCCAAGGCCGGCTCGACGTGGTGCAGCTCCCCAGAGCCCAATATGATTGCGGTACGGGATGCCGCCAATCCGCTCACTTTCTCCAACGACGGCTGATGCCACGTAGCAGAGGGCCTCCCAATCCGGCGTCTTCGAAGCACGCGAAAGGAGCCTGAGGAGGGTGTGTGACCTAGGTCAACTACTGAGGAGGCATTGTGCTGAAGGCTGTGGGAGCAAGGCCCTAAAAGCTGTGGCCCTAAGACTTCCAATCCCCATTTCGGCTTTGCAGCTGTGTGCAGCAGGAGCTGCGCCACGAGATCTGCTGCGCCGGTGCGGATCACAAGTTGGGAGGCGTAGGCATCCTCATCGTCTCGACTAGTTCTAGATCCAATGAGGCGCGACCCAGCCTCGCTGCGCAAGCCCGCGGGATAGACCAAGTAGTCATAAGAAACTGCGCCTGCAACAAGGAGCACGCGAGGATCGCGCTGCGATTTGTTCTCGTTCATCTGGACGATGTTCGGCTCCTGTTACAAGACATACAGTAACTTGTCAGCGACGAACACTCGCGCGCTCCAATTCGCGCGGAGCTCGAACGACTGTCGAGACAGACAGCAGATCGGCTGAGTCGCCTCCTCGTTCGTAAACTTCCCTGAGCGCTGTCGGTCAGTGTAGGCCAGTGCTATGATGAGCTATCTTACCTATCTACCTTGTGTTGTCATCAGCGAGAGAAAGGAAGAACCTCAGGAGGTATTGTATGTCGTTATACCATAGAACTAAGTTCGGTGGCCGCCAGTCTCTAGTGAGGATTTTGGCGGCATCTCCCATGCAGCGGGCTTGGTCTTGTTCAATTTTGGCTGTGTTTTTTATTACCTAGAACTACCTCCAACTACTACCTCCTACCTACCTCCTAGTACTAGTCCTTAATGATTCTCCTCGTCTGCCATCTGCCATCTGCCATTTGCCATCTGCTGTCGTATCAGTCTTGTACTACCTTGTTGTTCTTGGTGGTGGCTGCATGACTCCATTGATGTGGTGGTCGCATGCTCGTCTCCTCGTCGATTTTGGACATGGTGGCCGGCTCCTGGAACTGCGGCTGTTTCTGCATTCATGATTACATGTACAAGTATTGTGCATGATCTAGCGCCAAAGACGTAGGCGACGTATGTACAGCTACCTAGCTCATCATGCATACATACCTTACGCGCACACGCCCCAGCCGCTTGATGATTTCGCTCAGCGGCCTCATCACGCTGGCTTCGTGATGTGTCGGTGGATCAGGCTATCTCCGCACCGACTTCGCCAAAAGCGGTGAGAGACACAATCCTCCAGTCTCCAGTGTCTCACAGACACCTCAGCAGGCCTGGCTCCGAGTGGGCACCCGTGCAGCCCCAAAGAGGCTGTGAGGATGGAAGAAACTGCGCGTCTGGAAAAATTCGAAATCACTGATTCCCGACTCGAACACAACAATTGTACTTCTCCCGAAAGGATATCAGTCATATGCCCTGCTGACCTTTCTGGTAGGGGCCTTTCCTAGTACCCTCAAGACTCGCGAGCTGAGAAAGTTGGCGGAAGAAGACTTTCTCATTAACCACAAAATCGACAGAAGTTATGATGACAGTACTGTGCGATTCAAGCTGCTGTGGGTTGTACCTTCGCCTCTCCCGAGCCCGCCTGCATTGCTGATGATAGTCGCAGGATTGGCAACGCTGTGAGTGCGAACTTGATTGACACCAATAAGCTTCCTTTCAACCACGACGTGATAGAAACTGTCAAGAAACAAAAGTGGATCTCGGATGAATACCAACATCTCTGGCGTCGTGACGAGGGAGGCTCAGCGGCGTTGACCAGTCATGGTATCCTCAGTAAGCGGGAGTCTCCTATGAGTCGAGTTCGATCTGCAACTAATCACTCGAGTACCTTAGCATTTATGCTGCAAACTCCGCGAGACGGCAAGTCGTTCTGTTCTCTGTCGCTTGTGAATTGTGAGCGTACGCATTGCGGGGGGCTGTTTGTTGCCGATGAGAAATACAGCTTGAACAATCTGCTCGCCTCCCAAAAATACCTCAACAGACATCCCAAGGTACCTCGAGACTTTGCCATCTTGCCTTTCCAGATCTTGCTTCACCATGTGGACGAGTCCCTCAGCCAGGTGCAGGATTTATCTCGACAGCTTACAAACACTGAACGCCGTCTTTCCGATGGCAGAATTTCACTGGACGATAATGGCGATTACAAGCTGTTGAATAGATTCAATCTCGAGCACATCCGACTCCAGAGACGATCGAACTTCGAGGCGGAGCTGGGCACTAATCTGCTCAAGTACCTGGACGCATACCAGCGGCTCTGGACACACCTATGGGAAGGCGGTACAGGATATCTGGAAGACATGCGCGAAAAGATCGAACAGCAAATGCGTTACTCCGTTCAAGTGCAAAAGGATCTGAACATGATGCCTCGCAGAATCGACAATCAGTCTCAAGCAGTGCGTAAACGACGTCCTTTCCCGGGACCAACTGCTACGTAACATGAAGGTATATAAGTGCTGACTCGCCATAACAGATTTTCAATTTCATAGCGCAGCGAGACAACAAGATCAACCTGCAAGTCGCAGAGAGTTCTCGCAAGATCGCAGAAGAGTCTCGAATTGACAATTTGCTGAACGTGAAGCTCGCACGCGTCACAGCTCAAATGGCCGAGGAAACCAGACAGGACAGTGCAGCCATGAAAACCATCGCGACCATGACCTTGGTCTTCCTGCCGGGAACTGCAGTAGCCAGCTTTTTCAGCATGAACGGCATGTTCAACTGGTCTCCCGCGGCAGGCGAAAGTATTGCATCGCCCTACCTGTATGTTTTCTTTGCGGTGACAGTTCCGCTCACCCTCCTGGTGTATTCACTTTGGCTGTGGTGGTTTGCGCGATTGGAGAAGGCGCATAAGAAGAAGAACTTGACCGATATCGATTTCGATCAATACGAGCAAGAGGTGACGAGGCGGATGCGAACGGCGACGAGTTCATTTCCAGTTGGGATAGAGAAACACGTTACAATAGGAGCGGCGCAACAGCAGCCTTAATGGAAGCGTCTTGGATACATACCTACCTGAACCTAGGTAACTACCGTGGTCTTTCCATCCTGCCATTCCCCGTCTTCTGTGCTCGTTCATCCTCACACACCTGATATGGTTTCATGTATTGGGTAGTAATACCAATAAAGCCATCCCATACACGAATATGCTATACCAGCATATATCTGGGACGATGACCTTGTCCGGACTCTATCGCGGGCCTCTTGTACAACTAGCATACCGTGGCCAGCACAGCCTGTCTGTTAGGCTGCTCCTGAGCTGTTTGCATGCACCAGGCATATATTCGTGGAACACAGTAGTACAAGTAAGGTACCTGTAGGTAGGTAGTCACCCAGGTACAACTAACTGTAGATACCTTACCTTACCTGGTATGATTGGAAATGTGCTCCACCGCCCTCCCTGCCGTGGTCTTCATCACAGCCCTCACAGGGCCACCGGTGTAGCACTACCTGACTGTAGGACGGGGGAAAAAAAGAGGCCGCAGTGCGGCTGTGAAGCGTGTGGGACTGTGAGTGAAGGATCCGCACCCTTGCAGTCTGCGTCTTATTCTGGCACTGTCGTTCTAGAACTACTCCTCGGTACGTGGTACGCATTGCCCGTGTCCAGGGCGTGTTTGGCGTGCGTGCATGGGCCGGAGCTGGCGTTGCTGGCCAATGATCTCTCGGCTGCCATCGAAGGAGCAGCTGAGATATTCTACAAATCACGATACATGTAATCAATGGGAGGAATCCAGAGCTCATTGTCCGAGCAGTCTCTGACCGCGCCGTCGATGACCACATGGCCGGCGTGATATTCGATCCATTCGAGGCCTTGGGTGTTGCGAGAGACGCCACAGAAGCTACAATCAAGTCCCAATACCACGCGCTAGCTCGAAAGTACCACCCGAATAGACATCATCGTCCGCAGAGCACCAAACCTCCAGATGCCGACCACGACGTGCACAGATCCTGGTGGCGGGAAGACACCAAGGACTTGCGTGCCGACTACTTCCATACCATTCATCAGGCATGGATGCTCCTCAGCAAGGCCGACGGCCGCAGGCGGCGCGCCGAGCTGTTGAGGCTGCTCGAGCTGCAAGACCAAATGCTGGCTGCTTTTGTAGACCTGCTCAATGCAGAGCCTCCCGATGGTCTCCCCGCCGACGAGCAGCGCAAGCACGACGAGCACCATGAGCACTCCGATGTGGATGGTCACATATCGAGCGACGCAGATGATGATCTACCCAATGTGGGCTTGCAGCGCAGGAAGACATTTGCAAACCGCAACAACATCCATGGCGGGCATCTGAGCGACCAGCTTGACGCATACAGCCCGACGAGTCCCACCAAGAAACACATCCGCATGTTATCGAAGTTATCGAGAGGCCGAGCTGGCCATCAGCACAAGAGCGAGGACTACTTCACCATGCGTCGAAAGAAGCTTGAGAAACTGCGCAGGAAAGAGCTAGAGGCGTTCCTAGACTATCGCAATGCCATGATCGCAAAGTTCGAGGCGGAAGAGGAGGCGGAAAGACGACAGGAGCACTATGAGCGGGCAAAGTGGAAGCGGGAATACTTTGAGCGGGCACCACGAGCTACAACGGAACGCTTCAGATCGTTCCAGCACTTCATGGGTGCCGTGGCAGCCTTTGGCGCGCCGTCTCAGCCGGGCCATCGCAACTTTTCTGATCCCACTCACGGCAACATGACACCTGTGCAAGGGCCTGAGAACGGCTTTCTCTTTCCCGAGAGTGGGCTGTCGCGTCACAAGACGAGTGTGCATCGCCGTGGATGGAGTAGTGACATTAGCGGAGATCAATCGGACAGTAGCGACCATGATGATACTCCCGCTGAGCTGAACAGCTGGCGACGAACGCCTCCCTTGTCTGCTTTCCGTCGTCATTCCAGTCGGCCCAACGACCATGTGTCGATCGACGCCTTTCGTGCACCATCGCGCACCCCGCCTCCTGTTCCTGTCCTTGCTGTTTCTCCTGCTGAGACACCCCAGCCACCGACAGGACTCCAGATCGTTGTGAAACGGCCAACGGACTCACACGGCATACCAGAAATACAGGATTCAAGCGGCGATTCCCTTTCGGGGTCTTCGCGTTCGCCATCGCCCCAAGCCCATACCAATGGCACAGAAGAAAGCAAGTACATGTGGCTGCCGTCACCAGGTCCGGTGGAGTATTTTGGCTTGGGCATGAACAGACGAGCACGTTCGCCCAGCCCAGTGAGACAGCGTCGCGCTGCTTCACTTGGGAGGGTGGAGGAAGCGGCGAGGGTGCCCAGTGAAGGCCTGCAGTTCGTGACGAAACCAATAGGACAGCCGCATCATCTACACATACCACTCAGTAATGTGTATGAACTCAGGAGAGAAGAGAAAGCGTGGATGCTAGGCTCCGAACCTGATACCGAGAACGACCCGACTGTGTTGCTTGATCGCTTACAACGGCTCGACTTTGATGTTGCGTCTAAATTCATGGTCAAGCCAGACATTAAGGAACTCTTCAGATTCCGCCTCATATATAACCACAGACACATCGCCAGTACACAGAACCAGTCCTTCATTGCCCTCAGCTATAGGCGCAAATTGCAAGTAACGAGGCAGCATGGTCACTTCACACTGCCACTAGAGCCAGAGATCTTTCAGGCAGTATGGGAAGAACGACAGTCGGACCAGGAAGGTCTTTGGATAGACCAGATCTGCATCAATCAAGAGAGCCGCGAGGAGACCACTGTATCCATGTCAGCAATGGACCTGGTCTACAGAAGTGCACGCCTTGTCGTGGTTGCTCTCGATGATATCGAACTCGACGCTCATGAAGGAGAGCTTCTACACAACCACATGGAAGAGTATAAACGTATGACCCATGTGCCACCCGGGCAACGCTTTCGCCGCAAGCAACCTCCGTATCTCGAGAGTCACGAAAATCTATTCAGAGTCATTCGCAAAATCTTGAGGTCATCGTGGTTCAAAAGGTAAGAACTGTCATATCGGAGGCTCTGCCATGTGTACATGCTAACACTAATCGTCCTGCAGAGCATGGTGTAGACACGAGATGCGACTCGCCAAGCACCATATCTTCCTGATACCATGCAAACGACCTGGCACATGGTCAGGCCGAGATGTGCTGAGATTTAATGGCAAGTGTATTTCGCATTTGCTCGACCTCTCCACGGAAGTGCCATTTGAGTCGGACGTGGAATCGGTGAAGCCGGCCCTTCACGCATTCTTCCGAGATCGAAGCAAGATGGCTCCGGACGAGAGGGGCATGCAACTTCATCATGGCAATTTTTCTACTGTCGTAGCCGAAGTATTTGCCATGGAGGCTGGAGGAGATCCTCGAATCCCCGCCGAGCAAAGAGAAGCTGATGCCAGGAAAGACAAGATTGCAATTATTCTCAATACCATGGAATGTGGCCTTACCATATCAGAACGATTTCGTGATCCGATGATTCATCTGACGCAGAATGAGTGCTATCATGACCTCATGCTGCTCAGCCTGGCAGCTCAAGATCCAGGCGCGCTCTGCTCGGTTGGAGCGCCGCTCCCCATCACGGACTATGTTCACAGTTGGCTGTGTGCTCCGACAGTAGCAGACAGCGGCCTCAACAACACGAAGACACTACAACGTCTGCCTAGCGCAGCCAACATCACAGTCGACACTTCTGGCAGCGAGCACTTCATACAATTGGACCTGAAGTTCCTGAGAAGCGGTCGAAGAGAACAGCACCCTCTCGATCCCGATGCACTGAAGCTCGCTGGCGAGTTCATCAAAGTGTGCAATGAGCGCGGCCTCGGCAGGAACAGGAAGCGCTACCTGACACATGATCGAAAAGCGAATTTGCTCTTCGGTTCTATGCAGGAGGTCTACACAGAAACGTTGGCTTGCGTTCTGATCTGCGGCCCCGACTGGCTGAGTGATGTGTGCCAGCGCTATAGTATGACCCGATGGCGAGTGGACCTCAGAGCCGCTGTGGAACTTCTCATCGCTCTGCAGAACACATGTGGACGATGGCCTTCGCATGCCTGGAACGAGCGCGCAGCGGCATTCATCATGGACTTTGTGAACTTTTTAGTGATTCGCGGCCTTCCCTCGCGACAAATATCTCGACCTGAAAAATGGCGGCCGATTTGGGTGCCCACTGCCCCCGGCGGCAAAGTGGTGACATTTGTGCCCTTGAACAACAGGCACATCCGTCCAGCCATTCCGACCACGCTGATTAATCCGGACTACATGCATTTGGCGCGACTCTGGGTTCTCGAACCACGAACATTTCCCAGCGTTGATGAGGATCTCAATCTCATTCCTCACCATGACGAGTGGACTTTGCTCGGAAAATCGGTCCTGTTCAGCGATGACCTGTCGATTGGACAGATGACTTCTCATGATGGGTTTTTGAAAGAAAGTCAGAAAGTGTTTGGAAGATGTCGTCGTCCGGGCGCTCCTCGCGCGAAGAACGTGTGATACTAACGACGATACCCTGTACCAATATCAGATTGCATATACCTAGCGACTGCGTTCGAAGCGATTGCATTTGTCGTTATAATAGATTCTGAGAAATGTGGGGGAAAATCAACTAAAATAGACTGAGAAAACATTCCGTGCATGCACAACAGCTAACTAGTGCCGGCGACGCCCGAGTGTAGTTCTAGTCGCTTCGGCAATGGGTACTTCTTGCTGCATCCTCATGTCTGCTTCACCCTTTGAACCTTCCAACACTCGGCCCACTCGATCAACGTTTCGCCTATTAATGACGGCTTCGACGACTGCTGGATTTCTACACCGAGTACCGAGATGCCGGTAGGATTGGTTGTAACAATCGCACTACAGAGCTGAAGATTGCCTTCAGGATCTTGATATCAACATGCAGATCAGCAGCCATTGCCGCTGCAGACCCCAGCAATCGATGCCTCTATTGCTCTGCTCGTGCTACACACCTCAATACTGACGAGGCTGAAGGATTAGTATGAGCAGGCGAGGCGAGCTAAGAAAGTCCGTCAGGTCCTCGAAATGCCGTTTGCCAATCTCTTGAGGCCAGCATCCTCGGCCGTTCTTCCACATTTTCAGACTGCATTGACCTGCATAGAGACTTACAGAAATGGGCCTTGAGGTGACCACCGCACTGGTCGCGCTTGTAGTGTCCTTGATCGCGCTCTTGATCGCGTCTCTACAGCTCGTTCAAGCCCTATTTGGCACCGCCGAAGGTTACAAACGATGCTCGCGGTCAGTCATCGGGTCCTGGGAGGGTTTGAGACGACGCTATTTCTTGCCCTCAGAACTCCGGTTTGAAGTGTTATACAGTAAGAGGAACGAACTGGAATGTTTACTCGTCGGGACGTCCCAGGTGCGCTGACCAGTACCATAGTGACTCCACAGATACTCCTGGTGTCACAAGAAGCGAAGCGTTGGTTGGAGGACAAGCACCTTGAAAACTGCACTGCAGAGAATCAAGGCCCTGTGGAGCATGTCTGCATTTTACATCAGCACAATATTGACAAGATCTACAAAGAAGAACAGAGGAAAAAGTGCGAGTGGGAAGAGAATGCTTCCCGATGGCATCGACACTACCACGAGTTGCTGGACTGGTTGTCTCGACACTACAACCCTTGGGAGTACCACAACAAGATGCGGATCTTGTTCACCACTGCTCGCGGACACAATTTCAAGCAGGATCCGTCAACACATCCGGAAGAGATCAGGATGGAAGAGCTGGCGAGGACTGTGACTACGTACGTGCCGCCATTAGAACGAGGAGTGCAACGACGACCGACACACCTACGTTCGGCGCCCGTCAGCAGTCCCGGTCCTGACTACGAAATGCGCGTCACGTGGGACATCTTCCTGAAGGAAATCACCAATGTCTACACGCAGTATCCTGCATGGACACCCGATGTCCCTCGATTCGATGTACACACTGCGATTCGGTATGCGAATCATGCAGCAATCTCTGACGCGCGCCATCTCTACCTCGAGCGTAACTGGGCAAGGACTCACGCGGCCGTGATGTTCCGACAATGGTCCTGGGACATGATGCCCGCCGACATGACCAGGCCACTGGCTACCATCGCCATCAGTCACTTAGTGATCCTTGCAGTCCGGCTGGGAATGCAATGGCGCTCAATCAATCTTGAAACTGGCATGTCTGCCGATGGGCATGGCTATAGTCTCTCGAGCACAAGATCCGACAAACTGGGCCTTGTATTCAAACTGATTGCCTTTGGTCCCGATTTCGAACCTCAGGGACGTCTTATTCCTAGCAAATCGGCGGACAAATTGATCTGTGGCATGTTGCCTGGTTGTAATGTTTTGGTCAATAGGTCAGCGAGCATTCCATGCAGCAGTGCACATACGTCCGGGTCTCTGGTACTGACGTACACAGGGATTTCAACTTAATCGATAACGACCGAAGAAGCATACTAGACCTACGTCGCGCGCAAGAGCCTGACCATGTGCTGGACCAGATTGGTCTTCCTGAGAAAGCCAGATTGCAGATCAAGGGAGCAGCCAGAAAGTGGTCCCTCCCGTCTATCCACAACGAAATCGTCCCTTTGCTCTGCGCATTTCTTCCCATTGAAGGCGTTTCTGCAGTTCGGCATTATGCGCATTGCTGGCTCGAGAGACGGAAGAGTGTCCTTCACCTCTGGGAAGGTCGGTACGTTTTGCTGTACCGTCTCCGGCAGACTCTCCGTGTCCCACGCGGAGTGCACCATAGTCATAGTCCGCAGCTGATCACAACCTATGACTACCTCGAACATCTCATGACGGACTATCCGCAGGACTTTTTTGGGCTCAAGGATGATCGCGCCATTGACGGCCCTCATGGACACTCAACGAATCCCAAAGCAGCAGAAAGACGCAATGAACTGATCGCTCTGTGCCGCAAGATCCATCGTTGGACTGATGACTGCCTGAAAGATATGGGCTTCGCCAAGGAGGACGCCCAAGGTCGCACGCATTACCAGAACCTCGTTGCGGCGCATATCAACATGGCTATTCACTCCACCACTTCGATATACAGCAACGCAAAGCGACAGACCGAGTTCCCGAGCTGTCCGCTCAGTGTTGAGAAAATCCCACGCGTCTACGAACCCATCCTGCGAGAGGTGCTGGCGCTCGGCGATGACACGAGGCCTCCGTGGGTCCTATGCCAGCTGCTGGAAGAAGCGCAACGATATGTCCATTACATGGCATGCGAGGACCACTCGGTCGCGAAATATCTCCGCGAGCGCGGCTTGACCTGTAGCGTGTCGGAGATTGAAACTGCGTGGTGGATCTTGATGCTGCGCGGTATCGCGTGGAATATGTCGACGATTGATCATTGCTGGGGAGAGCCGATTCCTGCTTCTTTTTACGACAATCACGTGCCAGCGTGGATGACATGAATTTCACTTTTATGCGCAGCAGACGACCGATATATCTTCCGAGGAAGCCTTTTCCTTCCATGCGAATACGTTCTCGAAATATACAATGTCAGCGGGATAACGTGTTCCGACACTCGTATCTGGGGCGGGAATGTTGGAGTTGGAAGCATGCCCGGGTTTCCAACAAGAGGTAATGAGATGGACTTACTCTTGGCGAACTTGGCGCGCGCGGTGGCAAGTTCTTCCGCAAGTTCTTCCGCAGCCAGCCAACCAGCCAACAACGGAGGAACGACGGTAGGGACCGTGGGGTGTGTGTGCAATCTGCCGACTTCCCCTGATCGTTGCATCGCATCTGCATTTCTGCCAGAGATGTCCAAACTCTAAAATAAGTAATTAGTAATTACTTTTACTATTACTTTTACTAATATAGGTCATAAGTAAAATACGTTACTAATACTAATTACTAACGGAAGGTCGTAAGTAAAAGTAAAAGTAAAAGTAAAAAGTAATACTAATTAGTAAATACATTTACTAATTAGTAACGTAAGTAGTATAGTATAGTATAGTATAGTATAGTATAGTATAGTATAGTATAGTATAGTATAGTATAGTATAGTATAGTATAGTATAGTATAGTATAGTATAGTATAGTATAGTATAGTATAGTATAGTATAGTATAGTATAGTATAGTATAGTATAGTATAGTATAGTATAGTATAGTTTCTATACTTCTTTATATTATTTATATTTATACTTATACTACTAGGTATTTAAAGAGGTAAAGGCTTTAGAGGGATACGGCGTAACGGATACGACGCGATAGATACGGCGCGATAGATATACGGCGTAATAGATATATAGTATAATAGATATATAGTATAATAGATATATAGCGTAGTAGATATATAGCGCAATAGATATATAGCGCAATAGACATATAGCGTAATAGACATATAGCGCAATAGACATATAGCGGAATAGATATATAGCGCAATAGATATATAGCGCGATAGACACGGCGTAATATAGGTACGGTATGCCTTAGGCAAATTTAGCCTCCTAGTATTTAGAATTTTTGCTCCTACCGTATATAATTACCCGGCTTTAGGGCTAGATATATATAATATATTAGCACTCTCTCTAGGGATATATGTTTATATAAGTAATTAAGATATAGAGAATCTATATATAAGATAATGTCCGGGGTTTTGCTTATTAATCAAAGAAATATTAGAACTTATACTACTAGGTATTCAATAAAGTATAGGCTTTAGGGCAAAATATATATAATATATTAGCAATCTATTTAGAGATATATACTTATATAAGTAATTAAGATATAGAGAATCTATATATAAGATAATGTCCGGGGCTTTGCTTATTAATAACAGAAATATCTAGGTTGTTTTAAATTTCTTTATTAGTAAAGATCTAGATTTATCTTTATTTATATAGGTTCTAGGTATCCTACTAGGCTAAAAAAATTTTCTAGTATACTTTAGGGTATAATAAAGTTATTCCGAGAGTTTGAACCCTAAAAGAGTAGTAGTTTACTTAATAATAACTATTGAATAATACTACTAGTTTTAGACTTTCTTAGTCTTTCCAGCCACAATATACAAAGATAAGGAGCTCTATTAAGATGGCTGGGCCTAGGAACATAAGTAAAGACGTTCCCCTAAGGTCGAGAAAGTTATACAACCTGAAAACAAAGCTCTACTTTATCGTTTGACAGCCTTACCTTCAAAGAAATTCAAGAAATTCAAGATGCCTCCGGCTATTAACGCCGAGGGGCAGGAAGATATCCCTTGGTATCTTCGGGTTCTTAACCCCTACGACCGACGTCACTCTGGTCGTAAAGCTTTGGAAGATCGATTTACCCCTTCAAAGTAAGTATATTTATTCTTATTATTTCTTAATTGCTTATTTTTACTTATTTCTACTAATTTCTTATAGTCCAACGCATATGCGTGACTTCTTGGCCTTAAAGGATCACATTGCAAGACTTGCCGAGAAGGAGGCTATTATTAATAGCCTTAACCGCACTATCGTACGCCTGCGAACCAAGAATCGAGTCCTAGAGACCAAAAACAACAATCTTGTTCAAGAGAAGGAGGAACTTAATACAAGGTTGTTAGACATTGAGAACAATCGTAAGTTATATTACTATTTATAAGAATATTTACTAATATAATCTAATAGAACTCGAAGCTCTCCGTCTCGAAAACCAAAGCCTTAGAGATAAGGTCAAAGATCTCGAAAATCAAGGTAAGTTTACTATTATATATTATAATATATATACTAATTTTTCTTTTAGTTCCTAACACTCAAGAGGACTTTGATCTTATAACCGCAGGTGCTTTTGATATCGACTTTGGTTCCTTTGATTTTGAGAATTTTGGTAAGTCTTTTACTTTCTTTTCTATTATTTTCTTTATATAACTTTACTAATAATTCTTAATATAGATTTCGATATGTCTGCAAACTAACTACTGTTTTCCTTGCTACGTTTGTTTTACGCTCGTTTTTATCTAACGGCCAAGGTAAGTTAATTCCTAATTAATATATTTAGTATTATTTACTAATTTCTTCTAGATTGTGCTTTCTCGATCCTTTTAAAGGGTCGATATGCTGCGTTCTGACTTTCTACATCTGTCTTAGGATCTCAACATCCTAAATATAGTTAGGAATATATCTATATAGTCCTAACAATTAAACTATACCTGCGAATATCTTATCTATAACCTATAAGTCTTTAAAACTATTATTATTATTATATACTAATTAGGTACTATTAGTACTTCTAGATACTAAGATACCTTAGATTATCTAATAGCTAATAGCTATTCTTAATAGATAATAGTTCTTAATAGATAAATCTATATATATAAGAGAGTATCCTACTAGACTATAGATAATAGAGATAATACTACTAGGAAGTAACGTAGTCTTAAGGTATTATAGCTTTCGATTTATAACTAAACTAATAAACATATTAAAGAATATCCTACTACTATACCTAAGTACTAGACTATAGATATAGTACTAAAAAGTATCTATAGCTTTAGTCTAATACTAAGCTATAGCTAGATCTAGAGCATTAATTGCTCTATTCTCCTCCTTATATTCTTGAGAGGTAGTTCTACTATTAAGCCTATCCTTCTCCTCAATCTCGCTTATATCTAGCATCCTAGTATCTATACCTTCCCTTTCTGTCCAATATTCCCTAGAATCTCTACTACTATCCTTATATCCTAGTAAGTCCTCTTTATTATTACAAGTATTATAATCCTCAAAATAGTCGGTATCCAGTATATTAAGATCTAAGTTAAGAGTATTAGAATCGTCCGTAGGGCTAAGAATTGTTAAAGGATTTAATAGTATCTCCTTAAGTTTATCCGGCGTAATAGATTTAATATCTTCCTTAGGCGTAGTTTCGATGAAATATAGAATAGTATCCTTATGTTCCGGTTTAATCTCCGTATAGTAGTTTAATGTTCCAAGAAAGGTAAGATCGTCAAGAATATCCGTATAATAGTAGTAGCTTTGGTCCTTAGAGATAGAATCCTTATAAGTAAAGTAGTTGCTATAAGTAATTATCTTATTAGTAGTAAAGGATTTTGCAAGATCTATAAACAATTAGTATTATATATATAGTAATATATAAGATATACTTACTAAGATCCTTAAAGTATAGACTATACCTAATAAGATATCCGTTAATCCGGTTTAAGAGCATAGTAGCGTATATATCGTCCTTATAGCTATTAAGAAACTTGCGTAGGTCGAGGTCAATCTTGATTCTTCTATCCGCTGGTTTATAGATGATATCTATATTAGATTAGCTCTATAAATCCTAGTAATTAATTATACTACTACTTACTAATTATCTCTTTATATCCCGAGAAGTTATAGTACTTTAGCCTCTTAATAAAGTAGATAATCCGTACTTTATTAAGGTAATCGAGAAGAAAGTATCCGCCGGTAGTATTGCCGTTATTAAGAGATTGTCGAGTATAATTAATAATAGCCTTAAGAGTCTTATCGATACGGGTGCTCTTAACAGTAGAGCTACGATTAATATATTTCCTTATAAAGAAGGTAGTATATTCGTAGTAATAGTCCAGGTCATAGTTGTTCTCTAGGATACTATTTATATAGTTAGTTATTAAGACGTTACTCTACTAATCCTTTTTACTATATAACCTTTACTTACTTATTACTAGTAGAACTCTCTTGAATAGATTGGATAGTAGACATTCTTGCTTCTTAATAGTCTTAGTAGTTGTTATAGACGTGCTTGTATTTCTCGTAGTTATTGTAGTTCTTAGAGAAGAAGAAAGAATTGTAAAGAAGGGGAAGGAAGGTCCCTATATACTTCTTTCTTAGACTAAAATTAGAGTTTTATAAGCTTATAAGTATATAAGCTTATATGTTTATATGTTTATAAGTATATATACTTATATGTTTATAAGTATATATGCTTATATGTTTATAAGTATATATGCTTATATGTTTATAAGTATATATGCTTATATGCTTATATGTTTATAAGCATATAAGCATATAAGTATATAAATATATAAGCTTATATAGTAAGGAAGGTAAACCTTGAATTATATAGGGATTCTATAGTATATAGAGAGTCTCCTTTACCTTCTAGTATCTACTACTACTTCTTTAAGAACAAGAACAACAACAAGACTAAGAACAAGAACAAGAATAACTCTTTTGACTTTACTAAGTCTACTTTTCAAGATTTACAACATGTCTTATAAGGAGCAAGAAATTAGTAAGTAATCTTAAATTTAGAAAAATATTTATTCTACTTGTTTAAGTATTAACTATATATTATATAGATTCTTTAACGACTTTATCGACTTCTAAGTCAGGTATTTACTTTATAATGCTTCTAATAGAATATACTATACTAATACAATAATCTATAGACACTATCTTACCTAGTACTAAGGTAACTAGTATAAGTAAGATAGTAAAGGATAGTCTAGACAAGATACAGACAAGGACAAAGAATCGAACCTATAAAGAGAGTAAACATATATTTCTTAGTAAGTATTAGTCTAATATATTATAAGATTTTAGGAACTAACATTTAAATAGATAAACGGATCAATAAGCAGAAACCTCCTACTAGTAGTCTTACTAGTATGTAGCTTTATACTATTAATCTGTTACTATACTAATAGCTTATAGGAACGTACTCTATACGAAAGAGTAATATCGATAATCCTAATATAGGATATATCGAGATCTTACCTAAGACTCGTTATCCTAAGATATTGAATAAGATACAATCGGAGTCGTAAGTATACTTAAACTTTAAAGTAGGTCTATACTAATATATACTAGACCCTATACAGGCGACTATATTGATAAGAGAGGGTACTATACAAGGAATATTTATAATACAGCGCAAGGGGAACGCTAATAGAAGACTATAGTATTAGACTGTTTCATTTTTTGAAGGTAAATAAGAATATTTATAAGGGGAAATACGGTAAAGCAAGATAATATATATATTACTATACTAAAGAATATATATAGTAATATATATTAAAAGCAAAGTTCAATAGTTATATAAGTATTGCCCTAAAGTATAGATTGTCCTTAATATATTCTAATAAATATATAATTAAATAGAAGTAAGTACTAGTAGTAGGGGGCTATATTATTTACTTATAAGCATATAAATATATAAGAAATAAGTAAGATATAATATATTTATAAGCTTATATACTTGAAACTATATAAACATTATATAATATACGTTTATAAGCTTATAAACATCCTATTTATGCGTTTATAAGCTTATAAACATTATATTTTATATCTTTATAAGCTTATAAACATCCTATTTTATACGCTTATAAGCTTATAAGCTTATTACTTTGTATACTTATATGCTTATATGCTTATAAGCTTATAAGCTTATTACTTTGTATGCTTATATGCTTATATGCTTATATGCTTATATGCTTATAAGCTTATATGCTTATAAGCTTATAATATTATATACGTATAAGCTTATAAGCATATAAAGAGGTACCTTAATAAGATATATAGATTAGGTACTTACCCCCTATATCAAAAACTTTACTAGGATCACTTTTCAAATACTTTTCTCTTTTTATACTACTTCTATCTTATTCTACTATCTTGTTATTTACTAAGATATTCTTGTTTCTACTTTTGAACTTTATTCTACTATATCTTTTCTAACAACTATACTACTCTAAAGAAGTTAGAGTAGTAGTATCTAAGATACAACCTACTATTCTTAGAATAGCTAGGTAAAACTAACTCTACTAGGTATATATATATATATATAAATCCTTATTTGTTCTTCTAAGTAGTAAAGAACTGGCTGCATTGCCTAATAGGCTTAATTATAAGCTTATAAAGATATAAAGATATATGTTTATAAGCTTATAAACATATATGCTTATATACTTATAAGCTTATAAACATATATCTTTATATACTTATATACTTATAAACATATATCCTTATATACTTATAAGTATATAAACTTATAAACTTATAAAACTTTAATCTCTAGCCTAAGACAAAGGTATATAGAAAGCGTCTCCCGTCCTCCCTTAAGGCTTCTTTCTTTTCTTGAATATTAAAATACAACTACTCTAGCAATATCTACTCTTACTATATAGTCTATACTACTTCTACTCTTATTACTACTATACTATATTAGAACTAATATTAGAACTAACCTTACTTTAGTATATTAGAATTGTTCTAAGATATTATATAATAATTATACTACTGCTCTAAAGTCTTACTTATTAATCTCCATTTAATAAAGTAAGTATAAAAGCTATCCGCTATCGTAAATACTAAATCTACTTCTAGATAAGCTAACGTAATAGATATTTAGTATAGTATATATTATATTAGACCTAATACTATTATAGATAGATATGACGTCAAAACAGGCCTCTAAGCTAGATATTAATAAGCCTGATGCAGAACTACCGCCTATTAAATACGCACCACCGCCTATTAAGGAGCGACTTTTTACATATAGTCTATCGCCTTATAATAAATCTTTACGCCGTACGGTAAACTGCGTCTGTACTACTTGTAAAAAAGAATTTAAAATACCTAAATGGCCTATAAATACTAGTAATTTATACGAACACTATAAACGTAAACATAAAGATATAGCTACTTCTAAGGACACCGACTATCAAGACTTAGCTAGTAATAATAGTGATAATAGTACTAATAATAGTAGAGCTACTAGTACTAATAATAGCTTTACTACGAAGCCTAAGCCTAGTACTAGTAGTACTAGTAATAGACAAGCACTATTAACTACTAATCTCCAAGTAGTAGATTCAATAGAAGGCCGACCTATGTTAAAGAAACGTAAAAGTAATTTAGGATACTATACTAACGAGGAATTTCAGAATAAGCTTCTTAAATTTATACTAAATAGTGATCTACCATTTAGTATAGTAAATAGTCCTAATTTTAGAGAGTTAATTCTATATCTAAAAGACGAAGTAAAGATACCAAGTAGACAAACTATAAGACGTAACTTTACTACTCTGTTTAACGACGAGATTCTAATATTAAAGGAACGACTAGTTAAGAATAATAGCCGCTTTGCTCTTACTTTAGACGAGTGGAAAGCAGGAAATAATAAAGACTTCCTAGCTATAACTTTACACTTTGTTAATAAGACATTTAAACTAGAAAACTATTTAATTGGTTTCGAGGCTTTAAATAAGCACGATGCTTATACCGGGGCTATTATCTATAAAATATTTGATGAGGTTATATCTGATCTACGTATCCGTAATCGTATTATAGCAATTACTCGAGATAATGCAGGGCCAATTACTACCTTAATAGACGAAATCAAGACTAATTATAAGAAGAGCTTTGCTATTAATATAATTGATATTAGATGCGCAGCGCATGTTTTAAACATAACGTCTAATGCTTTTCTAACTTATGTTTTTTTTAAGCCTAATAATACTATAGTATATAAAAATAACCTAGCGCGATTAGCAAAAGAGAATCCGCAATTTAGTATAGAATCTTTAAATAGTATAAGACGGCTACCAAATCTACTTACAAGTATTATTAATATAGTTAAGTATAATCACTTTTTTAAGAATAATTTTACTAGAATAGTAGAGGCTAAAAAGGATGCCGCAAAATTAGCTTTAGGGCCAGAGAAATTACTTAAAGCTAATGATACTAGATGGTTATCTACTTATATAATGCTAGATCGCTTTATTTGGTTTAGCGACGAGATTAACGAGATATTAGTTAAGGCTAGGCAACTTAGTAAAGCTAAGCAAAAGGCCTTAAAGCTAGATACATTTAGTATTTCTACTTACGAGTGGAATTATCTAATTAATATTCGAAATATTTTAGAGATATTCCGCGCACCTACTATACAATTTCAGGCTAAAGACTATTTTACTAATTCCTGGACTATTCCTAGAATTGCTAATCTAATAGAGAAAATAGAAGATAAGTTAGACGAGGACTATATTAAATCTAATCCTTATATTAAATTTGGTCTAGAGCAAGCACTTACTAAAGTACTAGAATATTATCCTATTAAAGATACAAATACCTTAGATAAGAATAATAAAACTAAGACGTTTAATAAGCTAAAAGATCTTCTTTTAGTAACACTCTTAAACCCTTTCTTTAAACTTAATCTATTTAGAAAACTTAACTTTAGTTCTCAACTTATAGACGAAATTAGAGAGTACTTTATCTTAATATATAGAAGATATAGAATCGATTATATAAGTAGTATTGATAATACTTTAATTACTAACGAATCACAAATAACTACTAGTAGTAGCTTTGATAGTAGTACTATATCTAAAACTAGAGACGCTGACGATGAGAAATATCTAGAGGCTCCTAGTACTACTTATAAAGAGTTCGACGAAGCAGAAGCTTATCTTAATGAGGCAGTATTAACTAAAGACTCTAAAGAAGATATAAGCTCTTATTACTATAGTAATAGAATTAAACGGCCTATTTTATATACTATAGCAAGAGACTATCTAGCTATATCAACAACCTCGGTTCCGTCGGAGTCAGAGTTTTCTAAAGCTAATAATATAGTTACTCAGAAAAGAAATAAGTTATTACCTGATACTATTAAGAAACTAGCTATCTTAAAAAGCTTAAATAAGATACCCGGTGAAGACTTAGAATATAGTAGAAAAGAAGAGGAGGAGGAGGAAGAAGACGTATCTATAAGTACTAGTAATAATACTATTAGAACTTCTAGTAAATCTAGATATAATTATTTAATTCTAGACGATAATCAAGACTCTATTACCGATCCTATAGATATTGAGGATACTAGGACTACTTTAAGAAAAGGCAAAGAACGAGCAATAGAAGTTAATTATAGTGAAGAGATAGATCTAGATAAAGTAGACGCAACGCTAATAGATAGTAGTTCTAGTAGCGTAGATAGTAATAGTAATTACGAAAGTAATATAGACGGAGAGAGTAATAGTAATAATAGTAACGACAATAGTAATAGTGAAGGGGAAGATAGCTATATATCTTAGTCTACTAGAATAACCGACTATAGTATAGTAGGAAGAAGGAAGTTTATTTATTTATATAGAAGCTGTATGTATATATATATATACTACTAGTACTACTAGTTCCTCTACTCTATCCTTATTTTCTAGAGAAGATTTATATAAATATAATTCTATTTAGGCTATTAGAGCTATATAGATAGCTTATATATATATAGTATATCCTCTACTTACTATATATCCCTCCTAAACTACTTATTTCTTATAAATATATAGGTACGTATAGCTAGAATTAGTAAAATTATCGTTACTATTTTACTTTTACTTTTACTAATTAGTAATCCCCGAAGGTTATAAGTAAAAGTAAAAGTAAAAGTAAAAGTAACTAAGGGATTAGTAAAAAGTAATTACTTATTAGTAATTACTTTTACTATTTTACTAAGGTTTGGACATCTCTGATTTCTGCCATCTGCGAGAAAAGAGTCCCTAGGACTAGGATTGTCATCAAAAGTTAATGCCGGGGGGTCTCCAACTGCTTTTTTGCAGATTACATATGTATATTGCATCGTGTCCGCTGTCCCCCCGCCTCGTTTCGCGCTCCTGGTCTGCAGGATGCTGCGGGGGGTAGGGCACTGGGGACGAGAACAGGAACAGGAACAGGATCACAGGAACAGCCGGACAGAAAAGCCGACTTACGAGGATTTTTCTCTGCTCGAGAAGGTGAGATAGATGCGTCTGCGTCTTTCCACCTCTTTGGAACACGGTCGAGGTCGAGAACGAGTGAGATGGATACGAGCACCACCGGGCCTCTCCCTTCACTTACTTTCACAGCTCGGTGGAAACCCAATTGTGACACAGCATGGTGTTCAGGCTTGTTCACAATCTTATTCGAAATCGTGGTTTTTTGTCGTGGGTATCCATGCCCATCAACTTCTGGGGTACCCAGCGGTAGATGACACTCCCAGGTACGTATGTATGGAAGTTCCAAAATAGGCTCTACCTCACTTACTACCTTACTCTACCACCATATCTAGCCCTATTACTTCCGCTTTTGCTGCGCCGTTGTATCCAACTGACTGAATCTCAGCGGTACCTACCTATACATCTTTTCGCGTCGTTCGTTAATTAGCATCGTGATTCGTGCTTTATCGCTCCTTTTTTTTTCTTTTCAACACGACGTGGGAATAGACAGTGAAGACTACTGGGGACCAGCTTGCCATCCATCAGGTTCGGGCGCGACGTTTCAGTCAGATACGAGCGCTGTTGGCGGGTTTAGCGATACCTGGGTCTCGGATCCTTCATCAGGTTAGTTGGGCGTCCCATTCTCAAGGTCCCTAGTATAGACAGACCAACTCCCCCCTCAATTTCTCGGGTTGTTGAAGGAATGGAAAACAGCAAAAGAAAGCCACTAACCTCATCACCAACCAATACAGGATGTTATCATCGACCCACCTCCTCCTCCTCCACACCCTGAGCATTATTATCAGTCGAAGCGCAGCGGGCGCCCCACCATCACCGCAAAAGCGCGCCACCGCTCCCCTCCTCAAAGAACACCATCTCGTCCCCCGCAGCTGGACCCTCGTCGGCCCCTCTCCCAAAACCTCCCTGATCCAGCTGCACATTGGCCTCGTGCAACAAAACCCCGGTGCGATTGAACAACATCTCTTGGAAATCTCCGACCCGTCTCATGCTCGCTATGGGAAATTTTTGACGCAACAAGAGATTCACGCCCTCGTCGGCCCGTCGGAGGAATCGACGAATTTGGTCGAGGAATGGTTGCGCGATCATGGCATTGCAGAGTGGAGGCGGAATGGTGCGGGGGATGTGATTCACTGTACCATGGAGATTGGAAAGGCGGAGGAATTGTTGAATACGACGTATTCGACGTTTCGCCATGTCGAGGATGAGGGAGTGGAAGTGCAGAGGGCGATGGAGTGGTCTTTGCCCGAGTTTTTGCATGATCATGTCGAACTGGTGCAGCCGACGACGTCGTTTTTTCGGCCGAGAGGGGAGGAACGAATACGGGGTGGGAGTAGTGGTGGTGGTGGTGGGGAGGAGATTGTGATGGCGGGGAGGAGGAAGGCAAAGGGGAAGAGGCAGGAGGTGTCGGCGGATGAGCTTTTGAATCCTCCTCCGCAGAAGGAGGGTGGAGGAGATGACCTAGCAAGTATATGCCAAGCGGGTATGTTTGATCCATTTTCCGATCAGGAATACCTCATCTGTGGCAAGGTGGAAGTGTGACGAAGCTGATCAGACATGGCACAGATTACGTGACGCCCGATTGCAAGCGAAAACTGTACGGAACCATGAACTACGTGCCTCGAGCGGCCGACAAACAAAGCATTGCGACGACCAACTTCCTCAACCAAACCGTCCTTCTCGCCGACATTACGTTATTTATGCAAAAGTTTCGCCCAGATGCGGTCAACGTGTCCGACACTATCAACATGATTTCCATCGACGGCGGCGACTTGACGCAGACGCTGACGGAGGAGAAGATTTCGCTCAAGAAGGGTTCCGAGGCCAATCTTGATGTGCATAATATCGCGAGTATGGCGCATCCGATTCCGCTCACGGCATATCACACGGGCGGGATGCCGCCGTTTCAGCCGTCGGATAGTACGCCGAGGAATACGAATGAGCCGTATTTGGATTGGCTCGAGTATGTGCTGGGTCAGGAACAGGTGCCGTCGGTGATCTCGTCGTCGTATGGAGATGACGAGGATACGGTGCCGCGGTCGTACGCGGAGCGCGTCTGTCATGGGTTCGCGCAACTCGGGGCTCGCGGGGTCAGCGTGGTGGTGTCGTCGGGCGACCGCGGGGTGGGCGAAGACGGGGAGTGTACGACCAACGATGGAAGCAATCGACAGCGATTCATCGCGCGATTCCCCGCATCGTGCCCGTGGGTGACGACGGTGGGAGCGACGAAGGAATTCGAGCCCGAAGTGTGCACGACGCGGTTTAAATCGGGAGGGGGCTTCAGTAATTATTTCGACCGGCCGGAGTACCAGAATCCGACTGTGCCGGATTATGTGTCGAGTTTGAAGGGGAAATACAGTGAATTCTTCAACGCGGATGGAAGAGGGTATCCCGACGTGGCGGCGCAAGGAAATCACGACACGCACTATTGGAACGGCGTGCTCTCGGTGGCGGGAGGGACGTCTGCTGCGGCGCCCACCTTTGCCGGCGTCATTGCTCTGGTCAATGATGTGCTTCTCTCGAACGGGCGGGCTCCATTAGGCTTTCTGAATCCGTGGTTATATGCCAAAGGATTCCAGGGACTGACGGATGTGGTCACGGGCGACAGCGGCGGCTGTGAGACGGACGGCTTTCCTGCACAGGAGGGTTGGGATGCGGTGAGTGGGTTTGGGACACCGCGGTTTCGGGATTTGTGGGAGATTGCGTTGAAAAGTAGTGATGGTAGTGATGGTAGTGATGGTAGTGATGGTGGTGATGGTAGTAGTAGTGGTGGTGGTGATAGTAGTGGTCACGAGAATTATTCGTGATGAGGAGGGAGAAATGTAGTTGATGGAAATGATTTATATATTTTATGATTGGCTCGTTGTTGTTGGAGCTGACAAGACTGACAGGATGACAGGATGACAGGATGACGGGTGTTGCGTGTGTTGCACGACATTTGTTCCTTTTGCATGCTCTCTCGGAAGGAGCGATAGGTAGTCAGGCAGGAGCGACAGTGAGGTAAGAGCGATAGTACAGGAAGGTAAGAGCGATAGTCGGGTAGAAGTAAGAGGAAGGTACCTCCTAGATTCTGAGAATGGAAGAGTCCAGACACTACCGAATTCAGATAGTCAGCATGAATGACTTGGCTGACAGATACCTTAGAGGTAGGTCGTCCTGCAAAATAGACAGTTCTGCAGCAATAAATGGCAAAGGAGCAGCATGAAACAGCATCAAGTCACCGGAGCTGAAGCCAGCCACTCACAGCACAGGCCTATATAGAGAGAGGTGGGTAGTGGATACCTATAGGTACTGCATGTACTGTAGGCACTGTAGGTAAGCGCTGAGGAACAGATTCGATTGGCTCACAACACACGACTACAATCCTTCTTAATTATCTCGAATTAGAAAAAACGCCACTTTTCCCACTTTCCCCTCCTCTTTGCAGCCATTTAACTTGATTTCACCCACAATTGATGCTAATTCTGTCCCGGGGCAGGCGCCTAACGACACATGCATTGTCACCACCAACCACTATTTGTCCCCTTTGGGGTTGTACACGCTCACCCAGCCATGTTCGGGATGGCCTATACCAATTTTGCTTTGCCAAAAAAAATCAGAAGAAGAAAATTACAAGAAAAAAGGCGGGCTGTTTAGGCGCCCTGATGGAGTTGGTTGATGGGATGGGAATAGTACCTACCTCCTGGTAGCAATTTGGGAGGGATGGGTTGGTTATATCTTTCATGGCCTTTCCTTGCTCTCTTCCTCTCTCCCTCTCTCCCTCTCTCTCTCTATCTCTCTTCACTTGCTCAGTTCAACCAACAACCAACCCATTTGCTTCCATTCGACAATACCTTACTGTATTGAGATAGATACCTCCCATCCATCCCTCAATCCATCCAAATCCATCCATCCAATCAATCAATCGGCCTCGTTCGGAAACATGCTGTTCTCTCTGCCCACCTTGGCTCTGGTGCTCGCTGTCACTGCTGCTGCCGCGCCTTACTCCCAGCCAGAAGAACGACGAGAAAGCGACATTCTGGGCGGCTTCTACGACAGCTGGAGTCGAAAAGGCCACAATTTCCGAGCTGCCACTACCGCCCGTGCTGCTGAGCAGTGTAAATGTGATACTTCTTCCATTGAGATGCCACAAGGTATGTTCTTCACATAAGGACTTTCGGATGCACACTTGATACTGATCATGCGATGAAAATAGCCCCCAAACCTCTTCCTCCCGTCTCGCCCGGCTTCTCCCTCTACCACATCGCCGTCGGACGCGGCACCCAGAATTACACCTGTGACCTCTCCAACGCCACCGCCGTCCCCGCTGCAGCAGGAGCAGTTGCCACTCTCGTCAACGCCACCTGCCTGACCGCCGTGTCTCCTTCCCTCGCCTGGAGCCTCGCCGGCTGGGCCTACCAAGACCAACACGTCAAAGTCCCCATCACCATCCCCGTCAACGATTTCTTGAAAATCTCCGGTCATCACTACTTCACCGATCTCACCACCGCCTACTTCAACCTCGACACGGAAGGCGAAGGCGACGATACCTGGCAGACCGATTACTCCCAAGGCGCTTTCCAGAAAACTCACAGTTCCGATGCCCCCAAGGATGCCCTCAAGGGCTCCGTGCCGTGGTTGAAACTTGCGAGTAAGACGAATGATACCGATTGTGCCTTTCAAGAAGTCTATCGGATTAATACTGTCGGAGGTGCTGCTCCCAAGACGTGTGTGGGACAGGCTGCTACCTTTGAGGTCGAGTATGCGGCCGAGTATTGGTTTTATGCAAAGGGACGGACGGCGGCGTCGTATTAGGTTTTTTTTTTTTTTTTTTCTTTTTTTTCCTTTTCCTTTTCCTTTTCTTTTTCTATTTTTCCTTTTCTTTTTTTTTACAGCGGCATGGACGAAAGGCGTTGTCTTTTTTCTGATTTTTGCATGAGTGGGTGGGTGGGTGGGTCAGTGAAAGGGTGGGTGGGGGAGAGGAGAAGAGAGAAAACGACAGGAAAGTCTTATGCATAAGATATGCCAGCACATGACCCCCCATCCATGATGTGTATGTCAAGAAGAAGATGATGATGATGATGACTTTTTTTTGCTTTTGCTTTTTTCCCCGCAAAGTGTAGTCACTCGATCAGTCAGTCAGTCAGTGGAGAGGGGCGGAGAGAGAGAGAGGCCAAGAGAGAGATAAAAAGATGAAACAGAAGATGAAACAGAGAAAATCAGCTAGATAATAAGCGAGACAGTTGGGATAAGAACAGAAATCAGTTATATACAGAGAGAGATAAGAGGGAGCAAAAGAGAGAAAATACTACCTTACAACTACTTTATGTTACCCTTGGCGCTCTACTCCTCTCTACTCTTCTCTTTTACTCTTTTTTACTACTCTCTTACCCGTGATTTCGTTCTTTCCTTCATTTTTGATGAATTTTGATGAAAAAAAAAGAATCAAGACGCCGAGAAATGCTACCTGAGAGACGAGACGTCACAAATGCTAGACGTCACAATCGACGTGGATACATGTAGGCAGGCAGGCAAAAAAAGGCTACGCTACACAACACCAAAACCAAACCGCTGAGCGCATCATCATCATCATCAACAACAACAACAACATCACTGATTCACTTTCCAAGATTCAAATCCTTTAGCGCTTCCTTGCCCCAGTCTGAACCCTCTTCACTCAGAGGCGAACTCGTTCCTCCTCCACCATTCGCCACCCGGAGCGTCCCCAGTGGCTTCGGCATCTCCACCGGACTGTCGTCCTCTGCCGCGTTGTGGTCGTGGTCGTGGTCGTCGTAATTCGTGTGGGCGTGGTGATCCGACGACGGCCATTCCGGATAGCCGCCGTCGCCCGGTTGATACGTCGCCGATGTCTGCCACTCCGTCTCACCACCACGTGCATACTGCGAATCATCATAACCACCCCCCCTCCCGTCGTATCGGCCGTGCTCCGGCAACTCGGATGCTGCCGTGTACGGACCCACGGGCGAGTAGTCGAGTGTGGTGTTCAGATTCAGCGGTTGCTGCTGATGTTCCATCGTGGGCGTCTCGTCGTTCATTCCTTCGTACGCCGTCGTGTTCACGTCTGTCATCGACAACGATCGTGCCTGCGTTTGCACCGTCAAGTGTCCATCCTGCTCGGCAATCGGCTCCGTCATGTTAATCACGCTCTGTACGTTGCGCAGTGAGCTCCCGCCCGGATGCAGACTGGCTGCGCCGAGCGCGTTGCCACTCTGTGTACTCCCGCGACGAGCAAAGTGGTCTTCGGGCACCACCGTGCCGATGCTCCCTTCGGCATCGGGATCGCGGATGCTGAATTGTGCAATCGTGCGCATCTTGCGGCTCACCCAGCTGGCCAGGATCTTGCCACGTTGCTTTTCGCCCAGTCGTGATCGCGGAAAGTCGCCCATCGCCACGAATGCGACAATGTCAAGCACCAGCTGATGCTCGTTGAGCACAGTGTTGACAATGATGGGAACCAGCGATGCGAGGAAGGCTCTCGTCCTGACTTCGGCAATGAGCACCAAAAGAGAGCCAGCTTGAAAGATGGCGCTACCAAGCAGTCAGCAAAGTCCATTACACTTGTCACATCGACAGGGACACCGTTCACACGTACCATCCTCCACGCACAATCGCACGATGGCATCTCTCCACACTGCCCTCGACATCCATCGGGAAATGCTGCAGTCCGTTGACCTCGAAAGTCTCGCCAATAGAGCCCAGTACAAACAATACCTGCATCTCGACCATGTTGCCACCAGGTCCAATCGGTCTGCTCACACTGTGCAGGAAGCCCAGATCACCAGTTCGGACGTATCGCACGCCGGGGTCACCATCCACAGTATGGCCATTGAACCGCTCCGCGTCGAAAGCGTCCTTGCTACCGTAGAAGGAATGCGCGTTCGCCTCGGACTGCACCCAGATCTCGCCATACTCACCGACCAGACATAGCCGGTTCGTCTCGGGATTCACGATGCTAATTTGAGTGCTCACAGGAACCATGCCGGAATCTTGCACCAGGAGTGCAAAAGGTTCCTGATCGGGATCCACAGGCACAATCAATCCTCTCCGCAGACTAGTCGGCTCCAGGTATAACTCAATAGGTTCGATGCACATGTAGCTCCTGCTCGCGACCATGGGGTTGAGGACGTGGCTGTAGATGGTATTGATGGCCGTTTTGTCGAGTGCAGCGGGAGCGAAAGCTTGTCGAACCCGCGAATAGACGTCTGTCTTGGGGCGCTGCTCGGTAGCTATCATCAGGTTTTTGAGCTCCATGAGATTCATGCCCTTCCCGGCACCATGAGCGATGGCATGCTCCAGCATTTGCGCGGTGGCATACGTATCCTTGATCTTGTACCTCGCAAGTGTTTGCATGAGAATGTTAGGATTACCAGCAAAGTCGACAGGCGAGACCAGGTATGTAGGTGTCGCCAGGAAGATTCCCATCATGCACGTGTGGAGGAACCCGATACCCATCGTGCTCCGGACACATGCAAGCACAGGCCGTGAAGAGGTCATCTGACACGTCTCCTTCTGCACCTTGCAGAGCGCCATAAGTGTGTTGTGCCCGAGCTGCACCGCAATACGGCGTTGGTCGGGCGTCCAGTACGTCCATATCACAGCAGGATATCCAGGTGCGATCCATGCCGGACGTATCGTCAGACCTTGCTCTCTGCATCCATGCGACTGCTTCGGTGGCTTAGACGTGTTGTAGGATGGAGGCAGATTCACCTTCAGGATGAGTGCTGACTGCTTCAGGTGTTGCGACACGGTCTTTTGCTTGAGAACACTTTCGACATCGTTGTTAGTGAGAATGGCTCGTATCCTGAAATCCGCAATCATGTGCAGCAACGCCGGAGCATCCTCACTCAGTCTGTTGCTGTCAATTGGCGCCATAGGCACAGCGACGGCACCCAAACACAGACAAGCATGCACCGCATACACAAAATCCTCGGAGTGCGTATACATGAGCAAGAGGTGATCGCCGGGCTGAATTTTGACCTTGTTCTTCAGATACAGCGCCACAGCTGCGACCTTGAGATCAAACTTTTTCCAATTCACACCTTTGCCTTCTCTCCCCCTGCCATCGATAGTGCAATAGGATAGCTCCTCGGATTGCCGAGAAACCCTCCATTGCATGAGATCGTGGATGTTGCTGAATTGATTGAGCGGCGTGCTCGTCCGGTCATCTATGACTACTTCTCGGTGATCGACTCCCGAATATTGCTTGTCAGAGTGCATGGCCAGCATATCCTGTCGCGCTTGACTAGCCATGGGGGACCATATCCCGCCACCAGGATCGTCGCCGAGCGGCAGGTTTTGCACAGCACGTTCGACACCAAACTTCACATGTACACAGGGGAGATTTCCATTGTCAAACTCCTTCCTGCAGAGCATGTTACCAATATCTCTTCGCCCATTCTTAATGACTCGCGGCAGAGTGCTTGGTGCTGTCATCATTACGCAGTATACACGCAGATGGTGCTCCTGGTACAAAACCTCCATGACGCGCTCACTGAGGGAGTCTAGGAAGGGGATATCGAGTTGTCGCGGAGGCCCACCAGTCGTCGTTGGAGCTGTACTTGCAGCTTGCGTCTCAATGAGGATGATTGGAAGATACTCTCCGTTGACATGCGCGTCAAAGGCAGAACAGTCGTAAATCTTCGGCACTGTCTTCATGATGCTGGCCACAAGATGTTGTACAAAGAAGTAGCGATGCTCGACCTCATTCGCACCGTGCTCGACCCACTCTACTCTCTGTCGTATGCGGTCCTCGTAGAGTCCTAGTACAAATACCTTGCCCTCGATGATGCAGCCCAGTAGACCCGTCCTGAGAAACTCAGGCTCCACTAACACGGGCGTCGGGCTGCCTTCCACGAATCGATATGGTCTCGCATGGAAGATGGTCTCGGTGTGTTTGGGCAGTGCCCAGAATCCACCCGAGAGCGAGGGCGAATCAACCCATATCTCGCCTACCATATAAGGTGCACATAGCAAATTTGTCTCGGGGTCGACCACAGCAAGAGTCGCATCAGGAATGGGATAACCAAATGCACCAGCTCGAATAGTACCGGGCTCATTCACCCGTTTTCGTGCCTCTTCTCCCAGCGCAATGATAACAACTTCATTGGTTTTGAGACTCTCCTTGTCCAGAAGTACCTCACTGAGTTCCGTGCGGCTTGTTGTCTGCGACTTCTTCTTGCTCGCAGTACTGCCATCGAGCAGACTCGTGTAGCCATTTGCGGTTTCGGGGCTACCAGGTTCTTGATCGCTATCAACTTCTTCGTCTTGTTGGATGGTCAGGGGACAGCCCATCCGCTCTTCGCCGCCCAGCCAGTCTCGGACCGAGATAATCATACCGCCATGTTCTGGCAAGGCAAGCATGGGTGCCACCAATTCTCTTGCACGCGGATTGCGCATAGGCTTCAGCCATCGATCAGCCAGAATTTCGTGGAACTCTGTATCGACGGTCAAACTGTCAATCAAACAAATCTTGACGCTCGCGAAATTGGGCTCCATGTTCTTCTTGAAATTCCGCGTCGCCATTGGATCTTGCTGATAATTATAGGCCGCACGTTTCAATCCTGGGTAGTCGGCTACCATGACAGTCGCGCGGTATTTCGAGATGAGATGCGCATACAGTCCAGGTGTATCGACAGTCTTGCTTTCGAACCAGACCGTCGTGTGTCCACCGTAGACGCCTAGCAGCACCCCCAGAATCAACCCACAGCTTTCTCGCGGATCGAGATACGACATGATCGTCTCGTGCTTTCCGGAACGGGGCACAACAAACGTGCCATCTGACGCTTTGAGATGGGACGAAAATGTATCAGTGTTTTGCGTGGCAGGTATTGTCGACAGGATCGCAGATAGGCAAGCCATTTGATGCATGATGGTGCGGTGCGAGAGCACCACACCACGCAGATCTCCAGTAGGCGCTCTCGAGAACTCGATGTAGGCCAAGTCCGGCACTTGCAGAGGCGTATCTCCATCTTTCTTCTTCGGGTGATAGGAGCCAAACTCATTGGTCTTCCACCACTCCACGCCAGTGGGCCATTTCAATCTTTGATTTGAGATGTCTCTAGCAAAAGCTTTCAAATTGTTATCTGTCGTCAGTGCAAGATGCGCTTGCGTTGTGGTCAGTAGCAGTGACAGCTTCTGATAGTCGTTGACGTTGTTGATCGGTACCGCAACAACACCTGCGATGAAGCAGCCCAGTAATGCAATCGCAAACTCAATCACTTCCGTGTCTCGATAGACCAAGGCCACTCTGTCCCCCCGATACAGGTTGGACTTGTCTCTTATGACTTGTGCAACCTTCTCTGCCCTCGAAGCAACTTTGTCCCACGTGATAGATGCTGTTTCCTTGCCTTTCGAATCCAGCACCCAGTATGCGGGTTGCCGTGCCTGCATCTTCCCTCTATGTCTCAACACTACTCCAAGATTATCCCACTTGGACATTGGAATACTACTATTATGGGGGTCATAAACGGCGAAAGGTACATCTCTTGGCTCGAGTGGCAGCTGGTGAATGTGCGCTGTTGGCAATTCGTCACCCATCAAGGGTGGCGGTATCAGTGCTGTAGGGGAGAATGCTTCGCCCATGCTATAACGCTGTGGCCCGCCATAGCTCATCCTCTGGTCATCGTTCTGCATCTGGTTGCTGTTGAAATCACTAAAGTAGCCTTGCTGCGAGTCCAACATGGTGCTCAGGCGGCTGCCAGAGTCCGGCGACCACGGCTGCTGCTGCTGTGCGTTGTTGTTGGAGTCATTTGGATTGAAGGCATAATCCGAGTTGACCATGGTTCCCGAGGTCGACCCCATACTGTACCGACTTCCAGTACTCTCGGGACGACTGCCAGGTGCGAGCCCAAGACTGCCTCCATGGCCACCAGAAGGCTGCCGTTGCCCCGAGCGGGGAGGCATACCAAGCTGCTGTTCCTGGAATCGCTGCACCGGGCCAGACGCCATATTATCCTGGCCGTAGGTACTATAGTCCTGGGTATAGATGGAAGGCTGTATGCTCCCATAACTCGTCTGCCTGTTGTGCGTCGCACCATCTCCGTAGCCTGATGCCATGCTCATCGTGCGATCGCTGGACATGCCCTGCATCTGCGCGGGCGAGAGATATTGGCTGAGAATCATGGTCCGCCGCTTTTCGTAGCCCTTTTGCGTAATGTCCCCTTCTTCCAACTCATTATCGAGCTGGCGCAACTGCGCTTGCAACTGCGGATTGTGCTGCTCGGCCATGATGGATCTTCATACCACCACTATACCACGCGATATCACGACTGCCGCAGCCGCGTTCACTCCCCGTCGTGGTCGTGGTCGTAGTCGTGTTCGTAGTCGTGGTTGTTTTCGTCCCAGCCAGTTCTGTGAAGAGCAGCGGCGGCTACACAGCCATTCACTTCCCCGTCGTACAAGCGAGTCGGGTCTCTTTGGGCGGGCGGATCGGCGGCGCGGAGAGCGAGCGAGTGAGCGAGCGTGATGGAGAGTTCCTCCGAGTAGTTTTAGGTGGTGTGGGTGTCTGGAGGCTCTATGCTATTATCTCTGAGTAGATCAGTAGGAGGTAGGACGTGGCAATAATAGAAGATGGGACAGATCAGACCCGCCAGAACCATGCTCATGTCGCACACTCTTGACATGCGCACACTCTACCTAACTCTGTCCACCGAAAGCTTTCCAGCAAGACCCTGAGCGCCTCAGGTACCCTATCACGTCACTGATACTACTCGGCTCGGACTATATGTGTCTTCTATGCCGCTATTCCGTTCCGTCACGCTCTTCACGGGATAAACTCGCTGCGTGATCGGCACGGCTCAGTTCAGCGTATGGAGGCAGCGACAATTGTGTTCTTCACGATGCATATGCTTCTATACCGGAAGCCATGGTCACTAGGTACCTAGGCCTGAGACCTCGTATAAGGCTATAAGCCACATTAAGGTCCGATCAGGGATGTCCGGAGCATTCCCCACGATTCTCCCGTCGTTGTACCAACATCGATTCCCCAGGTAATCCAACTTGCCACTCCCCTCCATCCAATTCGAACTATGCCCAGAAACATGAAATCGTCTCATCGACCGTAAGCTATCTTGGGGAAATTGTCCCACTCTTGCTTGTAGCTATGAGCAGGTCTGCCAGACCACAGTGGCCCAGTTCGCCGATGTCCCTCAAATTCGCATGCTTCTTCGCCGACACCCTCCATCTTCGCAAACATGTTGTAGAAAGTTCCCCTTACACCACCAGCACCATCGAACTCAATCTCTCCAAAGCACTTCTGTCCAAAGCGCAGATCACGCCTCCAGGTATCCCGTGCGCGCCATCCGAAAGTCAACCTCTGGTTAATGTCAATGTCATCCAATCTGATCACACCCGACTTCATCGCAAGTTGAAAGCCTCCCCAGGTGACTCCAGTCTCCTGGTCGACGCACATGAAGAGACGGAGGTCGTCGCTGTGTTCTTCCAGCTGTTCTGTTATCTGAGGGCAATGGAGGGCGTATACTCCAGTTATTGTCAATTTCTCTTGCGCAATGTCGGCTCTGGTGTCCATTGCGTCTGCATCGAAGAGGTAGCCCTCGTGCTTGACAGGAGGCGATGACTCGACTGCAGCTGGTTCCTGCTTAGGCCGCGGTTCTTTTTTGATTCCTGGTTTTGGCTTGATTGATGTCGATGCCTTGGGCTTAGACGCAGAATCTTGAAATACATTCTCGGGCGAGAATGGCACATCGTCTGCTTGCTTTCTGGCAGTCTTTGGCTTCGCCGCAACTCCTCGTCCTTTCGGCACCGGTGAATCTATAGGGGTCGAAGATTTTCCCGGTTTCGAGGCTGCACTCTTGGTTGTCTTCTGCTTTTTGGTAGATGCAGCGTCACTGTGATCAATATCCACCTGCTTCGAGGCTGCACTCTTGGCGACCTTTTGCTTTTTGGTAGTTGCAGCTTCGCTGTGATCAATATTTCCCGACTTCGAGGCTGCACTTTTGGTGGTCTTCTGCTTTTTGGTGGTTGCAGCGTCGCTGTGATCAATATCGACGTGTACGTCTCCTACACGCACTGATATCTTTGTCCTCTTCACACTCGAGTTGGCCTCATCCTCTCTGGCACGTTTCGCGCCTTTACCAGCATCTGGTTTGGGTTTCATGGCCTTTCTCACAGCAGCGATATATTCCTTCTTCATCTGGGCTTCCATGGAAGCCAGATGAGGCGGCTGGAACTTCAGTTTGCCCAGTTGAAGTGCTTGCTGGAGCCTGACTTTAGCAGTGTCCTTTTGTTTGCTGCGTTGTAAGCCATAGTGGATCAGTTGCGCCTCCCACCAATGCCCGACTTGGTCTTTGACATTCTTGCCGGTCAAAAGAGTCTTGATCTCTTGCTCCGTGGCCCTCGAGTGACGTTTCAGGTCGCCGCCGCAGTCTACCAGAAGCACATCGCGGAAGAGGAACTCTCCTCGCACGATTGGCGATGCGGCATCCATTGCTATGCTATTACCGATGTTCGAGAGTTGTTGTCTACAGTGCCTCCAGGAAGCGGTTGGCTGTAGCCTGTAGCATGTTGGGGGGGCTGGGCGGGGGGCGGGATGACCGGCACTCCGGCAGTGGGCTCAGAAATGACGGGGATCAACTGTAGAACGCAAACACTGTATGTACACTGGTAATTTACTACCTCCTACAAACGTCCATCGTCTCGTCCATTCTTTTCCACCAAAATTGCCTATGATGGTACACGCCTCGTCCTGAGTGTCTGCGGAGCGTCTCTCGCATGGTCCGCAGGCCTCTTCGCCGTTGTGGTGGTCTGCCTTTGAGTTCCCATGACACCCGGCTGCTTCTGGAGCGTCATCTGGCAGGCCATTAATTCCAAGAATCTCGACCCCAGGTACATGTATGTCGATCCCGGCTCGAAGCGATTGGGGAGACTGCCAGTCTGCCAGATTTGGTCATTCCGAGGAAGGCAATTATTATCTCACTTTCGCCTCATTCTTCATGGCACCCAAATATCAGTATCGCTGTCGCCAATGTATTATTCCGGTGCTTATATGCACTGCTGACAGGACGGATGTCGCAGCATGCTGCCTCCGCGGGAAAAACAAGATATTAGTAGTAATTAAATATTGCCATGCCTGTAGGTGTCGCGGCGCCACGGCGTGGCCGAATCTCATTCATTCACATGTCCTTCCAAATAGTACTCTCCTCCGTTCACGATCGGACTTTCTGCTGGGCGGGGCGCGTGACCTCTGGTCCTATGGATAGATAGCACTCACGATACAATCAGGCGACCTCATCTATATAGGCGCTTGGTGGAACGTGGTGCATCCAATAGGTACGAGAATGGATGCTGTAGGTGGCGGATTTGGCCAAGAAAACGAAGCATTTTCGCTACTGCAGGTCCCAGGAACAAGACCAAGCTACAACCAATGACATAGATGAAACACGGACACGAAGACGAAAAGGGACGATTTGTGAACAGCGAGTGACGCCGTTTCAGCCGCGCTTCTCGTATCGCCAATCGATTCCGTGGCCACCACCGTCTTTCGCGCACGGTGACACTTCCTTTCCTCCTCCCTCGCCTCGTCTTGTCTCGTCTCGACGCGGACATTGCTATGTACGGCTTTTATTTATTGGTATTGGCGCAGTTCTGCCGGAAGATGATGAGGTCTAGTTCTGTCGCTTAGTTCCAGTCTTCCAGAGGCGCCCAGCTCCGCCTTCTCATTGCCCTTGATCACTCACTCGTTCACTTAATCCGTTACGACTGCTGTACGACTCTGTACCGCCCGGGACTACCTTGCTGGCAACATCTCTCTCGACACTGTCCGTCGTCGCTGTACATAGCTCGGTGTCCGCGACACTGCCTTGGCTCGTCTCGTCTTGCCCAGACTCCCAGAGCAAGCCACGATCGTTAGCAGCCACGCCGCTTCACCTGATATTACACCGGGCGCCCACCTAACCTACCACTTTCACTCGAGGCCCACCTCTCCTTTTCGCAGTATCTCGTGTCTGCCCGCCTGTCCCCTCGTTCGACAATAGTGATCAGACAATGGCACCATAGCCTCGGCGTGCATTGTTGACCTCTCTTTTCGGCGGGGCTCTGTCGCTTTCGCCTTCCCACGAGCAGCATTACCTTATTCACGGCACTCTTTTCCCGGCGGCTACCACGGTGACCTCCTCCACCAGTCTCATTCCATACAGCGGACGAGGAGCGACTTGAGCCAGTATCGACTGCCTTGGACTTCCTGACACTTCTCCAAGCAAATGCGCCATTCAACGCCCTCCACGCCCTTCTCGGACCCACTCGCACGACGCATTGAGACGGCAATCGCAACGTGCTCCGCTCTTCTTTGTCCATATAATCTCGCTGATCAGCAATCTTGATCCAGACCGTCGATCGTTGATCGCCGCATTGGCCCCTTTCAGCTCTGAGATACTAGCAATCTTAACCTCGCGCTGGCCGCGATGCATCCTCTACACCACCTCCACCACCTCGCCACCACCATACATGGCCGTCGCGCGCTGGGGATACCATCTGCCTCTGATGACAGACACATCATGGCTACTCGAGACCCCGATCCACTACCAGACGCCATACCCTTTGCGCAACCTGGATCCGGCGACGTGAAAGACTTTGGCATCACTCTGGATTTGAGCGCAGCCGCAGCTCCCTTCTCCCATGGCCTCAATGGAGTCAATCAATACCTCAACTACCTGCTGGCCAATGTATTGGTTATATCGTTCATGGCGTTGCTGGCAGGCACGCTCCTGTACAGATGGGTGCAAATGGGGCACAAGCACATGCGGCATCTGTTTACGATGGGAAGAGAAAGAGATCAGAGGTACTTTCAATACAACCATACCAAAGCATGGCCTTGGATCAAGAGATATGTGCTATATGCACCCTTCTGGAAAGTGCGGCATAACAGAGAGTTCAGGTTATGGCGGAGTCAGGTTACGATGGGCACGCTACCTTCGAGATTCCACTCTTTCCTACTATTCGTATACCTGGTCTCCAATGCCGGCTATTGCGCAGCACTGGATTACAGTCAGACGAGACCGAGCGTGATTGCTGAGTTTCGGGGCCGGACAGGAGTACTGGCAGCACTGAATTTGATACCGACCATTCTGTTCGCGCTTCGGAACAATCCCGCAATCTACTTCTTACGAGTCCCATACGATACATTCAATCTTCTCCATCGGTGGACCGCGCGTATGATGGTGCTTGAGAGCATACTGCACACGATTGCATGGGCAGTAAACGCTTACGACGCAGGTGGGGGCCCCCAGATTGGGCTGTCCTTGAGGACTTCCACCAGCTATATGTGGGGCATGGTGGCGACCGCAGTGTTGACATATATGGTCCTGGCATCGTCTGGCCCTATCAGACACCAATTTTACGAGTTCTTCATCAACTCCCATCGCGTTTTGGCGATTCTGGCCATTGTCGGCATCTACATTCATCTTGACAAGGCAAACCTCCCGATGCTGCCATATGTGCAGCTCAGCCTTGCATTCTGGAGTGCAGAGCTGTTCGCACGGTTCTACCGGATAGCGTACCACAATTGGACCCGGAAGCGAGGCTTGACGAAAGTCACCGTGGAGTGGCTTCCCGCAGAAGCATGTCGTGTCACATACCAGATTTCGAGACCGTGGAAGTGGCGGCCAGGCGCTCACGTTCATGCTTATCTTCCCTCGATTGCGTTGCTGGGCAGTCATCCATTTTCCGTGGCGTGGGCGGAGAACAGGCCACAGCACACACCGAGCATGGAATTTGAAATGGAGAAGCTTCCGCCAATGACCACGGGCGTTTTCAGCGACCAGGTGCGACACAGTATGATGGCGCGGAACAGCATGATGGCAAGGCATAGCATGATGCCGCGAGATAGCATGGTCGGCGGCCTCCCGAGCCATACCAGGAACCTCACTCTGACAGAGATGGCCAGCGCGGCAGAAGTGACCCACAAGGCCGCAGATGGTAATATCACACTTCCTGGAGACGATAAGGTCACGACGATATCACTCGTCATCCGAGCACGAGACGGCATGACTCGAAGTCTGTACGATAAACTCGTGAACAACGACAGACAGCCCATCACGACCTGGGGACTTATAGAGGGCCCCTACGGCGGACACGAGTCGCTTTCATCGTACGGAACCGTCATCCTGTTTGCAGGTGGCATCGGTATCACCCATTGCATTGGATATATTCACCACCTTATGGCGCAATATGCAGCGGGCACATGTTCGACGCGAAAGATACTTCTCGTGTGGTCAGTACCAAACACAGAGTGTCTCGAGTGGGTCCGAATCTGGATGGACCGGATTTTACGGATGGAACACAGGCGAGACGTATTGAAGATTCAGCTCTTCGTTACCAAGCCTAGACACCGTGGCGAGGTGGTGTCGAGCACAGGATCAGTGCAGATGTTCCCAGGACGATGTCGACCTAGCGCAGTCATCGAGAAGGAGCTGCCCGAACGAATAGGCTCGGTGGCCGTCACAGTCTGCGGTCCTGGTGCACTGGCCGATGATGTACGGGCGGCTTGTCGTAAACATGTGGAACATGCCAGTCTGGACTTTGTGGAAGAGGCCTTCACCTATTGAAAAGAGAAAAAGTGATGAGACCAGCGTTACTAGCACAGCATGGCGCTGTGAGGACAACAGCACGGGATAGAGAATTACGACGTCACGGCGGGCAGCATTTGCCATTATAGCACCAGCATTTGCTATGGGTTGCTTGTTTTTTTTTTCTGCGAAGATACCACCTTTGCGCCTTTTTGTTATTGTTGTTTACAGGGGGTTGGAATGCATAGCGAAGATGAGAGAGAAAAAGAGAGGCAAGCAAGCAAGCAGCTGCTACAATAGCTACCTACCACTACTACATTAGTGTTTGTTCATAAAGTCCGTTAGTCAGTCAGAAAGCGAAGAGAAGAGAAATCTTAATCCCCAGCCTGTATTCCCATCTTGCTCTTTACACTCGCCGGATAGTGAATACTTTCCGCTATAACATCAACCAATGGAAGAAGAAACAAAGAAGAAACAAGAGAAAGAAGCTTGTAACGTTAGTGTAAATAAATCTCGATGAACTAGACGAATATTTCTTTTGACTGCCTGTTTTTTCTTCTTATAAGGACTTAACTGGGAGCTGACGGGAATCAAGAAAATAAATCAACAAATCAATGGATAGACAACCACTCAAAAAAGAGCCCCCAAAAAGACAAACAAGTAAATCATAAAATAATAATAAAGAGGTACATTACCTGAGATGAAATTTGGAAGTGAGGTAGTCTAGCCTGCAGCTTACCTACCTTACGTACCTTGAGGCAGTAGATTTTATTTTGTCTTTCTCTTCTATGATTTTTTTCTTTCACATTCAAGGGAATGATCATTTCAATAATAAGGTAGATTACACTTTCGGGCACGGCGACGACGAGGACGGGTTGAATATATCTTTTCAAATTTCCCACGAGGTGCTTTACCTACGTATCGCGTGACTTTCATGACTATTAATTACTACAGCAGGTAGTAGTAGTAAGATAGTAGAGCTAGCTAGGCTCTCATTCTCCTACGGCGTAGAAGAAGAAGACACTTCGGCAAGTACGCCTAGCAATGCCATGACTTCTTTCGTACCATTTTCAGACCAAAAATCTATCGACGAAGCCATTTGTCGCATTGCAAGACGATAGCAACTTTGCTCTTGCACAATGCTGTTACTGTTGCTGATGCTTTGTTCGAAGGATTGCATACGTAGACCGATGGTCAGAACGAGAAATACCAGACATCTAGCGACGCGGAGGGAAAAACTCGTATAGGAGGATAACTTGTCGTTGACAGCGGGATGCGCGTCACTTGTGTGGTCGGGGAGCATGTAGATGGCTTCGAGACAGACGCGGAAAGTCGGTCGATCGATTAAGAGACATCGATTGCTGAAGACTTTTTCTGCGAGTATTTCGGCTTGAGGTTTTGATGGGATGGGATCGGATAGGATGTAACCCATGTTGTCAAAGTCGTTTGCGTCGGAATCTGCAAAGGAGCCTTGCATGCTCCAGTCGGAGTTGTGGAGGTCCATGGCATATATGGCTTCGCCGAGGCCTCCGAAGGACGAGACGGAAGATCGACGAGAGATGTGCTGGCTTCCCGGAGACGTGGGTGTGTGCAGGTTCTGATTGTACACTTCGGCCCACTGATTGAGTGGAGGCGTAGGGACGAAGCCATTTGCAGCTGGCATCAAGGTGGAAGCGCACAGGCTACTGTTGCCAAAGTCGAATGCAGAGACCGAAGAGAACGGGTCTGGCGACGAAGCTCCCGATGTCTCAGAAATCAGACTTGGGCTGGGCGACAGGGCTGATGGAGGAGCGGTGTTGCTGCCCCCATGCGGGCCTGTGATGTGTATGGTGGGCACGTTCTGTGGCAAGATTTCGTCGCTCAAGGACATGTGATCTATGCCCCCAGCATACGAAAAGGCTGGAGACAGGTCGGTGGGCAAGCTCGTGTTCAACTGGAGAGATGGCGGACCTGGTCTCTTGTGCGAGGGATTGATATGCTCGCCTGCTGTGACGGCGGCCAACCCAGCCTCGAGCGCGCGGACACGGTCTGCCAAATCAGTGTGTTCAGCATTACTGACCAGTTGTGTCAGCGGGAGAGGTTTGAACAATGCGTTTCTCTGCCTTTACATACCTGCAACTGCGTTCTCGCCGTTGTTCTTGTCTGGCACATCGCACTCCGAACCGGGCACACGTGGCACAAGGCTGATTCCCATCACATCGAATTTTCCGCCTTCGACATCGGTCGCAAGCAATAATCGAAGACTTTCGCCTCTGCCGCGTGATGGCCGGATTATCCTGCATAGGATCACCAATCGTCGCTCGCCTTTGTAAGGGCAGGCGGTTCAGATCCTCCGCACTCACAGCGTCTGTGGGTGAAGAAGCCGCAGTCGACATGATGATGACACTGGCGGCCGCGTCGTCGTCGTCGTCGTAACCGTCGTCGTCGTCTTCAATTGCAAGTCGCAGCTGTGCGCAAGGTCCTCACCTGCAGATAATTAATACAGATGAGGCATCCAAACATTGGTACCAGCCACTTCTGATCCCGATTGCAGCAGCACGATCCATTCTCTCCAACACACACACACACACCCCAACTCGCAACATCCGGGGAGTAAGTAAGCCTTGCCTGGGGGGAGTAGTCGCAAAGGTCAAGCACAAGCACTTGGAGACATGGATGAGGATGAGTGATGCCACTATCCACTACGACCCCGACGACGCGGGAGTGTCGATGCCTCTATGCCAGTAAATCGGTATCATGCACGATGCCATCCGAAACGTGAACGTGGTACCTTCTACACTCTGTCTGTCCATCCGTTGCTCAGTGAGATTTTTTCCTTCTGCCAAGGAGTTTGAGGCAGTGCAAATAAGGCCAAGACTCGCCAACGTCCAGTCACGACAACGCCCCCAATGATATACCTTCCCTTTCAGTAAAAGATGTGCTTGGCGTTTTCTTCGCCGTTCCCGGTATTCGAAACAGTCGCACTTTGAAGACTGGGATCACGCTTTTTTGACTGCTATGCGAAAGTGACTGCTTCAATTTATTTGGGGTATATTTTCTTGCTATTTTTGCTTCACTAGGTAGTCCATAGCATTTTCCTTCTTTTCCTTCTTTTCATTTTTTTCCTTCGTGGTATCATGTCGTGTCAATCTATCTCTATGTCTATGCTGATATCGCTAAATCATCAAACTGTGGTCATTCATCATCTTAGACAGAAGAGCCATTCGGCAACTTCGTCTTATTCTCGGCCTCCACCACAGCCTCCTGTGACTCAGCCTCGCTGGCTACGTCCTGGCTTTCCTTTTTGCTGCGGCGCAGTCCTCTGATTTTCTTGGAAAGCGCGTGTGTCCAGCGGCTAAGAGGCCTGTATACTTGAACCACTGGCCAGCCGCAGAACTTGGCGATGGCTGTGAACCAGTTGTCTGGGAACAGGCGGACAAGTACAGCCCATGGTAGGGACAGACCGCCGAGAACGATCGAGATGCCCCAGTCTCTCCCATCGATGCGTTGAATGGAGAAGGCTCGGCCTCCGACGTACATGATCATGACCTGGCAACCAATCATAATGGCCAAGATCGCAATCAGGAAGTAATTGCGGAAGAATCCGACAAAAATGTTGAACTTGTTGTCAAGTCGTCTGTTGTTGAGCATGTTGAAGATCTGGAACCAGACGAAAGTGTTGAAAACAACCGAGCGGATCTCGCTGCCATCACGTTCAACGTTGAGGATCATGGGTCCGGCGTAGTAGAGAATGAATGTGACGACGAGCTGATAGATGGCTTGTCCAATGATCATCTTCCACATGATGACGCTGATCAATGGTGCTGTACGCTTGGACGGCTTCCGGTCGAGGATCTCTTCGGTAGGTGGGTCAGATGCAAGAGCAAGCGCTGCCATTGAATCCCTGCCATGTGTTAGCATATGTCTGTTTATCATTAGGGAGGACTGCAAACTTACATAATCAGGTTGATCCAGAGCAATTGAACTGCGGTAAGGACAGGTATCATTTCGGAGCTGGCAACGCCAGAGACGAAGGTAATGATGACGGCCGTAATGTTGACCGTAATTTGGAACTGCAGGAACTTGCGAACCGCATCGTTGACGGCACGTCCCCACATCAGAGCAGTCAGAATCGAGGTGAAGTTGTCATCCATAAGAATGATAGCAGATGCCTCCTTTGCCACTTCTGTTCCCGAGATACCCATCGAGAAGCCAATATCGGCAGCCTTGAGCGCAGGGCCATCGTTGGTACCATCGCCAGTAACAGCGACAATTTCGCCAAGACGACGGAGATTGACGACGAGGACACGCTTGTCTTCGGGAGAGGATCGAGCCAGAACCTGGAGCTTGGGCAGACATTCATCCATCTGTGCCTCGGAGAGAGTGCGGAAGACGGGACCTTCCATGACGAGACCACCAGTGTAGATGCCACATTCGGTTGCGATAGCTTTGGCAGTCACCACATTGTCACCAGTCACCATACGAGTGCTGACACCAGCGTATGCGCACTTGGCAACAGCCTCTGGCACACCCGGGCGAACAGGATCCTGGATACCGACCAAACCATCAAAAGTCATCTCCTTCAATACAAGATCCATGTCTGCGCTCTGCGGGTCGTTCTCAACATTGCATCCAGCTGGAGGCCACTGTGTAAATTCGCGCGAGATCAATGCGATTGTGCGGAGAGACTGCTGAGCGTAAGAATCGATAATGGATTCGAGGCGTTCGCGCTCGGCACCGTCGAGTGGAATGGCACCGGTACTAGTGGCAATGGTCGAGCAGTGGCCGAGGAGAATCTCAGAAGCACCCTTGATGAGAAGGCGATACGTCCCAGAGGAAAGCTTCTGGACAGCGCCCATACACTTGCGAGCAGAGTCGAAAGGCATGAGCTGTACGATTTCCGCATTTGAGCGCTCCTCGGCAACTGGACCCATACCAAGAGTGCGACCAAGTGCAAGCAGAGCTGTCTCTGTCTTGGAACCAACGAATGAGCCATCGTCGGACTCGAATGCAGTAGAGTTGATAGCGATGGAGTCGACGATGCGGCGGCGTTCATCAGCGCTCAATTGCTCCACGAATGCTGCGGAAGTCGTCTCGCTGCCCGTCTTGTTCTTATCATCGAAGGAGCGCTCGCCGAAAGTTCCAGTGACGACAGTCATGACATTGGTAGTCAAAGTACCAGTTTTATCGGAGCAGATAGTGGTCGCGTTACCCATAGTCTCGCAAGACTTCAGGATACGGACGAGATTGTTCAGCTTGACCAAACGAGTTGTAGCAAATGCAAGTGCCAACGTGACAGCTAGCGGCAGACCCTCAGGAACTGCTACAACAATAACTGTTACGGCGACAATGAGAATGTCCAGAAATTGAGAAGCTTTCTCGGAGCTTGTGCGTGGGTTGTTCGAAAGACCTCCGAGGAATCGAAACAATAGCACAAAGAACAGGAACACTGCTGCAGCAGTTCCAAGCTTGGCGATGGCAGTAGCGAGACCGTCGAGCTTGACTTGGAGCGGAGTAGGTTGCATGTCGACGCGCATAGCCATCAGAATCTTGCCGTAAGAAGAGTTGACTCCGACGGAGGTGGCCACATATGTGCCAATGCCCTCGAGAACCTTGCTACCGGAGATGATAAAGCAGTCCATGTCCTTGAGGTCGGTATGACCTTCTTCGAGCATTCGCATGACCTGTTCGCCTCCAACTTTCTTCAGAGCATCAGATTCGCCAGTGGCAGAGGATTCATCACACTTGACGTTGTGACCGCCGATGTAAATGCCATCAACTGGGACCATATCACCAGGCTCGAGATGGATCACGTCGCCTGCTGTGATGTCCTGTACCGGGATCTGTAGTGACTTGCCAGATCGGATGACCTTTACTTCACGAGCGTCCTTCTTCGCGTTGAGCTTGACGAAAGCCCTCTCCTTTTGGTAGTCGTTCAGTGAGCCAACGAGGACAACGATAATGATGGCAATGCAAATAGCACATCCCTCGATCCAGTCAACTGGTTCAGGAGATCCCGGTGGGTGGTATGCTCCGAACGTCTCGTACAAGCCAAGTGCCAAGGAGATTGCAGCAGCCACTGTAAGCAAGATGAGAACCTTGTCGTTGTATGCGATCCACATGAGTTTGAGTAGAGACGTTGCCTTCTTCTCGGGAAGGGCATTATTGCTGAATACTGCGTGTCGATCGTCGTAGGAACCAGTGACGGGCGCTGATGCTGCCTGTCGCGCTGTTGGGTTGACCGTTACCTCGTCCCAACCCAGGCTCTTCGACTTCTCAGCATATTGTGTTGCTTCGTCGAAGGTCACGCGACCATCGAGCTTGTTCTCATCAGCGCTCAGTCCAGTCTGCAGATTCGTGCGTAGACCACGCTCTATGCCTCTGATGCCGCCGAGGGCCACATATGCGCCCAAAGACTTGGGATTGAGTAGCTTGTTGAGCTGACCAGGGGAAAAGGCGAATTTGTTGTCTTTGACCTGGAAGTCCTTCTCGGTCCCCGGATCGGGCTTGAGCGCGTCTTCTCGCTCTTCGTGGCTGAATATGCTTGATGTACTGCTGCCCTTCTCGCCATATGAAGTATCTGGCACTTTCAAGGTAGAGTATTGGGTGCTTCCGCTGAGGCCACTCGCTGATCGCTCACGGCCGTTCCAGGTAGGAGTTTGCAGCATGGTTGGGGAGCTCGGGGCGCGATCTCTGCTGCCAGGAAGAAGTGTTGTGGGCGTCGGATTGATGTCGTTGCTGTCGTCGGCCGAGACCTCGACATCTATACGGGGCAGAGGCGTGCCTGCCATTGTGCTGTGATACTCGCCGTGCTCATTCACCGGAGGGGCGGTCTCTTCTGCGCGCTCTGGTCTTGGTGTTTGCCTGTAGTTTTCGGCGGGGCGAAGCAGGATGGGCGTGCTGTCGGGTGGGGAGGGTGGAAGGAGTAGTTTCCGTAAGATGATGAGGATGAGATTATGGACTTACATCGAGACGTCTGAAGCCACCTACTTCAAGCAGCGCTGGAGCGAGGCGCAGCACTTGCCTCGTGCCCCCGAGCGGCGACAAAGGTCAACAGGGCTTGATGGATACCTAGCTGCGCCTGTGAGAGCACCAAAGCTACCCTAACGCCCTTGGCAATGTCGGAGAGGGTGGACTCTCGGCTGCTCCGCCTGCCATGATGGGCCACGATGGACTATTGCCAGCGTCAGAACAGGCGCGCTACCACTTACTGGCTTCTAGATCGGAGCCTGCGAGCGGCGAAATTTCTCGCAGTAATCACGCTTCATTGTCTTGTCAAGCGAAGAGACTCCGTTACTCCGCCCGCCCCCAAGCGAGCAGGTGTCGCGACGATGCGAGTGCGGGGCTTGGCGCTCTTGGCTCCGCGTTTTAGTGCGCCACGTTCTTTGATCTTAGCCCACGTGATGCGGACTGCTCCCTCTTCCCGTAGCCTGACACCTCACGTGAGATGCATACACTTTAATATTGTGTGTTTCACTTCCAGCTTCTGTTCAGGTCAGGATAATTTTCCATTACGCCACACAAGCACCGCCTCTCTTGCTGCGAAAAGAAGGCTGGCATGGACGATTCCAGACATCACGAGACTGTTCGCCACCACAGAAAGCGCAAGTAGAATTGTAAATCATAAGGTAGCACAAATGTACCACTTGTGGTGCCTCAGGCTCCTCAAGACATTTCAGCCGCTTCCATCATCATAGGTAGGTAATTCGGGGGAGGACCCGATACACCAAGTGCATGTCTGTCGAATGTTGATTGTGCAAAAGGACTGTTTCAACAACAGTCAATGTCTACAACATGGCCTCAACGACGCGTAAACCAATTCTCATCTCTGGCGCGGGACTCGCATCTCTCCTACTAGCCCGATCTCTACTCCGAAGCTCCATTCCATTCTTAATTTTCGAACGAGATCAATCCATCTCATTCCGCGGTCAAGGCTACCGACTCCGACTCTCCGCAGAAGGACTCGATGCAATTGAAAACGTGCTAGGTCCCGGTCCCACCGGATTCCCACGATTTTGGGATAAATGTGGCAAAACGGGCGGCGCGAGAGGTTTTGGGGCCATCGACGCTCTCTCCGGCGAAGACATTACCGATATGTTGGAGAAAGAAAAAGAGAAAGAACCGGAGAACAAGTCCAAACCATCCAAGGACATGTTATCCTCTCGCGATGGAAAAACGATCGGAATTTCCCGTGGAGACATGCGAGCATTGTTCCTCGAAGGTTGTGAGCCGTATGTGAAATTTGGCCATCAAGTCACCGGGTACGAGTCCACCTCCAACGGGGTCCACGCGGTCTTTAAAGATGGTTCCAAATCCGTCGAAGGAGATATGCTCGTCGCCGGCGACGGAATCTACTCCAAAATTGCCAAACAAGTCTCAGACGGCAAGCTCAAAACTTTCGACACAGGAGCCAGAGGAATTCACGGTCAAGCCCCAACAACAGCATTCAAGCAGCTCGGAGAAGGTGTCTGGAGAATTCTCGACAACTCCAACCCCAACGGCAAAGTCTTTGTCATCACCAACGTGCGACCAGGCGACATGGACGACGAAAGTCTCGAATTCGGCTGGACAATGGCCGGGCAGCCGGGCGTCATCAAGCCCGCCAACGACGACAATGTTGCCGCCATGATTGGGAAACCCGCAGCCGAAATTGCAAAAACCCTCACAGCAAAATGGCATCCCCGCGTGAAATCGCTCTTTACACAGATGAACGACTCTGAGGCGGCGTTTTGGAAAATTACTTGCTCGACACCGAGTGGAGTGCCCGAATGGACGAATGCGTCCCGGGTCACGGTGATGGGAGATGCCGCTCATTCCATGACCCCGGCGGGGGGGATCGGTGCAAATACGGCCGTGCGAGATTCTGCATTGCTCGGGAAACTGCTCTCTGAAGCAGGAGGCTGGACAGAGGGGATTACGGCAGCCTACGAGAAGGAAATGCGAATGTGAGTGGATTTGCCAGGGCTTATGTATACAATCGCAGGGCATGTGGCTGACATCAAACAGATACGCGAGTGAGGCTGTTGCTACCAGCTATGCCATGGCTACGAGCCAATTCGGTGTCACAATCGACGAGAAAACATCGCCAGTCGTTGGTTAGACCATCCCAGGCACATCAACAAAATATCTCAGTTGCCAATAGTTGCATCACGGCCTTACTGTATTGTGGGAACTACGTAAACCATTTCTACACATACATGTACTCAATATTTTGCTATAGAATAAAATATAGAGTTTTTTCTTCCACCATGGGAGAAGAGTTTGTCACGAAAGCGGATCGTGTTCTGTCAAGTGCACACCTACTACATATCGCTGGAACCTCGAGAATCCATATGCGGTGTACAGGGAAATCATGTGTCAATTGCCCCGCAGCTATTTGTTACCCACGATGCCGTTGTGAACTCCGCTCTTGAGGTCCACATCTCGAAGAGAATTCGTAATGTGAGCAACAGGGGCAGATCCGGCCGACTCTCCAACCTGTGGCGTTGCGAGAACTTTGTCGGATGTCTGTGGATCATCGAGATGATTGCCGACGACGTTGTTGTGAACTCCCGAGCTAAGGTCAGGATGAGCCAGCGATGAGCTGAAGTTCGATTGGGGTTCGTTAACAGGGTTGGAATGGGATGTCGAATTCACCGGAGTATTCTCGTCGATGCTTCTCTGTGTAGTTTGCGGAAGCACGGAGACTGGGTTCGTGCCGGTGACCTGAGCTGCCTTTTCACCAGCTGCTGCAATTCCTCCTGAGATAGTCTCGCGAATGTTGGCAGCCGCGCCACTGCCTGCACTTTGCTGTGGAACTTCTCTCTTCAGCTCTTGCTCGAGTAGAGTCTTGTCCTTCACAGCCTCTGCGTTCGCCGATGCTTCCGGAGACACACCGGCCTTTTGTTGACTGTCCACAACCACACCAGGCACATCTCCTGTCTGGAGTGACGAGTTTGGCTGAATGTGTTCCCCATCGATAGCTTTCTGTGCTGTGACGGGAAGAACAGACACCGGGTCGGTTCCCGTGGTCTCGCGGGTGGCGTTGCGAGCCGATGTGGCAGCGCTCGCGACAGCAGCAGTGGCAGCAGCCACGCCCCCAGAGACAGCTGCGCCCAAGTTGGCGGCCGTGCTATCATGGCTACTCTGTTTTGGTACCTCATGCTGAAGCTCTTCCTCGACCAGGTGCTTCTCACGCACGGCCTCTGCGTTCGCGGAAGCCTCAGGAGACACATCCGCCTTCCTCTGGCTATCAATCACAGTCTGTGGAACATCTCTCGATTCGGTCTGACCTTGAAACTGAGTCAAGCCAGACGCGTCGTCTATTGGAGCAGCGCCACCTGCCTTGCTCTGGCTGTCTGCTACGACTTGTGGCAAAGCTGAGCCTTGAGGCTCGAGCGGCACTTGACCCGCAAGCTGATTGGTGGTGCTGGCCGCGCCAACTGAGCTGATGTTTCGGTTCTCCACTTGGCCTTTGATATACTCGGTGCCATCTTTGTGGATCTGGTCGCTCTCTGATCGGGGCTGTTGCCCAGGCAGTTGGTCTCGCAGGTAATTTGCACCTTGTTGTACTTGATCTTGCGCTGAACGAGCACCTGCCTGGGCTTGTTCGGTGATACTGCGTTGAGAGTCGATGCCTGGGATCGTCTCTTTTACAGCCTGTGTGCTTGGCATAGCATTCGAGACAGATTGCAGACCACGTTGAACATCAGCCAGGTCTTCACGGTCCGAAGTGGCACTTTCAAAGGCGCCCGGAACGTGAAAATCATCGACATGGGCCTTTTCACTTTCTGGGTGTGAATCTGCCGCATTCTGGTTGGCTGCACTACTGAAGCTGAGGGCAAGATTGCTGATGCCGGCCACCAGAGAACTAGCGCCTGCCTTTAAGACATCTGCAGCAGATTGGGCGGAAGGCAGTTGGTCCGTAACTGAACGTGTGGATGGCAGCTGGTCCGTAACTGAACGTGTGGAAGGCAGCTGGTCTGTGACTGAACGTGTGGATGGCAGTTGGTCGGTAACTGAGCGTGTGGATGGCAGCTGGTCTGTGATTGAACCTGTCGACGGCGTCTCTTGTGCAACAGAGTCCAGACTGTGCTTGACGGCGTCACTCAAGGACGTGTTGTTGGAGGTCGAATCCGTCACCGAACGTGTGGATGGTGTCTCTTGTGCAACAGAGTCCAAGCTATTCTTGACAGAGCCACTCAAGGACTTGTCGTTGGTGGTTGAATCGACGAATGGAGCTGCGGACGGATCTGGGGTTGAGATGCCAGCTGGTATGGCGTTGTCTGCTGGTGGTGGGTGTGTGCCAGCCATGTGGGCGTCCTGGTTGCTTCCTGGCAATTCTGTCGAGCTGAACTCGTGTGGCACAGACATGGCGAGCTGGTGGAAGGTCCTCTGGACGTCTGGTATGTGTTTGTACTTGTGCTGTGGGCCCTAGCTCTGGTTCTGGTTCTACTGTGTTCTGTGAGCCGGGGTGAGAGTCAATGAGGTTGTTGTTTGTTTGTTGGCAACTGTATAGGTGTTGACCGAAGATGCGGATGGAACTTGAAGACAGCTGAGCCACATCATGTAGGTGCACTGGTCGTACCATTCAATGCTCTAGACCGTCATAACGTGCGGATGACGCGCTGGCCCATCTACATCATGGAGTCTAGCAGAAAGCAGGCAGGCACGAACCAGGAACTCGTCCCACCTACTGCACCTGCAGCTGCACCTGCCTGCATCGCACATCCTTTCTCATTATTGCACGATCACGAGCCGCTAGAGCTACCTGTTGGCAGCCATCCGGCGAACGGTTAGGGAGGTAACTGACGTCGAGCAGCTCTCTGATCTACGACGACGAGCCATGGACGAATGTGGAAAGAAAGACGTCGTTAAGCTTCTGTTGTCGACGACCGGTGACGACGTAGTGGGTCTTTCCCGCACCACACTGTCCACACATAGGAGGTAGGAGGTAGATCAAGCAATCGCGTCGCGTCGCGTTCCCGTCGCTTCTGAAAACTACGGCATTGCTTGTCATACCGATGGGATGTGGTGATAACGACAAGTACATGTAGGTTAACAACCACAGTGATGAGGACCTCGGTGTCAGCACTATATACATGGACCTTAGGTAGTCATCTTCTCGCTACTTCAAGTTAGATCTGGAAGCTCCTTAACCAGGGTTCACGGACCACTCCCAATGAAGTCTGATGACTCTAATCATCCCCAAGGTGCAGAGCTCAGAGCTGTCTGCGTAGGACGTCAAGAGCCCGTATACCACACCACAGCCTCGCCATCGCCTTCACAGACTCGTCCTAGACCGATCAGAGGTCTTACGCCCACGGGGTTCCCACCATCGCCACCTTCGATACAGTACCTACGCACACATCTCCCACGCTCACCGGCTGCTTATCCGCCATGGCCCCGACCGCCGCCATCACCAAAGCCTCAAATGTCCTACCTTCCTACTACCGCTTCCTACTCATGAATGTGGAATCACTTTTCGCATTTGGTGGCGTCATCATGGTCCTCGTAGCCCCTGGACATTACGTGACAGCCTTGACAAGAGAGAGTGTGGCGTCGATCGACTCAGCCACAGATTTCGTCTACACACAGCTGGGAGGCGGATGGATGGTGATCGTGTTCATCGAGGCGGTCATCATGAGGCTGGTGGACGATATCAAGGTCTGGAAACTTCTCTGCATGGCGATTCTGCTGAGTGACGCTTTGTACACGCACTCGATGGCGCAGGCGGTCGGGGGTTGGGCGCAGTGGGCTGTGCTATCGAATTGGACACTCAACGATTGGGTCGCCGCCATCACGACGTGGCCATTCGTGCTCACTAGAGTTGCTATCGTTCTTGGAATCGGATACCGCAAGGAGAAGAGGAACTGACACGCAAGTCTGTCGACGTTGTCGTGTACCTTTATTCAAGCCGCCATCGAGGACATGTTGGTGCCTCAGGCATGCAAGAGGGGAGACGGGGACGCGTTTATCGCTTTTTTAAATGATATGCCTCAGCGTTGGGTTGACTGTTGCGCTTCCTGTCGCCACTCTTGAACCTGTTTGCCCGTTAGTGACTTCCAGTCTTATCCGTAGCACCTCTCCCTTGAGTGAGTGCCGATGCTGCCGAAATTATAGCCGACCTTGCATCTGAGAGAGAGAGAGAGAGAGAGAGAGAGATTCACATCATCTTAGAGAGATTCATAGGTCAGGCACCTGTAAACCTACCTACCTAGGTACTTGTAGGGACCGAAGTATACAGCCTGTACATGACTACCTCCTATTCAGTAGGCCCTACTGATCATCATACCTGCTCATCCAACGCATGAATACTCCGCCTGAGTAACAAAATCATCCTAGGCTGAGTAGGCCCTCACTTGATCAAATCTGTTCAAATGCCTGCATAGCCTCATAGTTACCTTAATCTACTCCTCTTCATCTCGGCTCTATAATGGCTCTGGAATGCCCCCATGCTAATGCTCTCGCCCTTGATCCCAAAGATCCCTATGCAACGCAATGCAACCCCCCCAAAAAACAGTCAACTTCCAATAACAACGATGCCCGTTTCTATAATGCACCATATCCCTCACCATGCTGTTGTCTCCTCCCATCATCACCATCATTCACGAGCAGTGCCGTGTGCTCCGATGATGGAGATGATGATGATGACGATGTTGGTCTAGAGGAGATACTTCCCACACCACTCGGAATCCAACCCCTCAGCCAGCCCGAGACGCGTCGCCAACGATATCGAGCGCCTCCCTGCTGCTGCTGCTGCTGTTCTTCCGCAACGACGAGTTTCTCCTGTGTTTCGCCATATAGCAAAAACTGTACACCGACACTAGCGTCCAACCCCAACACACCCGCAGCGCCGAGGAAGAACGGTAGAGCTGCAAGGACCCATTGTGTTCTGTCCGATCCGTCTTTGTCGACCCAGCCTCCTCCGCCATGTGGGCCGAAATCGTTCCAGGCGTTGGGGTTACTGAGTAGTGCGAGAGAGTAGAACATGTTACCGCAGAATGCTGCGAGGAATAGATGGGGACTTAGGCCAGCTACAGATTTCCGCTGCCAGTTTTTGAACAGCTGGGGGAGGCGAGAGCCGAGATAGAGGACTGTGGACATCCAGGAAATGATCGTACCGGCCTTTTCGAGTGCAGTGGGGCCACCACTGTCGTGCAAGTGACTGTGTACTACTGAAGTCTTGCTGATGGGCGATGCGTGAGAGATAGCGATCATGCAGGCGATCAAGAGCATTGTTCTCGGCGAGGGAGAGGGCATTGGAGATGAGGGTCCAACCTTGTGAATTGTGTTGCTGTTTCTGGAAGTACCAGAGCTCGACGCCAGTTTCTCCTTCTCATTCTCCTCACGCTGGAATGTAAGAGTTCGGAAGATAATCTTGGGCCTGCTTGGTGCCTTGGTCACACCATCTGTTCCTTTGCCATCATCAGATTCGCTCTCTCTACTGGCCGTCGGACTCAGCACTGGCATCATACCTTCGATTACGACCTGTTCCATCCCACCACTCGTAGAGCTATCACCGTCGTTTGTGTTCTTTCTCTTCCACATGCGGAGCACGGGGTGTCCATGCCGGAGCCTCTCATACCAGATCCATTGTCCCACCAAACACAGATCGACGAATACGTAGTATCCACCTATACATATTTGCCAGCTAGCTTGACGTGTAAATAGTGCTCCGAGAAGATTGCTGATATCGCCTAAACACCACTCCGCCAGGAAGAAGATGGACAGCCCACTGGTGCTCTGTATTGACCAGTTCTTGTAAATCTGTGGTAGCTGCGCGAAAAGCCAGGCCAGAATGCTGAGTCCGCCCAACGTAATGGAAGTAAAAGCTAAGGGTGTCGGAACACAGGTGTGGAATGTGCTGCTGAAATGCAGAAGGAAGTCGTTTTCTGGTGTGCAATATGCTGGCAATGAGGGCTCCAACGCTGATGGTCTAATCCATTGCATGATGGATTCCGGGTGCGTGTAGGCTCGAAGCCCGAAGCGTGCTCCGCGTGTGGGAAGTGTGGGAAGTGTATCGACCTCCGAAGCGTCAGGACCTCTGGTCTAGCCTGTAGTCTCGTGCTCAGCCACGTGCTGCCTGGCTGCTAGGTACTGTGTTCCGGAGACAGCTCGAATGAACTAGTTCTGAGGTAGTCGAGCTCGAGGATCGTGTGGAATAGCTCCGTCGCGAGGCCGTTAGATGCTACTTGAGGCAATCTGTTGTCTGTTCAGCGAAGATTATAAAGGAATGCCTCCGCCAAGTACGGAAGAAACACAGGCGGTCGCAGCGACAGGGAGGCCTGGTGAAGGAGAGGTGTATGCAACTGGAGTACTTCTCAGTGTCTAGGTGACGCCTCTGGCTACCGCTTACAGTCATCAGAGCGTGTATGGTCATCAGGTGGTGGGATCATGCCGTCGGCGTTATGTACAGTGACACCAGGCCCCAGATCTGCGGACCGGATCGTGCATTACGTGCAGCAGAGACGCACCAGATCGGACGCTGAATGGACGAAGATAAATGGCCATCCCAAACGCGTCTCGTGTGGATGGCGTGGTTGAGATAAGGGAAGCCGCAATTAGCGAGTGGTAAAGCTGCGACGTCGCTATCAACAGGTGGCACCCCGCATGATCAGATGCCCAGGTGGTCGGTCGGCACGTGCGCAGGAATTGGTGGGGGTGCCTGATGCGGCGATGCCTGATGTGCTGGTGAAGAGGACACCGCTGAATATGTGCATGAGCCACGTCGTGGGGGACTGCGATGACATGTCTTATTATTCTATTCATCGCACGATTAAGTGCGTTGGTATTCGTATTCTGTTTCGTGTCTTTACAGTAGTGTGAGAATGGGCATGGCCAAACTCATACACGCAGTCAGCTCATCGGCCGGTGAGTGACGTCGCTGCCAGTCTCTCCGTATCCCAATACGGGCACTTGAACACTATCAGACTTACAGGTATCCAATCCTCATCTCACATCTGCTCCTTGAAATACCATGGTTCCTGAGACTTGTATTCCTCCCCTGGTATCGAGAAAGGTAGGTCAATGATGCGCCGGAAAGCCTCGATATTGACAAACTCGGGCGTTGAAGTCTGAGCTGATGTTTCGTCTTCAGTCTCTGTTTCCGAGTCCCCATTGGCATCGCGTTGCTTGAAAGCGGCCTCTCCTGCGGAAGAGGGAAGGGTTTCTACAGGTACGGAAAGAATGACGCCGCACTCCCAATTTCTGCAGGTGATTTTGCTCTCAGTTCTCTCAGCTGCCAATTCGCCCCACGCGCTCTTCGACATGTTGGAGGACCCAACATATACCCACGCAACTGGATTCGAGTTGGGGGAGCCAGTGGCGGCCACGGAAACGCCTGGCGGGTCTGCGTGTTCAGAGGCTGTAGATCTGAAGCCGCGAGCGCATAAGATCTTGTTGTGGCTCAGCAGGCCTTTTCTTGTAGAGCGATAGTCTCTGAAGCATTCCTTTGGGAAGCTGTTTCTCTCATAGTACTCCCTCTGCAAGCAAATGGTTCCGGCCGCACCAGCCGTTGAGCTGCGAACGGTTTCCTTGGTGGGAAAATAGACGCGTATTTTCTTGCGCACATTCGTTGTCGCGGTGACAGTCTTGCTGCCGGCCTTCTTGAAAAAGCTGGCGCCTGCTTTCGACCGTGCTTCTCTAGCATGCGCAAGCAGATCAACCCCTCTGGCTGCCATATGGAAGTCGTTCAACTGCTTGTCAGTCAGGGCCCCGATAGACGATGCTGCAAAATCGATCTCAAGGCTGGGCCCGGCCACCAAGTCCATTTGCCGTACTGTGCGACTCAGTCCCAGGAGACCAGTTCGAGCAGCTTGATCTTTGTAGTGTACACCACCGACAGTATGCACAAATGCAATGTCTGCAGTTGCAGAGAAGTCAAAATTCAGCACGCCATCCCTAACGTCTTGGTCGAGCCCTTGCATCTCAATAAAGAACATGAGTTCCCTGCCGAAGGAAGTGAGATCATTCTTTTGGCCTTGGGGCAGCCTCGGCAGGTCGATCAAGAACACAGTGTTTTCCATTTGACCCGTCTCGCCCCAATCGAAGTTCAGGAGGTTCGCCGTTGGTATCGCAATGCGCAACTTGTCAGCGTGGAAAAGGAGCATCAGCTTCGAGTGCATGCAATTGATCAGGCCTGACATGTTTGGAAAACACAAGCGAAGGAAGTGCCTCATGTCACTTGCATCCTCTCGCCACTGATCCCGGTCTTTTTGTTCTTTTGCTTGCATGACGAAGATACACTTTGTTTTTCCGCCGTTCAATGGTGTCCTTAGCTTTGAAAGGATCCATTGCGTGTCCCACTGGAATGCGGACAGTACTGCGGTACGGACACTGAGCGGCTCGAGAACTTCCTCAATTTTGATTTCGTTGCCAGAACGTTCGTGCCCAAATGCCCTGGGGATTGTCAGCACATCCCTTTACGCGTTTGCATGACCATTCCCATAACAAGCTCGCAGCACAGCCACATTGGCCGATATTCCTTACCACGTCTTCTTGATCACGCCACGAGGATATTGTAAGCCTCCAGTTGCAGATGTGGGCACGGAGCTCATGCTACTGGCAGATGCAGATAACAACTCGGTCTTCATGCGATGGTTCGCCGCTTGTGCTGCTGCTGGTTTCTCAGCCTGCCCTCGTTGCTGGACAGCTGTCGACAGCATATTGAGTCGAGCTCCACCAGCCAGATCTATACTGGTCGTTTCGAGCTTTGGGGCTTTCCTAGATTCGCGGACGGGCGGCGGTGATATCGATCGTGGGCGTTTCTTGTTCAATCTGGCTAACCTCTCCGCCTCCATTGTCTTCCGGTCGAGTCCTAGGAGGCCTGAGAGCGGCGGCGGTCTGATCGTTGGTGGTGAGTCTCGCTGCTGACTGGACAAAGACATTGCGATTGCAGCGTTCAATTCTTCGTCATCTGTCTCATGGTCTGCCATTCTAAGGCCAAGCGGAAGTCTGCCTCTTCCCAAGGAAAGCACAGTACCTTACTGAGTTATGTACCGAGCACGGAAGTTCTGCCAGATGCTCGAGTATATTGGTAGTGACGATTGTCCCATCCTGCAGTTCCAAGTTGTTTTGATGTCAGACTGGTTACCTGTAGATTCCAAGTTCAGGTAGGTAGGAGGTACATGGAGGAACTTCAGGCAGCAAGAGCTCCCTAGCTACCTAAGGTAGTTACGCGTGTTCGCGTCTCGTGGATTATCATGTGGCTGACCAAATACACCGTGTATTTAGATGGAACATCACTTCTCGCTCTCAATTCTCCGCGCTTCTGGACAGAACACGAAGGTGTCCAGCATTTATGCCGCGTCCACACTACTGCAAAGCGACTGCGTGTCTACTGAAATTACGGGCTCATTGTATTGTGGCAGATCACGGGAACTGTAGCAGAGAAGAAGAATTCGTGCGGGATATCCTGTGCTTCACATCACTGTGAGCATGCCAAGAAACCTCGTGGATCAACAAATACCGCCTCTCGTTGAAAACATAACCCACTGCAGAGAATGAGTGGTATACATTCTGTGATTGGTTATGTACTTCGAAGTCGCTATACTGGACGTGTTATAACTACAGCAGTTCAAGAAAGCGTGTGACCACCAAACATTAAATTCTATAGGCCAGCAGAGTCTATCGTACATGGCGATGTCTATCTCAGTGTGCCGCTGTGTCAAGTGAGCATGGACGGTGCCACTGCTCTGCGTCGGTCGGTTGTGGCAGGTTCATGCTGAAGGCGTTCCCTACCAGCCTTGCCTGTCAAGAGGCCTGGGATGGCGATAACGATATTGATTTCCACTAATTGTGGACCGCGGCTTGTATCGTATCGATTAATCAAAACTTTCGCCGACTGTATGCCCAGTATGCCTTGAATGGTAACTTCCAGTCGGTTACCCTGAGCTTCGCACTGAAGACATCAAAGTCATGCTGCTGTAAGCGATCAAGCCACATCTGAGTGGCAAGTGCTGGCATGTAGACACCGAAAGCACGCTCAACTTCCTGCGCTGGTGTCTCCACCCGACCGATAGAGGGCAGGTGGACGTGCTCTTCCTCGTCTTTATGCTCGAACTCGTGATCGGCCTCCCCACCTGCTCGTATCGTGGCAAGCAACTGACGGGCAGTAATGAGGTGGTCGTTCGCGCGAGTTGCAACAGCGAAGACAGCGTCGCGAAGACCTTGGGCTTCAGCACCATTGCGTAGAACGTCTTCCTCACGCACACCGGCCTCTGCCATCACGTCCAGAGGAAGTAACACAGCGCCACGCCGTGAAGCACCAACATCGCCGCCAAGAGCGCCTTGATTGCTGTGAGAATTGGCGGGCCCGGGGAAGGCGATCAGAGGCAAACCACGCAGCACAGTCGAGATGCCGATTGCTTTCCCAATGTGAGAAGCTATATGGTCAGCCGTCACGCTAGCCATGGGCAGAGCTTGTAGTGTGAGGTAGAGCAAGGTGCTGTAGGTATTCTCGCCATAGCTTTCGAGCGCAGCAATATTGGGATAAGGAGGGTTCGAAAGGTACTTTTCGCGGGTGTCGACGATTCGAGTGAACCAGTTCCTACTAAAATTCGACCTCCCTCCCGTCCTGGCTTGAAGGTCGTCCGCGGCTTGAGCAATCATCAGAGCGATCGGCTGCTTCGGTGGCGTACCGGCCAGAGACTTCGCGATCGCATCTCGATGGAACTGGAGCCGCATCATCCCAATAGTCGGCGTAGAGGTCGTGTCTGCGGTCCGAGCCACGTCGATGTTGAAGGCTCGCAGGGCGACATATGCATCCCTAGCATGGCTGGGAATATATGGAAGAAGCAGAGATGACGGAGTGTCGTACTTCCGGAGCAGATCCAGACAGTAGGTCCGAGCACTCGCGATCTCGGCAGCGGAAGTGACTTCTGCGGTGGGTTGCCTCACGCCTGATGGGCCTGATGCATACCGTCTGGGACCAATTTGAAGGCTTCTTCTGCTGATGCATAGCGGCACGGGACTGGAAGTGATGCCGGACGAGGCCCAGTTCCGAGTCAATGTCTTCATGGGCTTCATAGTCGTCAGGCAATGTCATCTGAGGGGGGCGTCCATTTTGCTGACTGCTGCTGCCATGTCCGGCGAGACAATGGGATTGTTGTAGATGTTCGTTGCCACAAGAGTGAGGTGCTTCACTCACAATACATGCCTCAGGTAGTAAAAAACACGAGAGTGGCACGTCATCAACTTTTCGCGGCTAAACTGAACGCGTCACGTCCTCCTTCATCGAGAAAACACGGCCGTTGCTCTTCAGTTGCCACCTCACGAGCAGAGCTACTGACCCGGGCGTGGACGTTGAAATGGATATGGACATGGACATCGATGAGCGGCCCTACAAGAAGAGACGCTTCTTTGACCAAGAAGGCGCTCCCGACGGCGACGATCACACCTTGTCTGCTGCAACACGCCTGTTGCCGCCAGCCCAGAGCAGTGCCGCCAACTGTTCGACACGAGACCCGCACGCCTTCGATGCTGATGCCTTTACCAGCGTTGTCGGTCCAGACGTGCCTCAAGACGCCGTCAGAAGTCTGCAGAGCGCTCATGGCTCCAACTTGGAGCAGGCCATCAATGCTTACTTCGATGGATCCTGGAAGACCACGCCTTCCAGAAAGGCTGCCACGCCACCACAGCCGACACGTCCACAGCGTCGCACCCTGAGCACCGATAGGGAGAGCAGTAGCGGCGGCGGCAGCCGTGCCAAAGGCGCTTCGTCCATGCCGCCGATGCGGTACATTGGTGCGCTGGGAGTGGCGGGCTGGACTACGAGGAGTGGCGTCTCCCTCCGCGCAGACGACGTGGTCAAGATCCAGCGTGTGAGACAAGCGCCAAAGCTCAAGATGGGGAAAGGCGGGAAGACGCAGCAAGTGTCGAGGCGAACGGAGGATGTCATTGTGCGCTTCACAGACAAGAATGGAACTGAGATTGGACGACTCGAGAAAGACTCGGCGCTTTGGATTGGTGCTCTGATTGATCAGAACGTCTGTCATTTCGAGGGACATTGTGTGTTTGCTCCGGAGCGGATCAAGACCAACGACACGGTATACATCCAGCTGCGTTGTTTCTTGCTGAGATTTGTGTTTGAAACTGGAAATTTGATCAAATCGGTCGATGATAATCGTAGTGCTGGCTTTCTGGAGACAGCCGAAACATCACAGGAGCGAGATCTGAGGCTGCGCCAGATCGGACTCGTCAAGCTCTTCTCGGAGATCAATCTGCAACCGGCGTCCGTTAACGAGGTCACTGCAAAACACAAGCGCGAGGGCATCTTGCAGGCTGCAGAAGTCGCTGAGCAGTTTGATCGAGTTGGCAGCAACAAGAAGTCGAGCCAGGACAAGGAGAATGGCGGCTCGAGCCCACCTTCAGACGATAACGAAAAGGAAGAGGGGGAGGAGCTCGAGCAAGACCAGCTGGATAGCCTGTACAAGAAGGCACAGTCCTTTGACTTCAATACGCCCACTGCTGAGCCCGCCTCAACATTTGTCATGGATCTGCGGAAGTATCAGAAGCAGGCGCTGTATTGGATGCTGCAAAAAGAACACAGAAGGAATGATGTGAAGCAAGAACAGAGCATGCATCCTCTTTGGGAGCAATATTTATGGCCAGCAAAAGATGCCGATGATAAGGATCTGCACATGGTGGAAGGGCAAGATTGTTTCTACGTCAATCCCTACAGCGGGGAGTTGAGCCTTGACTTTCCAATACAAGAGCAAAATTGCCTAGGGGGCATCCTAGCGGATGAGATGGGACTTGGGAAGACAATCCAAATTCTTGCTCTAATCCACAGCCATAGATCGCCGGAGCATGAGGGTATCGTGCACGACCAGATCGACGTGGAAGTTGATGCAGTCAGCAGCCTGAAGAGGCAAACGATGGCATCCAAAACAGTCAAAAGAGCACCTGCAACGACGCTTGTCGTGGCACCCATGTCATTGCTTGCACAATGGGCAAGCGAAGCTGAAAAGGCCTCGAGAAGCGGCACGCTCAAAGTGCTTGTCTACTATGGCAGTGAGAAGGAAGCTAACTTGCAGACACTATGTTGCGGCTCTGACCTCAGCTCGGCTCCGAATGTTATCATTACCAGCTACGGTACGGTATTGTCAGAGTTCAATCAGGTCGTCAATGCTGGCGGGAATAGGGCCACCTCCGGCGGCCTCTTTGGTGTTGAATATTGGCGCGTCATCCTCGACGAGGCGCATATGATCAAGAACCGTGCATCGAAGACTGCCAAGGCATGCTATGAAATTGCAGCCACACATCGCTGGGTCTTGACGGGAACTCCTATCGTCAATCGCTTAGAAGACTTGTTCTCCCTGGTGCGCTTCTTGCGCGTCGAGCCGTGGAGTAACTTCAGCTTTTGGAAGACATTCATCACTGCTCCTTTCGAAAAGGGTGACTTCGTTCGGGCGCTGGACGTCGTTCAGACAGTACTGGAGCCACTTGTCTTGCGACGCACAAAAGACATGAGGACTCCAGACGGAGAAGCTCTTGTGCCACTTCCTCAAAAGACAGTAACAGTTGAGAAGCTCAAATTTTCGGACCCCGAGCACGATGTCTATAGGCATATTTTTCACAGGGCCAAGACGACATTCAATGCCAACGTCGAGGCTGGCACCTTGATGAAGAGCTATACCACCATATTTGCTCAGATCTTGAGATTAAGACAAAGTTGCTGCCATCCAGTACTCACGCGCAATAAGAACATAGTTGCCGAAGAGGAGGACGCAGCAGCAGCGGTTGATCTAGCCAACGGTCTCGCCGATGATATGGATCTAGCAGCGCTTCTCGCGAAGTTCGAGGCTGATGAGGGCGAGACAGATGCCGCCACGTACGGCGCGCATGTGCTCAAGCAAATTCAGGACGAGGCGGACATGGAATGTCCTATCTGTTTCGAAGAGCCAATGGAAGAACAAGCCGTCACGGGATGCTGGCATTCTGCTTGTAAGAAGTGCCTCCTGGATTACATTGAACAACAAGCTGCTAAAGGAGAGTTGCCACGCTGTTTCAGTTGTCGAGAGCCGATCAACGCTCGCGACGTCTTCGAAGTCATTAAGCACGACGACGACGACGACGATCAGCCAGACGGCGCCGACATCCTTAATGCAGCCATACAAACAGACGAAGACCAAGAGGATGACGAAATGTACACAAGTACACAGGATAAAGTAAGGACTATCAGCCGCAAGAAACCTCGAATCTCGTTGCGACGAGTGAATCAACTCTCCTCTGCCAAAATCTCTACACTCACGACCACACTCAAAAGTCTGAAAAAGCGAGAACCTACAACCAAATCTGTCGTGTTCAGCCAGTTCACATCCTTCCTGGATCTTCTCGCGCCAGCTCTGACCAATTCCAGCATCTCATGGCTTCGCTTTGATGGCAGCATGTCGCAGAAGGAAAGAGCGAAAGTTCTTGCTGAATTCGCAGAACGACCCAAGTTTACAATTCTGCTGTTGTCGCTCCGAGCAGGTGGAGTTGGACTCAACTTGACATGTGCGCGTAGAGTCTTCATGATGGATCCATGGTGGAGTTTTGCCGTTGAAGCGCAAGCCATCGATCGTGTGCATCGTATGGGCCAGACTCATGAGTAATGATTGCTCCTTATCAATGTCTGTTGGTGCGAACAATTGCTAACTTCTGGCGCAGTGTTGAAGTGATTAGATACGTGGTTGAGGGAACTATCGAAGAGAAGATGCTCCGAGGTAAGTGCTCAACGGCATGAAATCGTGGAGGATGATCATTGTGCTAATCCCTTGTTGAACAGTGCAGGAGAGAAAGAAGTTTATGTGAGTAATGATTGCCCTTTATCAACGTCTGCTGTTGGTACGAACAATTGCTAACTTCTGACGCAGTGCCAGTTCGCTTGGCATGATGAGCGAGGAGGAGAAGAAGATGCAAAGGATTGAGGATATAAGAGAATTGTTGAGCTAAATGCTGCTTCATGGAACCAACCTGTCTCTGCGCCGCGGGATTTTGCATTGGTTTGTGGTGAGGCCATTCTCTTTCTGCTGGCTTTCATGATGAACTTCTGCTCTGCTTGCTCTGAATCCTAGCAGGGCTAGTCTCGAGTCAACGAACATGGGGGCGGGCAGGACCAGGCGCGAAGGGCGACATAAATCACCATATCCGATTGCCTGCAGCTTTGCTCGCAGCAGCTTTTTTCGCAGCTCTCTTCTTCTTTTCCTCGGTCTTGCCAGTAGCGCCAGGTGTCTTGAAGAACAGACTTGGCCCTTGCCCTTCGCCAACCAAATGGCTGAGGTAGCCTCTATGTGCGGAATCTCGGTAGTATTCCAAGTGCTTTCTGCTCGTAGGATCCGGTAACCTAAAGCGGTATCTTCTTTCCTCCTGCGTAAGAGCATCCGCCACTTTGTCCACGTCTACCTCATCTACACCACGGTCCGCACTGGCAATGTTGATACGCGATTGCAGGCTGTGGATGGGGTCCATTTCGCCCCTGATGATTCTTTTGATCGCGAAGTTGGTGTAATAGCGTGTCGTTACGGTACCTCCAAGCTTCTCGATTGTATTGATGGCTTCGGCGCTCGCTCGTGATACCACAATATTGATGGGCGTCGTGAGCTCGTCTTTGCCACGTGCAAGCAATTTCACGCCATCTTTCACGCCGTGCACGCAGCGCGATTCATTTAATTCCTTTAACGTAATGGGCTGAGAAGGATCCAGGCGGCCTCGGTTAATCCAGTCCTGGATGCGATTGAGGTTGACCTTGGTCATGTCCACGGAGAAGCTGTCCAGCAATTCAGCGCATGGTCGCCAACCGTAATGCGTCTTCGCTGACAACTACTCACTGATTTTTGAAGCCTCGCGGGCCAGCCACTATCCAGTCAGGCGTCTGACCTCCATTGAAGCCTGCAGGCACTTTTCCGTGCTGCTTTTGACCCTTGTGACCACGCCCAGATGTCTTGCCCTTCCCGCTGGCAGGACCACGACCGCGCCTGATGGGCTTGTTGTACGCGCCTTTATTATCAGATAGGGATGAGAGAATCGAGGCGTTTCGTTGTTGACTCAGGAAAGGGTAGAGGAAAGGCGCAATCGGCTGGTATGCTGGCGAAATCTGTGTCGGTATGGAGACGGCTGCACGCCGTAGCAATTGTAGCCGTGGAGGCATTTTGAATGTGGTGGTGGGAGTGGTGATGTGAAGGTGGTGATGCTGGAGGTGAACTTCAAAGACTCCCGCGGCGACTGGTCGGCAACCCTGCCTCTTACTCAGCACATTGGGTTCTCTCCCAATTTGAAGAGTTCAATCTGCTTTCTTTTGCAGCCTACATACCTCCTACAAGTCTTCAGCATACACATAAATACCAGGTATACACATGTGTTCGAACGATAAAAAGCGACACGATTGGCACACTCTGCGGCAACGCTCACACTCTCGATAGATCTACGTAGCATGGAGCTCCAACCAGCGACAGAATTCACATTGTCGGCGTCAGGTCAGCATTGCTCGCCTACCTAGTAGGTACCTACACATGACACCCGGTACACAGCGACGATTTTATCACATACAAGTAGCAGCTCAGTCGCATGCTCTAGGCTTCAGCGATAACTTTCACCCCTCATATTATTAATCATGGCGCTGACATCTCGACATGTTTGCAACCTCTATAGCGCAAGCAATGGCTCGAGTCTTGACTTGGAAACTCCCGACCGCCGTCGAGATATAGAAATAGCATGCCCAACGTACATCACGAGCTCATAACATGGCCAATAGAAGCAAAACGAGTGACCACCCAGCTCGGCCCATCCGTGAACCATATTATATATATACATATATATACAGGCAAACGCAGTTTGGTGGCAGAGTGGATGGCTTCAGGCATCGACATCAGCTCAACTATGTATTTGCGAGGATCGCCTTGACTAAACCCATGGCTTGCAGTATTGTTGGCCCGTTGGGAGTGTACTGTACACGGTACACCGCAAACCTGGGGCATTTCTAACGACGCCTTGATGTCAGCACGACAAGCACCGAAGCAGCTCACACCCGCACGTGCAAGGTCTCACGATCGTATCGCTTATCACTGACATTTGCCCTACATCAATGCAACCCATTCTCAACCCTGCCTGGAGTGAGTAGTTTTGCCGACGTTATAAAACTAGTCGTCGCGTACATGTAGAAGCAATGCTTCGTTTACATCCTCATCGGGAAATCGCATACGCCCAGTCCTCGGCAGTCTACTGACTCTACTCGTCCAAGGAGCGACGTTGGATTGAGGCCTCACCAGATATCCATGCGGTGGTAGCCTTATATTCCATTCCATAATCTTGCCTACCTGAGCATATCACCCTGCGTCTGTCCAGCAAACATGCCCACCTGGGGGTCACATGCGTACGGGTAACGCCGCATGCTCCTGAACATGGGCGGCTTCTTACCATTTGAATAGAGTATCCGAGACTTGTCTCCGGTCAATTGCCGTCGCCATGGGATTCATTTTAGCATACTACCTCTACAGTATGCATGTTAAAACCCTGTGCAAGGCTGGAGGAAGAATGACGATTGTCGATGAGCATTGCCTGTGCCCCAGCTTGCCCGAAGATGCTTAGCACAATACAGATTGCGGAGGTCTTGGAATTGTAGGGTGTCCTGGCTGGGGTGCTTCGCCAATCCTGTACCCCCCGAAGCCCGTCTCTCTTCTCGTGGTCAGCCCTGGTAATTGAGAAGCCTGCAAGGAGCGACTTGGCTTGGCAGCACACAGTATGCTCCGCTTGTCAACGGAATGAGTGATCACAAGCCATACATTTTTATCAGCGATGCAGGAAGTTCAGGGAAGTATCAGACCACGGTCAAGCATGGATCCCAACAGCAATACCTCCTAGGAGGTAGAAGCAGATTCTTGATGTCTCTCACTCGCTACCGCTTGGTTCCAGATTGGCGGGATTTGAAAGTCACGAGTTGGGGGGTGTCCGACTTGCACGTTGGACGTAGTCCATAATTGGTACGGCTTGGGAAGAGCGGGGCAGGAAAGTTGCGCACGGCTCGTGGCTGGGGATGGCGCAGAAGTTGCTGTTCGTAAACGGACCACAGGACCAGTGGCTGAAAATGAGTCTGAGCGCCAGGGAGCTGTGTGGCAATACATGTAGCTCGTCGTCTTGTACGCAGGACGACGAGTCTCTCGTCACTCTCGTGGACGTTCCAGGTGGTCACTGCGTACCATAGCTTCAGATGGCTTGAGCGAAAGATTGACCACAATGCCGCTGGATGTTCCACTGGCGGACCAGATGAACGTGAGTTTTGTTGGAAGTCTTCGGAATCTCGCATTCACCAGTCTTTCTTGATCCTCACTGATACGAATGCAGTGTCCCATCTCCGCATCATGTCCGTGGACCAGTGGGGTAGCAAGCATTAGTGCACTAAGCGCAGCGTGGCTGCCACCATGTCCGCGTACAGGCCGAGTCGTAGTAGTAGCAAAAGCAATTTGAGGACATGCTCCGTGGTCCCCAAGCCAGCTTATCGCGAGGGTTTCGTGGTCCAACTTGGCAGTCCTACCTCCTACGTAAGATTGACTTTGCACGATCGTCAGCATGAGGGATTGAGAGGCAATAAGAAGGGCCTCGCCTGCAGAATAATCCTGGAGCGTTGCTTGCTAGGCTGATGTCGTTGCACAAGCGTGGAGGTTGCTAGGAGGCCGCGGTAGCTTCGCAACGGTGGAGCTTCCAAATTCTCTTCGGCTTCGGCCAAGCTGGGACCGCGGAAACCCCTTCAGTTGGCGGGAAGGGAAGCTTCAAGACAGGAGCAGCCCAGGTCGCGACGTCGCGGCTGAACGATGAAAGTGTCGGGGAGGATCCGACAAAGTGCACCAATAGGTACTGTACGAACGGAGTGCCCAATTGCAATCCCTGTGATGTGAGAGCAACACCGCTGAGCGGCTGCACTTCAGATGCTTGCGAGTATTGGCTGATCCGGCAAACAACACAGGATACATACTACACCAGAGATGATGTGAGTGTGCCAGTCTGTGTGAGTCGGTGACCAGCTGGGGCCAGCATTGACGACGCGGGAGTGCGAAAGACTCGAGATGACCATGCAGGGTCACAGACCGACCGATACACGAAACGTACATGATGTAGGCTGCTGGCTGGTATGGATATGATGATGGTCATGCTCGGCCAACCTAGTCGTTAATAATATAGAGCGGTTCGCAGTGATCCGTATACATCCGGCTAGTCTGTACCTTTAGTGAGAGTAGGTATTCCTTTGCCGCACACCATGCTCGAATGGTGATCGTTCAGGATCAAGTGGCGGCTGGTCCGATAACACACCTGAGTCCAACTAATGCTGCGTTGTGCCAGCTCTAAATAAAAGTGGGTTGATGTGCCGATGAACTCCAGGCGCCGCAGCAACATGTCCGATTGAGTGACGGTCATTATTGACCGCTCTTTGTTACTGGCTCCTGAGCCAGAACGGCAAACACACCTTTTTGAAAGAAAATTTCATATGTTGTGACCAATGCCCACGTCCGCTCGTCAACGGCAGGCAGGCATCCGCAAGTGGAACGAGCCAATGTAGACGTGGACTCTGTGATCACGAAACACTCCCGTACACTCTTCCCCATGCGGTTCGCTTGTGTGATATGAGTGAGTCTGGAGTTTTAGCCACGCCAGGCACACCAGGAAGATTTTAGATTGACAAGAGTACCGTCCGTGTCATGCCCGGCTCGTAAGGATGACGATGGTGAGACTAAACAACAATAATCGCTGCACACTGCAAGCGATGGGCGGCTATCCACACTTTGTTCCGGCTGAATGCAATGCCCAATCCCATCCGAGCGAGTGATGATGAATCCATATAGTACATGAGGACAAGAGTACATACTCTTGGTGTAGTGGTCAGAGAAGGTCGGTCAGGCAGGCGGAGGAGGATGCATAGGTACATACCTAACCACTTGGCGGCTGGTCGCACTGCGCCACAACACCATCTGCGTGCGCGTCCGGCCGTCTATGTAGCGCAGAGAGTAGTGTGATACGGAACGATGCTTCAAAACCTTTCATCTGATGACAGAGTGCAAGTGACTGGCTGACAGGGGAATTCGCGGAAGTGAGGAGAGGATAAGTCGGCAGCATGTGATATCATTTCGCGGCTTCGGATGTGGGTATGGGATGGGACATGACGGCGGGTTCGAGCTTCTCGGACTTTTGCCAGCTGTCTCATTCTCAACATCTGCTCCTCGCAGCTCCACCTCATACTATGATTATGTTGTTTAACAGCTGACGAATAGCAGCTGTAGCGAGTAATAAGCCGATACAATCCGTGGCTGCTCGCTCCTCGCAGCGGCGCACCGAACTAACAGAAGTCGCGCCGATATAACCGCCCTCCTTACTGTGAACCTTGTGCATTCATATCATAGCCCAGCACATTCATTAGTCCTTATGCATCGTCCGCACCGGTACGCGTGGACTCAAGGTGGCGTGTGTCTCATCTCAGCAATCCCACACCTTCGTAAATTGTGGCTCTTGTGGGTTGCAGGAATAATAATGGATACCATGCCTCCTACTGATCAGCAATTTGTCTACTATCCTGTATCGAGGATGATCATAAAAGCATGAGCTACTTCCTTGTGACACGAAGCTCGAGCCGACTTGCTGCTGCGTATGACATGTTGCATGCGCAAAGCCTGCCGACAATAATTCGCGGCAAGCGTCCCGCGATGCCAAACCAACAGACATGCAGTGCATCAAGGAAATTTGCTTGCTGCGCAGGCTGCGCAAGTAGTAGTCTCACAACTCGCTCTCCCGTGGAGCGCCCACCGTGTAGACCCAGAAGTCATGCCCGCAAGGCAGAAGTCGTACACCTGGGCTATCTCCAGTCATTCTTGGCGACTCGCTTGCGACACGACCTATTGACGACATTGATTTGTTGTTGTAACTGAGGGGGCCATGGCATGGTAGGATGCGGCGACCGTTGTACATTAAAAAAAAGTTCATGGTCAAATTGCCGGTCCAATCGTGTGTCTGCTGAGAAGGTTTACAGTAGTAGGTAGCTGAAGGGAGTGGGCTGCGAAAGTGCGAAGGCGCTGACGAGGATGCCTAGACTTGCCACATCGAGATTTAGAGCCTGCCACAGTCTCACAGATTGGTTTTGCAAGAAAAAAAAAGGACGTGGGCGAGGTCATCAGCACGCCGGCTGGCCCGACAGCGGATGAGCTTTGGGGAAACGCCTATTTCAGCGTGCCAAGTCGTCATGGAGCGGCCACTATGATTGGCGGCCGGCAGACCCTCGTTCGTGACGATACATTTGGTTCAGATGTATAGACGTGCGAATACGTGTTTGCGGCCGCTTGTTGGCTCAGCAGCAGATCTGAGACGTCCGAAGCTCGCCAATAAGCCTGGAAACGAGATCACACACGATATCTGTTGCGTACCTTGGACTGCATGTTATCTGGGCGTGGTACAAAGCTCCGTGTCAGATCTGCAGCTCGGCGAGGCAAGCATGCGAAGTGTGCTTCCATGAATGGACCAGTCTGTGATCAGCTTTTAGGATGGAATGCCTCGGCCATCGTGACTATTTTGCCTTACCATCGCCCCCGGCGCGTCCTGCTGCATGCACTATAGTACACGTACCCACCAGCTGCGTGGATACATGCGCTAGTTGCTGGGTGACCGCTGATGTGAAAGCAAGCGCTCCTGATGACACGAAGTTGTCTTCTTGGTCGGCGTGGACTACTTTGTACAGTCACTACCTTAGTAGTAGGTACCTCCTACTGTACTTGTGCCGGCGTCGCGGGTAGGGGCTTTGCCAGGTTGGCATTTGGGTTCAGCTGCGAGCTGCGAGTCTGCGACTGACTCTCTTGGTCCTGTAGGCGAACCCCTGATTGGCAGAGGCCGTACATGGGCGGGACATCTAGCTCCGCTCGTGTTGTAAAGACTGAAGAGGGCCAGAGCCGGGTCTCATCATCTCATGCACGGTGGCATCGTCGTCTCCTGAAGCCTGATTAGGTACTGAATGATTGAAGGCATGGATGCGATCGACGCAGAGTTCGAGCAACGGGGCCGCGGCGCTGGGCGCATCGTGCACGCAACATGATGGTGGCCTGAATAGTGTGCAGTCACCGTGTTGTGTTGCTTTTCGCGGCCAGGACTCCAGGCTGACTGGAGGGGGGGCGGGGGGGCGTCACGGGGGGAATGGATGGAGGCGATGATTATTATTATCATTGCACACGTATCGATGGCGGCGCGAGGTTCGAGGAGGCCAGCACTGCACGCTCTCAGCAGCGGCAGCGCAGCGCAGGCAGTGGAGTACGGTACAGAGTGGATCGTGGCTTACACTGGGTTTAGCTCATTGCTCTACTACGCCCGTCCTCCGTCGCCCGCGAGCCTTTCAATCTCTTGCGATCTGCCCCTTCTCGTCTAGGAAATGCCGCCCTCTCTCTCTGATTCACTTTTCTGGTGGTGGCCAGCCACGGACTGGCTGGTCCCGAAGCTTGCGCCCGGCATGGTGCAAGCGTTGTCACTCGGGTCTGGTGCGGCTACCTAGGATCCATACATATCCATACCACCGTTGACGGGGTAGTTGGGATGTATCATGACTGAACCATCCATCCATCAGAGCTATTCGCGCAGCCTGGGCTGGGCGTCCGCGTCGTAAGGTAGTGTGCTCCTGCCCTCCCACTCCCAGGCCTCACAGACCCGCACAGACTCTCGTCGCCGCCGCTAGTCGACTAGAACCATGAGGCTTCCATGCCGCAGGCGTGCATGCCTTCGTTGATTGTCTCCCCTTGCAGAGACGCAATCACGATCACAACGTTGGAACGCTGCTGCCACTGGCGCTCACCACTCCAAAACTCACATCATCGCTTCTGGACGGCCACACCTCATGGCCCACCACCTCACCGGGCAACCGTGACATACCTGGCTGCCTCTCACCGTCTGCCAGTCCTCACCTGCACCTTCACCACCACCTGCTCCTCCTCCTCCTCCTCCTCCACCTTCCACCACTCTGGGCCCGCCACATTGACTGGCCTCTAGATGTTGCTCTCAACACGACCCGCCCATGAGCAGCGGATCGTTTGACCACTTCGCCAACGCCGCGCCCCCTTCGCCAACCACGCCGCCGCCGCTGCTGCCCCAGTAATCACTTCTGATCTCATCACCTCTGGACGGGATGTATGTCAACAGAGCAGCAACACGCTTCACGGACCCGTTTGTCTCCTCCAAAGACTGCCCGCCCTCGGTCCAGGACTACGCACGTTTACGGAATAGCGGCGTAGTGCAGGTTCCTGTTCAAGATATCAATCGGGCTCTGACACCTCCGCCTGAAATGACTGGAATTCATTCCACGAGGCCTAGCTTTCATGCTGGAGATCACACCCAGCAGCACGTCGACTATGTGCGTGGAAAGCCAGCGTACCGGGCTCCTGTGGCAGCACCTCAGTCACTAGAATCAACCAGCGAATACAGCAGGAACGCTCCAGTAAAAGTATACAGCAGTAGCCGAGCATCACCGTCCAGGCATGCTCCCGTTGGGCTAGCTGTCAATCCGGCACAGCAGAGACGAGCGTCTCAACATCACAATGCTATTGCCACGAACTTCCAGATCCCAAGATCCGTAAATGACAGTGGGGGTAGTCTTTCGGAGCTTGCTGCACAGGTAAGTGGCTCTTGAGCAAGAGCGTGAGGCTCTGGAAGGCTAATGGTTATTGAAAGATTACCTGCTTGTTCTGGTTCGAATCCTCTGATCTCCTTCAGCAAGTTGAAGAATCTTCGACCCTGTTCCAAAATTCGAAACCACTCGCTGTGGATTCAAAGCCTACGACAGGCTTTCGAAAATGGGTGACCACGATACTGTCGACCACATGTGTAGCTCAAAATGTGGTTATCCTGGCCCTGCTGTTCATCTATAGGCTTAAAAAGCTAAACCCGACTGTACGAGGGAAGCCGGGCAGTGAGTACAGGCTGCTGACAGTCGCTTTGATGCTGGGCAACAAATTCCTGGACGACAACACGTACACGAACAAGACTTGGGCAGAGGTCTCTGGCATCAATGTTGCTGAGGTGCATATCATGGAAGTGGAATTCCTGAGCAACATGAAGTATTGCCTGTTCACTTCAGAGCAAGACTGGGCTCAATGGCAGTCGCTTTTGGGCAAGTTTGCATCATTTTTCGACCAGGCCAACAAACCGGCACCCGTCAGGACTTCATTGGCACCAATTCTACCCCCGGCATCTTCACTGCACCTGCCAAATGCCCTGCCGTCACCCCCGGCTTCGAATCAAGCCTCGCCTCCATACCAATCGGAGCTGGTCTCAAGCGCAGTACAATATAGTGCTCATCCACACCCGGGTCCAACGCCTGTGCCGTCACTCCCGGGTAACATCGATTATCGGGGCAGTCAGCAGGCAGGCGTCAAGCGAAATCGGGATGAAGCTGGGTTGGAACCACCTGCGAAACGACTTGCCGGTGGTTATGACTACACGTCGCCAACTCGATACTCGACCATGCCAGTGCACTCAAGTTCCGCACCCACTGTACCTCGTCTTACCTTGCCAAGTCTGGCGGTACAGGGGACTCAAGCTCCTGCGAGCGCTTCGTATCCACAGGCTCCAGTGCACAATCAACAGCTCCCTCCTTTGGGCGTCCAAGCCAGAGCCATGTCAATGACCTGCCCGGACGCAAATAGCCAGGCTCAGTCCATCGCCCCCTCTGCTCCAATTCAGCAATATGGGCAGCCTTACGCACAGCAAGCTTCGCGCACTCATAGCCCACAGCGGTGCGGGTCCGCAACTGTATCGCCAAGTAACGGTGTACCGCAGTCCGCTTCGGCCCTGCATCCTCCCCCTCCCGCACAGATATCGCCCACATACTTCTTGCAGCAAAGAGCGTCGCCGTATCGACCCGTTCACCACGTTTCCACGCTTTTGTATCCACCGCCCTCTGGCGCTACACAAGCTCGGCCGACGAATATTGAGCTCAATCAGATGCAATACCAGCCGCTCGGCAAGCCAACCCATCATACAGGACGTCTTCCTTATCTTGGCCAAAATCTTTGGACTGATGGCAATCATCCTCAAGAGATGACCCCTATCCACCGCTGGCCAAACTTTCCTCAGCACCAGCAGCCGCTGACACAACAACATTGAGATGGTGTCTGCGACACCAAAGAAGGAGGATGCGTTCACGTGTCCATGACCACCTACTCTTTCTGCATATAATTTGCGATTACATTTGATACGTTCGAGCGCATGCATACATCAGCTTTTAGCACCGAGCTTCCAACAGATGAAGCGAATCGGCACACAGGCATCTGGGTTGTCTTGCTTTCGCAGTGAGCGAAACTTGTCGGCATGGAGAGGTTCATGGCCGTATGTCTCGAGTAGTAAGATACATAGAACAGAAAGGCTTGCCAGACGCTGCCTAGGGTGATATTTGGAGCTGAGAGACTTCATCACGATACCCGTTTCCACAGTTAGAATCCTGCAACATGAAGTGGCTCTATTGATTGGGGTCGTACGTCGCCGTCATTCGTGCTCAGTCTCGTACTCTTCGCTCTCTATCTCTCTCTGTATGTGCGTGTGTGTGCGCGCTACAGATTAGGATGCTCTTCGTCGTGGCCGTAGGGGCAGACGTATGATACGTAGCAACCTGACGTAGGTCACGGCTAACCGGATTACCACATGAAGTTACCTGTATGTATCTAGGGCCTGCACCTTTTGGCCAAAGAAACGGCAGTATGAAGAACCGCAGAATGCCGTTCAACTTCGAAGCATTTTCGGAATATCGTCAGTCCCGATATTTCTTAAATTGCGCATCCTATGTTCTGTGGCTCTTTCCTCGATCTACTAGATATTCTGTATTGCCCTCATGTCTTCTACCACCTCTACCTAAACTGACCGCCTGCTTGCCGCCTTCGTTGTGGTCGATGTCGCTGTCAAAGGCACATACATGTAGCTTACTCGAACCCTAATTTTCTGAACCCTAATTCTTTCTACCTCCTATAGGTAGGAGGTATCAGCGCTAGTAGTCTTTTACGACTAGTACTCCTATAGGCTACGAGAAATAGCAAGCTTCCTCGGACCTCTAGTCTGCAGTCTGCGTTACCCCTTATTAGAATTCCCGAATTGTAGGTTACTCCGGTTTTCGGTCTCCACGTCCGGACTGCGGCAGAACAGAGGTCAAGAGCATTGATATTGAATAAAGCTAAAACAATATACCTACATGTAAGTATCCCACCGCTGCACAAGCTCTGCCACAATGCCGAAGCCGTAACTACAGCGACGTAAGACCCTTCTCAGAGCAAGCGGAGATCCGATGTCGCAGTGTTTGACATTGGCGAAGACACTTCCCAACCGTCCTGCGTCCTGGCGACGTCTCGGCGAACATGGTCACATTATGTTCTAGCCTTGTGAAATGCGTGTTATTTGGCAACAATGCAACGCTATGTTGATATGCATAATGTGCGAAATGGGGGCGACTGCTGCGATGGTCTCAAGAATTTGTGAAATACATGTCTCCAGACTCCAGGTGAACGGCTGAGTGGCGTACCTCCTAGCGTGGCGTGAGAAAGTCTCTCGTCTCATCCGATGCAGAAGAGGCAAGACTAGGAGCCACGTGAACGTGCCTGAAACACCAGTTGCCAGCTTCTCGAGATGTTGTAATATGCTCAAGCGCTCAAGCGAAAGGTGAGATTCAGTGAGATGCACTGAGGGCATATGTTGTACCTGAGCTAGAAGGGTCAGGATCAGTAGGTATCTGATGACGGCAATGATGGTACAAAAATCACATAGAGTGCGCCTCGTGTGCCCGGAGCAAAGCAGTCGACAAGATGGGTGTTGTAATATCGATATTTATTCTGTATAAAGGTATTTTTAAGGTCGGCGAGGACCAGAAAGGTACTAGAGCGCTACCAGTTTCAGGTCAAGCCACCATCCTTGCATGTTTTCATGCCGACGCGCTCTCGTATGTCCCTCTGAAGCACTAGGATAAACGGCGTTTACTTGTCTCATCAATGCTGTCCACACCTAGCAAACCATTCCGCCAGATGTCAGCACACCACAGAGGAACACGAGAATTATTTTGGCCTCTTCCTGGACATGACTGACGATATGGAATATTGACGACGTTCCGCTAGTAACTCACGACAACTCATGACTGCCACCTCGAAGCCTACCTGTACGATACAATACCTCTAGTTCCACGACTCGTGGTCGCTCCTCCGGTTATAGAAACCTCCCTGTTGGGTTCGCCTTGCTCGTTCCTCGTCTTAGCAGCACCTCGCGCAACACATACTACACACTCAAAAAAGTCCGCCAAGATTGCAGCAGGGTACCACGAAGGACGAAGGCAAGCCTGGCGCTGCTACTTCCCCACCCGGAGCGACGACATACGAATTGAACGGTCTTCTGGCAAGAGCAAGTGGTTCCAGTGGCAGGGACTCGAGGGAGATACAGGGACATACATCTACCACTTGGCTCTAGAGGTCTCGCTGGCTTTCCTTGACACAAGCGCAACTCCACGATGCGTCTGAACAAGGCCACTGCGCTTTTCGCGCTACCTGCCACCACACTCGCGGTCACACTCAGCGACTTTAAGAGTAGTAGTGATACCCTGAATGTAGCGAACCTCCCCCCTGAATGTGCGAGCGTCTACACGTCAAACATTGCAGGGTGTCAAGCCTCGGATTTCACTGGTGATCAGGGCTGCAGTCAAGGATGCGTGAGCGCGCTGGACGCCATGGTGGACACAGTCAAGAGTGCATGTGGGAACGAGCAACTGGATGGTACGAGCATCATCACGGTGTTTCTGACCGGCGACGGACCCTCGGCGATTTGCCCCAAGACTGCAGCAGGGTCGGCGCCCGCTGTGAGCAGCTCGTCTCCCTCGAGTCTGCAACAGACGACGCAAGCTACCAGCACATCTATCACCATGAGTGCTTCCAGCAATTCGGAATCAGTGACGACTTCCACTATGCAATCGCAGACGACTACAACGAGCAGTCCAAGCACAACATCAGCAGCCACGAGTGTTCTCGTTGTGGACACGTCAAGTGCAGCGAGACCATCGCGGACAGGAAATTCACAATCAGGCGCCGATGACCACAGCGGGCAAGGGAGTCCCTTTGACACGCCAGGAAACTATTCTGGCGCAGTCGCCGCGGCGTCTCTCTGTTTCACGAGCTTTGCGGTCACATTCGCAGCAATACTGAATGCGGCACTGCGATGACATCAAATCAACGATTTTGATGGACCGAGGAAAACCCTGCCGTGGTGTATCGCGCAAGACAGGCCTTGCCCAAGGTTGTTGGCGAAGTGGTCGTATGATATATGCATTGAGCGTTTTGGCGAGTGATGAAGCATTGCTGAGTACCTAAAGGTACCTTATCCGAACATTGTTGAATGCTCCCAGTTGGAGGATCAATGATGGCAACTGCATTGTTGTATAGGGAGGTAGACTTCTGTATACATGGATTATGGCACAGATCACGTATGGAAAATACTGCAATGCAGGATTCTCTCCGTCATCCTCTTACCTCGGGCGCATCAGCTTGCACAAGCGACAAAAGAAAGCATGCGCCCGGGAAGATAAGGCAGTGCCGAGGCGGAACGCCAAGGTACTGGTGGTTCTAGGAGGTACTGAACAATACCTGGTCTCGCTCGCTGCATTAGCAGTATCACGATAACCACACCACGCAAAAATACTTCTTCCATGGTCGGGTCTGGCCAGTATAGTAGTGACGGTTGATGAATACACGAAGTAAAATAATAATAAAAAAGCCTGAGGTTTCTACAGAGGTACATCATACATCATACATGTGAGCGCTCCGCGATAGACCCATATCCGCCGCTATCAAAGAACACTAGCGTCCGATTGCATAATTCCGAGTGTTTCCTTGCAGGGGATAACCCCCCGTAGCAGCACTAGCACGCACGAGAGAAGCTTGGACATGATGGATAAAAGCAAACCTAGTCCAGAATTTGTTGCGCCTGTTTGACCACACCACTTGCTGCTTTGCACAATCCATCCTCGTACACGCCGTGTTCCATCGCTGGAACTGGAGCTCGTCCGGGAACTGCAACTGCTGCAATGGCTTCCAAGGCCGCAGCGAGGCCGCTGGCCCAGGTCAATGCGATGTTGCGCCTGAGGTCCGACGCGACACGTGCTCTTTCGACGACGACGACGGCGACGACAGCAACGACGACGATGACGCTTCCCAGGACGATAAGGCCCTTCCAGCAGCCGTGGCGGGCAGGAAAGAGCGCGCACACGGTCACGCGAATCCATCGATTGGAGTCGCGGAGAGGGCTGGCGGACAAGCTGTCAGAAGCGCAACCGAAGCCCAAGAGAGGCTCATGGCGGTTCTTGAAGTGGACGTGGCGTATCACCTATCTGTCTCTCGCAGGCACACTCATTTACACGGGTTATACCATCTACGTCGACCGTAACCCAGCCGAGCAAGCGGCGCCGGACCCAACGAAGAAGACATTGGTGGTCCTCGGCACCGGCTGGGGCTCTGTCTCTCTCCTCAAGAAGCTCGACACCGAAAACTACAACGTCGTCGTCATCTCGCCCCGCAACTACTTCCTGTTCACGCCCCTTCTGCCATCATGTACGACTGGGCTCATCGAGCACCGCAGCATCATGGAGCCCATTCGCAATTTCCTCCGTCACAAGAAGACTTCAGTCAAATACTACGAGGCTGAAGCGACCAAGATCGACTACGCGAAAAAGGTTGTTTACATCAACGATGACTCCGAAGTCAAGGGCAGCGTGTCATCCAATGAAGTCCCATTCGATATGCTTGTGGTCGGTGTTGGTGCTGAGAATGCCACTTTCGGTATTCCTGGAGTGCGCGAACATGGATGCTTCTTGAAAGAGGTCGGAGATGCGCAGCGCATTCGCAAGCGCATCATGGACTGCTGTGAGACTGCCACGTTCAAAGATCAATCTCCCGAGGAACGCAAGCGCCTGCTGCACATGGTGGTGGTTGGCGGTGGTCCTACGGGCGTCGAGTTCGCTGGCGAATTGCAAGATTTCTTTGAGAATGACCTCAAGAAGTGGATACCCGAAATCCAGGACAACTTCCACGTAACTCTCGTCGAGGCCCTGCCAAATGTCTTGCCGTCGTTTTCCAAGAGCTTGATTGATTACACTGAGAAGACCTTTGAGGAAGAGACGATATCCATCCGAACCAAGACCATGGTGAAGAAGGTCGAACCTGAGTACATCGAGGCTGAGTATACCAATGCCGAAGGAAAGAAAGTCACTGAAAAGATCCCATATGGTCTCCTTGTCTGGGCTACTGGCAATGCGCTCCGCCCTATCGTCAAGGACCTCATGAGCCAGATCCCAGCACAAAAGGACTCCCGCCGTGGCCTCGCCGTCAATGAATATCTTGTTGTGAAGGGTACTGAGAACGTCTGGGCCGTTGGAGACTGTGCAGTGGCCAACTATGCTCCAACTGCACAAGTTGCCTCACAGGAAGGTTTCTTCCTTGCTCGCATGTTCAACCTCATGGGAAAATCCGAGGAAATTGAGACGAAACTCAAGGCTCTGTCTGAGGAGCAAGAAAAAGCACCAAACCAGGAGGCCAGGAATCAGGTGTTCGAGCAGATCAAGGATATGCAGAAGCGCTTACGCCGCGTGCAGCAAATCGGACCATTCGAGTACTCTCACCAGGGTTCTCTGGCGTACATTGGAAGTGAAAAGGCAGTTGCTGACATCTCATGGCTCACTGGTAACCTTGCAAGTGGTGGTCAGCTAACGTACTTGTTCTGGCGATCTGCCTATCTTAGCATGTGCTTCAGCAGTAAGTTACTATTCCTGGCCTGACAGTGCCGAAAGCCCTTTGGGACTAACACATACATAGCTCGCAACCGCATACTCGTGATTGTGGATTGGATGAAGTCTTCACTCTTTGGACGCGATGTCTCGAGAGAGTAAGACTGGAAAAAGGCGATGCCACGAGTTGATGTCGGAAGACCAGGGTCCACATATAGATGATGTTCCGGGGGCTGTAACACACGGTACACGGGGGCCTGGAGTCGTGCAAACAGAACGCGCTAAAACGATAGACTGTACTTTTTGAGTGTGTGTGAGAGAAGCAACTGTACTTTTTGTGTATGTGTGTATGTGTGCGTGTGTGAGAGAGAGGGGGTGAGCGAGAGAGTGAGAGAGGGGATGGGAGTGGACCTAGTAATGACCATTCATCATACTACCTACCTACCTTATCTTCCTACTCACCTTTTCCACATCCAAACATAGGTAACTCATGTTTTCTTCCTCGCCTCAAGGATGAAGGATGTGAGCCGACTTCTACTACTATATCAACATCACTACCACGAAGACCTCTGAACCCATGATTTCCGCCCTCTCTCTCTCTCTCTGTATAGAAGGATATACTGATTTGAGGTATAATTGATTATCATGCTATTCGTTCATCAGCCATATTTCGGGGTCTACCGAACAACAAATTAAAGAAAATAAAAACATAAGATGAACATAAAATAAACCCCAGGTAGGAGATTGTTCAAAGACGATGTTTTCTTGATTACCATCCGTGGCTGCTCAAGAGGTGAAAGATGTGGTTGGCGGTGTATACATATTGCCATCTCATCTGGCTCAATGAGGTAGCATGACTACATGTACCTTTTGTCTTTTTTGTCCGTCATGCAGGGAGGACCTTCAAGAGCGAATTCGATTTGTGATTTGAATAGGAATGCCGCGCTCGGTCTCCAGTAGAGCAGTTCATCTTCTTTGCTCGCTAATTAGATTTTACAGATCCTGTACACTTCCTTCCTAGGGTCTCTGATTTTCTCTCAATATCTCTCTAAAGATGCTCTGACTACACGCGTCTTCGTGTAGTCCGCCGATATGACCCCAGACGCCTCGCTAAGTACAAATGAACTGTAATGTTCTCTCCTTCACATGCTCCATCAATCCCTGACCAAATCTACCAATGTTCACGTCGATCCGCTGTTGGTGGTCGTCGTCCTGGTGAAGTCGAGGTTACCGACACTGCACCAGTCCGTTCCACCCACTTTGATCGGCAGACAAGACAGATATTTGCACCATGAGCACCCATTCCTCCACACATAGAAGTTCTTGAGCAGCAGGATGAAACCAACAAGTACACCAACTAGTGCAATGGCACGGACAGCCCACCATGCCCACCAGAGACCGCGACGATCTTTGAAGTGTCCGACTGGATCCTTGATAAAGGTCTTCATACTCGCATTGCGATCATTCTGGTAAGCAACATGAGTATAGACAGGATCGATCATGGCAGATGTCCGTCGAGCGATGACTGCAGGCGATCGTAGCAGGCACACGCCCAAAACCAGCCCCATGAGAAAACCTCCAATGTGAGAGAAGTTGTCAAGTCCAGGAAGCAGACCGAGAACAAAGGCAATGAGGATGTCGATGATGATGAACATCAGGTCCTTGATGGGGCTTCTTCGGTCTTTCCACGTGTAGAGCAAATCGAGCAGTGTGATGGCTAATATGCCGAACAGACTGCCCGATGCGCCACACGATGCGATGCCGGTTGCCGCAAAGTTGCCACCTAAGATAAATCCAAAGATGCCGGAGGCAAAGTACAAGATGGCAAAACGAACGCTGCCAATCAGCAGTTCGACGTCGCGACCAAGGGTGACCTGCAACAGCAGATTGAAGCCAATGTGAATGATGCCAGCGTGAATGAAGATTGGCACAATAAATCGCCACCACTGATCGGGTGCTGGTGTATCGTCCAGAGAGCCATTTACACGAGGGTTCCGGTCGGAATTAAAGTTGCACAGATCGGAGAGTTGGCAGGTAGTGCTATCGCCACTGGTCGCGGTAGCGTTTGGACAGGGCCACGAGATGGGTACACTGCTGTTTTGCACATTGGGCATGGTGTGCATGCATGGCTGGTACCGCGCGCCCATGTTGATCAGCACATAGGGACTCGGGCCGATCATGGGATTGAAGGAAGGCTTGATCTCGATGGGCGAGCCTGTGAGCACGCCGTTCCTGATGATCTCGGCAATAAAGACGACCAGCTGCGCAAAGGTCAAGACGAACACCACCCAGGTGATCTTGCCTTTGAACCAGCCTTGCTCTGGAGGCGGCGCGTGTCGATGCTTGCGCCTTCTCTCCCCTCGTGGCTCGGCATCGCGCACGAAGGGATCGTCTTGCTCGTGCGGTAGAACTGGAGAGACAATCTCCGTCGTGTCATGCTTGGGCTTCCTCCCATTCAAAGGGATTGCGTTGCCATCATCAAAGGGGTCTGCGTCGTGGTGTATTCGCCCGCCCGCTCCGGCATACGACTGCTGCGGTGATTGGTGAGGATATGGACTCGCTCGATCGTCAAAGGGCGACTGCTGCGGCACAGGAGGGACAGGGGCATCGTGTGGATCGGAGTATTCGTGGTATGGACTCGGACTGTAGTTGTAGGTGGGCGGATGGGCGCTGTAGTAATCGTGTGCTGCCATGGTGTGTGTGTGCGTGCGTGCGTATGTGTGGAAGCGAGTGCGGCAGGCGCAAATCCTGCTGGTGGTGGTGGTGGTGGTGGTGGTCTCTTCACTTCTGATCTGACGACGTCCAGTCCTACTGTGCTGTATTGTCCTGTCCTGTCCTTTTGCCTGTGCTGTCTCGTGCTATGCTGTGCTGTGCTGTCCTGTCCTATTCTGTGCTGTCCTGCCCTGTGCTGTGCTGTCTGCCTGTCCTGTGACCTGTCTCCTCGTCCTTGGCCCGACGGACTGATTATGTGTGCGTGCGGAAGTGAGTGAAGTGAGTGACGCTGACACTGACGGCCTCGAAGAATGGCGGGACGGCTTCTTGTTGCGTGCCGCGAGTCTCAGGTCGTCAACAGTTGTTTCCAGAAAATGAATGAAATGAAAGAATTGAACGAGTGGATGGATGTTAGTTAGGCAACATCATTATTTGCGGAGGAGACTGAGTACGGAGGCCCAAAGTGGCCAGCCGCCACACGTCACCCCCGGCTTTCTTTGGCTTCATCTTCCTACTACTTCTACCCTTCTACCTACTATACACCGCTATATACACTCGCTATACGCTCGCCGCCTACCTCGCCGTTATCGCTGTATCCGTCGCTACCTTACCTCTCTCTTTGTCGCCGGATCCGTCGTCTTAATAATAAGTTACCTATATAATAAAGCCGTCGCTATAGCAACTCGAAGAAAGAATCTACTACTATAATACGTCTACTCTCTCTCCTCTACTACCGTAGACGTAGATAACTATATTATTCGAACCTTAGTACGTTATTACGTAGTACGTAAACTCGTACGTTACTAATATACTATAGATTCCTCGTATCTACTGCTTTAGCAGCGCTCGGTAGGAACATATCTACGATAAATAACGGCAATGCTATAGACGAGGATACCGATACCGAGGATACCTTAGAGAATAAGGAGGAGGATAAGGAGGATAAGGAGGACGATACTAGGTAGGCTAGCCTTGCTCGCTACTAAATCTCTACTAGAATCTCTACTAACTCGCTATATACAGGGCTATATATACCCCCGATCTATACCCGCGCCGGCCTACTACTATAGACTCTAGTAACTTCTAGTTCTACTTAGTCGAAAGATAGTAGGGCTAGTTAGACGAGGCTACAGGCGATAACGCGACGAAGAAGAAGGTCGCGAAAAATAACCTATAGAAGTTCGACTAAGCTAGCCGAATTATAGAGACTATAGAGGGTATTAATACGCTAGATCCGTATTACTAGTATACTCGCGGTCCGCGCGACGCGCTATATAAGGTAGACGTAAAGAATAGTATTATCTACGCCTACTACAAGCGATATACTAAGTTAGGCTATTAGGCCGGGATACCCGTTAACGATTCCTCTAGCGATTCGTAGCGAATCGCCTAGCTAGAGGCTACTATTAAAGCGCTATAGGCTACGGTCGATAGCCTATAGGCTATAGTAGGGACCGTTTAAGATAGGATAGGCAAATTAGAGGATTAGATAGAGTAGCTTATACCGTACGTCGACGAGCTCCGGCGTATAGTCTATAATATAGCTATAGCGGTATAGCCGTAGGGTAGAGTATTAATACCGGAATCGACTGCGATTCTGTATACGAATAATTAGTAGATAGGTATATATATACCTACCTACCTATTTATATATATAGTAGCGATATACTATAGCGAGTATAGCGAGTTAGGTAGGCTACGCGCGATCTATAGCGTTTCTATAGCGAGTTAGCGAATATAAGCTAGCGCCGGGTATATCTAACTAATCGGATCGTCCGCCGACCCTATATAAACTCTACAATATAGGCATACCGTCGTAGATATAAGTCGATAGTAGTAGATAGCTATAAAAATTAGTCTTTTCTACTCGTATCTACGCTCTATATAAGTAATACCGGGTAGCGCCAGTAGTAGCAATAGCAACCGCTATAGCGTTAGGCCCTAGAGGCCCTACAGGCTTATATCTATCGATACTAATAGCGAACGCGGCGATTCATTTCTTACTTAGCGCTCTAGTTATTGCCCTCTCTCCGATTAGAACCGCTAGCTTATATCGCTTAGCTATAGGCGTAGCGGTAGTACTACTCGTCGCGCTCGCTACTAGTATCGCCGTACCGGTAGTACTACTCGTCGCGCTCGCTACTAGCGTTGCTTCTAAGTCGACGAACTTAGGTAGCTTGCGGGCGTTAGTTACGCTCTCTATCTATAATACCTTCTCTTTCTTAATATAAGTGTTGTCTATATCGGTATTACCGTCGATTTCGACAAACTTAGGTAGCTTGCGGGCGTTAGTTACGCTCTCTATCTATAATGCCTTCTCTTTCTTAATAATTAGTATACTATCGTCGTCGTCGTTAGCCTCGCTAAGCTCGTCGTTATCCTCGCCGTCGTTGTCGTACTTATCGGCGTAGAGCTATTCGATACTCTCGAGGACTTCTAATACTACGGGCGTTATATAGCTACTCGCTACGCTCGCTACTAGTATCGCGCGTAATAGTATCGCGCGTAATACTATAGTACCCTCCCTATCCTTACGCTTTTGCCTTAGTTGTTTGTACTGCTAAACGACGATAATAGCTTCGTAGGTACGTATAGTAGATCTGCTAGGTAGCGGTATTTTAAATACCTCTATAGACTCGAGGACGTCGGTACTCGCGATACTCGTAGATAATATACGGTTCGGCTTATTAGTCTCTAGATAGAATAATCGTACAAAGAATACGTTGTAGAAGTCTTTAATAGCCGTAATAGGCTACGTAGGTAACTTAGTTAGCTCGAATCGCGCAAGCATAAATTCTATTAATAGCTTCTTAGCGCTATTAGCTACTCGATCGCAATCCGTCTAATAGTTATAGAGGTCGGTATAGGCAACCGGATCGTAGTACTTCTACTCGTCGTTATTCTTTAGAGCTCGCGTAGTAACTCGCTATATATATACCGTAACGCTAATACTAAACGAGATAGCTAGAGGTAGCGGATTTAACCGCGATAATAGTAGGGCCGGCGTATACTACTAACGTATAGTCGGCAGTAGCGTACTAGCGTACGGTACGACGGCTATAGCGGCCTTAGCCCTAAACGCGATATTAGCCTCGTTACGTATAGTATTCGTATACTACGGAATCCTCGCGAATATCTAGAAACCCTATTAACCGTCGCTAAGTACTCGCTATATAGATCGTTTCAAGGCGACTAACCTTTACTTAGTACGCGGGTACTAGCTACTATAATCGCGACGGCTACGGCTATAGCGGCGGCGGCGGCGGCGGCTATCTAGTAACCGGACGGCTACTTTCTAGTACGCGTAATAGTTCGTATACGAATTTAGTATATAGAGGGTTTGGATTGAGCTAATAGTACTAAGAGCAGAAATTGAACTTATAGAATATAATACTATATCTAATCGACGGTACGACTAGACAGTATTTAGCCTAAAGGCTAGGTAGGTTGTCGGCTATAGTAAATAGGTCGGTAGAGAGAGAGAGTATATATATATATATATAGAAAAGAATTCAAATAATAGTATATACCGTAATATATACCCCGGAGGGCTTAGCTCGCTTAGCTCGTAGTTATACTCGTAGGGGAGATACTAGCCCTATAGCCTACGGATTATTATAGAACTCGATAATACCTGAATCCTCGTTCGTAATTAGCGCGTTGCTAGTATCTCTAAATACTTCCGCCGTCTAGCGCGTAGGTATCTAATCTCTTGCTACTAATAGCTTTAGAAGTATACCGAGTATTAGCTATTGTTCTAAGCTAATATAGTTATTTACTAGGCTACGTAGGGTAATATAGGCCGTACGGTACGTACGGTCGCCGGTCGCTATATTATACAACGTACTACTAATAGGTAGCGCGAAGCTATAGAGGAGGAGGCTCGCTTTGTACTATTCGTAGGTATCGGCGGGAAGAAAGGCCTCGAGGTCTATAGTATTAAGTTAGCGAGTAGGCTACGAGTAGAGCGAGTATATATACTAAACCCTTCTAGTATCCCTTCGAGCGTCTATAGAACCTCCTTAGGTATACGTATACCTTACTACGTAGCGCTATAGAGCTCTAGATAATACCGTAATATATAAGGAATACCTAGAATCGAGTATAGCCGATTGTTTTGCCTCCGAATCTTATAGTAATTCTATACCTTTACGAATCCTACTACTATCTCGTAGAGAATCGTAGTATAGATCGCTAGGAAGGTAATACAATCGCCTAATAACTCTAGGTCAAATTCGTTTATAGTATTCAAGCTATAGAAGTACGCGCGCTATCTATTTAGCGCCTTAGCCTACTAATTCTACTATGCCTCGATACGCTAATTTATCTTACTTATACTATATCGGAAGTATTTACCGAATTGTAGTAGTAGTAACGAGGCCTCGCTACGAGCACTACGCTTAGTATTCTCGACGTTGTAAGCGGTATAACGTACTATATAGTACGCGTCGGCGGCTAGAATAGTCTTACCTCTACGATCCGAGCGTATAATTACCGGCGTATATCTACTATAGCGTAGTATCGCGATATACTAAGCGAGTACCGAAACGGCCGATCTGCTAGTAATTCCGACGTAAATCTACTCTATATACTACGCGTATACGTCGATTACGCTATATATCTAAATACCCTAGTACTCGAACTTATAGTACGTATCTATTGAAATTGCCGCTAATAGCCTAGATATAATAATAGTACTATAGTACTCTCTAGCCTTCTCGTATCGCCGCTAAATACTATCGGGATTAAGTAATTTAATAATATAGTAGATACGGTCCCTAAGTAGGTTAGCTAATAGCGATTCAGTAAGCGAGCAGACGGCGAGCGCCTATATACCTCCTAATTATATTTATCTCTAAACGTAGATATATATATAGGTTCCTCCTACTATATACCTCTACTTCTAACTTAGCGAGCTCGTCTACGAGTACTGTAGCGATTAACTCTTTAGTATATACTTGCTCTACTACTAGTATCTACTTCCTAAACCCTAGCTCTTTACGTATATACTAATATATCCTCGTACTGATTTTCTTACTTAACTGACTGAACATGTGCTTTGTGCCTTGCGGTCAAAGAGGAGTGAACAACAGATGTTGGATTTAGCTCAAAGCAAAGACAAAGAGCATTCACGATACCTTTGTCTTCGAGTGGCGACAAGGAAGAGGCATCTCAAGCCATCTTACCCGGAGTGGCATCGAGAGGCGGTGATGAACTGCCATCAAGACGAAAGGCAGCGTCGTCGTCGTCGCCTCCGATGGCTTCCAAAGTCTCTCGGGCTGCTACTATTGATGCCATATCAAGACATCAGGAAACGCTTGGTAGTTTCAGCGAAGAGGCTTCATTGGCTGGGCCAGTTGTGATGGGCATGTCTGGAGGGGATCGTGGCTGGTACAATGTGCCGCATACGTAGTCGCAGGGGCCATTCGCGGTGACGGTTGACGGTATTAATATAAGGTACATGTACATATGTACGGTTGTTGGACGACGGATGTCAAAGGGACGGCTGATATTTGGATCTGAAACGCGGCCATCAGCAGTGTGACATATGACATGTATGGGAGAGGAGAGAGCCACAATGCACAGACAAGGCACAGGGCCACAGACATACGTAGGCACGGCCTCAGCCGCCTCAGCCTCAGTGACGGAAGCCCAAAGTGGCCAGCCGCCACACGTCACCCCCGGCTTTCTTTGGCTTCATCTTCCTACTACTTCCACCCTTCTACCTACTATACACCGCCACATACACTCGCTATACGCTCGCTGCCTACCTCGCCGTTACCGCCGTATCCGTCGCTACCTACTAATATGCCTCGGACGTACGTACCTAGAGGACTACGCGCTATAGACTATAATAACTATTAGGTCTATATCGCTATATAGCTCGCGGAAGGTATCTCGTAGAGGTAGATTATTACTAATCTATACTAGTAGTTCGGTATTTCTATCGTAGAGCGTATATTCGAACGACGGCTATAAGCCTAGGGCCTTACTATAGCCGCTATACCTTTATATCGTCGATAGTACGATATCTTCGACGAAGACGATAGCTTGCGTATATATATAGTATATACCTATACTAAGCTACGACTTATAGATAGCGAGGCAGTTACGATTCTAGCGATTAATAGCTAGGCAGTACTCTAAGGCAGTACTCACTCATCCAATTCAACGCTTTAGGACCACTACCAATTATCAAAACCAAGCTACCTACACAAACTGACTTCTGACCGCCATACACTGTTGCCCCTGACATTATCTCAGAAAGAAACACGTCAAGATGATCGGAGACAGCAACACGCCACTGGATATGCCTCCTCCCGGCGAGGACATGTTGCAGTTTTATATGAAGCGCGCATATGCACGCACTGAGCCCGCACCTCCTGCAGAACTCACTCCTGTCCAGGGCCTTGACTTTGACGAGAAGTTGAGACTGGAGCGGGCCATAGCGAAGAGCGATAAGCTAATGCACGATGCCCAGACCCAACTTGATAGACCTTCTCTTGCGCCATTCGAACTCACGCCTCTCGAGCAAGCCGAGGAGGACTCTGCAAAGGCCAAGCAATACAATCGGAGCCTCAACGACAAGATCCACAACCACAAGCTCACAAATAGCACGCACCTCTGTGAGGAGGTAGTTATCATAATAGGTGAGCTTGAGCCCAAGAAGCTCGTCTTCCACTCGAGACTCCCTGTGCGAGCCAAGTCTGTCAGCTCTACTACACTCAGACCTTCGCTCATACCCAAACTTGCGGACTTGGGGGCTTGCTCTCCAGCATACGAGAGGAGTAAGAGCTTCTTCACAACATTGGACAAGTCTCACAAGTGAAGAGAAGAAGTTATATCCTATCGTGACTAAAGGTACGTATGTACACATACAAGTCTCAAAGATATTTCATCACCTCTTCTATACAATTCAATGTCACCAGTATATGATCATTTAAACATTTCCTATTTAAGACCCACCCTCCCCTATACTACTCTCAATATGTCTTCTACTGCAGCCACTCAACAACTATGCTGTCCTCCCTCCCTCTCTCTATATGTTCTTCTATCAAAAACCAAACCAGAAATCTTCAACATAAACGTCCTCCAAAAAGCTGTGCCTCTTTCCAATCAAATCGAACAGCGGTTATGTGAACACGCCCAAAATTGACGATACCCCCTACCCTACATTACCTGCTTAAGGTAAATATCACAGTACAGTACGTACAGCTCGTTAGAAAAACAAACAAATACAGGAAGAGATCCATCTTCAAAGACTAAGGTACCTAGACGTGTGTGTATAGTCCATCCTATTTCCGTTCTCTCGTTTGGCTAGATGTTCTTTTCATTTCAGTGTTCGGTGGAGGCTAGGTGCCCAGGCTCTCGCGCGTATACTATCTACCTAAGGTAGGTACCCTACCACCTGACAAGTAAGTGACAGACCAGTGGTGGAATCAGTATCATCAGTATCATCATCATCGTCATATTTCTCCTTGTCTCTCTGGTGGAAACCGAGTTACTCAATGCGTCAACCTAGTTTGTACGGCAGCCTGAAACCGTGAAACCTCTCCATGTCTCCAGGCAGATCTTCTAAGTGTAGACCTCCTCCGTCAACGCATTCAATCCTAATCCCTCCTTCGCAATATCCTCGTCCTTCAGGAACAACAACGGCATCTCTACGAGATTGCCTCTAATCGTGCTGAGAACCTCCTTCATCTCCTGCGTTCCTTGTGGACCAGGACTGAACTCTTCTTTGACTACATGACCCCATCGCCAGAAGGTCGGCTTCTGGTTTTCCTCTCCCTTCTGCTTGGGGTCGTCCGCTTTGAAATAGGTTTCATAGTAGGTGTCGTATTCTTTCCATGTCTTCACCGAATCATCCGGAACTGGGTGAAAGACTTTGGCAAAGGCCCGGGTATTGGTTGCAGCGGTCTGATTCCATAACGCCAAGAAGGACTCACAAATGGGGTCGGCAACTGCATGATCTTCCCGGCTGCCCCAATCGTACTCGTTTGGCGTGCCGACAGGGAAGAAGTTGTTATCTGGTCGATCCATGATTTGCGTCTTGAGCAGTCCCAAGTGTTTCCGGAAGATCTGGCGACGAAGAGAAGCGGCAAAGACGGAGGCTTTCCAATGCTGACCACCCATGTAGGAATCGATTTCTTGCGGATCCTCGATAATCATCGCAATCTCGCTGTCGTGATCTCCAAGCTGAGATCGGTCATTCAGGTTGGCCGAGCCGCAGATCACAATCCGATCATCCACTATCAGCAACTTGGAGTGTATGTATAGCTCTTCCGATACGAATGCGTCCATTTCAGTTTCAGGATCACCTTCCCATGGCACAGATCTAATGTCGGGTCCGTTGAGCATGTAGCATTCCGAGACTGAATCCCAGCGTCCGCTCGCTCCTCCTCCGGACATCTGCCCAGCAGCCTGCTGATACTGTTCGTATGCATTGGCGTTGCCATCGGCATCTGCATACTCTTGGTTGTACTGGTCAGAACCGAGAGTATGCCCGAAACGCTGGTCATAGCCTTTGCGTGCATCATCGTATGACACTCCAGATTGTTCCTCGGCCTTTGCCATGGAAGCATTGGTGTTGATCCTGTCGTAGCTCCTTAAGTTGTAGAAGCGTAGGTACTTCGTGGGGTCGACCCCTTGGCGAGCGACTTCTTCCATGATCGAATGTCCGCCTCTGTTGATAGAGAAGTACTGAAACTCCATGATTGCTCGAGTTCCTAGCGCAGCTTCGTCCTTGAGATCACCGGCGAAGGCGGGAACTGAGGGGATATTGATAATCATGTGCCAGTCCTCATTGTTTCTGGCGGCCCGCAAGATTCTTTCGACGATTGCGGCACCAATTAGATTGCGGATCGGCTTCTGTTCGTGTCCTGTAGCGGTGATGAAAAACTGGTTCTCCATGTAGCAAAAGTGTTTGCTGTTCTTGATCGTCTGGATGTACGCGTTCGCGATAGAATGCTCGAGGCTCACGCCGTGACTCCACTTGCACGCGCTACGAGTGATCTGACATTGCACTCCGCCGAGAGGGCCGGTTGGATATTCTTGGTCAAAGAGTAGCCGATCTCTGCCTTCCTCAAGCCTTGCACGACCCCTCTCGTACTGCTCGCGGATTCTGTTACGGAACCCCTCTGTCTGACCCTCGCCCTCGATACCACCGTCTTCGGTGGACTGATATGGGTGTCCAATGATGCCAACTCTTTGAGGGTGATAGACAAGAGGTGTGTACCTCGCATCCTTGCGGACATCATACTTCTCGAAATACACGAAATTCCATCGCTGGACGAAATGAGCTTTCAAGTCCTCCACGACAGGCCCCTTGAGGCATATTGCCACGTCGCTCCAGCCCATACGGCTGTTGCCAGTTCGTGGTAACTTGTTGTTCTCCCAATGGCTTACGTCGCTAAAGTCCATGATTCGTGCATTGTTGTAATCCTGTCCCGGGAAGACAATCTTGTCGAGGTTTCCCGGGTGTGCATCGCTGATGGCGTGATTGTTCGTGTCCCAGCGACCATAGCAAAGGTCAAGCCCGCCCATAAACGCCACATGACTGTCGACCAAACATAATTTCTCGTGATGCGCCCAGTATAGGATCGTATTCTCGTTCATGCCGTATATTCCCTTCACGGCATCTGCAGGAAGCTGTGCCAGCTTTGAAGCACTAAGCCCGGCCTGTTTGATGCTTGCGATGAAGTTTGAGTGCAGAGTTTGTTTATCTGGCAAATGGTCTGGATGGCGCAAGACCTACAGCTAATCAGCAGAAATTTCGTGCACAAAGAAACATCACACCAAAGTCATACCTTGATGTTCCCGGTCTTGTCCTCATCCTCCAGCCAATGTTTTGTGTGACTTGAGCTGAGGGTCAAAGCTTGTGTGACCTCCTTGTAGACGATGATGTTCACTTGCACACCTCGCTGAGCGGCGGCAAACAGTAATCTGTCCAGTCTGTACTGCTCGTGCTGCGCAGGGGGCCTTCGAAGATAGAGTTCTGGACTCAACCACCTAGAGAGGAATGATTTAGTGGCAATTCCAGTGCCCAGGCAACAGGACGGGATCACATCTTACCAATCCAGTATCCATATTGACGACTTCGCGTTCTCGATGGCGAGGGACACGGCCCACATGTACGAGCAGCCATCGACATACCATTTGACCTCGTTTCCCTCGCGCTGTGGTGCGAAACTCTGGAAACGATGGAGGTGATGGCTGTCGTTATCTGAGCAAACATTGGCTGAATCTGTGTGGGCGTGTACGGGTTTGCCGATTGCTTCTGCCTTGATCTTCGCCTCCACATCCTTCAAGCTGCTCTTCACTTTGTCGAATAAGAATGCCATTTTTGCCGTCGTTGAAGCAAGAACATGGAGTTGACAATGTTGATGATGCTCGTTTCTGAGAAGTGATGAAGTTGGCACTGCCAAGTCTCCGAGACGGGTGTGGGGGTTTCAACTCAGCAGAATCGATCTTGTGCACGCACTTGAAATGTGAAGCATCCATACCTTACCTGACCAAAGTGGAAGGAACGTACGCAGATAGTACCCCGTATAGCAACGAGGTCGGGGGTGAGTTGGATACTTCACTCACAAGACATTCCTACTCACATACTAGGGGGCACTGTACTTATAGTTAAGGTTTGCCTGATTTACTGATGATCTACTTATCATACTATTCAAGAACCGAGGATTTTTTATTTCATTGCTAGGCTGCTTGACCATATGGTAAAGGCTAGTATGAGAATCTCCTAGAGTGCGCATCCTGCACATGATGCCAGCCAGAAGTCCGAACATCCCCATGACACATCATTGCATTGTACCCTTTCTACTGTAACATGGTCCACAGCCAGGCCTCAGCCGGACTCGGGCTGTGTTCACCATATCGTACTCGAACTCATGGTATGCTCGGCGACGTGCGTTGTTTTATGCGTTATGTGAACTGAACCAAACCCTCACTAATAGCCCTAGAATTGGCACACATAGCTGATCAGTTAACGCCCGTGAGCCGTGAAGACCGTTCGCCCAGAATCCGCTGCGCTGGACCATCGGTAGACAAAGCCATGCCCCTTCTTCGTCGTTGTCATGTGGAGGGACCCCAAAATACTCTACGGACTGATATTTGCGCACAGTTCCGTGCTTGGAAGTCCCGCGTATGCCGAGACGTAGCGGACAACGGAGGAGAAGTTGTCGTTGAATGTGGAATGCTGAGTCAGATGCTCAAGGCGAATGGTCAAGCCGATCACAGAAGTGAGCCGACCTTTATCTCAAAATTTGGTGCCTGAGGGCTTCAGTCAGTAGATATTGGAGCCAATCTTGCTTATGAAACATGCCTCTTGAGTACAGTCTCCAAAGTCAGCGCGTTTAGCTCCGCATCGTCGGGAAGCTCGTTGATAAGTGGGACCAAGCCCGCAAATTTGTCTCCGTTGCGATATGCAATGATGGCGGGCACGCCCATGGGCTCCATCTGTGCGTCTTCGTAATGTAGCTTAACAAAGCGAGTATCTTGGTGCTTGCCAGCCAGTGTGCGAACGCAACGCTCAAACAGGTCACTGACCTGCGACTGTGGTACGTCAGCTCCAGGAAATTGCTTCCTAAACAGAAGTACTCACGTAGTCGTCGTAGATGTAGACTATCACGACTGTGTCTGCTTCGGAATTCTCGACAGCATCCAGGTACCCATCTGGGTCAACCATGGTCAGACTGCCGAGCAGTCTTGTGCTATTACCATTGCCATTTCGGTGCATCTGACTTCCCTTGGGGCCAGTCTGCATGTCTTTGATTCTGCTCTTCCTCCACTTCTCCATGAATCCATCATCATCGCCATCTTCAAGGTCAAGGTCGTCCTCCTCTTCAATTTTCTCGGCAGGTGCTTGCTCTCTTAATGACAGCTGCTGGGCAAAGGAGGTCAGACTGGAGGTGCTACGCAGAGACGCTCGCTGCGTGCGACGCGAATCCTGGAAGTCTTGCGCGTCCGATATGACTCCCTTGGGCCCAGTGTTTGCGCCATATCGCTTGACAGGTATGGTGCTCCTGGAGCCATTCATAGAGGCCCGCGGCGCAGATGCAGGTGGTGTAACGTCGTCATCAGAGTCGTCAGAGAGATTCAGGAATGATCGCGCGTCGTCGTGTTCATCTTCAGGATGCGCGCTTGATCTTTCCTTGTCCCGCATCAACTCCTTGAACTCATCCTGTGCACCCGACATCCTTGAAGGTTGCAACTTTTGATTCGACTCGATCGCAGTGCTCTCTCTTTCTCTCTCTCTCTACAGCGAGCGAATGGACGAAGTTTTGACTTCAGTGTCACTCGCAAGGTCAGCTAGGAGGTAGAACCGTAGAACTAACTATTCTTTAAGAGGACCAACAGCCAGCGGTAAGTCATCTTCTCGTTGAACCAAACCTGCGGGTATGCTGTGACACGCGCATGCCAGCAACAACATCCGTATTGGTATACTGGAGTGGTCTTCACCGACTACTGCCTAGCCTCCCTCTTTTTGGATCGGCCTGGGCAGCCCTGAATCCTAAATTAAGGCGTTTCATCAATGCAAACCAAGCTAGGGCAGGGGCGCTTTGACTTTCGCATGGTTCACGCTAGAGATGACCTTAGGGCTGGCCTTATTCGCTCCCAGCTCAGCGCCCTGCAAAATCGTAGTCCATAGGTGCGTTCTGAAACATTAAGTATATCGATTCTTGAAGGCAACATGTAGGCTGTAGCTACACGCCTGCCATCCGGGCCTCTATAAGTGCTCGAGTCAAAAGCGATAATCGGCAGCAGCTCACTGTCAGCCAGCAGACGGAGTCAGGGACAGAGAACGCAGAAAGCAAGGCATAGCTGGCTTTGTCACAGTCAATCAATTCTTCGACTATCTGGATCTCTAATCAAGAACACAGCGCTTTGTATGCTGTGACAAAGCCCGGCTTTTGGATACCGTTGCTTGCTCAGTACAGCTATTTGAACAGTGCGCCGGAACAGCGGCCAGCTCGATCGAAGAAGAAACCCCTCCCAAATGCTACATCGTGCGCCAGCGCCTGGAGCGCTCAATGCGGCGGTTACGCAGGTACAGCTACTCAAGAGAGTAATTTGAAGAAAGAAAGTGCCCAATCGGGCAGCCTCAGGGGAAGATCATGCATCGCGGGGGCTCTGTAATCCAGTATGCCTCCACGTTTGATGGGTATAAGATACGGCTTGCTCCGTCCAGAACAGTAGTGGACAGATGGATTGCGAGGTCTTGTACATGTTGAACTTTCCGTCTGCCGAGATACAAAGGAAGTGTCGCGTAGCGTCAATTTGTGTGAAGAGTTACGGCGGCATTATACGAGTCGGCGGACCGGGGATCGTGTGCTGTAAGTCTGATCACGACCGCGACGAATTTCACGGTGAACCATCATATTGATCATGCCCAGATCCGCAACTGTCTCGAGACATTAGCATGTGGTGCGGCGGAGCACATTTGGGTAGTGCCACATACCATTGAGTCCCAGGATCCCGTGCATAATGACATGGCATCATTGCTCACACCAAGGCAGCTGACTCGATTGTCATGCCCCTGAAGAGTGCCGATTCTCTCGCCCCGAAGAACGTCCCAGACCTGTTAGAGTGTCAGCAGGCGTGCTCGCAACATATCATTATTGCTAGCAAGCAACGCGACTATAGCTGACCTTGCACTCGAAGTCATCGTAGCCCGCAAAGAGCAGTCGGCCCGACACGGAGAAAGCGACAGAGGTGATACCACAAACGGGCTCGCCGATCTGAACACAGATTAGCACGAATTTACCGAATCAATGAGTGGTAGGTCGCGCTCACCGTGTAAGCCTGCAGCTCCCTGTCCGCACGAATGTCAAACAGCCGGCAGGATGCATCATCAGAGCCAGTACCAAACGCGTTGCCGTTAGGGAAGAATTGAATAGCGTTGATGTCGGAGTCGTGAGCAGCAAACGTTTGCGTGCACTTTTGCTGTCTGATATCCCACAGCTTCGCGAATGCATCACAGGCTCCAGACACAAATTGGTTGTTATCCAGAGGATTTATGCTCAAGCTCATCACATCGCCCAGATGATCAGCAAATTCGGTAATCTTTTGTCCAGTCTCAATATCCCAGAGCACACAGGTCATGTCTCCCGAGGATGTGAGAATGCGCCTGTCGTTGATGAATCTGCAACAACTGAGATACCCCGAGTGGCCACTGAGCTCACGAGCAACTCGTGTAGGCCCCTCGCGAGCGGAAAGGTTGTAGATGGAGCAAATGTTGTCGAGGCCGCCGCAGGCCACGTAGTTACCGCTGGGTGAGTATGCGCATGTCATGACCCAGGACGACCGGAGGGGGATGGCGTGCACTTTGTTGGTAGTGTAGGCATCCCAGATGATCAGCTTGCCGTCCTGCGAGGCTGACACCAGATGTCTGCGGTCGGTGGACCAGTGCATCGCGTAAATTTTGGCCAAATGTCCCTTCAGGGTACGCTTCGTCTTCATGGCCAGTCTCGGCAGCTGCTCTGTCTGTCGTCGCGCGACATCGCGGACTGTTATCAGGAGAGATGTGTAAGCCCATGATCGCTCGAGATCGTCTGCACACCACGCAGCACGTAGTGTACAGACGCATTGGACTCACGTGTGGTATCTGCAAGCTCATCCTTCTTGCGCTTTATTCGGTCCTTGAGCGCCTCCGCGTCTCTCCTCGCTATCTGAATCTTGGTCTGGATGCTCTCATTCGTGTCCGCCATGCCGGCTGCGAGCGACGACGCTCAGAATCGCCTGCGTGCGCGCACTCAGGTACTGCGTTGCGAGTCCGAGGAGCGCGAATCGAGCCAGGGAGTGGTTGAATTGGAGCACCCCAGGTGAAGCGAAGCTTGGGCTTGGGCAGGCGCGGCTTGTGTGGCCTTTGAACGAGCTGTGCCGCAAACGTCTCGAAACAGACGGCAGCGGACGGCGAAGGGCAGACACAGACACAGGGACAGGAACGCACTGCGATGCGGTGGTTTCGCGCGGCGTGATATGCTGTTCGAGCTCCAAATGGGTCGCGACGGTCGGTGATGCTGTTGCTGTCGCGGATGTTGGAACAGGACAGCCAACAGGAACGGCAGGTAGCGCGTCTGTGCGTTTACTTCTAATCTTAACGGAAAAAGATTACTATAATACATGAGCGGCAGCTCCGCACAACTTTGTTTGCACGCTGGAAGCCTTCGACAGATCCATTACATGCGTACATCAGCGGATCGCAGTCGTCACGTTCGCTGAGTAGGACGCTGTCGAGCGTGCGAGCAAACCACTCCGTGCAACACAAGATCTGGGATAGGACAATGGATTCTGGACCTTGCTGACTCGGTACAACTTGCCTTCCGAAGGGGGCAGCCACCGCGAGTTGGAGAGATTGTATTCCTCCGCCCGCTGTCAGCAGCTCCAGCAAGCAGTACATGCTGCGTAGGTGGTCGGACAACAACCAGTCAACCACTTGCACCCACCTTCTACTTCTCTGTATGTGCTGCTCTTCGACTGCTGCATCTGCGCGGCTTCCCCGGTCAGCGCAGCAGCCGAATCCCACTCGGTGATTTGTCGAGAGGTGGCTTGAGCCTTGTCGATCATCCTGAAATGCAAGGAACAGGGAGTTTACGACTGCTGTACTATAACCTCGAGTCTCGAGAGCCATTCATTTCTTTGCAGGCTCCATGACACGCAATTTATCGCTTGGCTGTATGAATCAATACTGCTGTGTGGCCACTGGCCTTTCCAATAGTTGCACACAATGCTGCAGCCCCTCTAGCAAATCCAGCAGCTACGTCTGCATGAGCATCCCTTGCCGGAACACTTCGTGCTCGTCGGCTTCAAGCTGTGTTAGAATCTGCGCTGTCAGCTGGAGGCAGGTCTGCAAAGACACAATGCTGAAGGAAATGGGCTGCATGTTGGCTATCCTATCGGCAGTATAGCAACTCAGGAACCAGGACTTCTGTATGAGCCTGAAGATATTCAAGCGCAGGTGGTGATGGTACTAGCTGTCCAGATCGTTCAGACCCTCATCGGTGTTACTAGGTACTCATTTCCAAAGTTTGTGCGTGGGCGACAACATCAAACCGGTCTCTTCAGCATTCGGGCATCACCTCGAAGGAAAAAATTCAAAGCGGCATGGGTGGCAATGTGAATACGACGGGATACGGACGATTCGGGATCGGATCGCGTATGTCTTAGGCTCGGCTTTTGTCGAAACATGGGTTTCAGAGCAGTCAAAATCGGTTCGTGGAAATATTCTGCGTCTGATCAGGTCAATCTTGACGTATACCTGCGAGCGTGCTATTCATTGCAATTGTGTAGGCAACATGGTCGCTGTGAGTATCAACTCGGCAAAGGGTGTGAGGTTTGTTCAGATGATGAAGGAATGCGAGGGTCTTCTTTGACTTCAAATCATTGCAGCTGCGGACGAGCTATTGCCTACGTTGTTGTAGAGCGCATCCATTACAGCAGCCACCATCTTGTAGAACGCCGTTCCTGATATGCCGCAATCTTGCTCCTCGTCCAGAGAACCTGTTGCTTTCGTGTCCCATCAAGTCCTTTCGCCTTCCCAGTCCAGCCAACGCGCACTTAGCGGTGCTGCAACTCGTCAGTTTTGTCCAGCGCAACAACTACTCTCCCATTGTCCATACCTTGGTGAAACCGATGTCTGTGGACTTCTCACGGAAGCACTGACGGCAGATGTTGAGGCCGTACTTGCGAATCAGACCAGCCTTGTGAGTGCAGACACGGCTGTCCCCTCGTTAGTTTTTTTGTTCCCCGCTTGTATATCCTACTTGCTCCATCTCAATGATTTCAAACATACCAAGCTCTTGCTCCTTTGCCGTAGGTGCGCGGGCGCGAGTACCAGACTGCTCACGAGTTAGTTCGTCCTTCGGCTTCGGTTTGTACCAAGTGGCGCAGTTGCCGTACCAGATTCGTGAGACATGATTGCGGTAGTGCTCTGTCGCTGTTTGGAGGGAAAGCGAATCGTTGGAGGTCGTGGTGGGCGCTGGGTGGTTTGCTGTCTGCTTGATCTCTAAACGCTCGACTCCAAATTCTGGCAGGTGCGAGGCGGCGGGAAGAGCCGTGCCAAGCATGTGTCGACTTCGGATTCCATTTCTCTCGACTGGACTACCGTCTCTCTACCTACCTACCTCCTAACTACCAGGCATCTTTTGCCAACTACATGTACAGGCCGCATATCGAGAACGCTGCTTTGAGAAACCCTCTGGCTCGTATGGGCTCTTAATCTAGTGTGTCTGGCGATTGCAATGTCCAAAATTAAGTCGAAAGATTTGAACTACGATAGGTCTCTGCCGCCGTTCTTGCAGCGTCTGCATGATCAGAAGGCTGGCCACGGAGATATCGACCGCCATGAACAGCCTATCGCACGTGCAAAACGTGCAAAGGACCCTCAGGAGAGTGAAGGACCAACTGTGGTGGACGAAAGTGGAGAGACAGTGAGCACGGAGGAATACGAGAAGCTCAAGAAAGCTGCCTTGGAGAGCACTCATGATACTAGCAGTATCAAGGAGGCCAATGATAGTGCTGGCGAACGCAGGATGTCTGGCACTCCATTGGCGAGCGCTACAATACGTTCAGACTCTAAGGTCACCAATGGTACTGCGCAGAAGAAGCGCAAAGCAGTGAAGGCAATCGGCGGGCAAGATGATGCTGAGGACGAACACCATGTACCTTCTGGAAAGAAAGTCGTCAAGAAAGCGAAGAAAAAGGCACAGCCAGTCAAACTGGCTTTTGACGCTGAGGACGACTAACATTTCATTCTACCGAACCAAATCGCCCGCTTATGCATCCCCTGCGGACAGCAGTCGAATAATGGTCCAACACCACAGTACGAGCGTGCAACATTCCCCGACTGGCCGCCACGAGTCTCTGGGTAAGCTTATACCAATTTCGCTGCCTACACAATGATGATACTCACATATTGGAGCTGTCTAACTCTCATTCGTTGAGATATGGTGACACAAACTATACGCAACTTTTTCTGATCCGTCTAATACTCTCTCCCTGCTTGCATGAAGCCGAAATCGACACAGACTAACGTGGGCCAGATAGGAACGAGGCCCAAAACTCTGAGCAAACCCCTTTGTGCGAAGGCATCAATCTAATGGCGATTGCGATGGCGCCGCCAGTTGTGAAATCCGTTACCGCCAGCTCGTGTCTGTACTTTTCATTGTGGAGACACCTCTTCAATGTACACATCAGCAAATGCACCCTGCCAATTCTGGGCTTAGCGTTCCTAGGCGCGTTGCTTGCCGTAGCATTTCATGGGTTGCACCTCGAGCACCACGACTTACAGCAGTGCTCGCTAACTCGGTCGCGTCGAAGTGACAGACTCATAGGTGAGGCTCACTAGCAAATATGAGAGTTGGCTGGGGATACATAGCTGGCTGATCGAGGATAAAAGTCGCAAAATTACGTGGCTCCCATTCTGCAGCTGTCCGTCGAATGCGATCTCGCCGGATCAGGCAGTGACCTTTCGATTAGAGCATACGATAATTCTCTTTCAACATGCAGGCGATCCAACATCATTTGCGAGAATGGCCGTTGATAGCCACGGGGAACATCATGAGATCAGAATTGGTCCACAAGCAAGGAGAGCACTGCAGTATCAGACCCCGAGACGACTCATCAAATCAAGAGAAACCTGGTCGAAATCGACTGAGTCCCTTGAAGTTATAGCGACTTGCGATTGTATAGTCTGGTATGAACATATCATTCACTCGTTCAGCTACCTAAGTTCCTCCATTGCTGGGCAATGTCAAGCGGGCTAATTTCCAGGGTTCACGCCTTACCCAAACTCCGCGCAACAACGCTTACCTCATTGATCATGTCTCGTACGCACCATTCTAATCTTTCTGTGCAATGCCGTCGGTGACTCGGTTTCGATCAGAACTGCCTTCAGACCGTGCTGACCTGTGATCCAACGTCGGGATGAGGGAAGCGAGATTTGTCGTCCATCACCTTCCTCTTGAATAGGCCAAGATCATTCAGCAACGCGTCAACATCTGCCTGCCAGCTTTCGTGCTCAAATTCATTCTGATCTTCAGAGTAAGAGAGTCCATCGTCCACGCCGCTATCGTGATCGGAGTCTTCATACACTGAATTCTCGTCATGCTCGTTGTCCATGAAGGCTTCAGGGAGCACTATTGGATTCTTCAACTCGCCCACCGCAAGTGCCAGATGGCGTCGCAATGTCTCGATCTCCATTCGAAGCGCCTCATTCTGGGGCCTGAGCTCTTCTACTTCCTGCGTCAAAGCACGGATCTTTGTGTCGGAGACGGCTTTCGACTCCTGCATTGCGCGATGCATCTTGCCTACTTGTCGCTGGTAGTCTTCCAGCTCGTCCCTGGCACGATCGGCCTCGTCTCTCTTGCGAGTCGCAGCAGTGTTTACTGAGAGCTGCAGCTGCTTGATTGTCTCGGCCATCTCCATGATCTGCGCGTCGCGCTCTGCTGCGGATTTGTTGTCCTGGTTGACATGAGCTTTAGTGCGAATACGCTTGGCCTGGTCTGCGTATCGAAGGGTCGACAACGTCTCATCGTAGTCAGTTGGTGAGATACAAGCCACCATCGCTGTCTTGCTGTTGCCACCAAGCGAATCTCTGAGTAGCCACGTCAAGACACTGTCTCTGTACGGCACCACTTCCGCACGGCGCTTCGTTTGATTCTGCAGTCCTGTCATGCGGGTGGCACGCTGTCTCTTGGGATCTGCGAGAGCAGCGATGACACGGCCAAGAGTAGTAAGGGACTGGTTGATGTTGCCGCCTTCCCGCAATCGTTGTCCAGTAGCTTCAGTCCTCCCTGCTCGCTCAGATCCTGCCAAGTCAACCAATCTCATGCGCGCCACTCTTTCGATCGTGCTGTCGTCCGAGAGATCGGCCTGGATTTGCTTGAGTGTCAATGTGAAGACGGCATGTGATCGTGAAGACGTGTCGTTCATCTTTGTGCTTGCCACAGTCCGATTTAGGTCTCCAGTCCTCATGATTCTCTCAATATCTTCGTAGCTTTCGACCTTTTCATCTGTCAAATTTTGGACAAAGACACCCTCTCCCTTACTCTCTCTGATCTTGAGATATGTAGGGGGGTTCGTGCGTGGTGTGAGCAGGTCTTTGACGTGCTCGTTGTAGATCTCAAAGTAGGAGACGTGAACGTTGTATGTTATACTGCCACTCTGCTCCGACTCCACGCGCTCGAACAGTCCTCGACATGTGCGGGGGATCAGACCTGGCTGGTCCGGAGTGCCCATCATGGTGTATGACTTGCCACTGCCAGTCTGCCCATAGGCGAAGATGCATGTGTGGTAGCCGTCAAAATTGTGATCCAGGAACTCCTCGCCAAACGAGTTGTAAATGTCGCTTTGGCTGGCGAAGTGCGGGTCGGCCTCATTCTGTGACCAGAAGGACTTGTCGAACGTGAAACTCTTCTCCTCATACTGCTTGCGCGAGTGCCGCAGTTGCTCATCCGTCAGGTCGGGCGGCTGGATTGTCGTTTCTTGAGTCTCGGGGTTCATGCTCACGAGGCATGGTTGGCCAGCCTCAATTTCTCGCTTGATGTGTTTGCGCACTCTGACGACGACCTTGACGTTGCCTCCGTCGCCATCGGGCGGCGTGAATGGTCTCTGCATGTCGGCAATATCGATGGGCGTCCGACTGCGAAGACTCGGGGCGCTGGCAGTGGAGTGGTGGTAGAGGTCGGGGGTGGTGAGCGCACGAGGCATTGTTAATTCTGTGTTTGCGTGTGTCTCCGTGTGGTGGGAGTGTCCGTGCAGGAGTGACGAGATCTTGGGCGAGGACAGTCGAGTCAGTTCGTCGAATCCGTCACATAGATCCAAGAGTACGTCTTACTGCCGCAGTTGAAGGAAATTGGAAGTACCTTATACATTCAACAACTGAGTCTGAATGCTAACACATGCTTGCAAGTGGACAGCTCTGGCCCATGTCGCTGGTGATCGCGCTTTCTGTTGGATCGTTTGCGACTACGTGCTTGTCTGTTTGGCGTCGCGCAGCGAGGTCTGGTTGTCTGGGCAACGTCAACGCTCTAACTTGATTGAGGTTAAATCACACAGGCGTGCCTCGCTATCGATAACCAGCCGTCGATCTCACAAATTTGAGCTTCACTCTACAGGTACCCAGGGAACCTTCCATGCCAGACAACACGGAAACAGCACGATGCCGCCAAAACCACCCGCAAAGAATGGCAATACGTCTGCTATTGGCAAAGAGGCTGTCAAGTTGGAGAGCGTCTCCCAACAAGCAGCTCCGGATGCGCCCATGTCTGGCAGCAATACTCCCATTGTGACGCCTGGTGGTACCCCGGCTCCAGGGACACCGGCGCCGCGTTCGGGATCCGCACGGCCATCGCCTGCCATGAGAGGACGTGGAGGTGCGAAGCCGCAGCCCAAGTTTGCTGGAAGACGATCTGCAACCGCACGAGCAGAGCTCGAGGCAGCTGAAGCGAAGAAGAAGGAAGCTGAAACCAAGGCTGCTGTGGAAGAGGCAAAGAGGAAGGCAAAAGAGGACAGAAAGTTCGGCTATGGCAGAGGTAGAGGTGGACCTAGGGGTGGTCGAGGGCGAGGAGGACACATGAGCGACCGACCCAGAGAACATGCGTCAGAGGCAGCTGGGGTGTTTGGTGGGGGTCGTGCCGTATCAGATACGAAAGGCTTGCGGAGCAGCAGACCTGTATACCCGGGATCGGGAGGTGGTGGAGGTGGCGGAGGCGGTGGTGGGTCTGCTGGTGGAGGGAGGTCTGGAGCGATGGGATACTATGGTGGATCGGGGATCAAGAGAGAGGGGGGAGACCGTGATGTGGAAATGGGAGGGGTTCGACCACCGATGAACGCAGAGGACGGACTCTATATTTCCAGCGATGAAGACGAGAATGAGGGCGTCAAAAGGGACATTGACCAAATGCAAGTGATTGATCTGACTGGAGACAACCCGCCAGAGCTCGAGAATCCATTCGTGCCAGTTCGGCTGTCACGAGTACCGCATAAGGAACGCGCAGTCGGCCTGCAAGCAGAAGATTCGCCAGACTCAAGCGATGCTGCAGATGCGATATCGGACAAAAGAAGAGGCAAGCAAAGAGCCAGAGACGTGGAAGTAACAGGGACAGCAGCAGTACCAAAGCGGCCCACTACATATAGCTCATCTGATACAGAAGGAGAGCCACAGGTCAAGCGCGAACCCTTAGACGAGGAGCAGACACGTCCTAGCGCACCTGAAGTAGGCGATTTACAGTCTGGAGTGGCCATCACAAGTCCCCTGGACGATATGCCGTCGTCCCCGGAGAGTAAAAGAAAGGCCAAGGAGAGGATTAAGGCTACAGCGGACGCTACTGATGTTGATGGCAATGAGTCTGACATCGAGAGACCCCCCGAACCGCACTTCCAGACTCAAGCTGAAAAGGATGAGTGGGTGCGCCACTACGATGATAAGCAAAACATCCGACATGAGCTGGGTAGACTGGTACCTCAGGACGCTCCACAACCTGATGCAGAAGGTGATTCTGTCATGGGGGAAGAGAACGGTCATCTGAAGAGGGCCCAAGAACGGCAACGCCTGCGTGAGGAACACGTCTATCTCTTCCAATTCCCACCTATTCTGCCCGATCTCAAAGCGATATCGATCAAGGACGAAACAGAAGCTGCACGACCAGCTGGAGATGCTGGCGACTCCATGGACGTCGATGACGATAACGCTCCTGATCCCAATACCGCTGCCACTGCAAAATCTGCGTTGTCCACGAGTAGTGGTTTGAGCCTACCTTCTGGACAAGTCGGAAAGCTTCGAGTGCATGCATCGGGCAAGACTACTCTTGATTGGGGCGGCACCAGTATGGTATTGGGATTAGGCGCTGAAGCTACGTTCTTACAAAACGTCCTGATAGCGACAGTTCCTGAAACTAAACCTAAGGAAGGTGACAAGCCGCCCGATCAGCAAGAGGATGGGATTGGAATGGGCATGGGCATTATCAGAGCCAAATTTGTGCTTACTCCTGACTGGGATGAAATACTCAAGTAGTGCTTGAGGAGTACGAGACTGAATATGGTCTACGCTCCTTTCAGCGAGGCGTTAGGAGAGGTGGGTCAGGGCATAATATATACATGTATATGCACACGATGCAAACATCACAGCACAGCGACAGCGCGTTCTGGACACCAGAACGTACGAACAAAATTTGAACGTTGTTGTTTACTCACACTCATCTGATCCAAGAAAGTATGCCCGTCTCGTCCGAAATCGTCTTGCGATCGAGGATCTCGCTGACCTTCTCCTTAACACCTTGTTTGCCATTTGTTTTTTTGAGGAAATGCTCGAGAATCTGGTCCTTGGTGTAGCCTTGCACCGTGTCTTGCACCTTGTCTTGCACCTCGATCTCCCTGGGTAGGCCGAATGTATGCGGATACTCATTCCAATCCTTACCAGTGCTGCCTGCATCCACATCTAGCAGTTGGAAATCTGTCTCACGGTCGAAGAAGCCATTCACGTCCGCCTCTGATACTTTTTCGAGAGCATCTGGCGACCATTTTGGTGTTCGTTTCGGTTTGTCAACGAGTAGTGCTGTGACACCCTCGACGAAATCAGCGTGTTCCATGAAGTGGGAGGCGATTGCGTGTTCCTTCTGGAAAGTTTGTGCAATTGACCACTCCTTGCCACGATTGAGTTGCTCAAACGAGACCTTCAAAGACGTCGGCGAACGTTGCAGAATTGTTTTCTGGGTTTTCTCGGCCCACTCTTTGACCTCCGGATAGCCGTTGCTGCCTGGAGCCAGACGAGTAAGACTGTCGAGATCCTCGAGCATTTTGTCGAAGTTATTGGCAGGCTGGAAAACATAGTCGATAGCTACTCGACTATTGCCTCCAACTGGACCGGAGATGGGTTGGTCGTGTGGCAGACCAGTGGCAAACTCCTCGATTGTAGAGTTAATGCTTTTGTATCGGGTTTGGAGATTATCGTAGTCTTTGAATTGCAGCTCGGCCAGACGTGCTTCGAGATCGGGCAGAGAGGATGAGTGCAGATAGTGCGTTGCAATCCCCGCGTAGAAGACATTGGGACCCTTAATCTGCTCCGAGGTCAAAGCACAGTACTTGCCCAATTCACCGTCCATCCGCGGCAAGAAAAATGAAGCTCCCACGTCCGGAAAGAAGCCAATGTTGGTCTCAGGCATGGCGAAGACTGTGTTCTCTGTCGCTATCCTGAATGGGGCGTGTAATGAGAGGCCGACGCCGCCTCCCATGGTGATGCCATCGATGAATGCAACGAAGGGCTTTCTGTAGGTCGCAATGAGGTGGTCGAGCTGGTATTCCAGCGCGAAGTAGTCCTTGCTCTCTTGCTGTCCCTCGCTGCCTGTTTTGTTCCTCTGTGCAAGCCATGCTACATCACCCCCTGCACAGAATGCTCGACCCTCGCCCTTGATTGTCACGATACTGGCCAGCTCGCTCTTACTCCATTCCTTCAGACGCGGGATAATCTTCCGTGCCATGCTGCCATTGAGCGAGTTGAGCTTCTTCGGTCGATTGAGGATGATGCTTCGCACAGCACCTTGACTGCTGAAGAGCACATCATCGGGTTCATCGCCCGGTAGTTCCTTGATCTCGGAGCCAGATGTGAGCTATGGCGGCTAGGGTCAGTCAGCCGCTTGTCTAAATCGACCACGCTGTGGACATACTGATCGCAAAGCACCCTGCTGCATGGCGGGATTAAGAATCTTCGCTCGGAGGGGCATGATTGCTGGTCTCGCCGTCGCTAACCTCCTGCAAGACTGCTGGAATAGCATTGGACTGGCGGGGGGATGGGTGGCTTCAAGAGATGGGTCTTTGTCAAGCTACCTTATTCTAGCTTCAGATGCATGAGAGACCTCGGCTGCAGGACCAATTCAGAAATGTCGTTGACAGGAAATGGTCAGATCGACCAGAGTAGGTGTTGAAGGATACCGATGCGTTGAAGAGAGAGCGAGGAGCGATTGCCAGTCAGACGAGGTTCAATGGTGGTGGTGGTGGTGGTGGTGGTGGTAGTGGTGAGCAGTCACTGTAGTCCCGCGCAGTGCTGGTCGAGTTCCAGCGGAGGCGGAGGTGCCTTTTTCCCGCCGTGCTCTCCTGAATATATAGCCACTTTAGTGTATCGACTGCCGTAGCTCTAACTGGGCTCAAAAATATTGTCTTCCACCCAAAGTCGCCTCTTATCAACTACTTCCGCCTCGTCCCATCGTTCTTTGTACTAATAGCCTTCCTCTCATCGGCGCGCGCTGTCTGTGAGCATGTCTTTCGCTACCAGACTCCTGCGCACGTCGCGGGCTCTGCGCACACAGCACATCAATCCCATCCAGAGCGCACTCAACACTAGGGGCCAGCAGCAGTTGGTCCGCGGATACGCCACCGTCTTTGAGCGCAGCAAGCCTCATGTGAACATTGGCACCATCGGCCACGTCGATCACGGAAAGGTACGGAGACGTTTAAAGAGCAGGAAACAGTGGCACATGTGTCTGTCCTGGACGGGTGGCAAGCTAGATGCGTTGTGATGGATGTTGATCAATGCTCGCAGACTACACTCACCGCAGCCATCACGAAGCGACAAGCAGAGAAGGGGTACGCAAAGTTTCTCGAGTATGGTGCCATCGACAAGGCGCCTGAAGAGCGCAAGCGCGGTATCACCATCTCTACAGCACACATCGAATACCAAACCGATGCCCGCCACTACGCCCACGTCGATTGCCCCGGTCACGCTGATTACATCAAGAACATGATTACTGGTGCTGCGTCTATGGACGGTGCGATCATTGTTGTTGCAGCCTCAGACGGACAAATGCCACAGACTAGAGAGCACTTGCTCTTGGCACGCCAAGTTGGTGTACAGAGAATTGTTGTCTTTGTGAACAAAATCGATGCTGTAGAGGATCAGGAGATGTTGGAGCTCGTGGAGATGGAGATGCGTGAGCTTCTGTCCTCATATGGGTTCGAGGGTGACGATACACCAATTGTCATGGGCTCTGCTCTTTGCTCTCTGGAAGGGCGCAGAAAGGAGATAGGCGAGGAAAAGATCGACGAGCTCCTGAAGCAGGTCGATGAGTGGATCCCAACTCCAGAGCGTGAGATGGACAAGCCTTTCTTGATGTCCGTCGAGGATGTCTTCTCGATCCCTGGCCGAGGAACTGTCGCATCTGGCCGAGTCGAGCGTGGCGTGCTGAAGAAGGATTCGGAAGTTGAGCTGGTAGGCAAGAACGCAACACCAATCAAGACCAAGGTCACCGATATCGAGACCTTCAAGAAATCTTGCGACCAGTCCCAGGCCGGTGATAACTCTGGTCTGCTTCTCCGTGGTGTGAAGCGCGAGGACGTCCAGCGTGGTATGGTGATTGCTGTCCCTGGCAGTCAAAAGGCGCACAAGAAATTCCTGACTTCTTTATATGTCCTTACGAAGGAGGAGGGAGGCCGACACACTGGATTTCAGAACAACTACAAGCCACAGCTTTTCCTGCGAACGGCCGACGAGGCTGCCACTCTCACTTGGGCTGAGGGCTCTGAGCAGCTGAAAGAGAACAAGATGGTCATGCCAGGGGACAACGTCGAGATGGTATGCGAGATCAACAAGCCTTTGGCCCTAGAACAAGGACAACGCTTCAACGTTCGTGAAGGTGGCCGCACAGTTGCCACTGGTTTGATCACCCGTGTGCTGTCTTGAGCAAAAATGCTATTCGCGAGGAGCGAAGTATTCGGGAACAGGAATGGAAATGCTTGTCGACGATGAGATGCCAGCATGGCCGCAACAGGCATGAAGAAGAGGACAATGATGTGAACGGAGATGTACAGCTAGACCGCCGAGTGACAGATCACCTTCGACGATTGATTGTATTTGCTGTACTTTACTGGGAGATGGAACAGCGCGCATAGCCTGGCGTCAGTCACTGTAAGATAGCATTTTTGATACCACGCAACCCGATCCCAGCTCTTCCGAAGCACAAGAGATCTCCCGAAGGCGCCGTGGGGTGCCGGAAGTTCACGATGCAGCGAGTCTGGTGAGGATCCATTATTGTCCACAATGGCGGGGGCTGCCCGCCCAAGTGAGAGCTGTGCGTGCTGCTACCTCCTACCGGCCGGACCTTTAGTGCCACAATTATTCTTGGCGATCGCAGGACTCTCTTGATTTCAAGGTTGGAGCAACAACCTTATTTCATACAGTACATGTACCTCGGGGATTCGTGGCTTACCTGCCTGACCTGACCTGATTGCTTCTGTTGCTCGCGTCAATCTGCTGAGTCTGGTGAGAAGGGCCTTTGGTTGCGGGTGCAGTCTAGGTACATGTATGTCAGGTACCTGGTAGGTACTAGGTACATACACAGTGGTCGTCACTCCGGTCACTCTGACGGTCCGCACTGGTCTAATCCCTAAGGTCAGTAGGTAAGGTACATGTAGGGAGCTGTAGAGGTAGCCTGTAGCCTGACAGAAGTGGCGGAGATGCGCTGAAACCTCGCCTGGCAGAACACGTGCACCGCCCACGATGACGTGAGTGTCACAGGCACGGGATGAAGCTTGGTTCGGCTGTTCTCTACATTTTTATAAACTTGTAACCACCGGCAGGTCTTCCGCCACCAGAGCTAATGTAGCAGGTGGTGTTGGCAGCAGCTCGACGGTTAGCACTAGCGCCCTCGGACATACACTAGACTGCGGGCTCTTAACATACCGTAGTAGGTACACGTAGGAGGTGGTCTGCGGTCTTGAACGGCCCTCTTGTTGTTGGGTGCCCGTCCTGGAGACTGGTGGTCCCTGGGGAGAACCGTCTTGTTTATATTGTATCTCGTTTGCTGTGCATGAAAGGACTCAAGTAGACACTCCATACTTCCGAGTGATTAGGTGACGATTGACCTGTCACGAAGAGCCACGAAGCTTTCCGGAGACGAGCAGCCCCACAATGTCCCAGTCCCAGTCCCAGTGAGTGTGATCCGAACTCGAACGCGTCCGTTCTGGCAATTCCATACCTTATTCTTAGTCCACCAAGCAGAACCGCCGAAATACTTGGCGAGGGGCCAAAGGAGAATCACTTGATCATCCCACTGACGCTCGTGGCCTTCCAGCAAGCGAAGCAAAAGCAAACTCTTGCTGCAAAGGCTCAGCAGCGCCTCCAAAGTGCCTGCCTTGAGCTCGAACAACGACGAGGACGAGATGGCGGTTCCAGGCGATGGACCGAGTGCCAGCCCCAATGGCAGCCAATACCTTTCGCCAGTGCGACAATCGATACAATCGAGCCACCGACCCCATCTCTCCACGACCATGTCGAACACACAGGTTATTCCAGGGCCGAGCTCGCCGACGAATGACAGTCCGATCACGCCCAGCAGCGCAACACAGGGTGCCTCCATAGAACAGAGCGTGCGGCTGTTCAAGGTGTTCGAAGCCTTGCGTAATGGGGACACGGCAGCAATCGCGAAGGCCACGCGGGCGGAGGATGGAGCGAAGCTGGAAGGGACGACCATCCTGCACCTGGCGATACAATGTGCTGAAATGGCGGTAATTGAGTATGTACTCTCTCAGCACGATGCGGACATCAATGCCCGAGATCGAGACGGCAACACTCCTCTACACATTGCTGCATCTCTTGGGCGTGTGCCAGTGGTGAAGCTTCTGCTCGAGCAGCAGGACCTCAACGACTCGAACGCAAACCACCAGGGCAAGACCGCATTAGATGTGGCTCGCAGTCCGGAAATCTTCCAGATGTTGCGGCTGGCGAGGTCCGTATATATTGACCAGCAGGTCCGCACGATACACCAGCTCGTTGCGAAGGGTGACTATGCTAGTCTGGAGGAGCTGCTGAACGACAGCCGGGTCAGATCGATAATAGACATCAATAGCCCAGAGCTTGCGACGGAGTCGGCAACCACAGCAGACTGGGGAAGTCTGCTCCACGAGGCGGCACGAAAGAAAGACCTGAAGTTGGCACAACTATTACTTCTGAATGGCGCAGATCCGTTTCGCCGAGATCGTAAAGGCAAGCTGCCCCAAGATGTCACCAAAGACGACAAGACGCGAGCGATTCTCAAGAGATCGCCAGCTGCTGCAGCGGCGCAAAGGCAGATACAGGAACAGACGATCCTCGGTGGTGGTCCTCAAGCCAGCGGAGTGCCGACCGGAGAGGGAGGACCTGGCAGCAAAGAGAGTCGGGAGATGAAGGGATATTTGAAGAAGTGGACGAACTACACCTCTGGCTACAAATTGCGTTGGTTCGTGCTGGAAGATGGGGTACTGTCCTATTACAAGCACCAAGATGACGCTGGAAGTGCCTGTCGGGGCGCCATCAATATGCGCATTGCAACCCTGCAAATGGACCCCAAGGACAAGGACAAGCTACACTTCGAGATTCATGGCAAGAGCTCGGTCAAGTACGATCTGAAAGCGAATCACCAGGTGGAAGCAAAGCGGTGGTTTTGGGCGTTGAACAACGCCATTCAGTGGGCGAAGGATGAAGCCAAGGAAGAACAACGGCGCGAACGACAGGAAGCCAGCGCCAAGCATGAGCAGCTCGAGCGGATCAGGACGAGAGAGGCTGATGTAGCCCATGGCGGAGCTGGCCTTACACCAGGCACCGCCGTTAGTGGCCTCTCGACACCTGTAGCTGCCAGTGCGCTTGGTGATGGCAACTTGAGCGCTTACGACCCTAGCGAAGCCGATGGCGGCTCGGTGGCTATTCGCAACTTGAGCCGAACGGGCACCGCCACCATCGAGGGCGATCTTGACGACGATGAAGAGTATGGCGATGACGCGAGTAGCCACGAGATCAAGCCTGCCAACAAGGACGCCTTCAGTATTACAGCACAGTCGGCTAAGCTCCAACTTGATCTGCTCGAGCAAGTTTCTGCTGCACTACGCAGCGAAAAGGATAAGAGTCCAAACACAACGCTAGGTCACCCGACTGTAGCGCAAGCTTTATCGTCATATGAGATGGCCGTAGGCAACCTCAAAGGCCTGCTCATGGACCTCCTCCGAATATCACGTGATCATGAGGCGTACTGGCAGTACCGACTTGACCGTGAACAAAATGTCAGGAGGCTTTGGGAGGATAGCATGGCCAAGGTGGCGCGAGAACAGGAGGAACTCGAAAATCGCATTGGCGAAAGCGAGGATAAGAGGAAACGGACCAAGAAGGCGTTGAAAGAGGCCCTCGATGGAACGGCGGCTGCATCCAGAGCCGTCTCACCCTTGGTCGCAGGCGGAGACACTACACAACCTCTGCTAGATATTCCTCCAGGACATGCTGCGAAGAAACGCCACACTATTGCTGAGCTTACGAACAACGAAATTTCTGACGACGAGAGTGAGGAAGAGGACGAATTCTTCGATGCTATTGATGCTGGCGTAGTGGAAGTAGTGGATACGCTACCAGAACCACCTAAGTCGCCCGGACCAACAATGGCTCACAAAGATGGCGCGCGAGATACCTCTGCTGTTGAAGCTGAGAGGCAACAGAAGGAGCAACAAATCTCGAAAAGCTATCGTGGTTACGAGGATGGTCTGCGGAAACGTCTTAAGATCGATGCAGACAATAGACCAAAGGTCTCGCTCTGGGTACGTACTTCTGCCGATGTGATGCTCTAGGTACGATACTGACCATTTGATAGGCTGTGCTCAAGTCCATGATAGGCAAAGACATGACCAAGATGACACTGCCTGTCACATTCAACGAGCCTACATCCCTTCATTATGCTGTGGTGGCAGACATGGAGTATACAAATCTCCTCAACACCGCAGCTGATCGTACCGACTCTTCAGAGCGCATGGTCTATGTTGCTGCGTTTGCAGCTTCTGAGTACGCAAGCACAATCGGCCGTGTGGCCAAGCCATTCAACCCACTTCTTGGTGAGACGTTTGAATATGTACGCCCCGACGAAGGCTATCGATTCTTCATTGAGCAGGTCGCCCATCACCCGCCCATAGGAGCAGCCTACGCGGAGTCGTCCAAGTGGACCTACTATGGCGAGTCCAACGTAAAGTCGAAATTCTATGGCAAATCGTTCGAGTTCAACCCCACTGGTACATGGTACCTTCACATTCGACCTATCGACGGCAGTCCAGAAGAAGTATACACCTGGAAAAAAGTCACATCTTCAGTGGTGGGCATCCTGACTGGCAATCCTGTGGTTGACAACTATGGCCTCATGGAAGTCAAGAACTGGACGACCGGCGAGACCGCTGTGATCGACTTCAAGCCACGTGGCTGGAAAGCATCCTCTGCCTTTCACGTGTCCGGTAAGGTCCTCGACAAGGGAGGCAAGACGCGTTGGTCCCTTGGTGGCAGGTGGAACGACAAGATCTACGCTCGTCTGACGCCTGGCTACGAAGGGTCGGTAGGTCCCAGCGAAGGCTCTGCGGAAAAGGGTGACAAGGCGTTCCTCGTGTGGGAAGCTCACTACAGACCACCACTGGGCGAGATTCCCTTCAACCTCACCCCCTTTGTGGTGACACTGAACGACCTGCCTGACAAGTTGAGACCTTTGATTGCCCCTACGGATTCTAGACTCCGACCTGATCAAAGAGCCATGGAAGATGCCGAGTATGACTTGGCTGCCGAGGAGAAAACTCGGGTCGAAGAAGGACAGCGCGCGCGAAGACGGATAAGAGAGGCCAAGGGAGAAGAATTTGTTCCTCGATGGTTTGCCAAGGCCAAACACCCTGTCACTGGCGAAGAATTCTGGAAATTTAATCACGAATACTGGCAAATCAGAGATGAGGTTGCCGCAGGCACGAGGAATTGGGGCAGTGAGAGGCTGGAGGAGATTTTCTAAGCTTTTAGAATGAATAATGGATCTGTGCGATGACCATGAAATGATATATGTATGGAATCATGCAGAAGCTGTTGATCTCATTCTTTTTCATCATGATCTCGACACCTAGTCCATTGTCATTAGTAAGCTGCAGCCAAATGACTACAGCGCTGTGCGTCTCCTTCGCGTACTAGTCCATACAAGCACGGCGGCCACTAAAATATATGTGCAAGGAGACATTGCAAAGAGAAACTGAGGTCATTCCCCTCGGCCAGGAGAGGTCGCTTTGATCGCTGAACGCAGAGCAAAAAAAAGGCAGTATAAGATCTGCTGGAGTATAATGGCCGGCGTAATCCAGATTGGGGTATCAAACAGTCAAAAGAATTTCGTAACGTCGGTCCAAGAGCAGTGATGCTAAGGGGTGTTGTTGCAGCACCCGCAGTAGGTGCGGGCTTACACCTCCGTCATATTATCCATGTAAGCCTTCCAATAGGTAGTAAGCAGCGAGAGGACCTGACGTTGGGTCATTGCGTCCTCGCATGCAACCTGTAACGAAGTTCCGTCGTCAAATTCCAGTACAACGGAATGCGGCAGCTCCTGCTGATCAAGATCTGGCACAAAGGGTGCCTTAAACTCCGTAAGAGGATATCTTTTCATGGCAACGCCTCGATGAATGTCCATGGCTTGAGCAATGGCAAATTGCAGAACGCCATAATCATCAACAGTGACAATGCGCCGTTTCCACAGCTACAGCATTGTTAGCATTGAACGAACTCGAGAAATTCGGCAACTTACTAGAGAGTCTGGAAATTGAACATTTAGATCGCCCACGACGGCAGCAGGTGGTGTGTCAGACTTTGTCGCTGCCACGCTCATAGGCCGAGCACTCTGGGGAGGCGAGAGAGTGCTCTGGGATTTCAGCGGGCTTCTCGAGGCAGGTGGCGAGTGCGGTCCACTCTTCTTTTTGGGTCCCGCCAATACGCTCATGCGCTTGAAGAAGCGGCTGGCTTTGTTGCCCTCCTTAGGGGCAATATTTTCGTCAGGGACTGGAAGCGACATGGTTGAAGAGATGCGAATATTGGGCGGCGGCGGGGGAAATTCATCTAGAGCGGGTGTCGAATGATGCCTCTGCAACCCGAATCGACGTCCACGAGAATGGGAGTGCAGCGAACGGGAGTCGATTGACTTTATAGAATGGGCTGAGCTTTGGGGAGGGTCGACCTCAATCGCTGGTGTCGTAGGCGTCTTGATAACTTCATCACCAGAGGATGGCTCTGGAATTGTCGCCGTTCGCGTGGTGATGGGCATTGGCACACCCGGACGAGCGATGCGCGTGGAGACAGACACGGTATTTCTATTGGTAACAGGGTCGTGTTGCACACTCCAGGCTGGCCGATCCTCCTCAGAGGGTGTAGTCAGTGTAGGTGTGGTTGCCGCGCTATGTCTGCTTTGACGTCTGTACGAGGCTCGAGATCCTGGCGGAGTCCTGCGACTTGATTTCCCAGGCCCTCCCGGGGATGCAGCAGTCGATGGAGGGCTCGATTCCTTGATTGACCGCTCTGTCAGTGCCTGTATGCGTTTCGAGATGCCAGACGACACATTGCGGGCGCGTGCAGCGGATGCCGACTCTTGATTCTTCGCGGGGGATGCGGGGGAAGAACCAAGCCAAGGTGACCGCACTTCATGATCTGATGCTTCACTTGGAGCAGATTTAGCCGCTCTAGCCATCTGTACAGAGTTGACCGAAGCGAGGGTTTCAGCGCTCAAACGCCTCGCATGGAACGCTAATGCTATGGGCGACCTGGCAACTGTTATGGGCTTCGCCTCCTGCACTGTAGCACTATGCAATTCTTCGAAGAATTCGTCATCATCAGAGTCCAGATCGTCATCGTCTGGATTTCCCGGGGTTGTGTCAAGCGACAATGGCTCCACGATTCCTCGTCTGCGCTTCGCCACATCCATTGTTGAGCTTTGAACATCGGCATTATCATGATCTTGCTTATCATGATCTTTCACAGGCTCTGCTGCGTCGCCATCTTCCTGGTCGGATTCGGCAACGATTTCAGTGGCAGATACTCGCGGAGGTGTCTCATCTGCCAGCACTATCCTTGGCCCTCTCGTCGTACCTTCACTGCCATGCTCCGATACTGTTGGCTGCTCTGTGGGCGTTTGACTGGCTGTCGTTGAAGCTGCATCAGTATGGATGTCCTCGTGATCGCCATTGTCGATGTTGGAACTTGGGTCATTCAAAGTTGTTGTCGTCTCGCTCGAGGGCACTTCTAACTCTTCTTCATCAGAACCTAAAGCGACCACGGCATGTTCAGGAACCTCCTCAATCGTCTCTTCGGTCCGTTGAGTATCAGGAGTACCATATCGGATCTCGATGCCTGAGTCTGCTTTGGACGACTGATTCTGGCTTTCGTCATCGGTGCTGTTCACTTCGGGTTCCTGTTCTGAATTTGCCTTGCTCTGACTTTGATGCTGCGGCACAGGGGACTTCGCCTCAACCACTGCAGATGGCTGGCGCACATCTGGTACAGCTGGTACATCTGGTAGTTCTTCGTTGATCGGATTGAACGTTGTGCCGTGCGACTTGCGCATCTGCTTTCTGCGCAGCTCCACAGCTTTCATGAGTCTTAGCTTGTCTGCGCTCATAGGGCCAGGTTTGTGCGAAGGTGCTGATCTGATGCTCCCGCGCGACATCGGTCGCGGAGTGTACATGGGAATTTCTGGCGCCGATGGTAACGCAGGTGCTGCAGACTCGAGAGGTGATGGGGCAGTTGCCGATCGAGGCATGAAAGGCTGGCCTTGCGACTGTGGCGTGGTTGGTTCCTGCTTTTTGGGAACAGTCTTCACGTTGCCAGGCACGGCCGAGACTCTAGGTGCTGCCGGGCGCTTCACCTTATCCGGCGCGGTGATCGGTCGTGGACCAAGTTTAATCTTTGGTTTGAATAATGCATCATACTGACTGAAGTCGTACGGGTCATCGTCCATTGACTGCGAGCGCATAAGCGAGATTGCGCCGAGTGACTGTCGACGTTGTGGGAGTTCAGTAGCCTCTCCTTCTGGTGACTGCGAGCTGGATTCAAGGTCACTGCGCGTGACAGTAATGTCGATTGCGTGAGCCGACTGTGCCTGAGGGACCATTGTGTCAGACTCAGGACCAGGCGATGCACTTATTCGTGGAGCCTCTGCCGGAAGTGATGCTGGTGGTTCGTGTGATGTCGATGGGAGTGGACCAGGGTTGATGGCAGACGGAACATTTAGGCTAGGTACTTCAGCTGGCGTTCCTATTGACAGCCCTGCGGCAGGTGGGGTGTTGGGGTTGAGTGAATGCAGTGAAGTCATGGAACGTTGTGCTCGCTTCCCAATACCTCGATCTGCTCCGTATCTTTGCGGACCCAATGTTGTCGCCGCAGAAGTGTTGGCGCTGCTAGAGTCTCCCTGAGCACCATCATCTTCCTCCTCTTCACGCAACTCGTCGAGACGGCCGGGGCCGGGAGATGGCGACGCGGTGTGCAGGTGGAAGGAAGCGGCGAGAGCGGTGTCATTCAACCCATCGCTGTCTGTTAGCTCCAGCAGCGTTTCGTGAGGTGCATAGTGTTCGAGCACATCTTGGAGGTGGACCAACGTTCGAGCTGTACAGACCAGTCAGCAACCTGCGACCACCATGAGATAGCTAGGTATTCCGCATGCGCCTCACCCTGCAAAAGTCGTGAAGTCCCCTCTGGTATATACTTTATGAGTATACGCCGCCGTCGATACATGAGCAGCCCATACAGCGGCGAAGCCTCTGGGTAGGCCGCCAGCGCATTGCGTGCTTCAGATACGCCATGTTTGCCTTTGCTCAACAAATTCACCGCGTCTCTTGATTCGTACTTCAGCAGGAACCTGTGCCTACCCCGTCAGTGCTCGTGGTCCAGATTTGCGCGACCCCCGGATTCCACGCACCATCCTCCAGCCTCCGCAATGGCCGACTGGTATGCCTCCTGAACTTCGGTCGCATCGAGGCCATTCAATGACATGACGCTCGAGTGGTACGGGAAGTTCCTTCAGGTGCGCTCTACGAAGCGTTGGCATCCAATGGTCCTAGATTAGATCGGTTGTCGCAGATTGGTGGCATCGGCGCGTGAGACATTACACCTGGTGAAGTGGCTGCTTGGTGGGAGAAGTCGCCTGCTGGTGGTGATATGGTGTGCAAGGGAAAGCGGTAACACAGTCGCACCGCAGGAAGAGGAAGAGGAGGAGGAGGAGGAGGCGGAGGCCCGTTGCGCACGCGTAGTAGTAGTGTCTCGGTCGGGCTCACCTTTGATCTCAAACGACGAATTAGCTTTCGACGAGCACTACGGCCAAAGACGGCCATCCTACCATGCCCTTGCAGAGCCAATCGACACGGAGAGACTTTATAGGAGAGAAGTGTATGTCTGCCGTGTGGTTCTACGGACACGGGACAAGGAGGTGAGAGGGAATGCCTTTGGACGCAAGCGAAACATCACCTGCATCAACCTCTCGCCGTTGTGCCGTTATGGCCACGAAAAGAGTCAAGACTGGACAAGGAGGGTTTTCGGTACAGGAGGTCCTCCAACTGCCCGCCACCATCAATCACTACATGTAACGATGCCGAATGTGGAACCTTTTTTGCTACCTCCTAGTGAATCCTCTCGAAATGGCCGAGAGGCCACCATCGATGGCGACGATGGCGAAGGATGGCTTTGCTATGCTACGGTATGCTACCTACAGTACCTTTAGGTACCTAGGTAGCATACTACCAAGTACCTAAGTTCAACAGGTATGCACCCCGAATTCCACACCGTTGGCGCGACGGGAATCGTAAACCTGTGTGCTCTCCAGTCTCCACCAACATCCATCCCCGCCATGTTTCCTGGCTGCTCAAGAATAAGGTTAGTACCTTAGACATGGTCGTCGTCCAAGACTCGACTTCCTAGCAAGTGGAGGCTGGCGCTGGGGAGTCCGAGAGTGGATCTGTTCCTCGCAACCGGGCCGTGACTTTCAAAGGTGGAGCTTGCCAGATTTCAACCACAACTCTCCGAGAACACCTCTATACAGGTACCTTACCTTACCTCCTTTGTACACTTTTCACATACACCATCATACTACTACCTACCTGGCTACCTAACCTAGAGGCGCATAACGAAAGGCCCTACACCCAAGGTTACAGTACAACCTTACTTCTGACTTCTGAGCCGCAAGCTTCATCTCCCACCATGACATCGCCGAAGCTACCACCCATCGCGGACATCATGGCGCTGCCAACAAAGGATCGAGCTGCCATCCTGGACTTGCTCTTCGAGCCAAGCACGCAGCTCCATACGCTCTCCGTCCCTCTTCTGCATGAAAAGCAGTTCGAGAGCTACGCCGACCTCATTTCGGCTGTGGGTGTCCAACTCACCGATCTGGCAGAGTCTGCCTCGTCTTCAGATACGGAGTGGCTCGAGAGCATCTTAGGCTCGCACCCACGTCTTGGTGCGAAGAAGGTGGAAAGTGCGCAGTCTCAAGCCGAGCAGGCGCAGCTCCAAGGGACGGCAGATGAGACCGAGCAGCTCCTCGCGCTTAACGAAGAGTATGAGAGAAAGTATCCTGGCCTGCGTTATGTTGTTTTCGTGAACGGAAGGAATCGATCGGTGATAATGGATGATATGCGTCAACGAATCGCAAACAGTGACCTAGAGTCGGAAAGATTGGCTGCCATTAAGGTGAGTATCTGCACTCAGGGATGACCCTTGTCCGCTGCTTGTTTCATCAGTCAAGGCTGACACACATGTTCGAAGGCTATGTGTGAGATCGCAGCTGACAGAGCAAGCAAACTATCTTCTGAGCTGCTCGCCTAATGGATGAATTACAGAATTCGGAACAGCAATGTGTTCGGCCGTGCCTGTGACGCCTCGTCCATTCTTTAGCCGTATGTGAATCTACCACGAATGCGCAATAAGTTCTGCCGAGGTGCATGCCTCAAGATCCCGTTTGCTTGATGCATGGTCTTGGTTCTGCGCGCCTGATATGTGTCCTCTTATAATCTCTATCATGGAGGGCTCACTCTCGTCGCAGAGATCTCACTCTGGCCACGTCTGAGCCAATCACTGAGAATACTGCCAAGAAGCAGAGTAAGGAGCCCGAGAAGACTGGCGGCATTTCACTTCACGTGGGAAAGAGCAAGAAGATAAAGCAGAAGACACTCGAAGGAGCTCTTCCAGCACATAGGTGCAGCCACAAGCAAAGAGAAAAGAATGGTTTGAGGACGGCTCTCGGGCTGCAAATACTGGTGCTCAATTCGAGAATGTCTCTCTTGACTGTGTATCCGAGGTGGAAGACAGCGGCAACGACGACAGCTTCGAGAATATTGGCGCTACTGATCTCGCACACGAGGGAAAAGATCATGGATCCTATAATGGTCAAGCAGACCATACCCGCAAGTATCCCAAGGGCTTTGGCAACGATACTGGCGGTAAGTGATATGCGAATGCCCACTCCGTAACCGGGAACTACACACGGTACGTGAAATCAATCTGCATAGGTACTCGTCTCGTCTGTCCGCCTTAGTTGCTGTCGTTGCTTGCGGACTTCTACGTACCTACCTGGTAACTTAATAGCACCTTTTGGTTGATGTTGCGTGGATTGTAGTCTTGCTGGTCAAATGACTTCGAATATTGCGCGTTTGCAAATTTTGCAACTCTCTCTGCAACTTCTAATCTGTTGCACATATACAAGTAAGAACACCTACACTTTGTGGAAGGGATTTGGTATTGGTGTCATGTTCGAGGTAGTGAAATGTACTAGGAGGTACATGTAGTAGGTCATGTCAAATTGAGCCAAGTGACGATCGGCTGTGTAGTCCTGTCCTCCGAGGCAACAAGGCGCGCCATTGAACCCATCTTCATTTTGTTGCCATTCTATATAATGACCAAAGCACACCAACATGCGACATCGCGGCCGAGTAATACATTCAAGAAACGGTATTCCAAAAACCTCAAGATGCACACTCTCTCCTGGCAAATTCCCATCCTCATCCTGGCATTATGGCTCTTCACAGCCTACATGACCAGAGCATTCCCAACCCTCACCGGCAAGCGGATATGCCTCGTAATAGCCCACCCAGACGACGAAGCCATGTTCTTCGCTCCCACGATCCGCCATCTCACGCGCCCAGAACTCGGCAATCAGGTTGTAATATTATGCTTCAGCAGCGGCGACGCAGACGGTCTCGGCCACATTCGCAAAAAAGAACTCGTAGCATCCGCTCTCCTGCTAGGTCTGCGGAAACCTGAACATATCGTGGTCATTGAGGACGAGAACAATTTTCCGGATTCTATGACGACTACGTGGGATGCGAAACTCATTTCGCAGACTTTGATGAAGTATTTTGCTCCTTCTCAGACGACGACGACGACGACGACGAAGAATGTGGGCTCTGCCACTGCCTCTGCCTCCACCACTACCACTTCCAAGAAGCAGAAAGCAGCTCCACCACCAGAGACCCTCATTGACGTCCTGATCACATTCGACGAAGGCGGAATCAGTGGACATCCCAATCACATTTCGCTGCTACATGGCTGTACGACTTTTCTGAGAACTTTGATGCTGAAGCATACTGGGTGGGAGAACCCTGTGAAGCTGTATACGTTGACGACGACGAATATGGTGCGAAAGTACAGTAGTGTGTTGGACTCGTTGGTGAGCGTGCTGGCGATTGTGTTGGGGAAGAAAGAACGGGGGGCTTTTGCCAGTCCGTTGCTCATGGTGAGCTTACCTGGGGATGTGAGAAAGGCGCAGCAAGCGATGACTACGGCACACGTGAGCCAGATGCGATGGTTTCGATGGGGGTGGATTGGAATTTCGCGATACATGGTTATCAACGATTTGAAGAAGCGGTAAAGGTCATATCCGGGTACTCAAATCGTATCTTGACCTTCGTTATGACATTAGAGATGACTACATTCACTCTGTTTGGTGGGCAAATCCTGGTCTGCTGCGCCGCGCTATGCATCAAAAATATAAATTTCGAGTCGATTAATATCCATACGCACTTCCTCGACGCCCGGATTGGTGGAACATGCCACTTCCATTGTCGCTTTGCTGATAGAATGTGTTGTGCTTGAGGTCCTCCTCCAGGAATGGCTGATTGTCCTTGATCTCCCAATTGTGCGATTTTTCCTCGACACTAAACTCCAGATCCTCCTGGGTGATGCTGTCCCAGAACTTGTAGACCATCATGACAGCCAACAGGTTCAGCAACGTCGCAAAGAACAAGCCGTCCAGATAATGCTCCACGTTGTCGCATATTATCTCGCTAAACGCGTACAGCAGGACCTGGCCTATAATGAGAGCCACGACTCCCAAGATAATATGCAATAGGGGCCATCTTTGCTCCAGTGTTCCGAGGACCATGATTACCTGGCAGACGATGTAGATCGCCAGAAAGATGGCGCTGAAAAGGTAGACGACCACGAACAGCCCAGTTGTGTTTTCCGGTCCGAGTCCAGCCCAGCTCTTGAAGGTCAGCAGTGAAACTGCAAATGATATCAGGAACATCACAGTGCTGCATCCGTAGATCAACCAGACGGAGAGTGTCGTGCCGTCTTCGTACATGGCGAAGCCGACGCAGCCTCCAATCATCAGACAAATACATGTCGCCGAGACAAGGCCACACTGTACTGCAACGAAGTATGAGTACGCGCTGCTGCCCGGTGGGACAACACCACAGTCGATGACAAGTGAGCACATCGTGAGCAAAGTATACAGATAGAAGAAAGATGTCATCTCTTTGCGACCTTTGCAAGCCGTTAGTCTCGCGCCGTCGCAGCCAGCGCCCACTCCCTCAACATACCGACTGCCGTGAATTTACTCCGCACGTGTATTATCATGATAACCAGCATTGTAAGGGTGAGAATGTGTGCGAAACCAGCCGCGGCTTCGAAGATGATCGTGTTCGCCAGTTCGATGGATCGTGCGTAGCAGTTGCTTTGCACGCTATGTGCGCCTGTGATCGGGGAGCTCGGTCCTATCAGAAGACATAGTGGAATGGGAGTCTTCTCGCATATCGAAACAAAGTCGCCGAAGCCCATGGTGGAAGGAAAAGGGCGCGAATCCGGCGCGGTGTGGTGGGAACTGGTCGAGTGGGTCGAAGCGCTGGTGACTCGCAGTCAGCGGGTGGTAGCGATCGGGTCTATCAATGTGTGATAATGGCTTGGTTGGAAGCACCCAACGGCTGCTGGGAGATGTCAGCGCTGGGGTTGGAAAGCGAGTGTGGTGGTGGTGGTTATGTTATTAGGTAGGTATCGACGTTTGTGAGGGCGAGGGAGAGACACAGACAGAAGCAGGGGTGCTCACAATCCTGGTTCGCCTGCCGTTTCGGCGGTAACCACTGTGGCTGAGGTGTCCGGCAAGGCTGTACCGCCAAGCGCTGTACATAAAGCAACGCCAAACCTTATTTGCCCGTCCCTGAGTTACAGTACATCTTCGGCTTCGGTTTGCTCCTTTGATTCTGATATCGACAGCTGCGACAACATGGCGAACGACGAGAAGCCACGGAACCGCAAAGAGCGACGAGCTGCGGCGAAAGAGACTGGAAATCCAATGGAGGCGCCTACATCAACCCCAAAGATGAAGTTGACCAAACCGGATTATGATGCCAGGCCGGCCAAAGGCACGACTCTGCTCGACATTTACGAGGAGAAGAAGGCCCTTCTCGAACAAGGCCAACCATTTGACGACAAGTACTCTGACGGCCTAGCACGAGGCGAAAGCGGTAACATTCTCGATGTTGGCCTTGGCGATAACGAGCCTATTGGCCCTATTGGAAATGCAGTGTTCTGGTCGGTCTGCTTGACCATGCTACACTTCACCTTGGACGTTCTGACGTACAATCAGTACGCCCAAGACATCATCTGGCCGGCAATATTTAAGCGCTCTGGAAAGATTCTGCCGATCCTGTTCCTAGCCATCTATATGATGAAATCGCAGCTTGCTTACAGACTGGGTGTCGTCAGGCAAGTGCTCTTCCTCTGCGTGGCGATCGCTGCTGGGTGCTATCTGATTCACGCCGGTAATACGTATGGCTATTTTGCGGTGATGAAGCAGGCACCGCCACTGGGCACTCTATGGGTCTACAGTGTCATTGAACTGGATTTATGGTTTGCTGTGGCTAGCCTTGTGTTCAACTTCGCATTCCTATTGTGGAACGGCTATACAGTCTTTTAATATCTCACAACGGACTACTGCGCAGGACCTTGCGAGGGTGCTGCAGGTTGCGCAGTCTCGACCGCGCTTGCGGGACAGCATTTTAGGCGGGCTAGGATCCATCGACCTCGCCCATCAACATCTGTCTCAGCATCGATTTGTGATAAGTCGAAGCTCGTGCTCTGTCGTGCAAGCTCCTGGGGTGCTGGCCAACAAACCTCGAGACGGTCCACGACTGATATTCGGGACTTCATATCACTGGCCGATCCTGTGAACTCGTTCGCATCGTTACCGAAGGCAACATTCAGCCACTCGTCTTTCTCCGCACAATGTCTGCACAGATGTAGCCCCAGCTCTGGTACCCGAGCAAGGCACTCGTGCAGCATGCATATCTCGAACTGGGTCTACTGGCGCATGCAAACGTATACAAATCGAGACATCGACATTGTGTTAGGTCGAACGACGGAGCGTCCGACCTGGAAGCCGACTTTGGTCCCTCAGTCATGCACCACCTCCGTCAAGGTATAGCGTAGCTTCACGCTGCGAAGATTGCCCATTCTAGGCCATCGAAATCGATCGAATTGATGATAAGTGAAGAAGCACACATTGAAGTGCCTCTTTGTAACCACCGCTAGCGAGAGCAGCTCGGCTTCATCTTCGTGAGATGCAAAACGCAGGACATAAGACTTTGGTACCTTGATCTAACGGTCTGGCGCTTGAAGTTATAGGTAGACTCGGACTCAAACATTGTTCACTCGAATTGGCTCATGGGCTCAGGGGGCACGAACTGTCTCCGGACCAAGAGTCCGTGAAGGCCCTTTTCGACTCTGGTCATCTATACCATATTATCAATACAGACGAATTTATTGACAAAGTGTTCATGAATGACTTACGAATCCATAGTCCTGTTTGACCCCATTTTCAATCCATACTCCATAGCTTCCCATCATATTTGCCATGAGGATATCGGTGAACAATCTGTCCCCTACAATCGCAATCTGGCTTTCGTGGCTCACTCCTGTATCAGGATGACTACGAAAGTACTCCATGATCTCAGAATGGCATCCTGGCTTCTTAGTGCTGTGCCTGAGGACTTTGATCCCAGTATTTTGCTCCAACACATCAGCTTCCGCGTGATGTGGATCCGAATTTGTGCCAGACGAATTTGATACTATGAGGATTTTTGAGCCAGGATACGCTGTCCGAAGTTCTTCAAATTTCGCGATGTAAGGTTTGTGAATCACGTTCGTCTTGGGAAGGGCAAAGCAATTGTCTTTGTCGAGGACCACGGCTTTGATATCCGGTTTCTTGTCTGACCCATGTTTTGTGAAGGCTTGCGAAAGAGGGACTGGTAGTTGGTCGAATGTTGCTATCGTATGATGCGGAAGACACAGTGACGGATTGACCAGCAAGCGGAGGACATTGACTGTGGCTGAGACGTTCATTTCGCGTTGTTCTTGCACTGAAAGAGGGAAGAGCACGTGAAGGTCAAGCCTACGGAGGTAGGTAGAGCGTACATGTACCTTGCAGTACCTACGGTAGGAGGTAAATGCTTGGCAAAAACTAAAAAGTTACCTAAGCTTTGTCCTTCGCGCTCGCGACAACACACCTCTCCGGACAACACACCTCTCCGTCCCACATCACCACGTTCAGCACATTCAGCGCAATCTGGAAGGTGCCATATCCTCATAACTACTGACAGAGGCCACACGACCACGCGACCAGACGCCAACCATGACTTCGACGATCGGAATTCCGATCAAGCTTCTCAATGAAGCCACAGTAAGTGACTCTCCGCAACCACCCTACGGCGGACCTGCGCTTACCCAAGGATTCGCAGCTGATGGAACACGTTTTAGGGACATCAAGTCACGGTTGAGATCGATTCTGGCCAGACATACCGCGGAAAACTCATCGAAGGTACGGTTCGGTACCAAATATTACAACGAGCGAGCAGCAAAGCAATAACGGGATACGAAGATGGAAGCTAACAAAGATACATAGCCGAGGACAACATGAACGTCCAGCTCGAGAATATCAATGTCACTCAACGCGACGGTCGAGTCACACATCTGGACCGCGTCTACATTCGGGGTTCCCACGTGCGGCTATTCATCGTGCCAGACATGCTGAGGTATGAAGACTCCACATTGCAGCTGAGACGGATGAAGCTAACTAGGGCTAGAAACGCGCCCATGTTCAGATCGCGGAACGCACGTGGCCGAGGAGTAGGATTGGCGAGAGGAAGGGCTACAGTGAACCGTGCCCGCGGCTCAGGTCGTGGCGGCAGAGGGTAATGGAACAAATGGACAAGAAATAAAACTCCAGTCCATGTAGGGAAACGGAGAGGAACATGGCGAGGTCCAGGCAAGCTTGCGACCAGATTGACGGGGGGGGAGAACAACATGCATAGGACGAGTGAAGATGCCGCTCAAAGCAGCGGGAGACAGTGGGACTTGGCAGACACTGGTGCTCTAAAGCAGATTCCTCTCGCCGCGACGTCGCCCTTAGCAGGCACGGTACGCAGCGTTCCACTACATGCCATCCACGATGAGCACGAATGCAACTTGACGATCACGTGAAGATAACATGATTTCTCCACTTTCCGCTCAACCTGATTGCATCACCTCGTCGGATTCAAGTTGTGTCACTGTCACCATTGAAATGTAATTCATTCCCGTCGCCCTATCGCACAAGATGGATATCAAACTCTCCAAGCGCATATTGCTGCTCGGGCCACGTGGTGCTGGTGCTCTCGACATTGTCAGAGGTGAGGGCATCCAACGGCCGTTCACCAGTCACAACAGCTGACACCCGCAAGACCTCACTGGATCTGCGCCAGAGCCGGACGTGGACGGGTCGACCGCGGGACTAACGCACGAATGGACCGCCGAAACGACATATTACAAAGCGAGAGTACCGGTCTGGATTGACGAAATATCCGACGTACAGTCCTGGAAGTCCGACTTCCTCAAGCCCGAGGCGAAAGAAGTAGTTGGCGCAGTAGGTGCATGGATCTACTGCTTCCCGCGACAGGTGGATGGCAGGATTAGTGCTGAAGCGGAGGAGACCATGAAGAGCATACAGCAAGTGGTAGACGAGCACTCATACGTCTCAGAAGCTGTTTTCCTTGCCGTCGCGAAGCCCATGGGCAAGCAGGCTGTGAGCAGAGCAATCGGAGTTCAGGAAGAGCAGGAAGATGTGTGCACGCAGTATGGTTTCGAGTATGTCGATTACGGTGCAGCTGGCAAAAACGAGTTCGGTGAGCGGATGGGTTTCGAGCGACTGAAAGAAGCACTCGAAGCGAACGAGTGGGAGGCAGGAATGGACGACGATGTCGATCTGGACGACCTGGACTTTACAGCCGACGACTTTGGGGATTTTGGAACCGAAGAGGCAGAAATGACTGCCGAGCTATTCGGCATGAAAGCAGCGCTGAACAACGAGGATGAATATGATGCGCCTGAAATCGACTTCACTCCTGCTTCGGAAGCTATACAAGTTGACGATCTGGACAAGTTGATGACCAAATTGCTCGCGGTGAAAGAGCAGAGCGTGGGCTTGCCCGAAGAGGAACGGAAGAAGAAAGCAGCCAAAGCGGTCAAGGATATCATGGAGGCAAATCCAAACTTGGACTGATCAGCACTAGAACGCCACAAAGATGCAGAGCCAACTCCTTCTTATGCGACGCGAAAACTCGCTCTTACGGTACGCCGCCATCCCAGTTGTCCCCGGCGCCGGTAGTCCAGCAGGTGGCACTCATAAGAATGCTAGCAGTCCTGCGAGACCGAAGATTCCCAACGTTCCCACAGCCTCATACCTGCCAGCACCGTTGCCATTGCCGCTTTGTGTGCCAGTAGCGTTCAACGCAATGCCGCTGACCGAAGCAGTAGGCCTAATTTGGCCGTCCTGGATGTTCGTGGTCGTGAATGAAATGGAGCCAGAAGTTCCAGTGGCGTGTGGGACCGACCATGCTGCGGTTCCGGTCACAGCTTGAGTGTAGTAGTAGCTGACCTCTGTCTTGTTACCGATAGGATCAGCATACTTGACTGAGGAACTGCCATCACCAGTGGCAGTTGGCGTAGCAGAAGGTGTCACACCGATTGCCATGCTGTAAAGGAATTCTGCGAGACCGACTGAAGCCGTCGCAGTCGCGGCGCAATATGTGGAACTGGCACTCTGAAGTACAGATTCTGGAAGTGTTCCTTCTAGCTCCAACGATCCGTGCTTCGCATAGCAAGCGACGCACCCGGCAATTTGATCCCAAAATGACGATTCGCAGATGCAGACGCGCTGGGTGTCGTTGCCCTGGAGTGCCAGTCCGTTATCAGTGTCGTCTTGACCTGCGGGAGAATCATCCTCTTGTCGCTTTTGATGAAAGCCGTACATGTTCGCGAGAACCCTATCGAGAGATCCAGGCCCGTACATGCACTGTGCTTGTATCGCCGTAACCTGTACATCACGCGTCAGTCATTGTGCATCTTGGACAGATTGACGAGATGTGCACCTACTGCATTGCAAGGGACCTCTAGAATCGGGTCACCACTGGAATTTTTCGGCGAACAAATCGACGCTAGGTACGCTTCGTGACCATTTTGCGCCCTGACCAGACCTGCTCCGACTACAATGAGAACCGCTGCTGTAGTGTAAATCATCATTGTTTTTTCGATGTTAGCTCTGCGATTGCCAACCCAGGTACGATAATGTCAGGTAAGGTAGGTAGGTAGGTAGGTAGTTCCAAGAGGGCAGTTCCGTGTCGTGCTACAGTATTAGTATGCAGTTTTGTTTTCAAAATGTTTTTTCACGACAAACACAAACTGCGCAACCGAACGAACGCTCAGGACTCCAAGCAGGAGGATTTTTTCGACTCAGCCCCCCCTCCCGAGTTTTATGTAGTACACCGCATCGACGAGGCGGGCATGTGATATATGTAGTACGACGACAACGCACCTGTTTTCCTTTTTTAAACTTCCATTTCATAATTAAGGTAGGTACAGGTAGGCAAGGCAATCAATCGGCATCTCACAAACTAGGATGTGCCAGGCTGAAAAATCAGGTTTCTTTCTTTTCTTTTTTTTTAACCTCTTCATCAAGGTCCTGTTCTCAAGTTCTTCTTCAGAGGCTGCCTGCCCGCAGCCCGCCCTTTTATTTTTTGATTTTATCTTTTCCGGTCAAGGGTTGCTAGTTCAAAAACAATCTAGGGTTGTGGAAGTTACCAACCGGTGTATGTACCTGTAGGTAGTTTCGTATCGAACATATCTGAGATATATTTAATAATCGTGCTGCCTAGATGGATTTACTCATTTACAGGCTACGTGACATTGTATGTCTGTCGCCTGCATTTTTTTGGTGCATGACCAAGAATCTTTTTGGATATTTCCTTTGGCTCTATACTTCTCGCCTTCCCACAAAAAATGGGGAAGCTTGCGCTATCGTCGCTGTTTCTCATCCAAGAGTGTGTATATATATGTATAACGAAAAAAGTCGCTTTCATGCTCCCTCCTGCGGGGGCTAGATCTGAGCTCAATTCACCAACGTAAAAAGAACAAGAATGAGGCGCATTCACTCGCTTTGATCCACCACATCAGGTCTGCGGAATCGTTCCAAGAGCCCTGTCAAAGCACTCATCGGCTCCTTCACATCCTGCAAAGCGTCCTGTTGAAACAGCGGACTACGCGGACTGATGGATGCTTCGTCTTTCAGTCTTCCGCCGCTGTTCAGCACGTGCAGCTGATCGATGCTGCCTTGAAACCAACCGGTCTGAGGATCGAAGCGTGGCGAGGAGGCGCATCCGACCCATGAGTGCCCGTCAAATTCGTCGTCGTCGTCGGCAGTCGAGTCGGAAATGGCGGATTGGCCGAAGCGGAACTCGTAGACTTCGGAGCGAGCATCGTCGGCGTCGGAGGCGGAATCGGTCGTCGTCGTGTCGCCAAAGGCGTAGAATGTGTTTTCTTCTCCGTCAGAGGCGGGATAACCAGCGACGACGAAGTCGTCCTCGACATCTTCGCTTTCATCGTGGCCATCGTCGTGCCGGTAGGCTCGAGCTGCACGATTGCCTGCGATTTGACGATTGACAGCACGTAACTCGTCTCGCAGTCTGGCTTTGGAGAAAGCGTTGGACGCCTGTTCCATTCGAAGTTCGATCGACTGCGCACTGGCGAGGAGGTGAGCGTCGGGGGTCTTTTGCTGGTAGACTTCATCTTCCATGGCGGTGGCGGAATCCACCCGCTCCAGAGGCTCCCTCGTCATCACGTCGCAGAAATGCTTTTCGAAAGTCTTGCGATGAATGGAGTCGGGAAGGGCAAAGATGACTTCATCGATCGAATCCCACTGCTCTGCGTTGGGACGTCGTTGTCTCTGCGCACCGGATATGACTTTTCGCCACAACTTAGCGACTTCTTCGGCCGGATGATTCATGCCTCCGACTCCCCATGCTCCCAGGATCAGACGCTTAGTACCCTTCATCTGGGCGATGCGAAGCACCGCCTTCATCTTTTGCATCATGATGCTCCTGTGCTCATCGCAGTAGCTGACACCACACGAGCAAAAGGCATCAGCATTTTCGTCCCAACTCTTCTCTCGCGGATGCTTGAATGTGCCAGCCGTAATCACATCGATGAAGAAGCGCTGCCGCTTCTTGTAGTCCTCGGCATGAGCATCGCGAAAAACCAGAATATCGGGCGAAAAGACACCGCCCTTGACGGGTAAGGAGTAGAAGTCGTCATGCAACGACTCGTACAGCGTCGTTCGCGCGCACAAATACTCTTCCTGGCCTCCAATGCCTCTCAGGAATCCGCCTCCTCGAACTGTCATGGATCCCATATTATGGACAGCGACATTGGGGCGTTCTTGGCTCGACCGGCGAGTGTCTGAGGTGGCGAAATGTCGTTCAGAAATCTTTCGGGCCACGTCGAGGCAGCCTCCATGTTCGATGCGGATGGTCAGATGTGACGGATGTACTGGACCCGCCGCACTGGCAGTCGTGCTGACTACTATCGGCTGTGGATCGTCAATGAGTTCGCTTCGGAGCACTCCATGCTTGGCCTTGATACTGGATCTCAGAACTTCGGGAATGGCTCGTGCAACAGTCTGTCTTGCTCGGGATTCGCGTTCTGCGCGCTCTGCCTGCCCCATATCTTGCAGTATGATTGCGTGGTGGAGAATGGGCAGTGGCTATACATGTAGTGGTGACAATCAGGAAGACATCAGAACCGACTTGGGAGTTTCCGTTGGTGGTGGTGGTGGTGGAGGTGGTGCCTCAGCAAGGTACATGTAGCCCGAACAAGGGAGTGTCGTCACGCGGAGAGCAGATTGATGAAGAAGTCGAGGGTAGGGTAGGCTGGAGGTACATGTAGAGGGAGGAGGTATTAGGTATTGGTGGATAGTTTTGGGCGCTTTAGCGTTCGTCCAGTTGCATGTGAAAGGCGTCCAGATGCCTGCAATTCCGGGCCGGCAGATGTTGCCGTGAACGGCGTGTGAAGGGTCCACTAGACCGGAGTGTCTCGTGCTCAGTCGTCAAAGTAATGTGTGTATGTAGTAATAATGTGTGTGTGTTAGGTAATAATGTATGAGACGGTACCACGCAATTGGGGGGTCATTCGCAAGGGAAGTGAAGGCAGAGGCTCGACCAAAGCGGGGGAAGGGGATGGGGGAGGGAGGGAATGGAGTAGATTCAGCAGCAGAGGCCGGTAGCGGTAGAGGTACCTCCAGCAGGACAGGACTGGACTGGGGCGGGAAGGATAAAAAAGAAAGAAAGAGGAGAGCTGAGCGTGAGCGCACCACGCGCCGCAGCATGCGCAGCGCATTACCTGACTTTACCGACTGACCGTCCCTTTTAGTGTGTGGCCTCTTACGTCGAAGCCTATTCTTGCATTTCGCTGGCCGTGCATCTTCATGTGAAAGGGCTGCTGGGGCTGGGGCTGGGGCTGGCGACCACTGACGAGACTGACCAGGCCAGGCCCGGCGACGAGAGAGAGGCGGAAGAACAAACAAAGAAGAAGCGCACGCGGCACGCCGCACGCTCATCACAGCGGGACAATAACAATGAGGTATTAGGTACCGGTATGTAATCACCAAGGAGACACCATACAGGTACCCCCCACACCCCTACTCCGGTGTTTGCATCCTACACACTACCCACACTACCTTACCTTACCTGACACCGTAATTGAAGCTACCTAACCTGAACAGTACATCCTGCGCGTGCTGCAGCAGTGCACCTGGCGCCCCGAAGCGAGGTTGCGCCCCGGCGCGCGTGTTCCATTGACCATGTTCCTAGGTTGGTGCCGCTCGACACTCGTCACCCGTCAGGTACTGACCGTACTGTCCAACGGCGCTTGACCGGGTCTCTCTCTTGTCAGCTGCGCATCTGACCCCGAAATCCACGATGATGATGATGATGAGACTCCCCGAAAGTCTACTTCCTAGGAGGTACTAGAGAGAGAGAGGAGACAGAGCGAGACAGACGATTTGCCGAAATGGCCTCGCTCGTGACGCATGACTTGCAGAGCACACGTGTGCGTGTGCTGTACCTCTACCTCACTACCTCTACCTCACTACCTTGGTCGCTGCACTGAAACAGGTCTGGTTTGCCATGGGCTGGGCGGGCGCAGTGCTGCTTGGTCAGGTCGGTAAGGTAATAAAAGAGCTGTTCGAATAATACCTACCTACCTAGCTAATGACTGTCTCATTGCAATTGCCGTGGAGATGCGCGATACGAACGCCCTGCGCGCAGACGGGCCCGACAATTGGTCTATTTTATGCTACGGGAGGGAGGGAGGGTACGACTACGAAGGAACGAGATCTGTCGTGCAAAACGGACGATTCACATTTAGACGAGACGACACCCGAGCCGTCGCCATGTTTGGCTGTTTGCAAGTGGACAGGCATTACCTATCCTGCCCTCTCATCAGATATCTTTTCACATGCTTCGAGCCCATTTTGCGATGCGGCGGCGGGCGGGCGGCGGGCATGGAGGTGTGTTGTGGTGTGGTGTGGTGCAGCCCACAAATAATCAAGTTTTAATGTAACCGCGTTCCAGTCCGACTGGCAGAGGATGGCCGGTCAGCATGTGAATATTGTCGTAGGTACGGTAGGTAGTGAGGGTAGGTACATGTATAGTTACCTTCTACCTCCTACGAGGAAGTTGTTTGTGGTGATGAGACAGACGCACAGACGAATACTGTATGAGAGACGAGAGTATTTCTAATAGAAAGACGAGAGTCCACCGTCCGCGGTCCACGTCAACATTCTCCGCGCCCGGTGGTGACCCGTGTTGCCCGTCCGTCTTGTGCTACCTCCTACCGTGGCTGTGATCACCTCGTCACCATGAATCGCAAGCTTGTGAAAGGCACAACACCGCAACACCGTTAGCATGTGAAAATCCACTCCTTGCCGTCACCCTCACCCTGCCGTTCACATCGGCTATTCTGGTCTCGGGGAAACGCCTCTGCGACCGCCGCCATACACGCGCACGCGCCCACGCCCACGCACACGCCCACGCACGACGGAAAGGCAAAAGACGGAAGAAAGAGGCAGCAGGAATAGAGAGACAGAGAGCGAAACATGCCGGGCATGAGTGGACCACCGCCAGTGCCCCAAAAGGACAACTACGTCCCCATCACGCAGGCGAAGCCCTTCGTATCCACACTACGATATCCCTCCAACAGAAAAACCATCTACGACCGCAACCTCAACCGCGCCAAAACCAGCGAAGCCTCTCTCGCCTCCTTCGCCTACCTCTTCAACACCCTCATCACCTACCACCACGCCAAATCAGGCTCCGTCAGCGAAATCGAAACCCGTCTCAACCGCGCAGGATACCCTATTGGCATCAAAATGCTCGACTTGGTACTCTACAGACTTCCACCACGCACGGCGTCACGTCCCACTCGGATGTTGGATTTGCTGCAATTTATCCATGGAGCGCTGTGGAGAGCGCTGTTCAATCGGAGTGCGGACGCGTTGGAGCAGAGTAATACGAAGAAAAATGAGTATATGATTGTGGATAATGAGCCTTTGGTGAATACTTTTATTAGCATTCCCAAAGAAATGAGTCAGTTGAATTGTGCAGCGTTTGTGGCGGGGATTATTGAAGGTGTGTGTGATGCTGCGGGATTTCGTACGGAAGGGGTTACTGCGCATTGGGCGGGAGAAGGGGATGAGATGTGGCCTGGTAAGACGATTTTTTTGTTGAGGTTCAAGGAGAGTGTTTTGGAGCGCGAGGATGCGATTAAGGCGGGAGGCGGTTGAGAAGCCTTGGACTGCATCAAAGGGGGGAAATACTGGGATAATAAGGGGACTTTGCATTTCCCGTGGCAGACATGAGAGCAGGCAAGAACGCAGACATACGATTGGCCTGTGCAGATGAGCCGGGCAGGAGAGCACTGGGCTGGCGGGAGAATATCGTTTCGCATGTGATGCCAAGGACGGAGAAGACATGGCGTCTCCTTCTATTCGAACGAGAAGGAGAAGATTAAGGTATTATTGGGAGGCGTGGGAATCAGGACCACGAAAACGAGCCGCAGAGCCCATTATTCTCGTCTCTCCACGTCAAGGGGGTGGGACCCACCTTTACATGCGAAGGAGTGTGTTGGCAAGCATATGACAATGCTCCAAAAAGAAATCTGCCCTATCAGGTACGGATTTTATCGAATCATCCCAATCGGTAGTCCTACAGGCGTCGCAGCTCGCATCCAGCCTCCCAGCTCGACATAGTTGCGGGAAGTGCTTGCAATTGCGTTGCTCGCATCCTCTGCTGCTGCTGCTGCAGCAAAAATGCCATCCTCCTGCATGACCACGTCTTCTGTTCTCTCATCATCATCATCATCATCATCATCATCATCATCATCATCATCCTCCTCCGTCCGAGACTCAGCGACACCTTCCTCCTCCTCCACAAGATGCCGCCAATTCCCTCTAAACTGCACACTACCCAAATCGAGTAAACGCCTTGAAAGCCACCTCGGCCAATACCCCGTAGCCATACAACACGCAGCCATCATCTCCCCCATGCACGCATTCCGCTGCTGAGGAGATACGGCGTAGTCGAGCATGTGTATGCACCATTGGCACGATGCCTCGTTGTTCGCTTTTTGTTCTTTCGCGTCATCGTCATCTTCTTCTTGTTCTTTTCTTCCTCCTTGATTATTCTGAGGAGCTGCTACTACTATTACTCCTTCCACGAGGCGAGTGCATATGGTAAGGAGGAAGTGGTTGGGACTGTGCGTTGCTAGGTCGCGCAATAAGCTGTCCCAGAGGAGATATGCGCCGTTTAAGGGGGCGCCGAGTCTAAACCATGACAATAACCACAACATCATCGTCAGTCAACTTTGTGTGTTTTTTTTCTCTTGTTTTTTCGCGAAAAGCGGGGGGCACTTACTCTCGTTTCGAAGGAATCAGAAATCGATCTTCTACAAGCACATCTGCCACAGCTCGTATTCGCAATTTACTCGTGCCCATCAGACTTCTCAAAGCTTTACTCGTCGCTCTCATTTCTTCTTTCTGATCTCTCGTCGCCTTCTTCTTCTTCATCTTCAACGCCTCCCTTCTCGCGGCGCGATACGCTTTGAAAATCTCTCTCGCCTGCCCTTTGACATCATCTCGTAGATGTTCTGCCATTGAAATTTCTCCTCCTCCTCCTCCTCGTCCTTCTTTCTCAGCAACATTAGTAGTAGAAGTAAAAATAACACTCCCCATCCCCGCCTGCTGCAACTCTCCCTCCCCCTCATCCAACCGACTCCAATAAACCCTCCACAACCACTCCAACGCCTCCCCCGTCGCCTTGACCAATCTCCGCAAACTCGGCAATTCCTCATGCGTCGCCTCATGTCTCAACGCGACAAATTCCGCTTTCATTCCCATTTGCTTCGCCATCTCCAACATCGAACTCGGTTCCAATGATCGTTCTTTTTGTCTTCCAATGTCGCAGAATCCGGTTACGAAGCGTGTGAAGGCCGCGGAATAGACGGCGCGGATGCTGAAGAGGGAGGTGGAGGTGGAGTTTGAAGAGTTTGAAGATGAGGAGTGGTGGTGGAGAATGGCGTCGACGAGGAGTGCGGTGCTTTCGATTGCGTGGGGGAGATTTCCGCCTCGCGTTTTCCAGGCCATGATGCGAGAGACGGCGGCGCGTTGGCGATGATTGTTGTTGGCATCATCTTGGGAGGAGGAGGAGGAGTAGAGGTCTGAGCGGACGGAGAGGAGGTCGGAGTGGGAACGCCAGGGTGTGGTGGTGTATTTGGGCATTGCTTTGGTTTTTATCCTTCTTTTTCCCAGAATTTGGTGGTGGTTATTCAGGTACACTTCTTTTTTTCTTTTTTGGATATATATCTTCGTCTCGCTTCGGGGTTGTGTGAGTTTTGATATTTCTGGTAGATCCGAAGAGTTTCTTGCGCGGCTTCTTGGTGGGGAGGCTGTTGATACGCTCTCAAGAATAGGCAATATCTCAGACTTGGCTTGGGTGTCGCATATTGACCTCAAAGTGAAGTTAGGTACATATAGTACTAAACGAAGTGAAAAGACTGATATAGGCAACAGGGAAGATGCGGCGCGTCGCGAACAGAGTTCGCAGTACCTTCCTAGCGCGTGAATGCTAACCTTATCATTCTATAGATGTGGGCCTCGAAGAAACTAAACCGACGACTTCTCTTCTCCGCCTCTGCACAAAATACCGGCGCAACAATACTACGTATATGGATGCTTTCACAACACGACCATTTTCGCTCCAGCATCAGCATCGGCGATAACAAAAGAAGAGGATTTAGTAGCACCACATGCGCTCTCTCCATTGGCCATGACGAGCGCAGACCCTCGGTTGAAAAATACCGGCAAGCGACCGGCCAGTCGCTCTCCTGATGGCAATAGGAATGCCTCATCCTCGACCAATAAACGCCATACCGGTCCTCTCCGCGTCTCGAGCTCATATCAAGCCACCAACGATTTGGCTCCTGCGAGTGTGAAGAGTCCAGGAAACGCGTCAGATGCATCCTCATCGATGGCCGTGGTCGAGGGCTTCTTCAAGGCCACGACCACTGCAGCAGAATTGAGCATCGAGCTAAAGGCTGCTCAGACAGCGCATGCCAAAGCCGATCGAGAGTTCCGCAACATGCAGGACAAATTCGACCTTTTCCCAGCCATCAAGGACCAGAAAACGCACGCACGGGATCGGGCCCATCAGAGATTGGTGCGCATTCAACGCCAAATAGAGGAGCAGAAGCCTCTGCAGACTCAGGTTTGCGCGACCCTGGCAAGTCTTTTGGACAGGCGTGGCTCTTCTGATCAGAGTCATGCCGCCGGCCTTCTTCACTCGCCCAACGAATCACTGGAACACATGGAGAGTACACTATCGCGCATCTCTGACGCTGCAGTAGCGCTTAGTAAGCGCGTGCATGCGCTGGAGAGCCAATCTCCACGACTGGATGCTATCGAGAGTCGTATCAAGGAGATTGCAGACGACGGTATCGCTGATAAGGAAGACATTATCAAAGATGTCGATGGCTTGGGTGACAGAGTGGAAGCCATTGCACGCGATTCCGTTGTGTTACGGAAAGACATTGATGACCAGCTGTCGAGCAACAAGACCAGGTTTGCGGATCTCAAGAAGGATTCGGCGGAGTTGAGAAGGGCCGTCACAGATCAGTTGGTGAAAGCACTAGACGACACCAATATTCTGGACCACAATACGAAGACTGTCAACGAATGTATGGCGCGATTGCAAAAGCTCGAGGCGGCAGCTTTGTCGGAAAGCAACCTCAACAGCGTGCAGCAGACGATTTCAAGTCTACAGGGAAAGCTCCAAGCTTTGGAGAACACGAAACCTACCTCGACAGCAGCGCCAGGAGCAGCAGTCGCAGGAAAATCTGTCTGGCAGCCAGTATTACCCGAAAACGACCTCGACAGCAACGACCACGAGCTCCTCCTCCTACAACAACAACAACAAAACAATCCAGCTAGTCTCGGACCATCATCATCATCCAACGGACCCTCTACCACCGCCGCCTCCGCAACAGCAACAAGAACCTACGTCCTCAACGAAATCGAAATGCTCAAAGCCCTCACAATGCAACACACACGCATCATCAACAACCTCACAACCGACGACATCGTCAAACAAATGCTCGACCAACTCAGCACCATCTATCCCGACATTCGAATGCATCAACAATCTCTCACGGCAATCCGCTCCGAAGTCCAAAGCTATCAGAAAAATCTTCTGCATCAAATTGAGAAACAAGAAGATATTCTGAAAAAGGGTCGAGAGGAAATTGTGGGCAAATTGGAGAAATTGGAGAAGACTGTGGGTGTTTTGGTCGATGGCGCGGAGACGATTAGGGAGCATTCGAAGAAGGTTTTGGAGGTGCAGGTTATGGTTTTGAAGTTGGAAGAGGTGGTTAAGAAGGTGCTGTTGCAGCAGCAGCAGCAGCAGCAGCAGAGGAAGGGGGAAGCTGGTGGTGGAGGAGGAGATGGGGGGCAAGAAGATTTGTAATTGGGTGGTGATCTTGTGTGAGGTGATTGTTCTTTTTTCTTTTCGCGCGGGGGGGTTTTCTTTTCATTTTTTTTTTTCAATTGCTGTGCATATATGATACCCAACAACGATGAGGCATGCAGACAGACAGGCAGGTCCCTTCTCGACTTGCAGTGTTTTTTGTTCTTTTGTTTTTTTGTTTTCTTTTTTTTTTCCCTTTTTCCGAGGTGAATGGATGGTACCTACCTCAGGAGAGTAGTGTAGTGTAGTAAATTAATTCTCGACTGTGTGGAAAGAGAGAGATGAAGAGACAGACAATCCTCTCCATCTCTAGTACCGACGGAGCTCTCTATACACCACCAAAAAAAATCCCAAAAAAACACCGCTTCGCTCCCCAACGCCTCGCTAAAGATTTCTACAACAAAAAGCATTCATTCATTTCAATAATTACCAATTCCATTCCATTTCATTTCACTTCGTTACAAAAATCATGCCTGTTTCGTTCCAGATTCATGATTCGACTTTTGCTCCAACGCCTTCGCCTCTCTCTGCTTCTTCATCCTCTCCTCTGCCGCTCGAGCCAAAATCTCTCTTCGACTCAACGACTCCACTACTTCCCCTCCTCCTCCACTACTTCCACCAAGAACATACTCTCCACCTTCCCACCCTCCTTCATCCGCATGATCATAATCAAACACATCCTCCCCATCATCATCATCATGATCTCCCGCCCGATGACGATGATGATAAAATTCCTCCCCACCTACAGATTTCCCGCCTCGCCTCCAATCATTCCGTTCGACCTGCGCTTCAATTTCCTTACACAATTTCCAAAACCGCGCATCATGTTCGCCCCAGACATTATGCGCTAATTCATGACACAAGGTTTTGCGAATGACTTTGTAATCGCGATAGCCATCGTAGGCATCCGTGCGTAAACGCAATTCAATCACTTCGCCTCGATTGCGATTTAATCCCAATGTGCGACTTTGGTGCGTTGTGTGTTCTGCAGGGTTCATTTCCGTTAATAAACCTACTGAGAAGCCGTGGGTGCGCATGCTGGCTTTGATGCCAGCGTCGTTTGCTAACAGTTGAAGGTAACGGAGAGATTTTTCCGGATTGGGGAGATAGTCTAAAGGGCGGATGGTGTGGAAGGTGAATTGGGCTTCTTCGGAGATTTTCTTCCAATCGCGGTGTTTGTGGACTTGGACTTTGCGGCCGGCTTGGAGCGCGGCTCTGCGGCGATCGATGCGGGCTTTGCGGTCGGCAATGTCGCTGGCGAGTTCGGAGACTTCGGCTGTGGTGGCGCCCATGAGCACAATTTTCTTGTCTTGGAGCGAAGTGACGAGGAGGTTGGGGTCTTTGAATGGCGGTCTGAGTAAGCCCACTTTGGGTGTGATGAGGAGTTTTTGGTGGGCGGGTGGAATGTGCATTTCTTCGGCGATAGTGTCGGATAGGTCCTGAAGAGTGGCATCTTGGTGGTAGATGGGAATGTCGAGTGGTTTGTTGTGTAGTTGGATCGTCAGGTGGAACAGTGCTTGTGGTTCTGCATCGTTCTCGAGGTCGGAAGTGATGTCCTGTGATAGCCCACTCGTGCTGGACATGGCATCTTCCTCCTTCCTGGTGTCCTGCTCTTTAGGATATGTACACGGCGTAATTTCCGACATGCCGGCGAGGCACTTGCGGGCTTCAGCACAATGGAATGGGGGCATGCGTGACCGCGTCGGTCGGTGGTAATGGTGGTAATGGTGGTAGTGGTGGTGGTGGCGGGGTTAGTGCTCGTAGGAGGGAGTTCGTAGGTGGTAATGGTTGGTGACAAGTCCAGTCGTGTGTCGCAAGTGGCTCGATTGGGTCGATGATGTCGTTGCAGATCAGGGCGAGTCTTGTATAAGGTAAGGATATATATGTACTAATAATAATAAGAATAAAAGTGAAGGACATCGAGTTCCATCGGCTTCCAGCGACAGGCTCAAAGGCAACGATTGGTAACGCGTCATGAGAAGTGATGAGATCACGTAAGGTACATGTATCGTTGCTCAGCCACTTCGGCACTGTTTCCCTCTTTGTGGCGGTGCGGCACTTTTTGACTTTTTCTGCTGACTGGACTCTGTGGTGAAGAGAACTGACTAGGTAGGTAGGTACCGCAACTAGTAGATATCGTAGAACAACATTAGAACCGTTTTAGTCTCCTAGTCCTACACGGCAACGGCTACCTCTCCTAGCTCTGTCCCTCGCGCATCGCTCACCACATGTGCGCATTCTCCTCTCCCTCATCCCAGACTCTTCATACCGCCGCCGTGTCTCTCTCTCTGTACCGTAGGCCGTTTCATTCATCCCAAGCTCATACTCATACTCGTACTCATACTCCCTCTTGAACCTGCAAATTCGGGTCTCCCTTTCGCGAAGCCATCGCGCCGCGAGTATGCAGCACTCGCAGAGCAGCCAGAGCCATAGTCGCCGTCCACGCCAACCTAACACCAACAGAACCAGCACGAATCAGTAAAATATTCCCTCTTCAAAGCCCAGTCCTCCATCCCCAACGCAACACACGCCTTTGATAAATCTCCCCATGGAATGGGGGAGACCATCACCTCACACTTACCAAGAGAATGCGCCAAACACGCAAGCCGCTCTCGCCGACCCACACACGGTCCCCGTGCACCCGCGACCGGGCAGAAAGACGGCGAGTGCGATGAATCCTGCAAACCAGAAGAGCATCGTCACGGCCTCGAGGCCCAGAATGGCGAATTTGTGGTGCAAGACTGTGTTGGCGAATAGCATCGGGACGAGGATGAGGTAGACGAGGGCGAGGAGTGACCAGACGGCGCAGAAGATGAGGAAGTTGATGGATGAGGGGGAGTGGGCGATGCCATTGTAATAGCTATTCCACCAGTGTGCGACTGTCCCGTACAAGAGTGGCGCTGTTAGCTATGTGATTTATTGCTCTCATCATACAGGCATGCATACCGAATGCAGAGGTTCCCAGAACGATAATGGCAAAGGTTGCTTGGATCAGGCGTAATGCGAGGACGACAGCGGGGTTGTCGTACAAGGCCATGGTGTTGTTGTCGTTGTTGCTGCTTGTGTGTGTAGGGTAAGGTAGGTAGGTAGAAAGTAAGTGTATGTTGTAGTTTTTATGGCAAGCGAAAGGGTGAAGTTGGCAGGTGGAGAATGGAGGTTGGCAGATACGAGTTTGATGTAGGTAGCTCAGCTGGGTATGGGATTGGGGGTGATGTGGTTGGGGTGCAGGTGGAGCAGCTTCTGAAGGAATGCGTGTGTCAAGTGTCAATGCAGCAGTAGCAGAATAAAAGTACCTTAGGTAAGTACAAGATCGATGGTTTGATAGTACAGACATAAAGATGTACCTAGATACCTGTAAAAGTATGTACCTCCTAGTACCTACCTTATGCATCTATCTGGTATGGATGAGGTACATGTAGACAAGCACTCGAACATCACGAAAGCTCATCGCAGACAGGCGTACAATGTTCCAAAAAAAGAAGTGGCAGTGGGGCATCGCGGACTTCAAAGCCCGCCGAACGCCACCTCCACTCTTCTTGCTGAGTCCCCGATTATTTGCCTTATCTGCCCACCTCCACAGACTTCGCCACCCACGGGGCATATTATCGATGGAGGAGTTTGACTTCGATGCGATATTGGCCGACACGCCATACAAGACCTTGTATTCCTGCATTGATTCTTTCCCGCATTCTGACCTACCTGCCGAGCTCACAACATTTTCCCGCCAAAACCCGAGCACCACCACGCTTTCTCCCCTCCTCTATCACTGCCTGGAAAAAAGCAAGCTGCCCCCGTTCCATGAGTTGCTGAGATTGGGCGTAAAGCCGGACGAGCACACTGTTTATGCTGCCGCTTGCAATGAAGACGAAAGATTCCTGATTGCACTCCTGGATTACGGCTGGCCTGTCGACCATTCCCTTCGACGAGGACAAATTTCCTCCTTGCTCTGGTAAGAGTTGTTCCCTATATCAAGATATTAGAGTCTAAGTGCATGGCCCAGCCTTGTGGCAGACCGCCCCCCACTTTTTCAAGAGCTCTTAAAGCGTGGCGCCAGTTTGAATGTCATATCGACAGTAGGCGACACACCGCTATCTGCTGCTGTCCAGGCAGGCTCTGTCGACCTGGTCAGGAAGTGTTTGGAAGCAGGCGCTGATCCCAGTCTTGGCGATCCCCTACATGACGCTGTAGGTCGTAGTTCCGACGAGGTCGAAATCATCCGTTTGCTCTGTTCCTATAATGCCCCAGTGGACACCATCCAGTTCCAGCATCCAAGCGCGCGCATACTAAGACACTGTTTTGTCAGAGGAACGCCCTTGCATGAAGCATGCCGGCTTGGCAAGATCGAAGTGGTGAAGGAACTTTTGAGACAAGGTGCAAACCCGAACAGTACTCGCATGTGCTATTCGGACATAGAACCCACGACTCCTATCGACATTGCTAGAGAAGAAGGACATGGACACATTGTCGCGCTTCTCACTTCTGTCGAGAGGAGCGTTCGTCTTTGACGGAGAGAATGGGAACTACTTTTGCTGCTGCACTGGTATCGAAAGTCACCATCAAGCTCATAAGCCTCTGCGACTTGGAGAAAGTGCAAGTACCGATGCTTGACAGATGGAGATCTCTCCAGGTCCGCGGCTGGGATGGTGATGTGAATACAAATGCCCTTCCGCATAACGGTCAGCTTCGAGCCTCTGTTTCGATTGCTGAAAACGAAGTCGGTTACTAAAGTTCAAGGGATCCCCATAACGTTGAATGGGCGGCTAGTATTTCCTCTACAGCGGTGATGAGGCGTAAGATGTTGCAGAAGTCTGCACAGAGTCGAAGCTTTCGAGACGAGATAAGAACCCGCATCCCACGTAGAAGGCCACATTCATGGCTTTCTTAACCTGACCTGTCAGCCAATCAAAGAAAGAATAGACGCTGCGCTGTAACGACAACCGTCTCCTGATGCTGTGCACGAAAGGAAAAGCCGAAAAGAAAACTCGGCTGCTTTTTTTTAGGCCCTTAGTTGTTAGGGTGTTAGGGTGTCAACTGTCAAGTGTGGCTCTTCTCCATATGTTCCTGAAGGAGCTTGAAAGCTGAAACGAATGCAGAAGGTACGCACGCTTATGTTTCGAATTTGCTTCAAAAACGTCAGAATCGTCGTACGACTACCAACTACTACTACTATCTACATTTACCTAGCTACCTTCTACTCCCTCTCCCTCTCCCTCTCTCTCTTTGTTGCCTACACGTAGTGTATACATGTATACACTACCAACTACTACACCATGATGAAAAGATGAAAATCCTACCTGACCTGCCTTACTCGCCCAACGGCATCCCTTCCACAGCATCAACCAGGCCCCTCCAACAGTCCGCCTGCAACTCGGCGTACTTGACCCTCTCCTGCGCCCAATCCTGATGCAATCGCCCGGCCCTCCACTGCGTGTCTTGAAAGTGCAAAATCTCATCCCGCACACATTCTTTGATAAAGACGCCTCGCGCGTGTTGATTGACAATACTCTGCTTGTCCGCCGTAATCGCATCCGCCACCTTATCCGCCTCGCCCGGTTTCGCCATGTCGCCCTTGGCGTGAATGTTGGCGAGCTTGACTTCGTTGGATTGTATCCGCTTCTCCAATGCCGGAATGTTGTCTTTGGCATATCGTTCGCGCCGATCAAACATGTCTCGCACGCTGACCAGCGCGTCACGCAGCGTTTTGAGGTCTTCGAGTACCCCTTGATCCCATGCTCGTGATTCGTCTTCGAGCAGGGAGCGGGACATGGAAATATGTTTGGCCGTGCTGTTGATGCCGTCATTGAGAAGTGGCACGTCGCTGTTGTCGATGGCATACACATCATTACTGACTTCCGTCACGCTGTTGAAATTGAGACTGAGACGTCCATATTCTGCTGCGAGTCCTTCTTTTCTCTTAATAACTCTCTCGACAAGGTTGCACAGATTGATGTAGAGCTCAGCGCTCCGTCGCACCCCTCCACGGACCGTTTCAAACATTTCCGCCAGGTTTTGGGGAAGACTGTCTTCCAGGTGGGATGGCAGCGATCGGCCGACGAATTCTTCTTGGACGCTAATGGTCGCTTGCTTTCGCCACACCGCGAGTTCCTACATGATGACATGTTAGCGACATTTCATAGCTTGAGAAGTGGACTTGCATCTACCGTGGGGACTGTGAGAAACATCACGACGAGCTGCTCATCCCGCAACACCGGATGGCGCACGAGCGCATTGGCAAATCGTGCGAGCCCTCGTCTCCTCTTCTCCAAGAACGTGGTATCCGCAGCCAAGTGGTTGCCATTGATCGCGACTCGCTTCGGGGGCAGCAGGGGGAGCTGGCGGAAAGGATAGCGTTTGTGCAGGCAATCGAGCAGCCATACAAAGTCGCTGTATCTCCGTATGACCTTGCTGTTCCGCCTGACGGAAGCCACTTCGTAGTTGCGGTGCTGGAACAAAAACATGCCCTCCTTCTCAGTCAGGATGTTGACAGTGACACTCTCCTCAGCTCCTGTACTCGCGCGAACGTGCTGCGACCTCTGAGGCGCAGGCTTGCTGGGTTCATCACCGGCCTCGCCAAAGCCTGCGCTACTCGTAGGCCCATCAACACCACCGAATCCTGCGGTATTGCCAGAAGCAAATGTAGTAGTCGAACCACCCCAGCCGCCAGATGGGGCAGTACTGGCGGCCTCATAGCTTCCGTTCGTATTTGCAGGCTCCGTGGACGTCGTCGTGAAGCTACTTGTCGTTCTCTGCGCTCCAAAGCCATTATTACCGTTCAAGTGCTTGTGTCCTTTGTGTAGCTCGGGACTCGCCCACGGATCACTTTCTAGTCCGAATGAAGGCTTACGTGCCGCAGCTCGAGGCTGCTCCGAGATCGCCTGCGCACCTCCCTGGGCTTCTGACGACGATGCCTGCGGAGCCTCTGACGGGGCGGCAGTGGTAGCCATGCTCTTCGTCTTCTTTTTCTTCTTATCCAGCGCCGGTAGATCAGGAACAGGCAGCTTCCTTCTCCTATCATCCACAGCGTCCAATCCCAGGTCTTCCCCTTCCTGCGCCAGTCCGATCAGAGCAAAGAGTACGTTGAACTCTCCTCTACCCAGCTGTGATGTCTCTTCGCTGTTGCCACTCGACACAATACTCCAGATCCTGTCCTGATCCGCAGAATCAATGCTGCTATCTCTCAACAGCTCCTTGGCGTCCTCAGCCGTGATGTTACCGCTGCCTCTCTGCAGCTCGTCAAAGGTGTCGATGTACAGGTCCGGCACGTCTGCACCTTCCAGGAGCGACTTGACCACGCTGCCCGTACGCTTCTTTCCTACTGACCCCCACGGCGTATCGTCTGTGTCGGCGAAGATGGAGGAGAAGGTATTGTCGTTGGAGACTTTCTTGCGGCTCGGCGTGGCTGGCTCGTCGTCGAACAGCGAAGACTTGAAGCGAGTCTGCGGCGCGATGGTGTCGTCGTCGTCTCCGAAGAGGGACATGTTGCACTACGGGTACTGCACTCCACTGTAGGATGCAAGGATCCGGTTTGCGATGAGCTACTGCGCGGCACGTAACGCACAAACAGACGGACCAGCTCTTGTATATGAGCAGCCCGGCAAGCCCTCCCGATACTCCCAACACACTCGAGGACGACAGCAAAGCAGGATACACGTGGGCCGGGACGGGAGTGCGCTATAGCAAGCGTATGAGAGTACAGGAGTGGCGGTAGTGTGTAAGGTCAGTAGTAAGTGTATGTATGTAGTATGTACCTTGCCCAGTAGTCGTAACGCGCACTGGTAGTGGGATGGGAACTACATACTACCTAAGGTACCCTTCAGAAGCTTCCCCCATGCAACATGGCGTCTATCTGTGTTAGTGTCGTTAGTGTCCTTCTGTTGGTCATGGTCATAGATGCATGTACCGCTGCGTCTCCGTTATCGCCGATCAGGGAACAAGCATGCATCCACGACCACGACCATGACCTACTTGCCTACCTGACCTACTTGCACTGTATTGACTGTACCTACACCTACACCTACGTGCACATGTACCTCGCTGCCCATTCAACCAGCTGTAGCAGCGAGAGAGCAGCTCATATCATGCCACGCATGTAGGAGGTCGTGCAACGAGCAACACCCACGCCCTCCTCCACCAGATCAGATGAAATCATCCTCGAACCTCCTCGGTGAGACGGCACAGCGAACCTCTTCCACCAAACGGAAGCGATCTACAGTAGCTGGAGCAGACGACCCAGCGAAGCAGCAACAGCAGCAACAGCAGCAGCACTCCATCAGCTCGCTCTTCTCCTCCCATCAGAAACCGCAGTCCACCGTAGGACCAGACGGACGAGAGGCAGCAGCAGGTGATCTTCACAGCAAACGCCAGAAAGCCGATCCGTCACCGCACACGCCGCCGACTTCCACCATCACCACCACCACCACATCACGTACCGCCGCCGACATGTACTCGTTCAGCTCGAGGTCCCCCCAGACTCCCCGCAACGGCATTGTCGATCTCACCATTGCCTCTTCACCCGTCTCCCCGCAAGCGCGGCGTGCGAGCATCAAGTCGAGCATGAACCCGCAGACTGGCGCAAAGAAGCTCGTTGTTAAGAACCTCAAGACCAGTACCACCTGGGACAGCAAAGCTTATTTGGAGAAGATCTGGGGCCAAGTGGACGAAGCTCTTGCTCTCATCTTCAAGGATAACCACGATGGCTACAGCAAAGAGAACTTGTACAGAGGCGTCGAGAACGTGTGCAGGCAGGGAGGAGCATCGGCGCTATTCTCACGGCTGGACAAGCGATGTACACTCCACATCCAGCAGGAGGTCCGCGATAGATTACTAGAGAAGGCGAGCGAGGACAATGTTTCGGTACTGAAATCCGTATTGACGGAATGGACTCGCTGGACTGAGCAAATGACGACCATTCGCGCCATTTTCTTCTTCTTGGATCGTTCATATCTGCTCTCGTCGAGCAAGCCCACGTTAGAGTCCTACACCTCCCAGCTCTTCCGACAAACAGTGTTCAGGAGTGAGAGGCTGAAGGACAAGATCATCGACGGCGCCTGCGACCTTGTCATGGCAGATCGAACGCGAGCACAGGAGCTAGATCAGGACTTGTTCAGGAGAGCTGTCGACATGTGTCATGCCCTACAGACTTACACCACTTCTTTCGAGCCGAGATTTTTGGCTGCCAGTCAGCGATATGTCGATGAGTGGTCAAACACCATGATTGCAGAAAAGAGCATACCCGAGTATGTGAAGCTGGCTGATGCACTCATTTCTCAAGAACTGAGAAGATGTGAAGAGTTTGACCTCGACAGCAGTACTAGGAGAGATTTGTTGAGTCTGCTGGAAGATCACCTTGTACAGACGAAAGAGTCCGACCTGGTGGATTACGAGGCGCTTGCATCTTTGTTGGACAGGAATGCTACCTCAGAATTGGCAGCTCTGTATGCTCTCCTAGCAAGAAGACGACTTGGGCACGAACTACGCCCCTCATTTGCGAAATGGGTCGATCAGGCTGGGACAAGCATTGTGTTCGGAAAGGAGGACGACATGGTAGTGAGCTTGCTGTCACTGAAGCGAAGTCTCGATCAGATATGGAAGACGGCTTTCCAACGGGATGAGGGTCTGGGCCACGGCTTGCGAGAAAGCTTCGATGTCTTTATGAACAAGACGAAGAAGGGCGATGCGACGTGGGGAACAGACAACACCAAGGTGGGCGAGATGATTGCAAAGTATGTCGATCAGCTATTACGTGGTGGTGCCAAAGCGATCCCTGAGGTGCTCACAGCACGACGGTCCTCGAGTATTACAGCACTCGTGCCTACAGTCAGTGCTGGAGCTGGAGCAGAAGAGGATCACGATGAAATGGAAGTGGATGAGGATGCTGAGATCAACATTCAGCTTGACCAAGTGCTCGACCTCTTTCGTTTCGTGCACGGTAAAGCGGTCTTCGAGGCTTTTTACAAGAAGGATCTTGCTCGAAGATTGCTCATGGGACGAAGTGCTTCAGCAGATGCCGAGCGTAGTATGCTCGCGCGGCTCAAGACGGAATGTGGTAGTGGCTTTACGCAGAATCTGGAACAAATGTTCAAGGATGTTGAGCTCGGTCGGGAAGAGATGCAATCGTACAAGCAGCGTCTCGAGGATCGCATCGGATACGAGAAGGGAAAGAATGTTGATCTGAGTGTGAACATTCTGTCCGCTGCAGCGTGGCCTACTTACAAGGACATTCCTGTCCGCGTACCGGCGAACATCGCCAAAGCCATTGACGACTTTGAACTGCACTACAAGAGCAAGCATACTGGTAGAAAACTGGACTGGAAGCACGCTCTCGCACATTGCCAGATGAAGGCTTCGTTTGGTAAAGCAAGTAAGGAGTTGGTCGTCTCGAGCTTCCAGGCTGTCGTGCTTCTTCTCTTCAACGGGCGTGGAGACGACGAGAAGCTCAGCTACTCACACATCTTGACCGAGACGGGTCTTCGTAAGTATCACGCTTTCCACACGAGCAATCATGTACTGACTTGATTCCATCACAGCCGAAGTCGAAGTCAAACGTACACTACAATCTCTCGCCTGCGCCAAGCTTCGGCCTCTGACCAAACATCCCAAAGGCAAAGACATCAACGACACCGACACCTTCTCCATCAACACCAGCTTTGAACACCCCAAGTACCGCGTCAAGATCAATCAAGTGCAGCTGAAAGAGACCAAACAGGAGAACAAGGAGACACACGAACGTGTAGCCGAAGATCGCAACTTCGAATGCCAAGCTGCGGTAGTGAGGATCATGAAAAGTCGCAAGACCATCAGTCATCAAGAATTGGTGTCTGAAGTCATCAAGGCCACCATGAGCAGAGGTGTGCTGGCTGTGGCGGACATCAAGAAGAACATCGATCGGCTGATTGAGAAGGATTATATGGAGAGAGAGGATGGGAACATGTACTCCTATGTAGCATAGTAGTCTCCCTGCATGGACCTCGCCCATGGATACCTGATGCTGATGAGACTTGTACATGAAGGGTTTCCAGAACCTCAACCATGCAACATACGGTTACATCTGGCTTCCCACACTGGGCCACACACACGCTCACACGAAGTGTCGTGTCTTGAGGTGTTTCAATCTCCCTATATAGTGCTCAACGTGGGATGATGATGGAAAGGCCCAAACCAAGTATTTTGCCATAGTTCTACCAGTCTTGGGAGCCGTGGGCGTGGGGGGTCTGAGACTCTCGTAGTACAAATATAGGCAAACACCAGGACTACAAGACAGGGAAGGTGACATAATTATCGACAGTCACAATGTTACATTGATTGATTGGTTGGTTGGGTGAGTTTGTCTACGTATGATGTGAAGACTAAGGTAGATGTTCACACTCTTCTGCAAGGCTGCAACGATCAATGTCGTGCTTGATATGGATAATTGTGCGTACCTACGAATATCATCGGCTGAATGTACACGTCGTCGTACCTTAGGTGCTTCAGATCAGTAATGAAAGGGCAGTAGGTGCAATTACATAACAGTAATAATAGGTAGTCTCCTCCCCGTACTCGTGTCACTCTCTCGCTGCTTATTCTACCGACCACCATCAAAACACAACTCGTGATTGACTGATTTTTCTTTTTCTTTTTTTTTTTGCTGGTGTTTGGGCGTCGCTCTGCGATTGCTTTCCCATGGCACCACTAGCTCAGGCAGCGCGTTCCTGAAGGGACAAGACTAGGCAGTCCCTGTCGACAACGAATGGTTAATGTTATTAGGTGATGAATCAGTTTGGAAAGAAGTTGATGCTTTTGCAGGGGGGGAGGGATTGCTGAAACTTCAAGTCTTCAACCCGATGCAAACCCGGAGTCGGCACAAAAGGTTAAAAGAAGTTCGATCGACGACATGGACAGTTTTGTAGTCTGATAACTAGAGGACAGCGACGCGATTTTTGGATGGTTGACTGTTTGTTGGTGTTGTTGTTGTTGTTCTAGACTTGAGAGAGAGAGAAAAGAAAACCCATCAGCAGAGAGTGATCTGTTAGCAGGACAAGAAGAAAAAAAAAGAAAAGAAAAAAAAAAGAATGGACGAACCACCATGTTCTCCTACAGACGTACCCCAAAGATCAGAAACGCCACGACCTCCAGCAGCAGCAGCAGCAGCAGCAACACAAAGCAATCATCCCCAAGACCCTTCCACGCCATCCAGACGAAGCAATCATCATCCTCATAAACCCCACAAACCCAACCCTCCCACCCGCCAAAGAAGTCTCACCGAAGTCCTCCACGCCCTCGACCTCCTCCACCAAACCTCCCAACCCGTCCTCCTCATCGGTCTCGACCCCTCCTGGCTCTCTCTCAACCGCCCTTCTTCCCAGCGAAACGCCCACTCCTCCTCCTCCTCCTCCTCTGGCTCCTCCTCCCCCTCCCAATACTCAACTTTCCAAACCACGTTCACCCAACTCCAACAAAACAACCCATCTCTCTACATGGAACTCCATCTCCTACACCCGGACAGCCGCGAAAACATCTACGATGTCAAACGCAAAATCCGAGATGGTTCAGGCCCCGAGGGAGGAAGTTGTGATTGGACTGCTGTATTATGGGATTCCATTTTACGAAGTGATGCCGAATTAACCGGCTTATTTGAGGATTTGGTGAATTTTGTGAGGGAAATGTTGCCGGCTGCGAAATTGGTGTTTCCCAGGGATGATGCGGATTTTGCGGAGGCGTTGAGGAGGAATTTGGGGGTTTTTGTTGAGGGTGGTGTTGGGGGTGGTGCTGGTGCTGGTGCTGTATCGTCGCCGACGTTGCCGCCGCCGTCGGAAAAGCTTACGAGGAGTGCGTTGGAGACGATGCAGGGGTTTAAGTTTTAGAGGAGAGAGGTGATGGAATGGGCTTGGGGAGAGAGGGAGGTGTTTTTCCTTTTTTTTTTGAATCTGGGTCTAGTTGATGTTGTTGTTGTTATTGTTCTTGTTTGTACTGATACCATGTAAATGTAAGGTCGGTGTGTTGAATAATACAAGTCTTGAGGCAGATATCTTCTTTTTCTCCTTCTTCTTCTTCTTCTTCTTCCTTTTTCCTTTTTTCTTCGCCACTAGACACGTGGCTGAATACGAACATCTCTTCTTCTTCTTCATCACCCCCAAAAGGTAGAAGAAAAGAAAAACAATAACATTCTACTCCAACCCCATCTTCCGTCCAAACGCAGTCCAAGCAGCAAGATAGCCACCAGATCCTTCACTCCGCTTCTTCGTCGTCGTATTCGAAGTGCAAGCTGCAGAAGTAGTTGGAACAAAAGTCCCTTGGAAAACCATCATTGCGCCCTACAAAAAAAATTTTAGCGGATGGGTAAAGAACATTTTTATATAGAAGTCTCTCTCCCTCGGGTGTGTGTAACATAAAAGACTGACTGGCAACTTACAGAGTTGAATTCACTATAGATGTGATTGATCAAGAATGGTTCAGTTTGATTGACTCCTTCGTTGCAAACCGTGCCTAGAAGGATTTTTTTGTCAGCTTTTTGTTTTACATTTACATTTACAATTACAATTACATGTCCGAGTTGAATTGATGTGTTCTTGTCTTTTCTTTTCTTTTCTTCTTTTTCTGACATAAAATGTGTTCCTAGGAGCACAAAAAGAACTGACTTACCAAGAACGGCAATTCCTTGGACTTGTTGAGGTTGAATGTCAAACTTCCAGCGTGTGAAGACGTTGGTGCAATCGTGCCATACATTTTCAATGATGAACTATTTTGATGGAAAGAATATCAGTATGCAAATCTCTCTCTCTCTCTCTCTCTCTCTCTCTCTCTCTCTCTCTCTCTTTCCACAAAACCAAACCCCTCCACATCTCTTCCTCTTCCTCTCTCCTCTTCCTCTTCCTCTCCCCCCCTTCAAAA